GATCATCAATTGAGCAACAGAGGAACTAAGTGCACTAAGAAGCTACAGGAAAAACAAGTAAACAATCATGATTGAGTGAAGTAATGTATACATACAGCACCAACTAGAAGAGCACGAAAAGTAAATGCTTTTGTATTGGGATCATCTTCGGTAAGGGAGATATCGTTAATAATGGCAATGTCCAGATCATCTTCAGTATAAAGATAAGCAGGAGCATGCTCTTCGTCAAGCTTGTTTCCTTGAGAATCTACAACCCAAGGTTCATCCAAGTCCTTGGTAACCTTTTTGTCAAAGTCTTGATTCACTTTTTCATTATATTTCTCTGTAGAAATCTTTTCGGAATACACTTCGCTGTTGTCTATCTTACTATGGTCTTCTCCTGTCATGTGTTTATTTACAGATAAAAAAAAAGAAGAATTGGAGGGGATGTTGGAAGAGAATGCAAGAAAGATATTTGAAACAGGAAAGAAAAAGAAGAAACTACAGCCTTTTTATCTTGACAACCGTATCTCTTACGGAATTTTGTTCACTTTTTGTCTCATCTTCCTTTTTTTTCCTTTTTGCGACAAAACTTCTCATAAGCTGTCGTTATCTAGGATACAGTTCTTGTAACATCAAAAAATAGCTCGTGACTTAGTTGAAAAATCCTTGTCACCAATTATGGGTTAAAAATAGGGGATGCATGAAAGTGTTTCCATAAAAGTAAAACAAAATCAAAAAAATATTCTGATTATTGTGAAGTACAAATCCTTAATATGGCGATATACACTCGTTTAGGTAACTCCATCTATTTTCGATTGGTTTTAATGTTTATCTGTATCATTGACAGCTGTTGCTTCATTTTTCCCCTCAAATCCTACTGGCTCAGATTGGACCGAAGCATTATTGTCTTTAGCAAAAGCCAAGACTTTGTAGATTCTACCCATTGCTTCGGGGCTGACTAATCTTTCGGCTCCATCCAATAATGCCTTTTTACCGGCCGATGTCTTTTGACTTCTAAACAGCTGTTCTACTCTAGCTTGAATACCTAAAGATACCAGAAAATCTTTTTGTGTAACTGGGCCATAAGCAGTAACATCTAATTGTTATACGCTATTCAGAACTCTGTAGTCAGGTTTTTGCTGATTGTCCTACCTGATCCTTGTGAAATTGCCTTCTTTAAGAAAGAGAAATCGACATCTGCACTTAAATCAGCCGTGCCAGGATCAGACATCGGGTGGATGATTTTGTGATTCTTGATAGCCTAAAATAAAGTTGATATCTTTATCACAAGTTGTGCAGCTACTCACTCTCAAAGTATCACCTTGAATATAGTCTTGTCCATAATCAATAGCTAAACCACTACCACCATTTCGGTCCAGGAACTTGGTAATCTTATCCATAACACTGTAACTATCAGGGGAGATTTCTACACGATCACCATCTTTCATATCAGCAAACTTTGCATCACTCAACAGAGGCTGTGTCATTGGTGTAGGATTAGGTGACTTCACTAGTCTAAAATTGTGCTCACTTTTTTTACGATTAAAGATTAGTATTTAGCAAGAACACTTTATTTCTTTAAAAAAAAACTTTACCTTTCTTCTGTATCATCAATATCAACCATGAGTTCTCTCCATTCTGATTCAGTTTTCTAGAAAATATTATGTTTAATTAGAATGTATTCTTAACTTTTTCTTCTTACCTCAAAACTGTGAATAGGTAAAGCATCAAAGAATTCATGTGCCATAACGAATGACCATTGATCTATCATTAGAGCATTACTTGATAGCTTATTCTGTTTTCCATACCTGGAACAACCTCAATGCCGTCATGCCAAGATACTTTGATGCCGTCTTGTCTCGAAATAGATTCAACAGGTGCCTCGAATTGACTGCCTTCAATACGAACTACATCTTTTTCTTCTGATCCCTTAACAAGAGCTGCTCTTTGCATCTTTCGAAGACCAGGACTAGCTTCAACTAAGTGAACATCTGTCAGTGTCTTATAGAATTGAGGGAATTGGGACAATGTCTAATTTTTTTAAATTATTATGCAATTTTCTATCTGTGTAATATGATTTTTTTTTACCCTCAGCATATCACTCATAAGTGTGCCTCGACCAGGACCAAATTCAATGATTTGTATCTTTTCTGGTTGACCTAAGCGCATCCATTCAGTCAAATACCAAAGACCACATAACTATATAGTTTATCAGCAACTGTCTTAATGTTTTGTGAAAGTTTACTTCGCCAAAAACTTGACTTATTTCAGGTGAAGTGATAAAGTCGCCCTTTTGTCCAAATACATCACCAAGCATATAGTATCCACTCAAAGGGTTGACCAAGACTTGTCTCATAAAATGAGCAGTGGACAAGGGGCCTGCCACCTATGAACGATCGTGAATAACTCAAGCAACTTATTTCTCTTCCTCGTACTTTGATAGAGTCTCTCAAGTGTTTTCCTAAAGGAGACAAAGGTTCCTTTTTAGGGCTTGTTGTACTATAAAGCCGAACAACACAGTGTCTACTGGTCTTGATAATAGGTTTCAATAAGTGTATCATTGGGCACAAAAAGAACAATACATGAAAAAAAAAAAAAAAAAAAAAAAAAAAAAAAAAAGTTTTTTGTTTATTTGAAAGGTTGTTTAGGATTCCGACAGACTTTGCTCTCATCAATTCAACCTGATTGAAAAAGAGAGTCAGTACATTAAATTGTACAAGATCAAACACTTTAATCAAGAAAGATGATTGCATCAGAATATGGTCATAAAAAGACTGAGATCCTAAATCTTGAGCTGCTTGGTTTATTAAGGTCAACTATTATACTTTTCGTTAAATTTTAGGTTCAAAAGAATGAATCTAAAAAACACTTCGCCAGGCTCTTTCTAAGATATAGAGAAAATATATACAGCCATCAATTTTTTGTACTCATTTTTTTATCCTGGATTGGTATGATTTAAAGCTTCAACGACTTTGGGAAATAGACCAGAATAAATATTCCAAAATACTTCTTTTCTAGCTTCTTCAAATACTTGCAAGGTAGGATGATAGTGTTGATTTGAATTGATTTTCGATAATAAGACTACGCCTTTGTCTCCTTCTTGAATCGAGTGAGATAGCTTTTCGTTCTTTTGCTGATCTCGTAAAACAGAGGAAATCACAAGGCTATTGGTGCTACTATCATCATCTATAGTTATTTTTATACTGTCTTCTTGTTCTTCTTGATGCATATTGCCTTCTTCTTTTTGCCATAGAAAGTTTGGAATACCGGATTTCTTCTTTTTGTATGTCGTTTTATTCTGATAAAGTGGAGCCATGACCATGTCAATTGTATGTCTTGCCTTGTGGGAAATATTCACTTGTAAAGGTGCTTGTTCTGTTATAAAGGTATCGTAAAATGTCACAAGCGCAGACACTTCTCTCTCCACAAAAGGTGTATTTAAGACTTCTTGACTTGGACTTGTTACATCACGATCTAATTCAGAAAGCACACTGGTATTTTCTTCGACTATAGTCATAGAACCTCGATAAAATGAATGATGCGGCTCTTTTGCAATTCTTCTCTCAATTGCATGAACTAGGCACAAGTATCGATCATAGAACAAGATGTTTTCTATTGTGAAATCCTTTACAGCCCAAGATTGTAATACTTTGAGTAACGTAGGTGTATGGAGTGCATAGTTAAGTGATTCCGTGGTCAAATCTAACTGTTGTTCCCATTCTTGCGTTTGATTTTCTGTAGCTTGATTTGCCCGTGCTTGTTCAAATCCCGTCGACAATGAGTGTCTTGTGACCATGTTGTATAAATCTCTGCTTTTTCTGTGGGGTTTCTTCGTCACTGAAAGTGTCTTGAACAAAGGGTAGATGACTGACATGATATGGTTGGAAGTAGTCATGAGCACAATCCAATTACCAGGACCAAAATAGCCTCGAGGATTGATAGGCTTGGCAAATGTTGGCAGTGCAAACAGTACTTGCCAGACAATGAAGCAAATGAAACATGGTACACCCACTGACAATGTTATTCGAATTTCTTGCCGAATACCATGTGCATCATCATCATTACGTACATGCCAAACAATGAAGGGAACAAGGATCAAGAAAAAGAAGCTGACCATACCCATCACTACATAATTTCCAAAAGGAAATTGACAGTTGGATTGAGCGCTTGTTCCAGGTGGCCTTAAGCCGAGTACTTCTCCAAGAACAACGATAGTAATCAATAGCACCATAGAAATAACAAAGAATACCAAACAGTATGCTGTACTCTTATTCAATGCGTTTCTGTGTTGAATAAACCAAGCGTAAGTTTGTATGGAGGTGTTTTGCTGATAGAAAAATCGTTTTTGAAGTTCGCTTGTCTGTATAAGGAAGTGAAGACGATGTGCACGCCATAACATAGAGTACATCCAGAGATAGAGCCCTATCATTGGACACCACAAGTAGATATCGCAAGTAAAAGTAGTAACAATGACTTGGTTAAGAAGGATACTGGTAGAGAAAATACAATGACCTGTAGCTCCCAAGACAGTGACAAAAATACTTCTTTTTTTAAGAGAGTAATTTTGCCATTGTCTTGAGGCACTTGTCATATCTTTGGGCGATAAATAACGATATACAAAGTAACTGGTAGTAATGACGACAAATAAAAAGTTGACAATAATAAGGACAAAATAAACTCGTACAGTAATAATCTTTTGGTATAAATCAGAACAAGTGACATTTCCTTCTGGAGTTTGTACTGGTGACTGGAATGATTGATCACAGTGAGGTAGCTTTTGAAAAGGTTGATAATAAAAGCTATTTGACATCTTTATACTACTGCAGCATATTTTCTATAATAATGATGAAAAAGAAGTGTGGGTTAAAAGAGAATGACAAGCTAAAAAAGAATTACGATCAGTAGGTTTCACTTTTAATATGAAACCATCCACTCATCATTCATAAAAAATTTATTTCAATAAGCTTTCAAGGCGGGAAATCATAAGAGGTAATTCAGACTGAACAACAGGAATATCATTAACACCAATAAACCAAAATAGCTCCAAAATATCATTTGGTAAAATTACAACAGAAGTATCAATATCGCCATTGTCGCTGTTTTGATTTACAATTTGAATGCTATCTTGATTTTTTAAGACATGGATCAATCTGCTGCAGATCTCGGACTTTTTGATTGGTTCCTCGTTTTTTATTTGGTCCATTTGGGTCTCCTTGTCAAAATCGGCCTGTCGTTTTTCAATATCTTTTTTTCTCGATTGTCGTGTGTCTGTTTGATAAGATTCCCATTGATCTTGTAATGAATGGGATTGGTTTAGGCGGAGTTGTGCTAGCTTTTTAAACTCAGTATTTAGTTGATTTAACTTTTGCTTGCTGCTGTTCATTATTTAGGTGTTAAGCATCATTTTTTTTTTATTAAACATCTATCTACCTATTAGACTTGTCCTAACTCAGCTTGTAAAAAAACATATCTTTTCTGCCATTCCTTGTTTCTTCTTACCTTTTTGAGATCTTTCTTTGCTTCTGCAATCTACAAGAACAGAGTTAGTAAATACAATAATGATAAGCGCTACTTACTATATCGTTCTTTAACTGTTTTATGTCGCTTCTTATTTGTTTTGTTTCTGAGCATGACTTTTCTAACTTTGGTTGAGAAGACATATTTATAAGAAAGAAAGGCGAAGAATTTAAGGGGGTGAGATACCATGTACTTAAAGACTTGTGCCTGAGCGAACCATGGCAACCAAACTCAGTCATGTAGTAACCGTTGCTATGGCGGACTTTATTTGATCCAAGATGACCAACAACAGATAATCAATAACCTTAATTCATTTTTTTCTTCTTTTTTTTTCTCTAAAAGTAGAGAAAAGAGTCTTCTCCACATTAGAACTATATAAAGTATTGTTATTGGCTACCTGAATGGATGTCTACTCCTTAACTCGTAAAAAACGACCTTCTCAGCTAACCCTTGCACAACCGCCCTCTCGTAACAACGCACCATCCGACAATGATTCAGCACTGGACATTGCTTCAACAAGTCTTAATAAACCTATAGTTTTTGAAGAAGTAACAGGTTCTCCCTCCCGAGATCACTGGAAGGTAAGTTTCTATACTGATGAACGAGAAACTTATTTGGTGTATATAGAAAGACTCAGAAGCAAATGCTTGTTGCTATATAGGTTGTCCTACAACATTTGGTTTGTTTGAAAGAAGACATCACTGCAGAAAATGTGGTGACATATTCTGTTCAGTGCATTGCTCGAATTACTTTAGACTGGACCAATTATCGCAGTACCATCCTCGAGGTATCTTGTCAAGAGGCTGTGATGCTTGTGCAGATGATTACATTCAGTGGCAAGAAGAGCTGCGGCAGCCAAGTAGAATGAGAAGAAAAAGCGCAACTATTGCAGCAAATAACCAATCAAACTTGAAGAAAAGACATGCTGGTATCATGACTCAACAACCTCAAGCAATGGAAGGTATAACTGAACTTGGAAGAGATGGTGAGTTTCTTATCTGATATATAAAGTGATTTATTTATTACTTTTTCATTAGATATTGTTGTACCGTCTTCAAAGCCCACAATGTCTAGGGGCTTAAATATAAATAAGCCTAATGGTAAGAAGGATCAAGGTGAGTTATTTTTGCTTAGACATTCTTCGATAATAACTTATTATTACTAGTGTTTAATCCTATCCCTTCAGTACCAGCTGATTGGCAATGGTCTACATTTTAACTCTGCATATACACATATATATACACATACACAAATCATCATACATGTATCATTTTAGACATAAATTCTATTCTTATTTACAATTATTTATTGCTTGTCGGCAATAGGATTTGCATGGATGGTGACTGATTTAATACGAATATCTTGAAGTGGTCTGTTCTTTTCATCTACTGGAAGCTTTTCCAATGCATCTAATGTAGAATCAGCACCATCAATGACTCTAAGAAATATATGAGCTCATTAAAATTTATAACTTATTACTTACTTTCCAAACACTGTATATTTTGTATCTAGATGAGGGTGTTTCGCATAAGTAATGAAAAACTGAGAACCGTTTGTGTTTGGACCAGAATTAGCCATAGAAAGGATACCACGAGCATTATGCTAAATTCATTTAGTATTTAGTATTTAGTCATTGGTAAATGATTTATTACTTTTAGCGTGGACCGAATCTCATCATTAAACTTGCGTCCCCAGATAGAGTTACCACCTTTTCCTGAACCTGTAGGATCACCAGTCTAATTAAAAACCATTAAAATACAAGCCAATAAACAAACTCTAATCTTACCTGAATCATAAAGCCGGGAATGTTTCTGTGGAATGAGTTATTATCATAATAGCCGCTTGCACACAAAGCGAGAAAGTTCTACCATAATAAGTATGGTTAGTTATACCAAGATTACATTTCACACATCTTACCTCTGCTGTCTTGGGCACTGATTCGCAAAAAATCTCCACTTTCAGATCACCGAGATCAGTGTGTAAAGTAACAGACTATTGCTCATCGCGTTAGTACGCGTATAGGCTTAGTTAAAGAAAGTGCATTTACCATACTACTTGTATGAATCTAAAAAAAAAAAAAAAAAAAAAAAGTTAAGCATTGAACCAAACATACTGCACAACAACTTTCTAGCCACGTGACTAAGGCTATTTGTCTCCGAAATTCAATAGGCAAACGATTTGACATTTTATCGGACAGTTAACGCGGACCGGATCTTTTTAATTTACATTTAGTTTAATTTTTCTAATGACAGTGATGATAACAGAATTGAAGCAGATATTCTAGAAGTAAGGTAACCGATTAATCACTTATTACACACGAGCACCAAGGAAAGACTGTAAGAACCTACTTCGAATGTAATAGCACTAGATTCTCAGGTAATATCCTTCGAAAATATCTTTTTCCAAAGTTCGATAATTTTATTAGATTTTGCTAATTCAGCTTTTATACAATTCAACGGAATTAGATAGTGAGTACAATGTACTAAGAAACAACGATAAGAACAGACAGATAACGGGTAAAAAAAAAGGAATTAAAGATAATAAAGGCCTTAATTTGCTTGCATAAGAAAGAGTATAAGAAAATAATGGGAAAATGCCACTGCATGAAAGAGAGATGGCTTATTAGTATTCTTGTTGGTCCTTGGATCCACATGTTCACCACGAACGCACCAAAATCATCACCAACACCTGTTACAACACCCAGAACAAGAACAACCATTACTCAGAGGGTGCTTCACCCCTTTACTACGTACACCTATAGTATAGAAGCGGCACGGACACAAACGGATACGGTTCGGCAGAACCTCTTACGTCACCATTCTTTAAATATTTTAAAGCTATATATAAAGAATATAACTTCTCAACTATGTCGAGCCGAATTTGGTTACGAAGCACATTGCAAGTAATACACAACTCATGCAAGAACTGCCGCTAAAACTAGAAATGAAATTCCGAAAAGAAGCAAACGCAAAGAAAAGAAGAAGGTTCTCACCTAACATAAAACGAAGCAAAGAACGAAGAAAAAGAATCAAAAAGGATACTTAGCAAAACATTGATATTAGTCAATTATTAGCAATTATATTTAGCATATTATTTTATATTTCATGTCTTCAATTACTAATTACGTACTAGTACAAATAACTAGAAAACATATAAATAACCCACATAATCCAAAGAATAAAAGGTATTCAATTTTTGATCAGTGATAAAAACTACCTAGTTTAAATAATTTCCTTTTTGGGCCTACTTCTTTAGAATCAAGAGTTAAAGAGTAAACCTAAATAGTATTTCTTGGTCACGTGATCTTACTGCAGCTATAGACATGGTTAGTGGAACGCAAAAATTACAACTAAAAAATCTCCTCAATGGTCTAGTGGCTAGGATTCGTCGCTCTCACCGACGCGGCCGGGGTTCAATTCCCCGTTGGGGAATTTTTTTTGAAAATTTGTCGGGAAACTTGTCTTTTATTTTTGGAAATAATATAGAATATTGTTGCTGTTGTTACGGGTCAAGGTTGGATTTTTATACCAGTAACGCATAAAAGAGTTTATACAGTAGAATCCAAAACAAAGGAACGATTTTATGTAAAACACCACGTTTTTAAGGTAACGAACCCTTAAGTAAATGATTTAAAGTTAAAGACCTTCTTATGTCAGTATCCAGGAAGTCAAATAGACAAGTAGTCCAAATGATCAAAATAAAGTGAGAAAAATTTTCTGGTCTTTATTGAACAATAATTTGAATAGTTTATTGAGAAAACGATTACTAATTCTAAAGTAAAAAGATGTGAGTCATAATGAACTCGTTAAGATAAAGCAATTCGATTTATAATAAAGTCAAACTAACTGAATTGTAGGACTACTCCAATAAGTAATAGCATCATGCATGAAGATGATCATGTCAAAAAGTAGAAGTTCAAGTAGAATGACAAAGCAACACAGAAATTAAGTAACAAATACGAGTTTTAATAATAATAACAAAAGAGAAAAAAAGGAGAGAAAGGACAAACACAAGAGGAAGACTACAATCGACGGAAGCAACTGAAATGTAACAATGTGTTAAAGTCTAATGTGATATAAAGTAGTACAATAATAGGGATTCAAAGTAAAAAATAAGCATTCTGTGACACAAGTAGCTGTCAGAATTTAGAGTTCAACAATAAGGAGTTCAACAATAAGGAGTTCAAATTAGGTAGAAGAAAAAATTCAGAAAGCTCGTTCAGTCATCAAGAGCATTCACTGAAGACAGAAAAATCCACTTATAGCATCTCTAACTACTTTAACAAAAGCGAAATCAATATTTGTTGAATTAGATAGTTGGGCCAGTTCAGCATAAGAATTTGCCTTTTTCCTAGACATATAAGGATAGCATAAAATCTGATTCTTCACGCAGAAATACTTCAAATACTTACAAACCATATTTACTAACATAGAGGGTAAAAAAAACGACTTATAAAAATGACCAAAAATTAATCTGATCCAAAGGGTACTACTCATGAAAATCATCAAGCTAACAACTCTTTGACCTTCTTTTTGATGTTACACAATGAAAATTAAAGCTACTGACAAGCTTGAGTACTCAAAATATGCGCCAAAAGTTCTAATTTTTTTCAGAGCATTTGGTTGCCAATTGTATTTAGAAAATGGTATGATAGAAGTAGAAAACCTTGGGAATATTTTCGCCTATTCGCTCAATATTCTATGATCAGAATAGTTGTGTTTCTTGCATCAATAGACTCAAAAAGCAAGAATCTACAACTTTTGTCACTACACCAAAGTCATACAATTGCGTCTTTATGCAGTTCCAACCAAAAGCTCGATTTCTGATCTGCTGGATAAAGAATTGAAACTGTCTACTTTTAATCTTCGCACAACAACATCAAGTATGTCATATGTCCAGTTACCTCACATTCACATTATAAAGTGCCAATATTTCGATTCCTCTATGTTCTTTGGGACTCAAAGTAGCATACATTATTTTCTATAAGCTATTAGATAACAAGCTTTATATGAATTTTATAGCAAAAACGTTCAAAAATGCTCAAAACAGGGCCTAAACAAGCCGATCTTGGATGCGCCATTACTCGACAACTACATCATCAACAGGGCTGGTTTTTTGTTTAAAACATGTTCTTTGAAATCAAGAAATTCAATGGTACCATTGGCTTGGTGTTGGAGCAATTTTGTTTTTGACCAATTGGGGGTTTGTAAAGATGAGAACAGAAAGTTGATCGAGAATTTTTGGAATGACCCAATGTAAGTCTGATCCCGCCATCCGCCTACTGGCAATTTACCATTGACAACCAACCTTTTGACTCTGAGTGGATCATTTCGGACGCAATAAGTAAGATATCGATCTCACTCAAGGTTCATTCTCTTCTTTTAGATCGAAATATTTTCTCTTCTTTTCTCCTAATCTTTAATTTATCCACGCTACACTCCTCAGCGATGTGTAGTTGAAACATATTTATTTTACATTTAATAAAATATTACACAAGAAAAAAATCTGATCCTATCGAAATTAGATAAGACAATATCCAGGTACTTTTAGCAAAAAGGAAACGATGAAAAGGGCGGCTTAATTTGAGTATTGCCTTCAGATATGCATTCAAGTTCGTGATACACTGTAATTAGTACAAAAAGCCCTTTTGAGTAGATATTGATTAGAAAATAAGTATCCATTCTTATACGATATGGAGGCTATTTGTGAATAAGATTCACTATAATACATGACACTCTTGAGGTCAGAAACAACAGTTTTAGACATGATAAACAAGGTAATAAAGGTCGGAGTCGATGCTTCATATACGGATTCTCTTTGCCTACTTAAATAAAGTCGTGAGTTAGTCAGAAAGATCTAACCGGGTGATTGATAAAAATTAAAGTTTATGGTTGATGAACAATCTTAGTAGAAGACACGTTTTCCATCAAGACTAAGAAAGACTCTAGAATAGCCGTCTCAATCCGATCTTTCTTTCCTTCACATTTATGCCTTATTTCTAAAGGAAAACTTAAAAACTCTAAACCGAAGGAGAAGCTATGAAGGATTTGGCTAATTCTGAGCGAGGTGACCAAAATTTTTGGTCGTTAACTTTTTTACGAAGGCTATTTTTTTTGAAGAGAGAGCGTATTATGAATAGTTAAAGCCCAACTTTGTTGAGATTGAACCATTAAATCAAAAGAGCACGAATGTTGTCTTGTATTGTCAAAGAAGAGAGATAAAAGCATATATGTTGTACCAGAAAACCGCAAATAAAAAGTGAAAGTAGGTTTTTTTTTTTTAAAAAAAAAGGCTCAAGCACAAAATCCATATATAAGGTATTGACAAGATGCATCATTTCTGTTTCTATAATTAGTATTCTAAGAAACCATCAAATAATCAATCGCGAGTCTTTTATTTGTTTATTCAGAACATTTTTCGCTGTAACAAATACTTAATATTCTTTGTGCAATAGATAGCTTCTGATTGTTCAAGGCTAGAGACACATAAATGTTTATGACGGTAAGTTTTTTTAATTCAATAGTAAGTATAGTCAATAATAGTTTCAATGTAAGAAACCATTTGACTCATAAGCTAGTTTTGCCAAAAATTATTGCTAGATACTATAGGTTAAGTTTCAGTCTTCATCTATACGATGTGTCATTTAAGTAAGCATGAGAGTGTACATTGCCGACAGTTACATTTCCATAGTAAGAGTTTTATACAGTGTTTCCAAGAAGTAATGTCGCAAACGTTGAAAAATTATAGTACAAAATATACAAAATGCGACATCTTGGCGCGACAACAATTTCTGGAAGAACTATACATGATGCTTTACAAGTAGCCACTCCAAAGCTTTCATTTGATGTCCCTTACGCCGTAGCATTTTCAAGTCAAGATGACATTTCTTGATAGTATTTTTTTCTCAAACTGTAGCACCATGTGCGTCTGTATTTTGGATTTCCTTCCTGATAGCCTATGCAGAATTTTTAAAATGACTATCCAGCTTGCTATCATGAGTCATCTAGATTGAAGGGCGATGATGTAAGGCCAGATCCACAAAACATAACTTTTTCTTTTGACCTTACGATAGAACTTTATTTTAGAAAGAAAACACATTTTAAACATTGTAAGACCGCACATGCATGAATACAGAAAGCTAACCAATGACCCATTGATTTTTTTATAGATTTATACAGAATTTTGTATCAATTCAAGGGAACCATTCATATAGTCCTTTGAATGATTCGGCATGGCGGCAAAATACTTTGAGTTGCTTTTTTTCATATTAATTCTCTTTTTAGTTTGTATTGTCAAGATATATAATTTGACTTTAAAGAGATAAATGTACTTTGTCTACTTGCATAAAGAAATCAAAGATTACAATAGAACAGAAAATTTAAGCAAAGACGCATAATTTATACATGTAATCAGAAACTAAAAAAAAAAAAAACAAGATCGTATGCATAAAGATGAAGTTACTAAACAATCTAAGTATGTTTTGTTTTGTTGACAAGCAGTTTGTGTCAATTACAATTGAGCTTAAAGCTATAGTACATAGTCAAAGAAAACAATAACATTGTGTTCATGTACTTGCATACTTGAGCAGCATCTATAAGCAATGCAATTTTGGAAACACATTGCTTGTCCAAAGATCTTCAAGATGAAATTTTTTCTGCAAAGTTACAAATTTTAGTGCGATCTAAAGACAATCTTTTTCAACCCGAATGACAAAACAAGAAAATGAACTCCTGTACTTTGACGCCTTTATAAACAAACGAAGGAATTAACAAATAAAGTAAATCATTAATTGCCCGCCTCCAAGGTCTCTTATGTTGTACGATAAATAAATCGGACTTGGCGTATCATAAAATGTTGTTGTTTTCTAAAGGCGTAATACATATATACGCACACATATCATACAATTCAAGAGATAATCTTTTTGGCTAAATCAGTAGTTGAGTATACTTTTAGATATCTAATTTAAAAATACAATTAATGTCACTGAGGAACATTAAAGCGGACACAAGATGATGCTTGTCACATTGAAGGAATGCTAATTATAAACCTCAATGCTTTCGATTAATAATAGCAAGCTCGGTATTTGAAAAAGGGATTCTTAAGGCAGTTTACCTTCCTTATGGAAAAGAATAGAAACAATAAATGACTGTCACTCATAAAAGGGTTGAATGCTGCAATAAGAATGAGGAAAAGAGAGATAGTGTTATACCAAATAGGTACTTTAGTATTAGGTACTTTGAAATTAAAGTTGATAAAACAAAACTGATATGAACAAATAAGATAAACCATTTTCAATATACCTTGGGTTAAGTAAGAGAAATATTAAGGTAGATATTTATATTACGTTTTCGATTTGGTCTAAAGAACTCATGTGAGAGCATTCGATCAGATAGATAACAAGTGTTTATCTTTTTTAGATTACCAAAAAAAAACTCTCTTGATATTTCCTCTCTTCAGCTCTAGTTTTCATATAATAGACTGTGAAATCACATTTGAGTCATATAGAAATGAAACAAGAATTCTGCATATTCACCTACCGATTTTGTTTTAGATCCTCTTCCATACAATGTGCACGGAGGCACTCGTATCAACCAAGCTCAGATACTGGATAAGAAAAAAGTAACACAAAATCCAAACAAAGCAAAGTAGATTTTACAAAAAATTTTAACTTGTTACTCATTTTCCTCCATCTCCTCCATCTTTTGAGACAATTGGACTCGGAGTCAAAAACTGAACCAATCCTTGGTTTGTGACATCCACCAAAACGAACAAATTCCAAGCAAAAATCATCAGTTGTATATAAACCTTCATTCGAGAATCTAATTTTATTCTTTTTTCTGATTCCTTTTCCTTTTCTTCTTTTTTCAATTATACATTTATATTCTCTAAAAAAAAGAGAAAATACCTAATTTACATTAATCATGACTTGGGCAGATACAGTTAATGATTATGTTGCCCATTCTTTTGTAGGCAAATATTTCCAATTGGACAATTCTGGTGCTCGACGTGAAAGAAAAGGCACCAAGTTTTTGACCGAAATTCGTGCTGGTTTAACTACCTTCTTTGCCATGGTAATTAAAATACAAACAAACAAAAGAATTACATACCAACACAGCAGATCAATTCGATTTTTTTAGGCTTATATTATTTCAGTTAATGCTTCTATTATTTCAGACAGTGGCGGACCTTGCGTTTGCGAAGGTACTGCTGCTGATCCTACTTGTGATACCAATGAAGCCTATATGGCTTGCGTCTATGAAGTCAAATTGGACATGATTATGTCTACCACAATTATTGCCATGATTGCTAGTGTCATGATCGGTTTCTTTGCTAATTTACCTCTTGGTATGGCCCCTGGTATGGGGTTAAACGCCTATTTTACATACACTGTCGTTGGCTATCATGGCTCCGGTAACATTAGCTACGAAACTGCCCTTGCTGCTGTATTTATCGAAGGTCTTATCTTTTTGCTTCTTTCTATTTTTGGTGTTCGACAATGGCTCGCACGTATTATTCCCATGAGTATCAAGATTGCAATGGGTTGTGGTATCGGTCTATATCTCTGCTTTATTGGTCTTCAATCGTCTGCTGGTATCGGACTTGTTGGCATGGACGCATCTACTTTGGTTGGCTTAGGCGCCTGTCCTGCTGCTGCCAAAAACTCTGACGGTGCTTGTCAATGGGGCACTATGACAAACGGCACAACCTATATGGGTATTCTCGGTTTAGTTATTATGACTATCTTGCTCATTTATCGCGTCCGTGGTGCTATCTTAATCTCTATCCTTTTCATTGCCATCACTTCTTGGCCTCGTGTCAATGCTGTCACTTATTTCCCTTACACCACTCAAGGTGACCTTATGTTTGACTTCTTCAAGAAGGTTGTTACTGTCCACCCTCTAACTCATGTTCTCGGCAAATTCAACTTTGACTTGAGCACTAAAGAAATCTGGATTGCTTTGATTACTTTCCTTTATGTCGATATCATGGATACCACTGGTACTATGTACTCCATGGCCAATTATGGTGGTTTCACTGACAAGGCTGGTGATTTTGAACATTCCACTTTTGCTTTCATGTGTGATGCTGCTTCAATTTCTATTGGTGCTTGCTTCGGTAGCTCCCCTTGTACTGCCTTTGTCGAATCTGGTGCTGGTATTGCTGAAGGTGGCCGTACTGGTATCACTGCCATTGCTGTCGGTTTTGGTTTCTTTGTCTCTATTTTCTTTTCTCCTATCTTTGCCAGTTTCCCTCCATGGTCAACCGGTCCTGCTTTGATCGTTGTTGGCTCTATGATGCTTTCAGGTGTCCGCAACATCAACTGGGATTATCCTGGTGATGCTATTCCTGCCTTTGTTACTTTGACTGTCATGCCTTTCACCTACTCCATTGCCTATGGTGTTATTGGCGGTGTCCTTTCTTACATTGCCATCAACGGTGTTATCTACCTTATTGACATCGTCTCTCGTGGTTATGTCCGTCCCGATTATTCTCAACGTGAAGACTGGTGGACTGCTGCTTTCAGTCGCTCTTTCTTACCTACTTGGATTCGTTACTTGATTGCTAAGGCTAGAGGTGAAGACTTCAACTGGCAAGAAGATGAATATGAGTTTGAAGAAGATGAACCTCAACACGTTACTGTCGATGAAGACGATCATCATGAAAAGACTACTTCTCAAGATCATATTGTAGATAACTTTCATTACATGAACGAATCTTCCAATTATCAATACGACGAAAAAGCTTATCATTAAACAACCACTCCATTTACAAACTACAAATATCCTAATTATAACTACTCATACGCTTAATAATAAAATTATATTTCATTTCATGATCTTTTTACTACTTAAAATGCAGATCAGTGGCCAGAGGCACACAATAGGAAAAAAAAAAGTGGTTCCCGACTATTCCTCATTTAGATACAGCTGCTTTTTAATTTTTTTTTTGTTTCTCTTTCACCCCCTTGTCGTTTTTATTTAATATGCATGTTATTAGAAGCATATCTGAAGCCGTTAATGCTGTGTTCTATAGTGTTTCTTTATTTGGGTAATATATAAAGACACACAGTTCTTTTATGTTGAACTCTATTTCTAGTTTAGCAGGCACTTTGAACGCGATCCAGATCACTTCCTTTATTTTAAGACCTTTCTCAGAACGCTTGCTTGTCAAGATCAACTCCAAGTTGGTTGGTGCCACTTGGAAAGCCATGCAATATTTTTTCGAAGTAAAGTAAAAAAAAATGTATTTAGCTATCAAATTTATCTTATCCTTTTTTATAGCGTCGTAAAAAAGCTCGTATTACATTCTCTGGAGACAACCTTCCTCAAAGCGAAAGCGCTCTTGTGCTATGCAACCATCAATCATGGTCAGATATTTATTTGATTCACTCAGTTGCCAACAGAAGAAGTATGCTTGACAATTGCAAAGTAAGCATATTTTGGTTTAAAAAGACATATATCTAATTGCTATCCTAGTACTTTGTTAAGGATTCTATTAAATATGTAAGTAGAGCTATAATCATCTGTATTTATTTAACTTTGATTATCTTTAGCTACCATTTTTTGGATGGGGCATGTGGGTAATGTATTGATTATCAAAAAGATGCTTTGACTGATAATACATTGGCAGTTGGCAGGCTTTATCTTTGTCAAGCGTGCATGGACAAAAGATCAAAAAAAGATTCAATCAACATTCAGTACAATCAAGCGTCTTCAAACACCAGCATGGATCATTAATTATGTCGAAGGCTCTCGTATAACACCAAAAAAGCTTTACGAATCACAAAACTTTGCCCGTGAACGTAACTATAAAGTATTAGACCATCTTCTTTTACCGCGTACAAAAGGATTTGTATGCTGTGTCAACGAGTTCAGGGGATCGCATATCAAGTATGTCTATGATTTTACGATTGCCTATCGCCACCGTACACAACTAAAGCAGTTTCATCAAGCACCTAGTATGGTGCGCATACATATTCGCTCCTTATGGCCAGAATATGAATTCCATGTGCATTGTAGACGATTTGCTATTGAAGATTTACCAGAAGATGAAAATGAGTTGGGTGAATGGTTGAGAGAAAGATGGGCTGAAAAAGATGCTATTCTAGCCACATTGAAAAGAGATTGGACGAATGGACTGGATAAACGAATTATGTGGAAAGAATCCTCCTGGTGAGGAGATTGCTATATTTTTCTTTAACTATAGAACCCTACTGCATTCTCTTACCATCATGTTTGAACATAAAACATATAGAATGACAATAATAATAAAAAAAATCATGCCATTTGACATTTACCGAGAAACTCAGATTGTATCCATATAAACAAGACTTTCTTTTTCTTTTCTTTTTTATGAAACTCATTTTTCATTTCATTTTTCTATCTATCGCTTATTACTTATATCATAGGTTCTATATGTCTTCTTCAGACCAGCAATTTAAAGTAGTTGTTGTAGTGGGTGGTGGTTTAGCGGGTCTTTCTGCAGCTATTGAAGCACATCATCAAGGCAATACTAAAGTTATTCTGGTCGAAAAAGAAAAAAATATTGGGTGAGAGAGGCATGCGATTCGTAAGACAGACACTCACCATGTCACTAGTGGTAATTCAATGAAGGCTACTTCGGGCATTAATGCCATTGAGTCCACAACAAATGACTCCCGTGAAGCATTTATTCAAGATACTCTCATGTCGGGTGCTGGTATCTCTCAGCAAGACCTTGTTAGTAAACTCGTAGATGAAAGCCAAGATGCTTTAAAATGGTTAGTAGAACAAAGTTTGGATGCCAATGGACAGCCCACGCTTGACTTATCAGTCGTTTCACGTTGCGGAGGTCACTCGCATGGTCGCACACATCGTTGCCCTCCTCTTAATGGGCGTCCTGTTCCTGTTGGCTGGAAACTAGTCGACACACTAAAGAAGAAGTTTCTTTCTTTAGAAAACCATATTGAAGTCTTGACACAGACTCGTGTGTCACAATTGTTGATGGACAACCAATCTGTATTTGGTGTACAAGTCATAAATGAAGAAGGGAAGAAGGAGACCATCAAGGCAGATGCTATTGTGTTGACAAGCGGTGGATTTGGTGGACAAACAGGAGAACGTTTGCCAGATGGAAACCAGACTTTGTTGAGCGAATTTGCGCCTCAGTTGATCAAGACGGCTACCACAAATGGACCTTGGGCTAGCGGAGATGGTGTTCGCATTGGTTTAAGTGTAGGCGCTGGCATGAGAGATATGGTACGAGTTGATGTATATATGAATTTGTGACAGATATTTAATCAAAAAAAATAGGATCAAGTACAAGTTCATCCTACAGGTTTTATTGATCCTAATGACCCTACTGCATCTACAAAGTTCTTAGCTCCTGAAGCGCTTCGAGCTTACGGCGGCGTCTTGTTGAATGGAGATGGTAAGCGATTTACGGATGAATTGACTTTACGTGATAGAGTCACAGCTGCTATTTATCACCAGAGCAGTACAATTTATCATAAGAAGAATAGTTGGATGAGCAAGGTTATACCCAAAAAGGACAATGAACGTTATGCAGCTGCTTATATGATCTTGACAGATGAGGCTGTGGATAATTTCGGTGCAAGTACATTGGGCTTTTATGCTTCTAAAGGCTTTTTCAAACAAGTGGAAGGCACAAGACAGTTAGCCGAGCTAGTAGATGTCGATGAAGTAGAATTAATATCTGAATTCAAGACATACGACGAATATGTGGGTCAAGAAAAGCAAGACATAACTGGAAAGACTGTCTTTCCTTGTCCTTTATTGAATGCCAAAACATACTGGGTGGCTCTTATAACACCTGCTGTTCATTACACTATGGGAGGATTGATGATCAATACAGATGCAGCTATCTTAAAACAAGATGAAAGAACTCTCATTCCTGGTCTTTATGGTGCAGGAGAAGTGACAGGTGGTGTCCATGGCCATAATAGACTTGCTGGCAACTCTCTTTTGGAGTGTGTTGTGTTTGGTAGAACAGCAGGACGTAATGCAGCATTGTATGCTCAACAAGATTAGTTTTTATTTACTGACAAATCTGAATGTAAATGTTCAAATGCATCAGGATCAGTAAAGAACAACGAAAACAGTTTTTTCTGTTGCTCAAATGTGATGTTACTTTCTTTATCATTGACAGCCTATTATGTGTTGTTAAGTGTGTCTATCTTTTATGGTCTAAACCTACCTTTTCAAGTTCTATTATGGCCAATTTTAGTTCATGTGTATGGAATTCAAGTTCATTTTGTAGATTTGTATATGGTTTTGGTGTCATAATCAAATCATTTGTGGAAGTTGAATGTGTAAACAGGTTTTGAGATAGCCTTTGCTTTAGATTGTTTCTATTGTAGTATGTTAATATGGTAGTGATAACAATGAACATGCTTACAATTCACTAGCAGCGTCCATATAGGATCGAACATTGTCTTGCCATTTGTTTTTTAATTCTAAATGTTGCTGTTTGAGTGTTTGTATTTGATCTAGAATAGTATCGCCATTATTCTCTTTGAAATGTACGTCTAGCAACTGTTTGATTTCTTGTATAGATTCGTCTTCTTGAACTACAGTAGGTTGAGTTGCTTCAGCCTCGAATTCTTCAGTGACCGTCTTCAACTCTTTTTCTTTGGCTACACTGCTGTCAGAGATATAAGTGATCAATTGTTGAAAAGCACGCTGTTTAATCAAGATTTTATACATGGCTTCCAAATCATTCACCAGTGCCTCCATCTTTTCAAGCTCTTTGTCTAATTCCTTCTTCTGTGAGGGGTAAACAACCTGTATTTCTGCTAATCTAGTCAAACAAGGCTGAATCATATTTTTTTCAAATGCACTCATTTCTTTAGACACTTGTTGCATTTCTTTCATGTAATTCTCTGTTTCTGATATTAAGATAGGCAACATTTTTGGCAGCCCATTTAACTTGGACCTTTCTGTATTGAGTTGTTGAATACGAGCTTCATAGCCGAGTATTTGAGCATTCAAATCAATGAGATCAAATTGGGTTGATTTGTAGTCCTTGACTAATGCATAGTGTGTATTTTTTTGATCTTGTTCTTCAAACAAATTTTGCCAATAAGCTAGTTTTGATTTTAGTTTGTTGGATAGCTCAGTATCTTTCTTCCAAAGAGGTGTATCTGAATTCAATAAAGCAGTAACATCTTTTGTGGTGGATAGAGTAAGGGAGATGGTATCTTCTATCACTTTCATGTACTACTGTCTAGGGTTATCAGAGAAGCATATGGCTCACTACAATATACCTTTTGTTGTGCCTTATCTGTATTTGTCTTTTGTGAGGCTTCTTCTTTCTCGAAATAGTCTAAGCTAGCTTGTAACTGTTCAAGTTGATCTGATAAATCTTGATAATTTGTACTAAAATAATAAGCAAATGCATACATCAATCCCTTTTTTTTTTTTTCTTTTACTTTATCAATTCGTATTGTTTATCTAATATATCTATTTGAGCTGCATAAGGATTCGGGGGTAAAGGTTTTATAGAACGCGATCTATAGACAATATAAGAAAGTGTTGTCAACAAAAAACAGTATTACTTTTGAGTAGAAGAAGAAGAGGCTTCTCTTTCCCATTCATCTTCCTCTTCATCATCTTGATCTAAATAGTATATTGATCTTTTTTTCAAGTCCATGTCTTACAAAAGAAGAAGAAGAAAAAAAAAAAAGAAATGTAATTTAACTGTCAAATATAGACGCGTTTATTCATAGGCATGCGTTTTTTTTAAGAAAAGAAAAACGTATCAGCAATTATGATAAGTGTACTTTGCAAAGTGAATAAAAAAAGAAAAGAGGATATACTGTGCTCATAGAGAGAGAGAGAGAAAGCCATTCAATAGCTTAAAAAGCAAGATAGTAGGGCTACAAGCATTCTGGACAGAAGCATATTTGAATATCAGCAAGAAAATATTTTTTTTTTGTTCTTTTTTTTGTTCTTTAGTTTTCTTTCTCTTCTTGACACATAGTATGGAGACACCAATAGAAGTATTAAGAGTAGAGCAAAGTGGTGTATCCAAGGAGCTAGCACGCTTTAGAGCATGTGATATGGAGACACGCAGTCTTTATTGCCGAGAGTGGGCTCAGTTTATTTACAAAAAGCACTTTGTCTGGAACGCCAAAACTCAAGAAGAAGTACCCGAAAATCAAACAGCAGCTACCAGTTTATCAGCGGGCAAATACCAAATCAACTTTTTACTGGAAAACGATGCTTCTGAAGAAGTTGTTAGAAAAGAACGCGCAGCACTGATGGCCAAGAAGTTTGAACAACTTCAGGAACAAAAACAAGAGAATGACAGTCTGATTAACCAAATCATAGAAGCCTGTCAGGCATGGATGACTTTGCCTAGTGGATATTCTGGTCTGCCTGACTTATTTGAACCTGTTCAGTTCAATCCTTACCCTGACAACATTCCTTTGGTTGATGATCCCAAGGATCCTTCACACCTTCTAGATCCCTTAATCATTGAACGCCAAGCACTGTGCTTACCCTCAGACTGCTTTCATTTACTCAAAAATCTGACAGGAGACATTCTTTTATCACACACCACACCTACTTGTAACCACACGCGCCCTGAATCAAAAACACCTGGCGATCTTGAGATTGACCGTACCATCTTTAACGAAAAAGCAGACACTGCTGTGAAGAAAGCATTAGCAGAACTCAAACTAGCCCTTGAACGTGCCTGGCATCCGCTTAATAGCTTTCTGGAAAAGCTAAGCGAGTTTGAAAAGAGACGTACACGATTAATGGGAAACGAATGTCAGGCAACCATTGACGATTATTTTACTTCTCAAAAGTTTGTCTCTTTTGTTGATAGTTGGCCTACAGAACAAGCTCAGTTTAAGAACAAGAAATTAACCCCTGAAGAGATTGCCAAAGTAGACAGCATTTTCGAAAATCATTTGAACCACTTTAAGACGCTTGTGCTTAATTTTATGAATGAGTTTGCGCCTGCTCATATGAAGGAAATTCACACATTGACAACAGACCTTTGGAAACTGATTGTTCCTACTATCTATGAAATGGGTGAACGCATGGCTTCTCATGAAGACCACAAAGGAACAAAGAACCCCAATGCTGCCAAAATAGGTGAATCATTGAAAGCTTTAGATGTCAACTCTTTGAAACGGATGGACTCAACTAAAGAAGTTGATATTGCTCAGGACCGCATTGTAGAATCATTGAATGTTAAAGTAGAGGAACTCTTTAAAGACATTGATAGCTTACTCAAGGCTTACAAAGAAAGCCTCCGTTCTAGCTTGAGCGGTCGTATCGAGAGACTGAACAACAAAGACATGAAAAAGAAAATCAAGAAAGTCGAAAGTGGATATTATTCTATCCGCCAGACATTCAGATATGAAGTAACAGAAAACATTTTCCCTGAATCTTTGTTCTGCAAGTTCTCGCTTGTTTGTCTTGAGCCATTGATGCAGGAAGGTGAAGTGATGGAAGCTGTGACGATTGAAAAAGAAGTCAAGCGCTTCGTTGAATCGCACAAGGATTTACTACGTCAGCGCTGTAGTTTATTGAATGATTTTGAAGATGGTGTTCAGACTGGTAGACGCGAATTAGCTGGTGTTCTCGGTAAATTGTTCTTGAAAGAAGGCATGCGTATTCAGGGTGATAACTTGGCATTAAAGAGACAAAACAATCTCTTGAAATCCATGGGTGTAAGTACAGAGGAAACGAGTACTAAGAAGAAAAAGGGTAAAAAGAAGCCAAGCCCATCAGTCAGCGGCGCTTCTACTCCTGCCACAGTTGTAGAAGAACCTCCTGCGTCTGCAAAAAAAGTGGCAGCAAAAGAAAAGGTAAAGGAAGTCTCTGCACCTTCTCCAACAAAATCTACTGTTGCTCCTAAAGAAAAAGTTCCATCCCCTTCAATTTCTACAGCAAAGAAAACTTCTGTCGCGAATGATAAGAAGGCGGCTACTCCTGTTGTCGAGAAAAAGATAGCTACTCCTCCTGCGCCAGAAAAGAAGGCTGCAGCTACTGCTCAGGAAAGGAAGGTTGCTCCGGCTGTAGCTGAAAAGAAAATAACAGCATCTGTTGCGGAGATCAAGCCCACTCCCGATACTGAAAAAAAGAAAGCTGCTTCTCCAAACGTCACTGAGACAAAAACCAAGATTGAAAAGAATACAGTGCCTTTTGCCGAAAAGAAGCTGCAAACTTCTGAAGAAAAGCCAGCTCCTGCTGTTGAAAAGAAAGCGCCCTCTAATCTTCCTCCTCCTCGACTTGAAAAGAAACCTACTACTATCACTATGAAGAAAAAGTTGTCTCCTTCTGGTTTAGAAAAGAAGCCAACTGCTGCTGTTGAAAACAAGGCACCTTCTTCTCTCCCTCCTCCTGGTCTTCAAAAGAAACCAACCGCTTCAGGTATGAATACCATAAAAAGAAACATATAATTAACTGAGGTGCATAGTTGTTGAGCAAGAACCTGTTGATGGCGTTATTGATTGGGAGACGATTCAAGCCTCTGTGTTAGCTGAAGTAAATGCTGAACAAGAATCAAAGACGAATTCTGAACCTGTTCAAGATTGGAATAGAATCAAAACTCAAGTACAACAACAACAACAACAACCCACCAAAAAGTCTGCAGAGATCAGCAGTTGGTCTGCTGTTGCTTCTGAAGGTAAAAAATGGAGCGAGCAATCACAGGTGACTAAGGAGACTACAACTGAAGCCAACACCTGGTCTGGTGCTGCTTCTAAAAGCAACAAATGGGCTAGCGTTGCTTCTGGTTCACCTACAGAGAAGCCTTTTGTTGAAAGCAGTTGGTCTTCTTCACCCAAGAAGTCTGATAACTGGTCTACCACTGCTACTACTACTACTACTACTACCACTACTGATGCTGCTGCTGATGCTGCTGATGGTTGCTCTATGAATGCTACTAATATTACTGCTACTACTGTTACAGATGCTTGGTCCACTAATGCTACTGCACCTTCTGGGAACGATTGGACTACTAAAAAAGCTTCCAAAGCTGGGAATGCATCTACTTTTGACACTACAGAAGATACTAACTTGGGCGGTTGGGGTGCACCTGCGACTACTATTGCTAGTAAGGCTGCTGCTTCTGATAAATGGTCAGCCAGTGGATGGGGAGCATCCAAAGAAACTACGGATGATTGGAAGTCTTCCTCTAAAAGTACTACTAATGACTGGAAATCTTCTTCTGAAACTACAAGTAATAACCGTGCAACCACAGACATTGTTGATGGATGGGGTTCTGAAAAAAACAGCGGCAGTAATGATTCATGGAATAAGACTTCTGACAGTTGGAAGACCGACAATCATCGAAGTGATTGGGATGCTGAAAAGAAAAAGAACAATGATTGGGGACAATCGTCCAATAGTTGGGGAAATAGAAAGACGAATACTTGGTCTAACGCAAAGAAACAAACACCCAGAAAAGCCACCAACGATACTCAAGAATGGTCCAAACCTCAACAAGAACCTGGATGGGAAGGTGCCAAATTGCCTTGGAATGATGAGCCTGTTACTGTACCATCTCGCTCTTCTGAAAAGCCTGAAGAAACCATGATGACTTCTCCTCCTGGCATTTCTGCTACCCCACCACCACCACCACCACCACCAACAGCAACAACAACAACAACAACAACAACAACAATAAATGCTGCACCCCTTAAATCGGCTGTACTACCACCTGGTTTAGCATCGGTAACAACCACAAAGATGGAAGATTTCACTATGTCTCCATCTCTTATCAAACCTATGGGCGGTCATTTACAAGAGCCTTTGCCTTCTAACATTAATGAGATGACTGCTGATATGCTGTTGTTGATTGTCAAGCATTTGCATCAGGAAAATGGCTCTTTGATTCAATCCGTTTATTCTATGCAACAAGAAATGACCATGATGACTAAGCGCTATGCTGAAATTATGGCTTTGGCTCGTGAAAGAGAGTCTCAGACGTTGGCTTTGTTTGAGAGTAGAAAACAAACAGAAATGGAAGAAGCCCGAAGATATGTTTTGCAATTGGAAGCTCGAGTGAAGCAATTGGAAAGTGGTGGTCAACAATTAGCCACAACAGCAGGATTTGGTAATCAAGACTTATTTGCTGGCTATCGTGAAGAAATGTCATCCAACAGCACTGGCCATCATCACCATCATAAGAAGAAGATGTGGTCCAAGACACCTGTTGTTCGATGCGGTAACTGTGCTGAATATGGGCATGAAAGTGCAGATTGCAAAGTAAGATTTGTATAAAAAGAAAATGATTAACTCATTTTATATTAGGCTTATTGTCGTTATTGTGGCAGTGCTGCACACTTATCTGAAGCTTGTCCTATGAATTAGATGAAATTTAATACTGTATATATACTGTACAAACTAATATAACAAAGAGTTATTTTGCTTATAAAAAAAAGGGGGGGCATTATATTTATTGTATGTGTGTGTATATATCTCTTGCAATGTGTATTTACATGTTGAAAAAAAAAATAAGGGGTTACACTGTTGTGTAATAATAAACCATAAGCTTGTTTTAGGAAACAAGAATAGAAGTGTCTTGACGATAAGTATCTGTGGATTTTGAGCCAAGCATACTGATATCTTTGTTCATGAGTTGATGGTTTTGATGTTTTAAAGAATCAATCTGAAGCTTCAGTTGTTCGTTTTCTTCTTCAACGATATTTAATCTATGCATCAACTCTTCGGTTTTCTTTTTTTGATCACTAACTTGGCCTTCTAAAGTGGTAATGTATTCTAATATAAAAAACGATTAATATAAAGAAGATTAACTCATTTTTTCTCACCTTTTCTTCTGATTCTGAAATTACGAGCTGAAATTTTGTTTCGTAACTGGCGACGTTCCTTTGAAGATAAGTTGCGAATATCAATACCATCTGTCTTGGCATATGCTTCAAGTGTCATTGGTTGTTCGCTAGATGATGATAGTGATGAAGGCGAAGGAGGACCACTTTCTTCTTCTTCTTCTTCTTCTTCTTCTTCGTCGCGTTCCATTTGAGCATCTTGTCCTGGTGTTGATTTGATCAGAGATTCTGGTGAAACAGTGTTTGATATGTTCTCAGTAGGTACGAATTCCATATGAGATACCAACATTTGTTCTCTGAACGCGAGTTCTTTTTTAGCTACTTCTATCAACTGCTTGATTTGATCTATAGGAGGCAAGGCCATCATGCTAATCTCTTTCCCAGCTTTATGTTGATAGGCTAACAAGTCCATGGCTGTTGTACCAGAGGGAAGAGATAGCATGACATTATCATCAGCAGTAGTCATTGGAGGTGAAGGTGGTAAAAACGAAGTATCAATAGGAGCAGTATGAGAATCAAACCATTCCATATCAACGATATCTTCAAAGTTCATCATATTTTTTTTTTGTTCAGGTATGTATTGATAGAAGAAAAAGTAAAAAGAAAAAGAAAAGAAAAAGGGAGAAAAAAATGAACTGTGCATTTTCTTTTTGGATCTCTTTCACTCACTCATTTACTCTCCCTTTTGTGTAGGAGTTTCAATGACCCAATTAAATAAGATTCCCTTGGGTGTATTTACTTGTTTTTTTTCTTGGTAAGGAACCAAATGCTTTGCATTTACATATTATATATGGATTTGGATACATTTCACTTATCTCAATACAACACTGGCTTTTTTGTTGGAAAATAAAGAGTAATAAGAATTATGTATACATATATATATATATATATATATATGCATAAACTACAATCAAATGTGCTACCATAAAAAAAACAACTAACCCGCCAAGTGTCAATAATATTTACGTCATTCGCCTTTTAAAAAGATAAAGTATGATAAATTTGTCAGCATGGCTTATGGTCTAGGCTTTAAAGTTTAGCCAATGGATATTTAAACGCTTCAAAGGATATTATGACAGAATGACAGCAAGACAGTGCTTAAACAATTATTCTTTATTCTCGGGTCGAACAATGGTCAACCAGCCTTCACTATCTACTACTGTTGTTGGCTTCTCGATACGATATGCTGTGCGTTCTATTAACAATGGACATGCCTCTAATCGTTCAAATATCTCATCAATGCGCTCTGTGGTACAGATAGGATCTGGGCTTGGATCCAAATAGAGAATGCGGGAGAAGCCTTCTGCTCTCTCAGGTGTAGGAGGATGATAATTCTTTACAAATCGATTTAGTACCACAATACCCTCTTGACCCGTAACGCCTGTTGGATGATCTTGTCTGGTTTGAATACGACTTCCACACTCCTAGAGAATTACTGTGAACGAAGTTTGGAAGACACATTATCATCTTACTTGTTTATCAGCAGTTAGCACAATACAATCAATCGGTATGTTGTAGTGTCGAGCAATATCGATCCAAGTTTTTCGTTGAGCACGATCAAAGTTACAGCGATCCACAACGACATTGTATTTCTTGTTGAGGAATTGTTTAGTATACATTTCACATGCCTTTCTTGATTTCATGTCGTCTTGATTAACCCTTTGCCATTCCTTTTAAGATGAGTTAATCGCAACAGAGTATGAACACTTACAGGACGGCACTGGATAATTTTATTGGATAAGGTACTTTTACCAGAACCTGGTAGCCCTACAAGCACAAGCATACGATTTGACATAACAAAAAAAAATTGTCTCCCAGTGGAAAAAAAAGGAGGGGGAAACGCTATATAGATGTTTGTTTATACGCTTGCAAGAATTGTTGTATCACGAGCCGGCTCATTTTGGAAATGATTGACAGAATGGAATGATGATGAGGCTTACATGAAGTGTATAAAACTGGGCTGGTTCTATTTTCTTTTTCTTCTTTCTTCTCTTTTTAACACATATTTACAATGATCCCTAAATTCTTGAAGCGTTTTGCTGGCAAAACAAACACACACCCTGAATATGATGATGATTGCCTGGTGGATTATGAACCTATTCATGAGAAAAGAGCATTATCAAAAGAAGCATTGGCAAAGCAACTTGAGAAGTGCAAACAGAAAATAAACACAATCAAGAGGCCTTATCCTATGGTAGAGAATGATGAACACTATCAATTGGAATACACAGAAAAGGGCAAGATTAAAAGACCTGTGTATTATGATCCATCTAAAGACACAGTTTATCATATCCCAGTGACAATTGAAGCCATTCGATCCATTATCTTGAAGCAGCATTGTCATATCACTAAGCCAGAAGAAATTGCTTGGTTTGAAGATGGTCTAAAGTGGCTATCAATGCAACAATACCAGAACAACAGTTCAAATCAATACAGATACTTCATTGAAGAAGAAAAACATTACAGTGGCTGGGACGAAAAGAAACAAATGGAAATTGAAGACTTTGAAAGAGCTTGTGAAGCATATTTTGGCATTCCTCTGGGTCTATGTCAAGACAGTTGGGCGGCAGAGTTCTTATTGACACAAGCATCAAGAGGGAAAATCTTAAGACGTGTTGCCTTAAAATCATCACTAAAAAAAGTTTCCTTTTCCTTGAAAAAGCTGTGGTGCTGTAGCATATAAAGAAATGAATGGGCTGGAATTAACCAAAGCCACGTTGTATAGTTGATTATCATCTAAATAAAGCATATTTACTTTTTTTTTCTTCTTTTTGGAATACGCCCGCCCTGTTTAATTTATTTTTTTGCATGCAGACATTGTATATTTAGTGAGGATTGTCGTGTCTATGAGAAAAAGGCCTTTTATCATAAGCCCTTTAAATATACATGGCTATCCGAGAACCTTATTTTAGAGACTATTTAGTCAATGAGCTCACTAAATAGAAACTCGCATCATGATGATGTATCATCTGATTCTAAGGGACAGTATGTAATTTGTTTTTTTTTAAGGGTAAAGTTTTTGCTCTTTTGCTTTGTTGTTTTTGCAGCAAAAATGTATCGTCAATTCCGAAGTTTCTATTTACTCTAAAGCATGTAGTAAAGAGCCAGTTTGAACTAAATTCGCTTTTGGGAAGCTTTTAAGTCTAGATTAGTATGATTCATTAAAAATAGATCATTACAATTCAAAGTGTTCCATGCTGTGTATGAGAAGAAGACCAATAGTGTTTTAAATAACATAGACAGAATGATTACATGAGCAATTAAGCGATGGTATCTTGGAATACATGTTGGCCTTTAGATACTGACAGGGGAAAGTTATGAGGTTATTCTTAGTAGCTGCTACTATATTATATAATAAAATAGATCTAACGTTGTGATTTAAAACAATCATATGTTTATTTGATGCATAAAAAAAGCCCCTGAAATATTCGCTACATACACCTCAAAATACTCCAAAAGGCGAAAAAAACGTGCCCCCACGCTGGATTGAACAACGGACCTTTAGTTTACAAGACTAACGCTCTACCACTGAGCTATAAGGGCACTTTTTGTGTTCAGGTTTTTAATTAATATTTCAGCTACTTAAATAAATAAAATTCCGGACCAATCAAATTTGGAATATCGCAAGGAGTTGAAGCCACTTACATCAATTACCGGTAACGGTTATATACTCAGTACTTAACAACAACACATTTTTTCTGTCGTTTCAAACGTTAGTTCTCAAAATAACTTATCCTATACAAACATAGATATGCAATATTTAGATACACATTGCACTTGTAACCATTGTTGTGATGTAAGAGAGAAGATAAAAACAAAGAAGTCGATTAGAACTTGTATAGGTTTATTATCCAAAAATATATATATGTCTCTTTTTCTAGCTCTTCATTCTCTAGGTATTTATATATGAAGAGATGTCGGAGTAAGTAGTAGTAGGGTTCATGCAAATGACTGAGTCTCTATTATCATAGACTACTTTAAATTAACTAAATAATGTAAATTATGGATTTCGGTTATAAGTCTTGATCTATTAAAAGATCCATTGTCTTATTCAGTACAAGAGGTTCTTTTATGTCTATTTCTGATGTAAATTGATTATGATATATTTTAGTATGTAATTGAAGACTTATTTAATGTCAGATCATCACAACCACTCACCTTCTTAAAAATATGCAATCAATCTACAAGAAAGACTCAAATATGCATTTGAAGTGGTAAATTTTTATACATGCAAAGATATGGAACAACCAAGAACAAAATATCAAATCAACCAAAAGGTGTCATTATTTGATCAATCCATCTCAACTAAACAGAAGCCAGGAAAATTGAAGTTTGACTGGATTGGGCCGTTGACGATTACTAAACTCAAACCAAAATCTACGGTTGACTTAGAACACAATCATTCAAAGAAAATCCTGTTGAGTGTACAAGTCTCAAGAATTAAGCCATATCAAATCAAATAATCTTTGTCAACTCAAGCTATTTTCACAAGTGGTTTTAATGCGGGAGTAAATTCTCTTGTTTTATATATTACTATCATTATTATTATACATTGATCCGATAAAATAAACTGACTTGAGCGGGTCATCTACAAATCGTTGATTTATTATCTGAATCAGCTTCACAAATAATAAAGTCAGAAATATCAGCAGAGGAGCTCAATGATATCCCTACTGCAATCGAAATTGAGCCCATTGTTTTATCGGATTATGCTACCAAACTATCGAACGCTCTTGAAGAGTGCCCCCTTATCTTTGTCAGTTTTACGTAAAATATTGTAGGCAAATGGTTTCAAGAAAGGATTTGATTCAATTGTCCATTCGGATGCACCTTTCATTGAAGTCACCAGCAGCCATTTGTAATGTATTTTCAACTATCATCCTGTTTATGCTTTAATATTTCCAACCTATTCATTTTTAGCCTGGATTCGATGTTCTCACCCAGAAACCCGTTGAGCCAACGAGTGCTTGATCGAACAGCTGCCACATACTTCATCGTTTTCATTTTAAACTAGTTGTTCATCTCTAATAACGATGTACTTAAGTTGGATTGGCTGGAGCGCAAGTTCTTTGCCACGGACAGAACAAAGTGGGACGGCGTGTTAATCAAGGTTGACAGCAGGTCCTACTCATCAGACTTAATTGAATTTATTTGGGGAACGCAATGGTCAAACCTCAAATACAGAAAACCATCGTAATATTACCAAGCTCTACTCAAAACTGATGAAGGTGCTCAATACTTGTGATGATCTGACATTAAATAAGTCTTCATTTACATACTAAAATACATCATAATCAATTTACATCAGAAATAGACATAAAAGAACCTCTTGTACTGAATAAGACAATGGATCTTTTAATAGATCAAGACTTATAACCGAAATCCATAATTTACATTATTTAGTTAATTTAAAGTAGTCTATGATAATAGAGACTCAGTCATTTGCATGAACCCTACTACTACTTACTCCGACATCTCTTCATGTATAAATATGCTAGAATAATTTATAATCAAAAAGAACAACAATAAAATTGTATAGAACAGTCTCAAAGTATCTACCTTTGTCTCTATATCATCTTATTATATAACTCTATTATCAAAACATCACAATACTCAATCGTCTTCAGCTACAAAACAAAGGAGTAGGAAGCCTCATATGAGAAGTAGCCAACAGTTAAATTCGAACTGTAAATCATTTATCAAAAGCAAATACAATTTACACATAGACAAAAATGATGAATGTAAACGTAGATTTGACGTGCTTTCTCGAGAAATAATAAACATTGTTACTTATCAACTTAGAGAATAGCCAACAAATGATTTAAACCAAATGAAAGAGATAAGAGTACGATAGTGACCTTCAATGTTTAAATTTTTCAGTTGAGTAGACCTAAAAAATGTTTTGATGCTTCTGCATGAGTTGACAACACATTGTCTTTGTCTTGTGCACTAGCATAGAAGTACCGTTTTCTCTGCAAATAAAAGATAAGGCCGCTTGCATATCATCAATATTGATTTTTGACTTGTATCAATATAGCAAATATGCATCAATCTTTTTAGAGGAATATAAAAAGACAAATCAAACAACAAGAATAGACAATCTTAATGAAATCACAACTGCTGCGTATTATTTTGTTACGACTAATAATCACTTTGATGTTCTTCCGCGGTGTCGTTGCTCTACCTACTACCTTACCTAAACCCAATGTTACTGAGTAAGTATAACGTACGGGTTTTAAGCTTTACTTCTGTCATATTTGTGTGCACGATAAAAGTCTAATTCAATACTAAAGAGGCCAGTATAGGTTTGATAATAGAAACAAAACCCCTTCATATAGTATGTCGTGCTTGTTTTATCCACTTCCACCACTGCCCCCATTGCCACCACTACCTTCTTTGCCAAGTGTCGTTATCCCGGAGCCGCTTACATCAGATAACGAGTGATGAATATCAAACTTTTAAAAGCAATAAAGTAAGTCGAGTATGAATTCAAACTATAAAAGCAAAGAGCTCTACGGAATGGGTTTTATAGAAGTGCACAAGCAACGCGTATAGTTTCAGGCTAAATGAAGTCTTTATTTTTTATCAGAGCAGTGAAGATGGATGCATAATGCTGTCGTATACATCAAGAAATTTTCTAATAATCAATTGATGAAGGCTTCTTTAAGTGATCCTTGTTTTGGCTTATAACAATCTATTGAATGATATGCAAACACATTCTTTCCTCTTTATGTAACTTTCTTTTCTGATTGAGCAAAAATCATTGGATCAATCGTAGTACACTTTTTATCGCTATTACTAAATAGGCTTTCACATTGGTTAGTCAGCAATCTATAACAAGATTGTTGTTTCCTACTTCCATACTCCTTTATTACAACATAAGCGATCGACATACAAAATGTGCATTTATTCGTGTTCTTGTTTTACACATTTTTACTTATTTTGGCTCCTTCTCTTATTTCAAGTGATTGATTTAACTTGGTCTTGATTTATAATCATCCTCAGAAGCGCCGGGGCTGAAGAGTGACACGAGTAAAGTAAACCTTAAACGTGTTACTTTAGGTTTGCGGTGACTGTTTTTGCACTGATGATTAAGTTGAAGCTATTTAAATATGATGTAATTTCGTATTTCTTTCGTATATCGAAACAATGTCTAAAGTTCCTACAGTAAAGGTACGTGTTCCCTTGGATTAATCAAGTTGATTCTAAATCGATAGAGTAGCTCAACAGCGGTTATGATTTCCCTTTGATTGGTTTTGGTACCTTTGGTGGCCATGATGCTCCTGAAAAAGTCTATGAAGCAACCAAATGTGCATTAGAGAAGGGATACAGACACTTTGATACTGCTTATTGCTGTAAGTTATAGAAATAAAAGATACATGGCCTAATATTCAGAAAAAGACGGAACAGAAGCCGTGGTAGGCAAAGCTATCAACGAAAGTGGCATTCCTCGCGAAGAGATCTTTATTACTACCAAGTTGTGGCAAAATTTCCATGAACCAGAACACGTTGGTCCTGTCTTTGAACGCTCACTCAAAAACCTCGGATTAGATTACGTCGATTTATACTTGATTCACTGGCCGTTTCCTTGGAAGTTCCAAGGCTATGACTTGAAGGAATTGAAGCCGTCTAGCCTTATTGATGTACCCATTATTGATACCTGGCGTGCTATGGAAAAACTAGTCAAGGAAGGCAAGGCCCGTTCGATTGGTGTCTCCAACTTCACTATTCCTATGCTCGAAGAGTTATTGAGCAAGTGTGAAATCCCCCCTGCTGTTAACCAAGTTGAAATTCACCCTAAGCTTCCTCAAGAAGAACTCCTTGCTTATTGCAACAGCAAGAACATTGTCTTGACTGCCTATTCCCCTCTTGGTAATCCTGGTTACAGAGATAATGAGCTCAAGACTGTTGAAGAACCTATCGTGATTGATATTGCCAAGAAATACAACAAGTCTCCTCAACAAGTCTTGCTTAGTTGGGGTGTTAATCGCGGTTTTGCAGTAATTCCCAAGTCTGTCACACCTTCTCGCATTGAAGCAAACCTCGAATTTTTCAAAATGGAAGAAAAGGAAATTGAGGCCATTACTGCACTTGGACGTAAAGACCAAGTACGTCTGTGTGATCCTAAGAATATCTGGGGTCCCGAGCACAACATTTTTGATTAAATATCATTTTAATAATAAAAATAAAAATTATTCTGTATTGGGAACATTTACAATGTAATATGGAAGAGCAGGCTATTGGGGTTTGAAAAAATTAGAGTATTGATTTGCATGCATAAATGAATTCTTACCTGAATTTTCTTGTTTCTATCACACTGCACCAACCATTCAGGCTTAACAATAGGTATAGAATGTTGCACAGCACGGTCATAATTAGCGCCACCAGGAAGTTGAGCCAGCAAATGAGTTGTTTCAACATTGACTTCATCTGTGTAAGAAGCACCCATTCTAGCCAGCAACTCCTTCAATTCTGTTACGGCAGGCTCAGGTTCTTCAAACATACCAAATGCAACACGGATACCTGTTAAATTCTCCATCTTGTGTGTACGTGCTGTTATTTTGTTGGATCTGTATTCACCAGCAGTTGTCTTGATAACTACATGAAATTCAAATTCATGATCTACATCTAACCCAGACAATTTGATAAAGTTGGTATCGTTAGGTACATGCTTCAAAAGAAATGATTAGACATAATGTATTCTTTGATTTCAATATTACCTGGGCTAATTTCGTGTTGTTCTTATAGATATCAAGTGATCTGAGCTTAGCTGTGTGCAATAAAAGAGGATCCCATTCAAGAATAAGTGATGTTTGAGTAATATTCTTGACGCGTACCACAGGTGGTTCTGGTTCTTGGTTGCCAAACATGGCTAAGATATTCTTTTGCAACTCCCAGAATTCGTTCATTTTCTTTTCTTCTTCTGTCATATTGCGACTCACTGCAATATTGACAATACTGCCCGAGGTAACACCTTTAGGAAGCAAAAGGGAAGGGAATTCAATAAGATGATGGTCTTCTGTTAACAAGATGGCCTATCTTTTATATCAACACTCAAGATGCAACTTCACAAGCTATAACAAACATACCATGCCGGCATCGAGTTTGCCTACTGTAAACTGAACTGAAGTCATAGTTGTACTATATGTATATATGTAAAAGAAAGAGAAGAACACTTTTTGTAATTCAAAATCTCTTGGATTAGAAGACCGCGATTTGTCCAATTAAAGCAGCCAGGAACAGAAATGGGCAGCATATCTTAGTCTGTATGCTGATCTAAGTTATTTAAAATGGCTACACTTGAAGAAAAAGAAAGAAAAAAGAGTATAGCAAAATCATTTAGAATGTTTATTGTTTTCTCTTGTAAATCAATCTGTTTGATTAATACAATCCTAGTCGAGTTCTGTAATCGAGCGATAAAGCGTGCGACCAGCATGTGCCTGTACGTACCTGACGCATCGCACGTAATGTGAATCAATGCAAACACTACAAGCTGCGGCTCTAACCAGTTGTCAGATTTCCACCAATAAACTTTCTTTATCATAACTTGTCATCGACCACACTGTGGCTTGTTCGCTCGTTTAAATAAGACCTGCGCTATATTTTTTTTCTATCTTTTTTTTTTTTCTTTAAAAACTTTTGAATATCAACAATGTCTTTGGCTGACTGTAAGTTACTGATATCCATAATATTATTTGACACGCATCTAACACTTTATCCTAACTTTGTATAGTGTCTGGTCAATTCAAGTAAATATTTAACTTGCACTCTTTTTCTATCAATAGATATTAACGCTTTTTTTTTTAAATAGTTTCCCTAAGGAGGAAGAGAAAATCCTCGAGTTTTGGAAGGAAATCGATGCTTTTCAAACTTCCCTGAAATTAAATAAGGACAAGCCTGTCTTTGCCTTTTATGATGGTCCCCCTTTTGCCACAGGTCTTCCTCACTATGGCCATTTGTTAGCTGGTACTATCAAGGACATTGTTACCCGTTATGCTCACAACACTGGTCACCATGTCGAACGTCGTTTTGGTTGGGATACTCATGGTCTTCCTGTTGAATACGAAATTGACAAGAAGTTGGGTATCACTGGTAAACAAGATGTATTGAATATGGGTATCGACAAATATAATGCCGAATGTAGAGCTATTGTGATGAGATATGCTGGTGAATGGCGCAAGACAGTTGAACGTATGGCTCGTTGGATTGATTTTGATAATGATTACAAGACTTTGAACACTTCTTTCATGGAAAGTGTTTGGTGGGTTTTCAAGCAATTGTTTGATAAGGGTCAAGTTTACCGTGGTCAAAGAGTATGTATAGAAACAGGCATTGTTTGATTTAACTCATGTCACATTAGGTTATGCCTTATTCTACTGGTTGTACTACTCCTTTATCCAACTTTGAATCCTCTCAAAACTATAAGGATGTCAATGATCCTGCCAGTAAGTAACCAAAAAAAAAAGTGGAGAAAAAACCAGGCATCTAAATCAATATACTAGTTGTCGTCAGTTTCCCTTTGATTAGCGATCCTTCTGTTCAACTCTTGGCTTGGACTACTACACCTTGGACCTTGCCTTCTAACATGGCTGTTTGTGTTCACCCCGACTTCGAATACATCAAAATTCATGATGAGGCTTCTGGAAACACTTATGTTTTGATGGAAAAGCGTCTCAATATGCTCTACAAAGATCCTAAGAAGGCCAAGTTTACTATCCTCGAAAAGTATAAGGGTACTGATATGGCAGGTTGGGAATATATTCCTATGTTTGACTTCTTCGCTGAAGAATTCAAGGGTAAGGCCTTCAAAGTCTTGGTCGACACCTATGTTACTGATGACTCCGGTACTGGTATTGTCCACAACTCTCCCGCTTTTGGTGAAGACGATTACCGCGTCTGTCTTAGCAACGGTGTCATCACTGCCGATGGTCACCTGCCTTGTCCTGTCGACGAATCTGGTGTCTTTACTGAAGAAGTCACTGACTACAAAGGCATGTATGTAAAAGATGCTGATAAGGTTATCCAAAAAGACATCAAGGCCAAGAACCGTATGATTGTTCAATCTCAATTCATGCACAGTTATCCCTTCTGTTGGAGATCCGATACACCTTTGATCTACAAGGCTGTTCCTGCCTGGTTCGTCCGTGTTGCTCCTATCATTGACAAGATTTTGGCTTGCAATGAGCAGATGCGCTGGGTTCCTGCTTTTGTTCAAGAAAAGCGTTTTGCCAACTGGATTGCAAATGCCCGTGACTGGAATATCTCTCGTAACCGTTACTGGGGTACTCCCATTCCTATCTGGGCCAGTGAAGATCTTGAAGAAATTGTCTGTATTGGTTCTGTTGCCGAATTAGAAGAACTCAGTGGTGTCTCTCCCATTATTGATCTTCACCGTGAAAGCATTGATAACATCACTATTCCTTCCAAGAAGGGTAAGGGTATCCTTCGCCGTATCGAAGAAGTCTTTGATTGTTGGTTTGAATCTGGTTCTATGCCTTACGCTCAACAACACTATCCTTTTGAAAACGCTGAAAAGGTCCAATCTTCTTTCCCTGCTGATTTCATTTCTGAAGGTATTGACCAAACCCGTGGTTGGTTCTATACTCTCTTGGTCTTGTCTACTCACTTGTTTGATAAGCCTCCTGCAAAGAACGTCATTGTCAGTGGTCTTGTGTTGGCTTCTGATGGTAAAAAGATGTCCAAGCGTCTCAAAAACTACCCTGAACCTGGTATAGTCATGGACAAGTTTGGTTCTGATGCCTTGAGACTTTACTTGATCAATTCTCCTGTCGTTCGTGCTGAAACTCTCAAATTCAGAGAAGAAGGTGTCAAGGACGTTATCTCCAAGGTCTTCTTGCCTTGGTATAATGCTTACAAGTTCTTCCTTACTCAAACTGCTGTCTTAAAGAAGGACTTTGGTTATGAATTCCAATACGATTCACACATCAAGAAGTCAGACAATGTCATGGATCGTTGGGTCTTGGCTTCTTGCCAATCTCTTATCAAGTTCATTCGTGAAGAAATGGGTGCTTATAGACTGTACACTGTTGTACCTCGTTTGTTAAACATGATTGATACTCTCACCAACTGGTATGTTCGTTTCAACCGTAAGAGATTAAAGGGTGAAAATGGTTTGGATGATGCCAAATTGGCCATGAACACCTTGCATGAGGTTTTGTTTACCTTGTGTCTTACCATGGCTCCTTTCACTCCTTATTTGGTTGAAAACATGTACCAAAACCTCAAGAACTTTGCTCCTAAAAACCCTAATGTTGTTGACGATCGTTCTATTCACTTTTTGGACTTCCCTACTGTCCGTGAAGAATACTTTGATCCTGAAATCGAACGTGCTGTGGGTCGTATGCAAGTTGTTATTGAGCTGGGTCGTACCATTCGTGAACGCAAGAACATTTCTCTCAAGACTCCTTTGAAGGAATTGGTCGTCATTCACAGTGATCCTCAATACCATGCTGATGTCAAGGCTCTCGAGTCCTATATTACTGAAGAATTGAATGTTCGTACTCTTGTTGTGACTGATAACGAAGACAAGTATGGTGTCAAGTACAAGGCTGAAGCTGATTGGAAAACATTGGGTCAAAAGCTCAAGAAGGATGCCATGAAGGTCAAGAAGGGTCTTCCCGATTTGACAAGTGACCAAATCAAGGAATTTGTGCACACCAAAGAAATTATTGTTTCTGGTATCAAGGTCACTGATGAAGACTTGAACGTTGTTCGTTACTTTGATGCTTCTGATGATGCTCTTTATGAAGCCAACACTGACAAAGACTCTTTGATCTTGATGGATGTCAAATTATATCCCGAATTGGAAGAAGAAGGTATTGCTCGTGAGATCATTAACCGTGTTCAACGTTTGAGAAAGAAGGCCAACTTGTTGCCTACAGATGACATCAACATGTATTACCGCTTCACTACTGATTTGTCTGCTGAATTAGAGGCTGTTATTAAGAACCAAGAAGCTACTTTGGTCAAGGTTATCAAGAAGCCTTTGCAAGCCTTTGAAAAGATGACTTCTGATGAAAAACTCATTGCTGAAGAAGAACAAGATGTCAATAGTATCAAGTTCAACCTCATCTTTGCCAAATAAGAGAACTTGTAATTTAAATATGCTAGAAATAAAGACTTTTTTTTTGTAAATGTTAACTGCCAAGTCCAATTTTTTTTTTTACTTTAAACAATCAGGTCTCCGCAGCCAATCATCGAATTTTGGATGTGTTCATCATGACAGACTGGATTTCAAAAGAACCAGAAAAGAGGACATTACGTCTAAAATGGTATATCTGAAACCAGAAGCTTATTTTTTCTCACTTTTCTTTCACTTTTCTTTTTCTCTTTTTACTTATGTATCCCAACACCTCAATGAACTTGTTAATTAGCCCATTTGAACCAAGTCAAGTTCCATTTGTTCTTGACGATGTGAATTCGACTCAGCCATTGGATATACCTTTTGAACAAGACATGTCATTTTATCCTCTGTCATCTTCATTACCTCCATTGGACTTGGTAAATGTCGAATACAATTAATTCAATTTTTGACAAAAAAAAACTAGATGAATGAATTCATTTCACATTCACCAGGATCTTCTTCTTCAGTTGAATCCAATCTGATTTCATCACCTCAATATTTGGTCTCAACAAGACGATCGTCTTCTGTGCCACCTCACTTGAACACATTGAAACCCCATTCGCAGGATAGCAGCAATATGTACAACCAGCCTCAAGTTACACAGACAACTCACCCTCTTCCCATTCAGATTCAACGAGTGCTCACGAACCACCAGCCAGCCGTCAATCGCACAATAGACCCAGAAGAATATCGCCGTCAATTGGACGAAAAACTTGAAAAAGTAAATTTCGATGATATCACAGTGGCTGAACTTAAAGAACTACTGCGGGAACGAGGATTATCTGCCATGGGTCGCAAAGCTGATTTATGGAACCGACTCAAAGAAGAATATGATTTGCTCATGAGCAGGAAAAATGGCTCACCGGCTGCTGCTTTACCACGCCGCTTGTCCAACCTGAATCTAGGCTCACCTAAACGACAACCTCGTTTGTTCTCTCCTTACTCTCCTCCTAAGCGACTCTCCAGTGAGCCTCGTCTTGCTTCTTCTGTGCCTGACCATCACACTTCGTCTTATCTAAATGAACAGTTTATGCGAAAAAGACCTTCTAGTCTTCGTAAATCAATCCAATCGGAACAGAGCAAGTCTCCACCAATTTCAGATGACATTTGGGATGATCAGACACTTGAAAAATTTCTTCGAGAAATTTAACCATGTACATAACTTGTTAGAATAATAATAATAATAATAATAAAAGATGTTTATTCTGCTTTTAACCTTTTGCTCGAATTTGGCGTGCGATCTGGTGATGTATCTTGTCTTCTTTTTGATGTTATTGGTTCATCTTCATTTCTAAAGAAAAAATAAGATTTATGCTGGTTTTCTCTTTAACTTACATTTTAGCTAAAGGAGATGGTTTATATTCATTTGTATTTGTTCCTTGATTTCTCGATGGCCAATGAAAGGATGTGCCTCCAGAAACAGGTGTTGAAGAAAAGTTAAGAGGACTAGGTAGTTCACTTTGTTGATAGAACTCAGGATAAAATGTAGATGGAGAAGGCAGATTATGTGCAAATTGAGAAGGCAATGCTGAAGGTGGTGCAATACTACTTGACTGAGGGGGGTGGATTTCTTGGCGTGATTCACTTGGGATTTCAACTCGTAAATTGGGAGGTCGTTTATTGTACTGCATATTGTTAGCGTAATAAGTCGAATTGGGTGTAGGTGAAGCAGCAGCAGCAGCAGTAGTAGTAGTGGTAGTAGTAGTGGGTATTTGTCGAGTTAGACTGTTGCCATAGCCTAATACATGTTGTGCAGGTAACATAGGTGCATAAGCAGATGGAATTTGAGTCTACAATAGAATTCAGCTTATACAATCTATCAACCCTATTTACCTGTGCTAAATACATGGGATGAGGTTGATGTAATTGGCCATAAATATCATAATAGCCCTGAATGGGAGGTCCATAGCTTACATAACGAGAAGAGTGTTGAGAATCTGCTGATATAGATGGAGGTACTTGTTGATACATGAGCATTGTTGTAGCAGGTGGAGGAGGAGGAGGAGGAAGAGGAGGAGGAGGTATAGTGACCGTAGCCGTATTAGAAGAAAGTGACGGTGGAGGCAGTAAGGGTGGTGCCTCTTGCTGAAGAGGCTTTTGAATTTGAGACGAAGGCTGTGGAACAGGTGGTGCAGGTGATTTGGCTGTTTCAGTTTTAACTTCTCTGATAATATTGGATTCTTTTTTATCCTGTAATTCCGTGTCATCCTCTCCGTCTTCCCAGTGATCATTGTCCTCATTGTTCATAAACTACAGACATATAAGCAAAAGCAAAAATCTGCAGAAATATATATATACTTTACGTCTTGATTCGATTTGCTTTCATGAGGATCATTATACTGCACATGATTAGAATAAAAATGACTTCATTTGTATACTTACTTCAGTATATTTCATCAAGATTTGGTCAATATCCGTACTTGCATACTGTACTAGTTTGCCATTGTTGTTGAATATCAACAATGCAATTTCGCAGTTGCAAAGAACGCTGAGCTCATAGGCCTTTTTCATTAAACCATGCTTACGTTTCAAAAACGTGACCTTGTTGCTATTAGTTAAGACAGAACACAAATAGAGTGTACATTTACTTTACTTGTTTATTTCTTTCATCTTGAATAGGTTGAATCTTGATCTTTTTGCGTCCCATCTATAACAAGTTTAAAAATAGTGGACTTATTTTTATATTTTACCTTTTTAAATATTTTTAGAGAAAAAAAAACTAAAGAAGGAGGGTGAGTGGGGGGCAAGTTAAAAAAAGAATAGGGTGTCTATAGACTACGGTGACACATAGTCAACAATGAAATAGTTTTATTGAAGACATTTTAGCATTTGATTTTCTTTTCTAAGTCTTTCAATTTCATTTAAAATTAGCTCTTGATTATTCTTTAAATATTCAAGGTGTTGGACTGCTTGGTTTAATAGGGAAACCTTGCTTATCTTCTTATGAGTACAGTTGGGTAATGCTTGACGTAGATTGTCAAATCCATGCCTGATTTGTGCTCTTCGTTTTTGTTCTGATTGAATTTGCACCTTTTTTTTAGCATGTTGATGGGATGAATCAACCATGTATAAGTCAGGCTTTGTGGGACAGTTCAAAAGTAAAGGAAGAGACAAGTTCATCTGAGAAGACACTATAGGTGCTTGCGTGGTCAACGTATAATCATGAGAAGGAGTCTGTTGTATTTGATCTGGTTTTCTATTAGCCTATGTTTGTGATTTACACCGTACCTCCAAGCACAAAGAGATCAGAAAGAATTTCTTCCAAGTGCACGTTCATTAAAGCCAATGATAACAAGCAAGAGAAAAAAAAAGGATGGTGTTTATATACTAATCTCGAGTATTATCAACTAGGCTTTTCATAGTATGCATCTAATATATTTTTCATGCAAGCTTGATCATAAATAAAATTGGTTGTTCAAGTCAGAACAACAAGAGCATCGTCAAACTTTTAGCATCTTTAAAAATCAATCACGTCTTACTATCTAGAATATATGCATAGTAACCTCATAGATGAAAGAAAACATAAAAAGGAATTGTTATATTAAAAGAGGTTTTTCTTCACATATTCCTTGATCTACTTTTAATACAATAAACTCCAAAAATAACTGGAATGAAGCAGTATCTGATTTCTATCAGAACAAAAAGAAAGCAAGAGGTTTATACTGAGATGATACATGCTGATATACAGATCTACATTCGGGAACAAAAGAGAAGGCTTTCAGCAAGAGGAAGCGAGTTATGACACTACATGGTATTCGTTTTATAAGAGCCTCAAACGACTGCTCTTTTTATTTGTATACTTAGAAAGTTACTTCCAAGAGCTGATATCTTCGCCACACCGTAAGCAATGGAAGGAATCTTCACTCAAAAGATAGAAGAACTATACACTCAGAGATGCCAAATCTTTACTCAAATATGGAAGAAAGAAGCAATCGCTTACGCTGTGGTGCAAGCATAAATGAAATGATCTAGTATTAGGAGATTATCGTGACAAGTTCTAAATCAGAATACACCAATTACTAGCTAGATAAGACTAGAAAAGAGAATTCAAAAGGATAAACTATTCAAACTTACTAATAAAAACCACCTTTTATGCTCGTTTTTGAACGGATTGAGCTAGTATCAATCTGTAGAATATGTTTACTAGCATCAGTGACTATCCACAAACATGTTTAGATCATTGAGACATGAAAAGAAACTTGGACTCATCATGTCTTATGACACCCTTACAATTTTACATTAAGATTACAAAATCATCTGTAACTCATCGCACAAGCAACTTTTACTATGACAATATATAGCAACAAATGATTGTTTAGCATGAACGGACATGTTCCAAGGGTTAGATCTGAGAAAGTCATATAAAAAGTGTACACAATGTATGCAAAGCGACATGGAGTACTTTGCACATCTACTCATAAGAACTCTTAGCAAACCCTCTGTTTTTATTGCATTTTTGAGTTTTACAGACCAAAATGCACTACTTTACTTAAGACACCAAATTGATTGGAGCTTATCTTGACGCATTTTTAGATCATCTCTTTTTTTTTTTTTTTTTTTTTTTTTTTTTTTTTTTTTTTTTTTTTTAATCATCTCTTGTTTTTTGAACCAAATGCAGCCCAAAAGATGCTCAAAACATCTTCAGAGCCAAAAAGTGCTATAAAAGTGGTTGTCAGTTGTCTAATGTATGCTAGGTGCATAAATCAAATACTGAGACGACATGAAACGAACAAAAAATGGCTAATCTGCCCCATTAAACACTGAGAGCAGCACAATTTGGCCTTATTTGCACTAGAATGGGAGAAACAGAGACAAAAAGAGCTGGAACTACTTTTGATGCTCAGTGATAAAGAAACTAGAGGTTTGGTAGGGAATACTGTAAAGTGGTTTAGAAAGTGAAAAATATGTGTCTTCTTTCAAGATTTTTTATTGCTTCGCGTAGAGATACCCTAATGGGACTCAAGAGGCGGGTACAATTTATAAAGGATTATATTGAACTGATATGTATCAAGTAAACTAGATAGAATAAAAGCAAAGGCATACCACTCCTATGAGCGGAAAAAAATAAGAGAAACATTACAGTCTTGTGTCCACTTGCATTTCATCTGCAAGCAGCTGTAAAACAGTACGTATTTGTTAGGGTGAAGTGGGAATCAAAGGAAATGTTGTCAAGAAAAAATCTCCAGCGCGTTCTCCAGACTTGTAAAATGACGGCAATGACAATCCCAATGACTGTTAGATTTTTCTTCTGTAATTGATCTATTCAAGAGAAATCTAGTAAAAGAATTACTTGAACAACATCCTCGACAGTGATCGTAGGCCATAGAAACTCGAAAATGAGATTTTTCCAGAAAAATATCTTTGGCAGACAACAGAAAAGGAGATGTTGATCATTTTGAGTATGGATTGTGTAAATGGGACAAAGTGGCGAGTATATGATAATTGCTTAATGACTTTCATCGTTCCCTTTTCTGCTGGTTTTCAACAATAATTTTCAAAATATCTAAGGCTTTTTTTGTTCAGCCATCATTCTTTTCAGAATTAATGAGTGATAAGTGATGACCAAACACCTTTTTGATCAAAGGTGCCATCAAACATACAATAAAAGGACCAAATGATCACTGAGCATTTAAATACAAACCTTTTTTGATTCTTTGCAAATTAGAGAACATTAGCAAAGATATTAGCAATGTAATTAAGCAACATAAAAATGTAATAGATACTACGAGAAGCAATGGAAAAAAAGTCGCCGTTAATTTGTCATCGTATGTAAGAAATTCTCATTAGTCAGAATTTAAAGGAAAACATACTTAAATTTTATCAAAACTAAAAATAAACATCTTAAAAGTGATCGAAGTTATCATATCAAAGATTAACGATGTGCAATAGAGAAAATATACATTTTTTATTGTAATTTTTTTAAAATCAAAAAGCAAAAATCTAATTACACTTTTAAGTATTCCTTTGCAAAAATAACTATTTTCTAGAAGTATTTTTCTGTTTCTACAAATGGCATAGTTGCGTATTGGTATCAAATTTGATAGGTTTGTACTTGATTGATTTTATGTAAAAGCTCATTTTGAGGATACGGTTTGACGTGGCCTTTGACTGCTCGGACTTCATCAATTCATAATAATGACAATATTAAACAAAAAACCCTTAAGAGAACAAGGGCAGAAAGAAGATATAGCATAGAATGATGATCTAATTATGTGCTTGGATGTAGACTTGTAAATATAGAAGAAAGAGAAACAGTTGCTTGGATGTTGGAAGGAGTGAAGTTTTTGCGGTAGCATGCTACATAGGGTCAATCCGGGATAAAAGGGAATGTATAGAGATCAGGTTGGCATTTCTGTGATGTTTGGGTTGTGAAATGAAAATAGAATAGAATAAAAAGAAAACAAAGAAATACAGTGAGACTGTTCAGTACTTCTTTATTACAAAATAAATTGATTGTTGTCTAAAATATATCTTTTCCAGGTTGTCTTTTATACTACCTGATTTATTGACTAATTATGATTACTGATTATTGATTACTTAACACCTTGACAGCTTGTGCCTGGGAATTGACTATGTAGATTCTCCTTTAATTCTCCTTGTTACCTAAAAGGTACAATTATGGTTTTCTTATTTATAAATATCCATATTATCCCAGTTACTGTTATTTACAGCCATTATACAATGCTTACTTTATATTTATAATGTATAGTGCTATAAGTGATTATTCATTTATATGATGAAAGACTATTTATAATATTTTGTATTGAAAGTGCTCAGATCACCACACCATATCTTCTATTCGCATGTTAGTCAATTGATAAAAGAGTGTTGTTTAATAAATCAAAAGATAGACACGTATGTAGAACTACTTTTTCTACAAAAATTAATTCAATCTGACTTAAACTAAAACAAATGATTTGATTGGCTCTGGTAATCTCTGCCAAAATACCATCACCATTTAAAATGGTTTCACTGTCCTAATTCTTTGCAAGGCTACTTAAAATTAATAAGAATCGTTTTGGAGATATGCGATGCTACTTGAAGTACTATCTAACGATCTAGAACAAAAATTCGGGAAAGATTCTTTAAAATTAGGGTATATGTTTTTTAATTATGTTAATAAATCATGTGACTGCCTTCTTGGCTCAGATGGCAGAGCGTCTGCCTAGTAAGCAGAAGGTCGGCGGTTCGATTCCGCCAGAAGGCAAAAATTTTTGGTGATTTCATTCTTAGTTTCGTGAGACGTTGTAGCAAATCATTGTTGCTGATTTTTTTTCTTGGTACTGCTACGGTACAAGGTTTGATTTTTATACCAGTAGCGTAGAAGAGTTTATACAAAAGGATCCAAAGCAAAAGGAACGATTGTATGTAATGAGCACCACGTTGTTAAGGTAACAAACCTTAAAGTAAAAGACCTTCCTATGTCAATATCCAGGAAGTCAAATAGACAAAAGTAAGTATTTAAGCCAATACCAACGGCCTAATAAGTAACCCAAACAATCAAAATAAAAGTAAAATGAGAAAAATCTTCTGGTCTTTATTGAATAATAATTTGAACGGTTTACATACTCGTATATCGAGAAAATGGTTACTAACTCTAAAGTAAAAAGATGTGAGTCATAATGAACTCGTTAAGATAAAGCAATTCGATTTGTAATAAAGTAAAACTAATTGAGTTGTAAGACTATTCTAATAAGCAAAAGTATCATATATGAAAATGATCATGTCAAAAAGTAGGAGCTTCAAGTAGAATAAAAAAGTAATACAGAAATTAAGTAACAAACATAGGTTTTAATCATAATAACAATAATAATAACAATAATGTAGCAAAAGAGAAAAAAGAAGAGAAAGACTACAATTGACGGCAGCGACTGGAATGTAACAACATCAAAAACAATCAAAGGGTACGCATTTAGGGAAAGTTGTCAGTTTAGCCTTTGATAAATATCTGACCTAAAATTAAAGGATAAACTATCATATATTTGTGAATGCCAACGCTAATGTATTTATCAGCTCTAACTTTCATTTGATATATGTCATTGATGATAGTAATAATAGCAGAGTCATTAGGTCGATAAACTATAATAACCCTGACTATAAGGGTGGTGTAGTACTTCAGTCAAATGAGTAAGTTTCAATGACTATAGATCAATTGAATTGCTATATGTGGCTTGGCCTTTTACCATGACCATTTGTTGATCTATGCATACAAACTCGTATATATGTTCATGACACGGTATATATGAGTACAAAACAAGTATATGCAAGAAGCATTAGATTTTGAGTTGTTCAAACATGACTATCTCTTTATTAACTAGAGGCGATATTCCTAATACTAAAAGCATAGCTAAGAGAAAATAAAGCGAAGAATATGTATCTGATATTTATCGAATAACTATTGGGACATTTCATCTATTGGCTTGCTAAAATAATGACCAACATTGATGATAATAGGAGAGATGCGAGATGCAATAATTCTAAAGAGATAAAGCAATTTGGTTTGTGATGTAAGGACTATTCTCAAATGCTCAAATAATGCAGATCAAGTTCGAACTGAGTGTGAGATATTACGACAATGTAGCTTTGTGACTTTACTTTCCACCTTGATAGAAAAAAGAGCTTTGGGCTACATTAATCCTAGATTTAATTACAAAGATGGTCTAAATAATTTCTGATTCAAGATATCCATCAGAATTAGAAAAAAAAAAAAAAGTAAACTCTTTTCTCTAGCTCTTGTTTCTCGAAAAAAAGGCCTGTAAAGCCTAAATACAACTCTATTGTTCGCTGATGTTTGAAACGAGAGTAAGTTCAGAATTTACTCTTGATAGATGTTTTTTCTTCATTTCTTGCGAGTCAACGCATAGTCAAGGGAGAAAATGTATTGATTCGCCTTTAGGTGTATCTAACAAAAAGAGTTTATTCTTTTCTGTTTTTGAACTGTAATCTTTAAGAGTAAACTAAGAGATACAATCAACAATGCTTTCTTGTGGTGCTTGACTTTTCGATTTGACTGTGTCCTGGCAGCAATACAAAACATTCTCTATTGCTCTAAGTATTCGTTGACTAATTCGTGCATTTCTTTCAAATTCATAAGCCTTCTAAACTTTAGTGACTGTAAACCTAAAAAATACATATACATAAAAAGCATATTCAGCAACAACATACTAAACATAACATATATCTTTCGTCATAGTGAAAACCATAATGACTGGTTTGCTTTATGATCATAACTTGATAATGATTTAACTGACGTATTGACAGATAAACAAGACCTGACATACTCAAGCTTGTTTTTGACATGTGCGAGTGACACAAGGTTGCTACTTTCCTTACAAGATCTATTGCATAATTCCCTGCCTGATTGGTGTAGGTTGTGTTGTCCTACCTTTCATTTTTATCTCTTTCCACTCTACCAATCAAATGGTTATCTTTTAACTTTCTTGAAGAATTGAAGTGTGATTTAAAACCCCTTAATATATATATTTTTCCTTTTTTCTTTTACTTTCTATATCTTTCCTCTTTTTTTTCGTTTCTGTTCTTGTTTTTTTTTCGCTTCCTTATCACCATGAAAACTATAACCAGTATTCAACAGAACAATGGTATGGTTGTTTATTGTTTCCATAGTCATTATTAAAACAAAAAAAGTACAGCAGTAGAGCATACATCGTCATCATCATTGTTAGAAAAGTAAACAAAACTATAATTCAATTAGCTCATAACCTTATTCTATATAGAAAAAACGATGACTTGGATCATATCATTATACCAACTGCTGAAGGCTTGATTCGTTTCAGAGAAGAGCATGCGGATTCATTTGAAATTCAAGAGCATGATCATCATGATATTTTTACAAAGTTTCCTCAAGAATCCTTACATAGTTTTCAATTCTCAGCGCCTCCCGTACAAACAAGAGAAAGGCGCTTATATGGAACTACTTTACCAGGCCATTATCACATCACACCTAAACAAGATCGGATAAAGACAAAGACAGTCGGTAGTCCTGTTACCAAAGTTCATTTCCGTAGAAAAAGTTTACCTTCTGTACCCGAGTCTCGAACTATATCAAATTCTTCTTCAAATACAACATCCAATAATAGCAGCATGGTCCAGACACCTACTGTTACAGACGAAGAAGATAGTGATGAAGAGGAGACTTACGTTCCTCACCTGCATAACCGGTTAAAGCAACAACAACAACAAGCTATTCTAACCACATATGACGATTGGCGTATCATTCTGACCAACAGCATTGCTCAAGACGTGCTTGTGAGTCACTTGCATCATCAAATAAACGAAGAGCAGCAGATGATTTTAGTTGGAAAATCAATCATGGACCTTGTTGAGCCCTCTTTTCAGAACCGACTCAAGTCACTGATTGTCAAAAAACGAAACGAACTCTTGACTTGTGAAACAGACACGGAAGACGGCATGGTGTTAGTGTGTGGCAATGTGGTAAAAATGTGCGAATATGTGTGCGTACAAGTTTTAATTTCTGTAGATACCAATCATCAAACTAGATGGCACCAAGTCTTCTGCTTCTCTTTGGCTTAAAGAAAAAGTCAACGAGTCTGGTTCTTCTGTCTATATCTGGATTTTTGAAGAAGTCTATGAAAGTTCGGTTCGATTGATCGTAAACACAAAGGTAGGCTAACGTTATACATGTGGGGCCTAAAGCATAAAATGTGTAGGGAGTTATTCAATCTGTTGTATGCGAGGAAAGTGTACAAGACTTATATGACTATAAAGCCACGAATCTTATTGGTCAAACTATTCACATGCTCATTCCCTCGCTTGAGACAAGTGGGTGGCAGGATGGTATTAACCATCTTCGGTTTTTCGGCAGTCAAACCAAGCGAGGTGCACAATTTCCTATTATTGTAAGGCTCACGAAGGAACAAGATTTAACAATCCAGATTACATCTATGCCAATGATCGCTGGTCTGATGACCGTCAAAGCGGACGGTATAATTGATGGGTGCAACGACACTTTTGTAAAATACTTGTTTGGTTTTTCTCAACAGGATTTAGTTGCAAACAAAAACATTGCTCAACTTTTGCCTCAATTTCCTGCACTCTTGAATAATTTAAAGCGAGACGACTTGTTGCAACAAGGCCTGATTATCAACAATATTGTCTGCAGAAAACTATTACTTGCCTCTCCTGCCACCAAAGATAAAATCATGGTCAACAAAAGAGTATTAACTCATACACCAAATAACCAACCATTACCCATTATTTACGCAATGCATCGAGACGGAACACCTTTTGAAGTTCAACTTCAATTAAAGTTAGTTGAATCTTCCTCTTCCTCGGAAAGCGAAGAGGAATATGCTTTGTGGATTTCATTTGACCGAGAAATCGCATTCAAACGATATGGTCATCAGCACCTCATCATCTCACAGCCCTCGTTACCTTCACAGCAAGAACCCAAAGTAAAAAAAAAAGCAGCAGCTAAAAGCAATAAGGCAAAAGCAAAAGAATACTATGGGAGATCGCCAAAGGTCACAAGCATACCGCATGATCAATTGGGTAACATAGAGCCTATTTCACCACCAGCCATGTTGCAAGACAAACAGATAGACATCTTCTATTCAGCACAGATGCCTCATTCAACCACAATTGATGACTATATAATACTCGATAATCTCGGTCAAGGTGCTTATGGTCTTGTCAAACTAGCAGTCAAAAAAGATGACCCTACAGAGGTAACTTCCTTTTATAGTTTATCCGATTTCTATTACAATACTGATAATATTTTTTTATATAAATAGACCAAGGTGGTAATTAAGTATGTGATCAAATCGCGCATATTGGTTGACTGTTGGACAAGAGACCGGAAACTCGGAACAGTGCCAGTCGAAATCCACATTTTGCATACGTTGAGAAAGTATCCGCATGAAAATCTCGGTAACATGAGTAAGTTATCTATCTATCTATATATAACAAAGTTAACATTGTTCCAGTCGACTACTTTGAGGATGCAGACCATTATTATATTGTTATGGGTCTTCATGGCGCAGGCATGGACTTGTTTGATTTTATTGAGCTTAATGATATTATCCCCGAGGCAGAAATCATTCGAATCTTTCGACAAATTGCGTTAGGTGTACGCCATTTACATGATCATAAAATTGTGCACAGAGATATCAAAGATGAAAACGTTGTTCTAGATCAAAAGAATGGTGGTCTTCAGCTGATTGATTTTGGAAGTGCAGCTTATTTAAAGCCAGGAAGAAAATACGAGACATTTGTTGGTACTTTAGATTATGCAGCACCTGAAATTTTACGTGGACATACTTATTCTGGCAAACCTCAGGATATTTGGGCGCTAGGTATTCTCTTGTTCACATTGATCTATAGGGAGAACCCATTTTATGATATTGATGAAATTATGGGACGAGAACTAAGAATACCTTTCATTCTGTCAAAAGGTAAATGATAAGAAATGAAACCTGTGTATCTAAGTAACTCCATAGGTTCAGTAGATCTTGTCAGTAAAATGCTAGAGCGCGATGTTGACAAGCGCATTGATATACATCAAGTGCTGGCACATCCCTGGTTGAATTCAATGTAAATTTATTCTATATGTATTATACACTTAAAATCCTTTTCCAATGCCTGTCTTTTCTACAATGTTCTTCATAATGCCCTCTTCTTCACATAGTTCAGGGTGAACATATAATAATGCCTTTGGTTTTGCTTCTTTTTGTCCAATACGTCCCTTAGCAAGGGAGAGATCATTGATCATCCAGCTTGTAAAGATACGAGTAGCAGGCTCAATCGTATCTAGAGGTACAGTGGTAGCATGATCTTTTGCTGTGAATGAGAGTGTATGGATAGTCAATTCCTTGGGTAATTCGCCTTCTTTGAGTTGATGAGGCACAGTGATTTTTGTGACATAGGGCGACATGACCCATTGAATCAAACCAGTAGAAGCAGCACTAGTAGCCACAGCTTCATTTATGTTAATCAATATACGACCATATCATGGCTTATTTACCTGCGCCAACAAGAGCAGCTTTGGCTACAAAAGGTACTGGAACATCAATAGCAAAAACAAAAGGAGAGATCCCAGTGCCAAGGCCAAGTGAGGTGATTGAGAACAACTTGAGCTTTTTGGCTACATTGGCCAGGGGTCCAGTATAGATGGTTACTGGTTCTTCTTTAGATGAAGTAGAAGACTGTCTCTTGATCCAAACATTGTATGAACCATTTAAAGTTTGACGGCGATTCCATTGAACAGTTGCTCTCATTAGAGCTTGTGTGTTGGTAGTTCTCAACATGATCGTAATGAAGAAAAGGAAAGAAAGATTATTGCCAAAAAATCAGAAAAAAAAAAAAAGACTCAGATTCCTCAGGAACAAGTTATGGACGGTTTACTGATTTTCTTATTCTAGGTATGTCATTTGTTGTTCTGTTAGCTTGTTCCCCCCTCTATGCTTTTTATCTTTTCTTTAACTTTTTGAATAAAATAAACATTCTGTTAATCTCTAAATCAATTTACTAGCTTGATTTTTATTGTTATTATTATGCTAGAATAAAAAAGCAGTAGTAGTATTATTATTAAAGAGAGAAAAAGACAAATAATATATGTACATCATGTAAGTAAAAGTGTTTTTTTTTTCTTTTGTTTTCGGATAGTGAGGATGATAATTAGAGATCTATGTACTTAAAAGTAGAATTGTTTGACATCATGAATGCTAAAGGGCTCTTCACAACTTGGACATCTCTTTTTAGCGTCTAGGCATTCTTTACAAAATGTGTGCATACACTTGAGGATGATATGTGATTTTAACCGCACTCGACATTGACTACAGTTTAGCAGAGACTGTAAAATGGTTAGTAAGATCTGTTGAATGAAATATACATTTACTCTATATTCTTCTCTTTCTTTCTTTAGTTTTGCTTCTGCAGGTCGATCTGATTTATTCGTTGATTCCACTTTACGCTTCAGCAATTCACAATTCTCTTCCAGTCGTAGTCTTGAATGAGAGCCTTCTTCTACCATTCGAATCTTTTCAAGAATTGATTTCTGAAGCTAATACATGTATAAAAATGAGTAAAGAAATACACATCTAATAAAACTATACCTCTGTAATTCTGTCCTTTGAAGAAATGGTCCTTTCTTTTAATTCGTCCAGCACCAGCTTAGCTTCATCCGTCTTTTGCTTATAAACATCATATACAGCATTGCTTGCATTTAATTCACGATCCAGACAAGTCTATCAACCATAAATACACAAACAGCAAACTACAGCTTACCAATTGGCTATTGAGGCTTTTCTCTCTTTCTGTCATTTGTTTAATATGCGTCAATTGTTTCTCCACTTGTTTTGTAAGTGCATTTACAACCATTGTGTTTGCATCTTTCGACTTGTTTAATGATGTAAATGTTTGTGTATATTTCACTCTTTCTGCTTGTAATCGAATGATTTCATCTTCTGCAGCTGCCAATTCTTTTACTCGCTTCATTGTCTCTTCTTCTAAATCACCATACGCATTGGATACACTCTCAATTTCACTCAAGAGTTGCTTTTCAGTCTATATCATGTCAATGTACATTTATGGATTCATATTGCTTACTGCTTCTAGATTCACAATCTTATCTTTTGCTTCAGAAATAGCTTTTCTTTCCTGTTCAATTCTGTCCGACAAAACTTCTTGCACTACACTCATGGAAGAAGAAGGATGGAATCCATATTTCTCTGTAAATGCACCAATGTCTATTTCCAACTGTAGAGATTCAGACAGCTGAGCTAATTCCTGATCCACCCATTCCTTAGCGTGTGATTGGTACACTCTTTCTTTGACTTGTTCAACTTGTTCTTCCAACTGCTTTAACTGACTCTGAAGAGGCTGTAATAGAGGTTCTCGACCATCACTGTTTAACAACAAAACATAATAATCTTTCACGCCTGTTCTGGCAGCCATCTTTTTCTGCAAACGAAGAACTTCTGTCTCCAGATAATTAACACGCTCTTTACGCGTATCAGCAATGATCTTGAGTTCGGATATAGATACACGGCCTGCTTCAGTAGACGCCTTTCCAATCTCTAACTGCATCTGTAATGCATCACGTTGAGCTCGAATGCGCATCAAATCATCGTCTAACTTGCGCAACTGATTTTTGAGTTCCATAAAATGTGCTACTTGCTCAGAATCGAGTTCTTTAATGAGATGACGACGGTTGCCTGATAAATCATCTAAGCGAAGCTGTATGTCATGACAGAGATCAGATAAACGATTGCATTTATCCTTGTAATAGGCACGTGACTGAGATAGATTTCGACACATAGCAGCCTTATAAATGCGTGATTCGGGAACAGAGACAAGATCCATTTCTAACCGTGCAATTTGCTGCTTCAAGACAACACGATCTTCTTTGATCAATTCAATATCGCGTAATCTTTGAGTCACAATCTGCTGTAACCGAATGAATGGATCGTCTTGAGTCTACATATATATATATATATACATACATACATACAAAAACGATGAGATGGCTTACAGTTGTATGTATGCTTACATTCATAACTGGGGTTTTTTCTTGTACAGGTGTAGAAGGTGTGATGGTCGATACAGTAGGTTTTGTAACTTCTGCCATTTTTGTATCTTCGTCAACCTTCTTTTCAGCATGTTGCAATTCAGTCTGTATTTCCCGATAACTTATTTCAGTCAATTCCAACCGATTATTGAGTATTCTGAGCTCTTCAGACAAGACCAAATACTAACAAAAAGATGAGATAATACCATCTATATACTACATTTCTTTTACCACTAAATTAGCTGATTTATAGCGATTTTTCATGTCTAAAAGAGATCGTTGATTATTTGCCCATGCATTGAGAATAGATTCATGTTCTCGTCGAATATCTTTTAAAGCGCCTTGGTCTTGTACAATGTGAATACAGCTATTTTGATATACACGATACTTACTGAATACAGAACTAAATCCTTTTGTAATGTTTTCTCTCCTCGAAACCCAAGCATCAAACAGTTTACTTAACTTGGTCAATGCTGAATCGTAAATCTTTTTGTTCTTGAGGGATTCAATCATACGGAGAGCTAAGTCAGTAGTCCATTCTTGATTCAACAAGCCTTCAAGTTCTTTGGGATTGACATCTAGAAACAGCGTTAATGCACATCATAAAGACCATGACTTACCCATTCCATTATCAGAGTGTCCAAATGTCAATAAGCCAGATTGAGTTGTATGTAAAAGAAAATTTTGAAGCTAAAACAACAGGTGTGAGAATAATAGCAAGTGGTTTATAGATATATACCTGTCTAAAGGATTCTTCCCAAAGTCGTACATAGTCTTCAGTTTTCAGTCTATTCGCTTCCATTTGTTCGTTATTTTTTCTACACCTTTCAAGTAATCGCTTTATTCTTAATTAGACAAAAGTAATGCGCAAACACTGTATATGGTACTTACTGCGTATTCCTTCCATTGTCTCATAATGGCATCTTTACGGAACGTCTCTAAAGGCTCCTATGAACAGTTGGTATGTAGATAAGAACGCGATGCTTACTTTAAAAGTGTCAACAGCGTCTTCGCTTTCTTCTGGATCTTCGTCTGGCGAAGAAGCTCTTGATAAAAAGCGTTTCTTTGGTGGAGGTCTTGGAGCAACACTTTGTTCATCCACTTCGCTGGAACGACGTTTTGTGTTCTCCTCTATTTTTGCCATAGGAAAAAGAAAAAAAAAGGAGAGAATAGGACACAGAGTCAATTAAATAGTCAATATGATAAAGTGAGAAAACTAAGAAAAAAAAAAAAAAAAAAAAAGGGTCACTTGGACACTTTTTTAAAAAAGATCGGACTTTATAGGAAATTTGACCTAAAAAACAACTTGGTTTGTTAGATACAATTCGTCAAATGAACATAGTAAAGGTATTCAAAAAAAAAAGGGTAGTTTTTCTTATTCAAGCTATTTGAATTATCAAACAACATTGCCAATTCGTTTTCCATAGATAGCAAAAGCACTGTATATAAAATAAGAGATCTTATTCTGAGCAATGGAAAAACACAGATTGTTACTGTTCCATTTTGATAAAATACATACACAATCTGATAACAGAAAGCATAAAATTCAGATTTTTTTTTTTATCAATAAATCCTTATTGCCATTTTCGATTTATTCTTCCATGTCCACATTGAGCTTTACCACTTTTGAAAGTATAGATTGATGATTCAAAGTAGCAAAAAGTCAACTATAATTAGAGAAAAGCAACAAATAAAGGTGAAAGGCATTCTACCATCTTCTCTTCATACTTTTGTACTTTTTCTTTTAACCCGAGTATCGCCAAAGAAGCTTCATTATAATCCAAGACAATATGACATAGAAACATTGGGTTAGCAAGAAGCTGGGGTCTAATATTGGAAAATAACTGTCAGAGAACGAAGCTGCAGCTCACAAACAATCACGGCTACAGCGCTTGTCTGTAAGCTTCGAACCCGGAAGAAGTGTTGAAGATACATGCAAGCATGGTAACCTTCTCCAACGTGCCGAATAGCATCTTCCACACAAAGTCATCGCGACCTTTGTGTAAACCCAAATAGGAATAAGCTCGGCCGCATTCTAAGAGGAGTACACCAGCCAATTTGCAGCAACGAAGCCGCGAGACGTCTGAAAGCCAATACTATCAGAAGCCTGTGCGTTGCCAAAAAGCTTCATCATTGCCGAAATGGGCTAGTTTCTCCGTAGCTACAGCAATCTGGTTAAAGCGGTCATCATTGTCCAAGACAACACGACATGAAAGCAGAACCAGGCAAATGAGAGCCATGGTCTATTTGAATATGATAACGGGGAACATACCTTTCAAAAACGGCTGTCAGGAAAAGACCAAAGAACGAAGCTGCAGCTCACAAACAATCACGGCTACAGCGCTTGTCTGTAAGCTTCGAACCCGGAAGAAGTGTTGAAGATACATGCAAGCATGGTAACCTTCTCCAACGTGCCGAATAGCATCTTCCACACAAAGTCATCGCGACCTTTGTGTAAACCCAAATAGGAATAAGCTCGGCCGCATTCTAAGAGGAGTACACCAGCCAATTTGCAGCAACGAAGCCGCGAGACGTCTGAAAGCCAATACTATCAGAAGCCTGTGCGTTGCCAAAAAGCTTCATCATTGCCGAAATGGGCTAGTTTCTCCGTAGCTACAGCAATCTGGTTAAAGCGGTCATCATTGTCCAAGACAACACGACATGAAAGCAGAACCAGGCAAATGAGAGCCATGGTCTATTTGAATATGATAACGGGGAACATACCTTTCAAAAACGGCTGTCAGGAAAAGACCAAAGAACGAAGCTGCAGCTCACAAACAATCACGGCTACAGCGCTTGTCTGTAAGCTTCGAACCCGGAAGAAGTGTTGAAGATACATGCAAGCATGGTAACCTTCTCCAACGTGCCGAATAGCATCTTCCACACAAAGTCATCGCGACCTTTGTGTAAACCCAAATAGGAATAAGCTCGGCCGCATTCTAAGAGGAGTACACCAGCCAATTTGCAGCAACGAAGCCGCGAGACGTCTGAAAGCCAATACTATCAGAAGCCTGTGCGTTGCCAAAAAGCTTCATCATTGCCGAAATGAGCTAATTATCCAAATGTCCAAGGACGGAAACATAAAGCTTTGTCTACAAAATAGTTAGTAATTGAAACAAATTAAATACTTTCCTACCTTCATTTTCTTTACTTATCAGATTGAATCCAGTGTGTCATCCATATGAATAGAAGAGAAACAGACTGATGTTGAAGCTTAATCGCTAAATGTTCAATACGAGTGAAGAAAAAAAACGCGTATATGGCGGAATATTTATACAGGATCTACGTCATCGTCTCAATACTCCGCCAATCATATTCATACAGATTAGCGGCGAATGAACGTTCGTACCTGAGAATATCTTGAAGGCCATGAATGACTGAATTTAGTGAAATGTCCAAGAAACAGTGTATTAGCTTGAGACTATTATTCGTATTGAATGATTTGTTACAATTGAGATAAAACTTACTTAAAAAGAGCTGTTTTTTCTGTATTTTTGTTGGAAGCTTTATTCAAAAATGGTCACTTTTTTGGACGAAATGTTCAGTCCCTTTTTTTTTTTGCATTAATAACCATTCACTGCTCTTTTACAGATGAAAAACTCGCTGTCTTCATATCTATGGACTAATATTAATGATCCTGTCTGCAATTCTGACACTTTACAAAGATTTAACTTGAAAACACTTGACGATGCGCAAAAACTTTTCGGATCGGCGTTCAACAACCTCAAGAAACGCAAGACATGCAACCAGGAAATGAGATCAAAACTAGAAAAATATGAAACAGTTGTTAAAGAAGTACGAGCCATAAAGCTATACCTAGTGTATGATGCTTACCATTTCACAGTTCCTCAAATCTGACATAGCCACTCAACATTTCACAGAACTTCAATTACAAGCAGCTATTGTGCAACAGACATTAAAACGCGATGTATATCACACGTCTGTTGCTACGAACTTTTATGAGCAAAGAGTGAGTAAACAATGAAATGAATTTGTTTGATTGTTGTGCTATAAGACTTTTTGACACATATTATGATCGCTAGACTGCTGTCATCAAAAGAAGAAGAACTGTTCAGGTAAAAGGTGAACATATAACTCTTTAACTAACCGAGTCAAAACAGGAGGGCGAAAAGAAGGAAGATGTACTAGAAGAAGAGAGGTTAAATGAGGAAGAACAATCAAAAAAAGAAGAGTTAAACGAGGAAGAAGAAGAGGAAGGCTTAGATGAAGATGATATAAATGAAGAAGACTTAAACGAGGAAGAAGAACCAGTAAAAGAGGTTATCTTTTAGTAATTGAATTTTGTGGCAATTAACATTGAATACATAGGTTATGCAAAGCTTCAGAAAATGCATATTTAGATACTATGACTGCCTGGTTAGTATACAAGAAATAGTTTGTTATTGATGGATTGTTTAGGATCAGAAAAAAGACCTTGGCGATATTCCACTGACAGCCCGTGCCTTACTAGATTTCAATAACAACAATGGACCTGTTGATCTTTTTGCTTTGCAATTACTGGATAAGTGGCAGTCAGAAGGAGACTTGAGCTTAGATGAACAACTTCAACTCCGGTAAAATACAAGTCTCTTGGGTAATGATAATGAATTAAATTTGCCCATTTAGATTAAGCATCTCAAGAATCTTGGATACAATTGACAGAAAGAATCCTTTACTTTCCAAAGTTCCAAAAGAGATATTGTCTCAACATAACACATCGTTTCAAGAAAACGACATTAATCTAGATGATGAAGTCTCAAATTTCTTCAGAAATCTTAAAGAGGTGAGTCGTCTTACTATTGTCCTTTATGCGTAATTACACACTTATCTGTTTACTAGGAAAACACAACAAAAAGCAGGAAAGATCTAATAGTGTACGTTATGCAGGCAAAGTTAGATGCTTGGCGAGGTGAAAATGAAGACCTTAAGAAAGTCATTGAAATATACGAGTATCTGTAAGCGGTCATAGAAACAGTATCCATTTCAGTAGCTGTGTTGATATGTGAGCACAGACCATATAATTAACTTTCTTGGTTACATAGACTTCTAAACCTTAACGAGATTAACAAGATTGACAAGACATCTTCAGAGTTAGAATGCTTCTTTCCCACTTACAATATCTTGAACATCTTGTTCCGTAATACAGATGTCAAGATTGTTATGTAAGTGTAATACAATAATAGTCGCTTCTTGTACTTATAGCATTCAGTGGTGAAAAAGGATGCAATGTGACAAAAACTGCTCGTATGTTGAGTGAAAAATCTACTACTTTTAAAAAGCCATCAAATGTATATGGAAGAAAAATAGATTTGATGCTTATGCATGGCGATACAGTTCTTTGTTGTGCAGAGTGGAAATCAATGTCTGCTTCTATAGCCATGATTAAGAAGCAATTCGTAAAGAATCTTCGTGTGAATAAGTGTGTCCTCTTTGACTTGTGTCAAAAACTGAATGATGATGGGGCTGAAATACTAGCTATGGATTGGCGTGGCAAGTATATATTACTACACATTGATATAGGTATCTCATCTTTTCTTAGGATTGCTTGGGTATGTTTATACTATGAAGAAGATTGACAAGATTGTAGTCACCAAAAAAGTATGTGACCTGTTTCTTCCTCAAGAATATTGGGAGTTTGGAGACTTTTGTGATGCAGTCAAGTCACTTTTGCAGTTTAAGGTGAGTTAGATGAATCTGACTGATGTTTACCATGAACTTGTGTATTTTTAGAACCATTACGTTAGTGTTGTTAACAATTTAAGGACAAAAACGTCTCAGAGTCGCCGAGAACGCTTCTTTTCAAGCTTGTTTGATCATTCCCCAGTAAACAGTCGAAGTCCTTCTCCTGAAACCTTTTTCACACCAAAACGCCCACAATAGAAACCTCCTAATAACACAAATGTGCTCTACTAAGATTGAGAGACAAAAAAATAAAAAATCTTCTATTCTTATTACAATCAAATCTAGTAATATAGTCTGTCAATTTCAAACTGTATTGGTGGATCCAGGTACAGCTGTATGTGTCTGATACTGCTACTTTGTAAGCCTTGGCGGCAAACAAAATCCATGATTATGCAGCTATATGAAAAAAAGATTGCTACATAAAATAGTGCTATTATTACTGTGTCAACTCAATACACTAGGAGAACATAGATTATATGTTTCTGTACTCGATCATGTAGTCTCTATACCTCTAAAGCCCTCAATAAGCCCTTAAAACAGGGGTTTAGAAAGTTAGCTGAGTATAACTGAGTCTGAATAATGGTCAGGGAACTTATCAGAATATAAAAACAGGTTCCCACCCTTTTTTTCTTTGCTTTCTTTGCAGCGTGTTTGTTTTCTGTCCTTTCAGGATAATGTACCAAACGTACTTGAGGGGGGATCTACCACCTGGGTACAAGTGCATTCTCTGTCAAGATAGTCTGCCTTTTTTTCACTAAACGGGTCTTTGCCGAATTTGATAGAGAGTAAAACAGACGCGTGTAGAGGGTTAGCTTATGGTCCTGTCCGAGGGGGTATTCCATCTTAGTTATGCGCACTGGCGGTCCAAGTCCAAATATTCCCAACGCTGGAAGGCTACTATCTTTTCTTGGCACCTTCTTCTCACTTGTGGGGAGGGAGGGGAACCTATCGGATAGTAATAAGTTTAACCCTATTCGTGGTATCTTGGTAGTCTCATTTCTTTGTGTATGTGGCTATTAGGGTATTGCAGCAGTCTTGATCGTTTGCTACTGTGATAGTGCTAGAAAGCGGTAGTGAAGGTTACTGGGATTGATAGTCATTCGCCTTTTCTTTTGTGAATGCCCTTTAGAGGGGCTTATTTTAGTCTGATGGCTAGAGTAGTCTTTCTAAAGTTAAGCTTCACTTTTGAAGGGGCATCTGTCTATTCGTGGCAAGCTCTATTCATTTAGGGTCGACTATCGGACAGAGTAATGGCTTTTTATATATAGTGTTCGTCCATTCATTCGTTTGAGCGGATCATCTATTGAAAATGATAGACATTCCATTTTTTTTGATAGTGTGAATACTATATAGTGGGGGTCTGAGGGGCTTTGTGCGTACGCGCACCATCTTTTTGGGAACTCAATTGAACTGGTTTAGGTCCTCGTCCTAGTTCCTGGAAACAAATACTCACAGTATTTGGCTAAAGTACCAGTTTCTTTTTATCTTTTTATTCAATAAAGTATGTACTAGTGTTTAAAATATATGAAGAATAAGGCTGTCAAAAAAATGGGAAGGTTTATCTAATCACTTTCATCTTGCAATAAGTCTTCTTCAGATTCATGTTGTTCCTCAGCTGCTGGTTCTTCTTGCTCTGCATCAGTATCGTACTCTAAAGGATCACTATCAGCATCACTAGGTTCAAAGTCATCGTCATTTTCATCAGAATCTTCATTGTTCTCTGTTTGTTTCCCTTTGCCTTTATCGTCTTGATATTCATCGTCCTTCTTTACTTTAGGAGTGGGTGCTTTTCTTTCTTCGTTCATACTTTGGTCATCTAGACCAAGTCTTTTGGTGTAAGCATCAATACGTCCATATTCAGATTGTTCAATCATGGAAAATTGCACAGTATCTTCTTCTTTTTTGAATCCAGAGGAACCTAGTATTTGACTACCAGGCTTTAATGTCAATGTCAAATCAAATGTACGTTGTGTAATATTTGTAGTAACATTGGAAGCCAAGCTCTCTTTGGGGAAGAACAAAGTGGGTTTCTTAAAACCAAACAAGATACCCGTTGGCAAAAAGAACAGAAATCCGTCTTTGGCTTTTAGGTAGGCAACCACATGAGGACGGTCTTCTTGTTTGCCTGTGCTGGAAGAAACACCAGCAGAGTGAAAATAGTCTTCGGAGGGTTGTGTGATAGGAACGCGTGTGTGATCTGTGATCAATTTTGCGAGTGTTTGATGTTTATCTGCTGCAGATAATGTCATGGTGGATTCGGATTGACGCACTACGATATCTCCCTTTTCCTGTGTACCAAACACAATGCAATCTTCTTTCTTCAAGAACAAAACAAATGTATAGCATCGTGTTGCTTTATCAGGTGTAGGCACACACGCACCGCCTACAGGCGAGAGATCATTTAAATCATATTGAAATTCAACTGTATCTGTCTTCCTGTTGTATAATATCAAATGAGTGGATGTGATCAACAAATCGTATTTTTTTCTAGCAGGTAATTGAAATGAGATATCTACGACGCGCAGAAGGGGATCACTGGTTAAAGAAGTGGATTCTAATTTGCGTTTTTTGGCTTCTCTGTCAGAAGGTCTATTATCAAAATATTGGACTAAGCGCTCAATGATGCGACTGCTTGGTGGATAGGATTCAATCAAGCCTTGGACTGATTGCCTTAAATTTGGATCATTAATACTTTGTTCTAACCAAGTCATTCTATATAGATATATAAAAGAAGAGAAGAAAAAAAGGTTTTTCAGTAAAAGAAAAAGAGTGACTTGTTATTGAAAATAAGTTGCATAAATGAAAGTAAACAAGTAACGAATTAAGAAGATAATAGGGATATACAAGATAAAGTAGAACCAATAACCAAAGCATTCACGCAAGACATGCTGTAATGCGAGTTGGACTTTGATTGTCCTATGATGGCCCAACCAACGATCATTGTCCAGATCGCTTTCTTCAGGAAAGCTGCCATGTTGATTGAAATAGACAAGACGCTTGTCTTTTTCTGCCCAACGCTCCAGTAACCATTGAGTGAAGTTTTCTGTGCCTGAAGGTAGAGTGTCCAAACGGTATCGACGAATATGAATATGGATCTTATGAGGTCCATTACCCTCACAAAAAATACGTTTCATGGTCATGACATCTTCTGGATTTTCTCCGGGCTCTATACCGGGATAGGCAATGGTAAGATCATAAAGCCATTCTACACTATTATCGAGTGTATCTCTACATAACATTAGGCCTGTTGTTCTAGGCAAAAGCGTAAATTTAAAGTCATCCTATAAAACAGTAAATAACAAAGCTTTTTCTGTAGAAATTTATTACCATGTGAAGCTTAGTAGCATAATTTTTTGATTTTTGACGGGCATCATCAGAAATAACTAGTGAACAAATGATGAGAAATGGAAGATACTTTGCGTCTATTTACCTGTTCCTTCAGGAAACAAAACAAGCCATAATGGGCGATTTCTTTTTTTAGTTTTTTGAAGGTTATTGATAATATTATCCTTGTCGTATTCAAGCTTGCGTCTTAAAAAGATGAATTCAAAGAATTTCATGCCCTGTTGTATTATTAGTAAAAGACAGATGGGGATAGGAAGAATAATTTACCCTATCCGTTGTGTTAGAGAATGTGAAAAAAAAAAGATATCTCAAACTTACATTCCGTAAATAGGTACAAGACTCAAACTATATTTCAACATGATCTTCAATGATCCGTGTGCTTTAGACAAATAAGCTAAAAACCAAATATAAATCCAATCTGCATAAATCTAAGCAACAGTTAGAAAACGCAAGACATCTCTATTATCTGTGTACCTGATGATTAGCAATCATAATCAGTTTCTCGGGAAAAGATATTCCAACTACTTCACCATGCTTGTTACGAGTCAAGATCTTTTCTAATGCTTCTGTATCGTGCTCCGTAAATTCAGAGTTTCCTTCTGTACAGCTTTCATCAAATGTGATAATGAGTTCTCCCGGTGCAAACATATGCATCACTTGAAACAAATTCTGAGCCCACTGCCTCATTAAATGTGCATGGAACTTGTAATAGTATTTTAGAGAGAAAGGCCAGATAAAAATGGAGAGCCATTGAATGGCTACAATGCATGTTGAATGCCCCCATAGTGCAATAGAACACAGGATACCATTCGTAACAATCCTTATTGCTTCCATAAGTATAATAAAGAAAGAGGGAGAAAAAAGGGACAAGTTATTTGATGGCTATAAGCTGTTCTTCAAATAGTGACTGTTGGGATTGAAATGGCAATGGCACAATCGTGGCTTTGTTAAAACTGCATAGTTTTTTTCTTTCTGCAACTTTAACGATGGTATGTTAGATCCGAGATCATACTTAACCTCTAACTCGAGATCAACAGGGAAATAGAAAAATCACTTTAAAGACAATCAAGAATAGAGAGGGTATTCACCCTTATTCTCGAAAGGCACACCAGATATCCCGAGTACACCAACGTAAAGAAAAGCTAGCAGCACAAGAAAAGAAAAAGTCCAACAACCCAATAGGTAAGTAACAGACAAGCTAAACATTGACTTATTTATGTATCTAATAGGTGAACGATGGATTTGGTTCCGATATGCTTTTGATGAAGATAAATCAGTTGCTACTAAAGCGGACATGCACGAATTAATAGAAATATATTTGACTCGCCATGATGAAGAGATTGACACTTTGGAAAGCGATAGAAATAAAGGCCATCGTAAGCCTAAAACGCCTCGACAAGAACTGTTGGAATCCATTAGACAGAGTGAAATGAACGAATATGTCTCTGGCATGGGTAAGTTGTCTTTTTGAATTCGTTCTTTATTGAGTTGAGTAGAATTGCCTGACATGACCAATGGAAGAATATTGAGGTTGCTAAGAGACTGGGATGGTGATAAAAACAGTATGAAGCGCATCACTACCATTCGATTACAAAAGCCAACAGAGCCAGTAGCAAATACAGCAATGGCAGTGGATACAAAGAAGCAAAAAAGTAACACAAAAGAGGATATGATGGAATTATAGGAAAATAAAGTTTAAAGCTTAAATCTGATCTTTTTACTGCCCTCATTTGTCATCATTTTTACCCCTATTAGCTTTTTTTTACTCCATCATTTTTTTTATAAGAAAATGTGAGTTTATTGCTGTAAGTTTATTGCTGTAGAATTGATGTATTATTAAAAACAAACAGGGACAATTTGATTCATTATGAAAAAAACTCTTGAAAGTGTTTAAAGAATATACAAAAAGGGGAGGGAGAGAAGGAGAGAAATAATACGTTTGAATCGAGTGAAGACATAAGTAGAAATTTCTTATTCAAATCGCTATAAGATCAGCAGGGATCATCATAAAGAGAAAAACACACATTTGCAATCGTCTCCTTGGCAAATGTGTATGTTTTTCATCATTATTGGTACCACACTGTCCCCTTTTAACATTGAAAGGAGGAAACATTTAATTCAATTACATGGTCTGTTTCATAAACAACGCATAAAGCGTAGTGCATGTGTAAATTTGAATTTGACAAATACGCTGGGATGTAAGTGACATTTAAAGTTTCGTAATTAATATTCATCTCCCTTTTTATTCTTAACATATCATTCATGCTTGAAAAGAAACAAAGGCGTAGATGATGATGATGATAAAAAATCCTCCCACTTATTCTATCAAGATCTTGATGTATCTAGAAGACTCTTTTTTCATAGTCTGGAACAAAAGTCTCCTATCTTTCAATTGAAATATATCTTTATTATTACTGTCTTTTCTTTTTCTTCTTTTTCTGCTTATTTTGCTAGATCTTATTGTTTTAGATGAAGATCAATCTCTTGTGTAGCCTATGTACATGAACGTTTTCATCGAACAAATGTCTATTTTTATCCCCATAAGTTTTTTTTTTTATATGATTATGGTAGTTGCTTCACCCCTTTATTTCTCCTGAACCATCATCATCATGTAACAGAGAAGAAATAGTACCTTGCACAAGAGCAAATTAAGGTTTTTTTTTTTCTGTGCTAGGAACTTGCAATAACAACAACACCTATATAAAGACATTACTTCTTCTTTCTTTCTTTCTTCTCATTTTCCAATATGAATTCACCATTACCACTAACAAAAGAAAATTTGCTCAAATTGCAAAATCAAAGCAGTGTACAAAAAGATGAAATTTTGAATCGTTTCTATCAAGGACTTACCAAGAATCGCCGTCAAAGATGCCAGTCAAATCCACACAAAGATGATGTAGTTGTTGCATCGCCCTGGGTATTGCCCTTTCCGTATCATAACGACTCTATGTTCCTTCCAACGGCGGAACATATCCAATACAAACAACATAATGCATCTATTATCACAGCTACTTACTCTTCTTCTTCTTTGTTGGAGTCCAATTTGACTAAAAGAAGACCAAAATCTACTCCTGGTGGTAGCTACAGCACAACTATATGTTCCTCTCTTAAAAAGCAACACCAAAGAAAGAGAAGAGCACTGATGTCCCAATATGAGTCTGTGATGACAGAGAATCAAGGAAGTCTAACATTAAGCAGTTCCTTGTCATCTTTATCATCCAACAGTATACAAGAAATAACTATGCCGATTACTAAGAAGTCTTGGTTATTAAAGCGATTATTGAGATTATTTAAAAAGCAAAAGAAGCATACCAATGATAACCATAGTACAGTCTGGTACTGTCAGTATACAAATAACCCACCCATGAACTTCAAAAAGTACTATCAAGATCCCCCTACGATTGCTGTATAATCTCATTTATTATCTATAATTGCTATATACCAAAAAATGACAGCATTTCTAAATCATCTATACCACTGTACCATTAAATAAAGATATATATTATTGTTGCACATAGCTGAAAACAAACAAGTTAGTATGCCTTCTTTGTTTATTTGTATAAGTCCATTTGCTTGTTGAGTAATTTATGAGATGCTGGTATATACTCTTTCTTCTATTACGCCTTGTACCACAAATATTTGCTTCTGTCGTTCATGCAAAAAGAAACAAGTCTGGGGACATAAAAAAATTACGTATAAAGAAATAAGATCCTCGTTTGATACTTTTGTTACACATAATCAAATGAAGAAAAAAACAAACATTATGAAAGTTGCTTTTGAGATACTAGTACGCGCCAATACTTTCACACCGATTGCGTTGAATATAATCTTGATTTATTGAAAAACAAACAAACAAATTTAATACTATTAAACCTTCAGAAGACCGAAGCTTCACTATCAAAATGAAGCAGGAATAACTCTATGGTGCACTCTATTCCCTTTTCTGACTTCTACGTGAGAAGCGATTACTGGGTTTGAGCAACATGAAATTTATCATGCAACAAATTACTCTTGGGACAATTCCTCTTCATAATAACTTTGAAAGTTGTTATGCCTTCAAATTTTCTTTCAAGCATTGAAATATTAAATCTCTCTCTTACATTCCAGTCTTCCTCTTGTGTTTGTCTCTTCTCTTCTATACGCTACTGGTATAAAAATCAAATCTTGTCCCGTAAAAGCAAAATAGAAAAATATGCAGACTGCGAGATTCGAACTCGCGCCACTTTCGTGATTACGACCTGAACGTAACGCATTAGACCACTCTGCCAAATCTGCAACTCAAATCAATTTTTAAAATGCCTTTAATATATTTTGCAAAAAAAGTTAGTTCCGGGACGGGATTTTCCCGCACCTTTTCATGTAGTAGTATGTGCGGGCCGAAAGCTCTGCCTCTTGCAAAGGTATTTTTCATTTGTCAACAAAAAACTTAGATCATCCTGCTTAAACATACTTGAAGCAAGAAATGATATAAATTAAATCCAGAAAATATTAGGAAGCGGTGCATACTATTAGTTAGAGCTGTTTTATCATAATAGTAACTCCAAAGCACAAACGCTTAACGTATCGACTTATCCGTTAAGTGAAATCAGTGTATGAATTTCGATGTCTTCACTCGAATATGTTTTTCTTTATTTTCCTAAAATATATAGAGCACAAGGTATATATAATAATGATTATCTAAATAGCTAAAAACGAGTCATTCTTTGACAATCCATTGTTCAAAAACTAGACTACTCAAACAAGTGATATTATTGTTAACAACATGTTTTTTTTGAGTCCAGAAATCGAATAGTGCCATTAATTTAATGACTGTGAAAAAGTTATTCATTGATCCGTAGAGCATTCGTGAGAGCTCGTGAAGAAGAATATCAGATCAGCTTTGTAGGCCAGATCCAACTGATTATAGATGGGTACATTTTGAGGTACTTTCAAACAAGAGAAAACGAGTTTATCAAGACGAAATCGCCGAGTTAATTTGTGCATTACCTTTGAAATTATACGCTTATGTCATGTTCTAAAATCCCAAATTTAAAGTAGAAATGCCTCGACCAAAAAAACAAAAGGACATTCAGAAATAAATGCAATATTCTGAATTAGTTATACACTGACCCGTAATAAAAGTTAGCCTAGTTTTTTGTCATTCGAACTCAACAATAAAGCATCATGATTTAAGAGCCCTTCAATATGCCAAGATGATACTTAAACGCGCTCAGTCCTTTGTGGATGATTTATTGAGATGTTTATTTTAAGACAGTATAAACAGAAAGAAATCAGTACTTGGTGGTACAGCCTTTGGCATCTATCACAGCTTGGTATTGGTTGGTCATATTGTACAGTAATATGAATATAATGAGAAGATAGCATAACGCAAAGAAAAACAAACAAACGGCCGACTCCTTATTGATTATATTCCTTGTTATTTCCCAAAGCAAGAATTGATTAAACCTGAGCTTTGATAAATGGCTCTACACAACCATACCAGTAGCATCACGCCTATTGATACAGGCACATCAATGTTTTCTAGTCTACCGAGATGCATGGCTCTAAGGGAGGCATTCAGCTACCTTCACATATTCGTGTAAGTATTTTACATAGACTGGTTAATATCTGTTACTTGTTTGTATCTCTTTTATCTCCCTTCTATTCTCTGCTTTTCCTTACAATCCAATATAAGCAACAATATAAATATTACTTATGTATCTCATGCTCTGCTTAATTTCCAGAAGTTTTCCACACGACTTTTTTTTTCAATAAAGTGTATAAAAGTACATTAATGATTCGGGCTTTTCTAAAACGAACGTATCGCTGGTTTCATTAAACAATCTGAATAACATTGTATGATTGAGCTGTATGTATATTTGCTATAGGAAAGTTAAATGATAAAATTGAAGCTGTAAATATTTGGTAGTTTGGAACATGTTTAGTACGCATATCAAAAGCTACCTCTTATATACCAAGCATCATAAAATTTCTTAACGCCCTGATATTTTTCTTGAGCAATTATTTTGTTTGATTTAAGGGAATTAGGTACCTTTTTAATATGGCATCTTATGTGAACAAGCAATTTGATAGTTCATTATTTATTTATGTATTAGAGACACCAGACATTGGATGCTTCAACAATGAGAAAAGACAATAGTTCATACGGATCTTTGTCTTTGCCTTCGACATACAAAGGTAGCATAGAGCCTGTTTATACACTCATTATTACTTTATATACCTACAAACCATGCTCAATAGCATACATTATAATTTTGGAGTTGATTTGGACAAAAAAAAAAGCGACTTGTAAAAAAAGGCCAAAAACCTCTCGAATCCAAAGGGTACTACTCATGGAAAGATCTCAATTTGACAGCTTCTGATCTTCTTTTTGACGATGCAAGACGAAAAATAGAGCTATTGACAAGCTTAAGTACCCAAAATGTGCGTCAAAGGCTTCAGTTCCTGATCAAAGCATTTGCTTACCAGTCGTACTATAAAAGCAATACGATAGGAGTGAAACCCCTTAGAGACACTTTTGCAGATTTACTCAATATTTTAGCAGCCAAGTTGCTGTGCTCTTTGTACCAGCAGACTCAGAACGCAGAGATCTACAGCTTTTGTCTCTACACCAAAGCCATAGAACTGCGTCTTTATGCAGTTCCAAGCAAAAGCTCGATTTCTGATCTGCTGGATAAAGAATCCACATTTCTTCCATTTCAATCTTCGCATGTAGTCATCAAGTATGCCGTATGTCCAGTTACCCCATCTCTACATGGTGAATTGACCATGCTTTTGCCTTTCCATGTCCTTTAGCATTCTAAATAGCATATGCTGCTTTTCATAAGCTTATTGTTAGCAAGTTCTATATGACACCTAGAGCAAAAACGGTCAAAACACAGCTCAAAGGCATTCTTCTTTGATGTGTCATTACTCGACAGCTACATTATCTTTCAAATCAAGAAATCAAATGATACTACTGATATAAAAATTGAGTGAATTCTGTTTCTTGACCCATGAGAAGAATGACCCAATGTAGGTCTGATCCAACCGAAATCAGATAAGATCATGTCTAAATACTTCTAGCAAAAAGAAAGCGAGTTTACTAAGATGAAAATAGTGGATAGACATTTATTCTTAGACTTTTCGATATACAAAATTTGCGCAACCAAATCGTACTATAGCATTTGGTACTTTTGAAGTCGAATAGAACAGCTTTAGTACATGTAAACAATGAACATCTTGCAAACAGCCTTCTATGAGCTTGAGTGATTGTCCGGCAAACTCCGGTAAAACAAGTCACTTTTTTTTTCCTCTTTTTAAAGCCTCTTACAAACAGATTTTTCCTCTTTTTCTTGAGAGTTAATAATATGGCTACCCTTAACACTGAGCCTCTTCGCACTGTTCAACTTGATGGCTTGGTAATAACAACAAACCCGAGATCCCGTACTAAACTTACTTCTCAATCTTAGGTCGTCTTGAAAATCATCAAGCATTGTCGCGAATCTTATCCTAACGATGTTACTGGTCAACTCTTGGGTTTAGACGACAAGGGCACTTTGGAAGTAACCAACTGTTTCCCTTTCCCTTCTGACGGTGACGAAGATGCTAGTGGTAACACATAGATCATGCGATTGTTTTAGTATACTCATTTTTATAGCTCAATATCAATTGGACATGATGCGTTGTCTTCGTGCCGTCAATGTCGATAACAACACTGTTGGTTGGTATCGTTCTGCTCACTTGGGCAACTTTGTTGATCTTAGCTTGATTGAAACCCAGTACAGCTATCAAAATTCCCTCAGTGCTCAATCTGTTGTGCTTATTCATGATGTCTCCAAGAGTTCTGCTCAAGGTAATTTGAGTTTAAGAGCCTTTAGATTGCAAGAAAATTTCATGAAGGCCTTTGAAGCCAAAAAATTCACTACTGAAAGGTAAGTCTTGTCTTGGTGTATGTGTTGATATATACTCACTTCTTGAATAGCCTTGCACAAGCTAAACTATCCTTCTCCAACATCTTTGAGGAATTACCTGTTCAAATCCATAACTCTCACTATGTGACCATGATGCTCCACAACATTGAAATGCCTAAATTAGAAGCTGATCGTCTTCGATCACTCTCTACTTTTGCTTCTACTCAGCAAGCTCAAACTGAAATTGAAGCAGCCAGACCTTTGGCACCCAACTTTGATGTACTTGATTTGGAATTAGATCCCTTTATGCAAAAGAACTTGCAATACTTGTTAGATTGTGCTGATGTTCAACAACAAGAACAAAACAACTACCAATACTGGCAAAGATCTGTTGCTCGTGAACAAGCCAAGATGCAAGCATGGCTCACTAAGCGAAAGCAAGAAAACGCACAACGAGTTGAAAAGGGACAACAGCCTTTACCTGAAGATGAAGTTAACACATTGTTCAAGCTTCCTGCTGAACCCAGTCGTTTAGATTCCATGATCTTGAGTGCTCAAATGCACAACTTTACTAAGCAAATCAACCAATTTGCTGGTCCCAGTCTCGCTAGATTATACAGTATTCAAGAATTACAAAAATAAAATCTCATATTGTGTGTGTAGTTATACATTTGCGCATGTAAATACAAGCTTGAAACTGTCTAAATGACACTTTCCCGTGATCTTTTGCTATATAAATATGTATCGAATATGCAGTTTTTTTTTGTTTTTGTTTTTTTTCTTCTTCATGGATATACTCAACTTACTTAATCACCCTATTCCTTCCCATAAACCATACAAGTGTAACTGGCATGAGTGCGAAAAAAGGTTTTCTAGGAGGTCTGATTTATCACGGCATCGTCGAATACATACAGGAGAAAGACCTTTTCAGTGTCATTGGTTTAATTGCCACAAACAATTTATTCAACGTTCTGCCTTGACGGTTCATTTAAGAACACATACAGGCGAAAGACCTCATTTGTGTGAAGTGCCCTCTTGTAGGAAAGCATTTAGTGATGTAAGTCATGGCTGAAAAAAAAAAAAACAAACAAACAAAGAAATCTCAATACATTCTAGTCTTCTTCACTTGCTCGTCATAGGAGAACACATACAGGAACACGCCCTTATGCTTGTGAATGTGGGAAATCATTTACTCGCAAAACAACACTGTTAAGGCATCGAGAAACACGTCACTTAGCTCAGGCTTACAGCGAGTCAGGTGAATACAAGTCATTTCTTTACCAAACAAGATTAAGCTATTTAAATATAAACCAACTATTGTGATCACAGTGCACAGATAGTTGAAATCCATATTTTGTATAAAACGCACAGACAGTAAACAAATCATTTTTTTTTTAATGGTATAGATGTCTTTATTTTTTTTTCTTTTTATTATTATACAATGAGAAGGGGATATACAACATTTAAAGGATTTCAATACCACCTGAACCAGTAGATGGACTTGCAGGATTAGGATTAGAAGGAGATGTTTGATCATTCGATGCGGGTGGAGCAGAAGGTGGTCCATCAGCGTTAGGATTGAAATTGAGATAGAATTTAGGGCAATTTTTGTTTGTCTTCATATGTCCCATTTGCCCACAATTACCGCAGCGACGCTATCATGATTGCTATGAACATCTATTTCTTATATCATTTCACTTACCATAGCACCCTCACGTTTACCACGAATCAATCCCAAGACTGGATTCTCAGCTAAAGCAGCTTGTTTGGCTAATTGTCTTTGACGACGTCTTTCAGCATTACGCTTCAATTTGGCCAATTGATCTTGAATTCGCTTCTTCATACGGGCATTCTTCTCTTCATCGTCTGTAGGTTCTAATGTCTCAGCACTAAGAGAAAGAGAGAGTATGATGAGCCATGGATATCATCCCTTTTCGTTACCTTGTGGCTTCTTCTTCAATCATTTGGCGTTGTCTCAAGTAAGATTTCATAACAACAGGGTCACGTACTGTCTCTTCCTGCCATACTTTCTCGCCATTCTTTTGTGTAATAAGGCGTCGAATAATCAGGTATTTGTTTTGGTTGTTAATATGATAGCTAGAACTCATACTTCCAGTCACAGAGACGTCATCATCATCTAGTTCTGAAGTAGCACGGTCAAATCGACTACGTTGGTAAGAAGGTGTTGCAGGAGATGGAGACATGCCATGTCTATGTCCCCAATCAAATTCAGACTATATAGTTGATTAGCAAGATACAAATCCATGTTTACTTACAGCAGAAGGACTATCAGGTTGATTTTCCTCATCATCTTCATGGTCAGAAAGAATAGGCTCTGTCTTGTTGCTTAAGGAATCTAATTGTGCTTTCCAAATACGAGCAATTTCTTCCTTATAAATCTGTTGCTGTTCAGCTACATTATAACGATGTGCACTCTTAGGTCTAGCTTCAATCTGTGCCAATTTCTCTTCAGCAGATTCACCAGCACGCAAAAAGATATCCTTCATAGACACACGAATAAAACTAAAGCCTTCTCCACGACCAGTGGGATCACCAGCACCATACAATTTAAGCATGGCTTTACCTTGAGTAGCATTGATAAAGTTACGAGTAGAGAACCAAGGCGCCAATTGTTGTTCTACTTCTAATTTAGAGTCACCTTCACCCGTCTCATCATCATCATTCACATCACCATAACCCAAGTCTTGCAAATGGCGTTCACCCACCAACATGCTCTCGTATAAACAGACCATTTCAGGTGTGACCATTTTACGCAAATCTTCTTCGGAGGGAGGATCACCACCGCCTCTTGTCTTCCAATACCCACCACCACCATCTTTACTACGACGATGGAATTCAAGAAACTCTTTTAGTCTTTGGCGAATCTGAATATCAGAGTATTCAGGGAACTTTTTGGCTAACCGATTCATTTTAAGCCGTTGAAGACTATGGCGCTTAATGAGACGATAAGCAACTACTTGGAGTCGATTCTTGATGGTCGTAGTGACTTTACGTGAATGAGGACCAGGTACTTCTTGAACAGGATAAGATTGGCCAATAGTAAAAATAGCAGGTATTTCACGTAAATAGTATTTGGTTTGGTCTTTATAGGTACTCTTGAGCAATAAGAAATCAGTATGCTTCACATCGTGTCGAAAAAGAGGTGCACGAATCAAATTGTTGTAGTAAACAGAGATTGTTTGACCAGGTTCAACATTACCAAATGTCATAAAGGGAGAAGTATCACCAATGTCCAGCACAAAGGGTTCGCCAATATCAGCATTAGGCACAAATTCATCTTTGGGTTCTGTCTTTCGGTAATAGTTGATGACCAGTGTGCCCATGCCCAAGTTAGAAATGATAGGGGGATGTTCTTCTGAATACTCCATCAGCACAAAAGATGAACTGTCCTTGAGTGTCAAGTCTTTTGTACTGCGAATAATATCCACATGCCCTTTCTTTTTGTCTTTCTTTTTCTTTTTGCTAGCCTTCATGCGAGAAAAGTGAAGGTCTGTGTTGGTAGGCAACTGAATAAGAGGTCGGTGGAATGAACGAAGCTCTTGTTTGCTAAGCTTTGTTTTGTACAAGGCTGGGTGTAACTTAAGAGCAGGTAAGGCATGTTGAACCACCAATTGACCAAATGTCTGTCGAACACGAATGAGTCTTCCAGCAAGATGGGATTCATAATGCTTGTCATTCGACAGATTGAATCGATTAAGTGGTAGTTTGTTGTGTGGTTCTGTCTCTGTATGGAAGATCTGAATCTTGGGTAGTGGTCGAGGCAATGGTTTACGTCCCTTTTTGACATGTTTAGGCTGTGGTAAGAGTTCTTTGGTTGCCTCTACTTCTTCCACATCAAATAGCATGTTGGGATCATTCAAGTCGAGTGCAATCTTCATACTCGACATATCTGGTTTCTCATTATTCCAAATGACTGCATCAATCCAGTCTCCTTCTTCTAGTTCCATATTCAAATGCTTCATTGGCTGCTGATTGTTCTCGGCTAAAGCATCTGTAGGGACAAGCCTATTTGAGATTAAATCAACTGTGTATGTCAAATTGGATAGTTACGTTTTTTCATCGTCTGTTCCCCATACAATATCATTCTCCCAGTCATCTAACATGACTGAATGATACAGTTTGTCGTTTTCGAGTACTTTGAGTGGTGCTACGTCAGCAAGACCATCTAGTTCTTCTAGATAATCGTCATCATCGTCGTCTTCTTCACTTTCATTGCCACTGCTTTCTACTCGTTGTTGCATAGCTTCAATACGTCGCTTTTTAGAGTTGTGTTTTGCTTGTTCAAGGCGAAGACGATCGAGTTTACTGGTTCTTAAAAACAGGTTACGGTCATCCCGTTCTACTTCGTATTCATATCCATCACCATAGACAATTCGCTTTTGAGGAGCCAATTTAGGAGGACGCTTGATTTTGGCCATAAACAACTCTGAGAACTTGAGAATCTTGCCTTTTTCAAAACCGGGGAATAATTGTCGAACATCGACTTTGTGCTGAGGCGTCGTATCATCTAGAACAGACGTGTCTACTTCCATAGGCTCTTGTTTGATTTGCTGTTCTTCTTCCTCGTCATCATCGTAATTATCCGTGACAAGAGCAAGACGCGAACGAGGCAAGTTCTTTTGGACCATGCTCATACCACGTCGATAATATTTGTCTTGTACGTCAGGAATAGCCTCATCAAAATCAGAATAATCCACCGCATCTTTGGCATGAGCTGTTGGAATATTAGGAATACGATCCATAGTGCTTAATTCCTCTTCCTCTTCGTCTTCATCGCTGTCGCCCGGTTGTTTGCGCGTTGCATGTTCTAACCCAAACGTGTCTCCACTAAAGATCTTGGACATCACATTGGCATCCACGCTGGAGAGTGTTTCTCTAAGATCCTAGGCAACAGTCAGTACAGATTTACTATGAAGCTACCTACTTCGTCTAAGTCGCTCTCAAGGCGTCCTTGTTCATCCACATTACCAAAGAAATAGCCTGCTAAAGACATGGTTTTTTTTTTGGAAATAATCAAGAAAAAAGAGCTCTTTATTTTTCATAGAGACGTCACTTTATTTTATGTACAATATGATTGGTCGAGAGAATCCTATGCGAGTTGGCATGAATGTAGTGCAATGGATAGCTAATTTACCTTTAATTTCACCTTGAGGAGCACCTAAGTTGATGACTTCTTTGAATCCTACATGATTGATCAAGTAGTCTTCATAGTCTTCAGGTCTGAAGTGTAGTTCTTGCTCTACATCTTTTGTAGGCTATATACGCTTCATTAGAAATTCTTTTATGGTCTAGCTTACATCAATTTGTTTCGCTCTTCTTTGAAATGTATTGAATTCTTGAGGCTCCAACACAAATGTACCTCCAGGTGCTAATGAGTCATAGACTTTCTCAAAGAATCGCTTGAGTCCCTTATCCCCACCATGTAGCTGAATCCATTTTGTGATACTCAGTCTATGCTGTGTTAAATGAGTGAATAAGTATCGATATACATACGCTAATACTGTATCATAATGGCTATATTTATCAATATTAGTCTCAGTCCAGTCCATTGCCTCAAAATGTACATTGAACGGAAACTCATTGGGCTTCTTGTAAGAGGGTGGAAATGCCATAGGAAGCATACCAAACATATTTGTCATAGATTGAGGAAAATAGTGAAAGCGTAAACTAAGATCAATAGGTGATTGTTGATCTGGGTGATTGAGTGAATAAGCAACACGAAGATTTGTATGTGCTTTCTTGATCAATCCTTCATCAATATCAACACCATCAATTGAAGTAACAGAGTACTTTTTAGCTAATCTATGTTAGATTCAGTCCCTATCTTATGCTCTATTTTCTACCTATGGCAATGGATATATTTCCAGAATTGCATCCAATGTCCAGTATACGTTTGCCAACAAAATAACTTGGGTCTATCAAGTCAAGTCTTGGATCAATAAGAGCATTGCCTTGCTTTCGACGAGTCCTATATAGCTACATTAAAAGCAGGCATAGATACACACACATATAGTTGACTTACGTATAATAACCTTGATAGTTACCATAGACATACTTTCCAAAAGGTTGTTTTTCTTTTTCTTTTTCAACAAGATAAACAGCGCCTTTTGTCTTGGAACCTAACACAGGTACTTCTTGACGCGTACGTTTTTGTGCATGAGCATGCTCTTCAGTTGATGATCGTTTCATAATCAACTGAAAAGAAAGAAAAAAAAAAAGAAAAAGTACACATTTTGTATGACCCGATAATTTCTTTTTTTCTTTCTTTCTTTCGTGCTTTTCCCTATGTTTCAACTTGTCACTGCATTGGTTGCTACAGGCTACATATTCTCGGTCATTGCATTCTCTTTTGCCATAGTATGCGCTTTTGGTATTCCTGCTGTTCGACAGTTCCTTTCTGTCTATCTTAGAAGACACGTTATGCTAGCCGAGATCTTGTCTTCTGTTGCTGTTGAGTTTTCTTTTCAGGCTATTGTTTTTAAATTGATGCTTATTCAGGTCGTCAAGTGGTTAGGTGGATTTAGTAAGTCTTGTGGTTGAAGCATGGATATTGATCAAATCAGACTATACACTCGCTTGGTTATTTTACTTTATCGACATGATGAATATGGGTGGACTTGCTGTCTTGTTTTATGAAATGTTGAAAGAAATAACTGTTGCTGACGACGCTATCAAGGCTATGGATAATAAAAGTCAGCCTATCAAGAGTATTATTGGGTAAAAACAAGGATGCCAGTCTACAATGAATGTGTATTGACCTTACTCTAGTTCGGTTGAATTCATGAAATTAGTAAATCCTTTTTGGACACCCGCTGGCATTAGAAAGCATCCAAACAGTAAATATCATTTATGTTGTTGCATGTTTTGGCTGACATGATCTAGTTACTTATGCTACGAATGAAGAAATTCAAGATGCTTTGGCAACCACAAATCATGATTTTGATCAACCTAGAAAAATGATGTTGGATGTCTATACTTTTGGTGAAAAATCAACTGGGCTAAAGCCTGTCATGGTCCATATTCATGGCGGTGCATGGAGAATAGGCTCAAAAAACACACTTTATCCTCATGAAAAGATTTTGCTTACCGAAAATAACTGGGTAAGTGATAGAAAGCATAGTTTTTGAGCTTATCGACATACTAGGTTGTTGTGAATATTGGGTATCGTTTAGCTCCCAAGAACGCTTATCCTACTCACTTGTGCGATGTAAAGCGCGCTATTCGCTGGATAAAACAAAACATCGCTTCTTTTGGTGGCAATCCTCACTTTATTGTCTTGTCAGGTATAAAGATAACATCAATGATATAACTGATAGTGATGTCTAGGTGATTCTGCTGGTGGTCATTTATCGGCTATGGCTTCTATGACCATGAACGATCCTCAATTCCAACCTGGTTTTGAGCATGTCGATACCTCTGTCAAAGGTGTTGTCAGTCTAAGCGGTGCTTTAGATATATCTGCTCCTCATCTTGCAGAATTCTTTTGTAAGCAAGTGGCCAATCTCGACAAGGTCGATATGGACTTTATGAGCAAGCATTCACCTGCCCAATTTGCACAAACAGCCAAGGACCAAGGCAAACTTGTTCCTTTCTTGGTTATTGCCGGTAATCGTGATTCACTTGTAGATATTGCGATCGCCAACAAGTTTAAAGCTGCTTACGATCAAGGTAAATAGACTGAATAATGGATAGTGTATTTATATGATTAGCTACTGGTTCAAGTGTTGGGTGCAATCATGTGTTGATTCCTGTAAGTAAGCAGTGTTTTTTTTTTGAAAGTTGCTTATGTTCTATGTAGGCGGGTCATCATGTCAGTTATATGACTTGGTCTCCTCGTTCACTTTATATGTCTCGCGTCATTCAGACATGGGTTACTCAACTGTATCTCAATCTGAACAAGTCAAAGTTAGAATAAAGTGGGACTATCTATATCATTTTGAAAAGAAACTGTTGTTTGATGATTGGACTTGAGATGTTCCTTTTCTGGTCTTTGGAGCCAATGCCAAGTTTTTTTTTTTTTTTTTTTTTTTTTTTTTTTGCACCTTTGTATACTCTCAGAAACTACTAACAATGTTTGCTAACATACAGGATACTTTTGGAGTTGGTTTGCACAAAAAAAAAAAAAACGACTTGGAGAAATGACCAAAAACCTCTCAAATCTTTTTTTTTTGTAGGGGAGCTATGTTCCCGTTTTATTTAAAGTTCTAAAGATATCGTAACGAGTGATAAATAAGACTAAGGAGGTATATTGTGCAAGAGGAGGGGGGAAAGGAAAAAGTACATGAATTTTACTAATGTATTGAGCGAAGGGAAGCCAATCTCGTTATCTGCGGCAGTAATTTCCTTCATGTTTTCATCATCCTGAGAAGCGCTGAGAGGGGTGGATCCTGGGTGTCGGGATTGTTGTTGAAGTAGAAAACTCTCGAATAACTTTTCCAGTCTTCTATGCGACTGGTTGCTGCAAGCTCCGATCTGAGTTGTGCATTGTCGGCTTCGTATTAGAGGAGTCGTTCCTGCATTCGAAGCATGTCGTCTTTCGTAGGTTGTGGTTCCTGAATGTCCGAGAGTGCGACGGTTCTGTTTCGAGTTATAGGGGCTTTGTAGGGAACCACTGAGGGTTTTTTAAGTATAGTAACTTTGTCTGCTGCCATCTTGTTCGTGATGAGTTCCGAAGGTGTGCTTGTTCTTGAGCGTTTTCTTGAGGGATGAGAAAGACGAGATGAAGGCTCGGTTGGTGCAGGAGTCGGAAATTGCTCGGGGCCGACGATGTTATTAGTATTCTCAGCTTTAGAGGATGTACTATCGGCTATCTTACTGAGAGTGTGGAAAGTAGTAACGATCGGTGATGTTTGATTGTTGACAAGATATCTGTATTTGATAGTGTTCTCGGAGTTTAAAAGGTGCTAAAGTGTTCTTTAGCGGAAAGAGCTTCTCGAATCCAAAGGGTACTACTCATGGAAAGATCTCAATTTGACAGCTTCTGATCTTCTTTTTGACGATGCAAGACGAAAAATAGAGCTATTGACAAGCTTAAGTACCCAAAATGTGCGTCAAAGGCTCCAGTTCCTGATCAAAGCATTTGCTTACCAGTCGTACTATAAAAGCAATACGATGGGAGTGAAACCCCTTAGAGACACTTTTGCAGATTTACTCAATATTTTAGCAGCCAAGTTGCTGTGTTCTTTGTACCAGCAGACTCAGAACGCAGAGATCTACAGCTTTTGTCTCTACACCAAAGCCATAGAACTGCGTCTTTATGCAGTTCCAAGCAAAAGCTCGATTTCTGATCTGCTGGATAAAGAATCCACATTTCTTCCATTTCAATCTTCGCATGTAGTCATCAAGTATGCCGTATGTCCAGTTACCCCATCTCTACATGGTGAATTGACCATGCTTTTGCCTTTCTATGTCCTTTAGCATTCTAAATAGCATATGCTGCTTTTCATAAGCTTATTGTTAGCAAGTTCTATATGACACCTAGAGCAAAAACGGTCAAAACACAGCTCAAAGGCATTCTTCTTTGATGTGTCATTACTCGACAGCTGCATTATCTTTCAAATCAAGAGATCAAATGATACTACTGATATGAATTTTATTTTTTGACCCATGGGGATCACGTTTAGATGCTTCTGACGAAAAGAAAACGAGCTTAATAAGACAAAAAGGCGAGTCAGTTTGAAAGTTGCCTTCAAGTATGCACTCAAAGTTCGTGATACACTGTAATTGATAGAAAAATGGCCCTTTTCTATACGTCACCGATACAGATAATGTTTTTGAAGGATACAAAAAAAAAAAAAAAAATCATATCAAAATCTGTTTTTATTGAAAGAGAAAAAAGAAGTAGAGAGTGTCATGCTTCAAAAAGGTTTAAAGCTTTGGAATTAATATTTTTCTTATTTTTTTCTAATGTCTTGTTCAGCCTTGGTGATTATGCCAAGAGAATGAGGCAAACCTTTTTTTTTTTTTGTTATTTTGATACCAGTTGCAGTATAATATATTTTTAGTAGATAGAGCGTATTCAGCCTTTTCTTTCTGTTTCAGAGAGTCCAAGAAAGAAGAGTTTCCCGGGGACACCAGCTAGGAGGTAACACTCGATTGCTCCCCATATATGAAAGAACGAAAAGAAATAGAAGCAAATGACTTTTTATATCTTTTTGTTTTCATGCAGCTTAATTTTATTTATATATATATATGCGTGTGAAAATGAATCATTGTTTTTTAGCCATAGCCTCAAGTTTTTCTTTAAATGTGATGTCAACAAGCATCTTTGCAAACTCATCAAACTTGGGATATTCTGCTCTAACAAGGTCCAAATCTTTTTCTGGTGTTTTGGACGCATCTAACAAGCGAATCGTTTCTTGGAGTTGTGAATCCTGTAGAAAGGTATGAATGTCTCTTGAGTAAGAAAGCTTGATAAGATCTTCCGGTGTGAGCCGACTTGGGTCCTCTTCGTCAGGTGGTCCAATGGGCGTAATTTCTTTTCGGGTAATGGGTTCTGAATTTTGGGTTAGGTGAAATGTATTTTTATCAAAGTTTACCTGTTGTGTTTGTTGAAGGTGCTTTACATGGAATTTCTTTATGTGTCTTGAAACATACTAAAGAACAACTTTAAATTTGTCAATAACAGGCCACTTTTTTACTGCACTTGCATTATTTACTATGGTGCTCGACACTTAGGACACTTGTATTTAGCTTCTTGCTTTTCACAAATTTGACAGATAGACATTGAGTGAAAGAGATAAAGAAAATATATAGAAAAAATAATTTCTTTTCCATACATAAGCCACATCAGCACAGTTATTTTCATGCAAATAGAACGTCATTGTTTATAGCCAATCATAAGGTCCATGTTGTGAATATACTTTGTTAATGATAGAGTGCAAATTACTATAAAAATATATATATAAGCTTTTATTTTTTTTTGGATAATGAATCAAAAACTAATAAAATACATGTATTACTTTTTCATTAAAGATATGTCTATTCAAGTCAATCTAAAGACTTTAAAATTCATTCAATCACACCAGATAACTGTAACACAAATGAACTTTTTTTCTTTTCTTTATTTTTTTTTATTTTATTTTATTTTTATTTGAATAATGGAGCGTTTATATTCATTTTATGACTCTGTTACAGAGAGAGAGACATTTCATATTCAAAGCGAATGGCTTGGTAACAAGATTGATCTAGATTCAGAAAACAATGACAATATTGACTATTGCCTGATTACCATCACCAACACAACAGAACACTGGACCTGTAAAAGTAAAATATCGTAGCTTATTTTATTTATTCTAACCACATCAGTCACACGCGAATTATTACTTGAAAACTTTAAAGTGAGCAATGCCCTTGTACAAAAACAGAGAAACAATGTCCTTACAGCAGCATTTCAAGGAGAACAGTCCATTTGTGGTGATAGACTTGAATGGAGAGTCACTCGAGATAAACAAGATCAAGATAAATTACAGGTAAATCCACTTGGTTAACAGCTAAATTTAATTAGATTTAGATGAAATTAAGAACATATGATGGTGACATTGCCTTGACTGCAGGTCTGTTTCTGTTAGACAAAGTACCAGAATCAGACTCAAAAGAATTACATGCATCATGGTTTAAAAACTGTGCTATAGCATCGCGTACTTCTACTGTAAGTTCCTCTTTATGATTATAAACACACCCCATAATATGCGTGTATATCTATAGGAAATATGCAGAGCTCTACAGCAACGTACTTTGGATATCGAAAAGACATGTAATGAATACAAACAGATCATTGAAGCCATGACAGTCAAAATGAACCAAAGTAAATTCATTATGCTGGACAAATTTACCAATTTATTAAACGCAAAGAAAAGAAAAGCACGGGCCTACAAAAATGAGTACAAAAAGCCAAGCAATAAGCGATTAAGACAGGAAGTGATGGATACCAGTGCCAAATCTCAACACATGAGCCCTAAATCAACTGTGTCAACATCACTTGAAGTGTGCTCACAGATTCACAAAGAAAAAGTTATCAAGTCAAATCATCAGGACGATGACTCAGACTTTTCGGAGGATGGCATTGATTGTCCAAGAACTGTTCGATGATTTTATACCCTCTCTTGTAATTTAGATAGTTACAATATAGCCTAGAATATCAGATAAACTTAATAAACCCACTAATTTGTATGTATCAGGTTCAATCACAACCAGGCGATAGACTCTCTTTTTGCGAATGGTTTTGAATATAGAGTAGAGTGTATCATTAACAGTGCATGTACAGACGCCAGGATAATCCTTAGTAGTTGAGTAAAAAGTCATTATACATCAATTTTTACCTTGGGTCTTGATTTTAACGTCTGACTGACTGGTAAATCAAGGTCATTATATCTTTCTGATCTGACAAGACTCTATTAAACAAGCAATATGAGCTAATAGTGTCTTCTACAAATGTCCCTTACCATCACATCAATGGTATCATACAAATTTAATACGGTATTGTTTTCATCTAATATAGGTACTGCACTAATATTTAGATCTGCCAATAGTTTAATGATATCAATCACAGGTGTTGACATGTAGGCAGTGGCTACTTTATCTCCATAAGTGCCAATTTTGAGTGTGGATAATGGTATCTTGAGTAAATCTATCTGCTTGAAATTATTGGCGATAAACTTCAAGAGTCGATACTGAGTAATGATGCTAATGATCATGGTTTGGTCTTGATGGCGGGCAATTAGAGGAATACGATGCGCTCTTGTCTCGGACATGAGGATTGCGGCATCAAACAGAGTTGTGGTCGGGTCAGCACTGATAGCTTTTTGCTTCTTCAATTGGTGAATACGTAAGTAGTCAATTTCTTGTTGAGGTTTGGGGTTTGTGTAGTAGTACTGGATAAGGCTAATAAAGTCACTGACAGTCAACATGCCTGCAAACTCTTGTGTATCACTCGACCATAATGGGGCTGATACAATACCTATTTGCATATCAATACCAATCTAGATAGACAAATGATTTACCGTTTTGTACTAGAATACTAAGGGCTTTCTTTACAGGCAAATAGGTATCAAACACAACTAGTCTGAAACTAATTGGTAAAACATCATAGCATGTATGCTGCTTTAAAAACTCGTTCATATATATAGATATATATGTATACAGATGTGTTTATAAGAAGAAAGATAAGAAGAAGAAGAAGAAGAAAAAAAAACAAAAACATAAAAAAGGGCATTTAAAATTCTTTTTCTTCCCCCAACAAACAGATCCGTTGATTGTCTATTTTATTAAAAGAATATATCTTTTTCTAATAAGAGTGGTTTTTCATATCAATAAGTCTATGGTAAGCTTATCTCTTTATCTAAACAGTTCTAATCTATCATCTTCAAGACGAAACATTGGGGGCGTATCTGAAAAGTAACACATACTTTTCGATAGGAGCTTATTTTATTTTTCAAAGTAGCATAAAGAAGTTTATAATACTTGTCAATCAAAATACTGAAACAATAAAACTTCTTCATGGTTTTATGCCAAGTAGTTTGATAGTTTATCAAAATAAAAATACCCTTTTATTTCGAAAAAAAAAGATGCCTCAATTACGATTGGATTGATTGATCTGAATAGATTAATTACAAGCGCGTCTTTCTCTTGATTAATTGTTTTGGAAACTTTTGTGTGTTGATATATATACATTCTTTTTTTTTTATTCTGTTTAAATGGACAATAAAGACAGTCAAGAAGCAGATTCGCTACTGCATCAAGACCAACAAGCACCTACATCTCTTTTTTCCAACTTTGTAAGTGTTATTTCTGGTGCTCGACAGACAGCCAGTCAAGAATTTACACGCTTCTGGGAAACACTCAACACGTCTAAAACACCCAACAGACAAGCGCCTTTATTCATGGCATCCAGTAAAGATTCACATAAAGACACAAGTGAAAATATTTACAATAGCATTATACCTGATTATAATCGACGCAGTTGCATTAAAGATGCCGAGATCCAAACAGATTTTGTATCTGAAAAACGAAAGTATACAAGTGAAGTAGAAGCAGAATCTCGCCCTCAGAAACTAGCGAAACGAAACACTTCTCCTCCACAAACACTACATCAGTCTATCACTTTCTCTAGAAAACGACAAGATTTTGATAAAGAACAGGAATCACCGAGAAAGATATTCAAAAGCACACCTTCTTCACCTATTAAACATGATGTTATCAAGGGCTCAAAATCTGTCAAAAGACTTACTCTTGAACTTGAAGAAGCACTTTCACCTCGTTTCCCAGCCTATTCTCCTTCAGAATCCCCTCGATCTAAATCAGAAATCACCAAGCCATCATCACCACCAAGCCAAGAAGCCTCTTATCAATTAGGGTCTGCACTTTCAGATGTGGTCAGCAATAGTCCCAATGAAGACGAAGATGTGCGTCTCAACAAGCTTACAGAGACAATTCGACTGACAAGAACAAGAGTAAGTTTGTATACTTTATGCCATATATTGACTATCCTAGGTTTCTGAATTGATGGCTTCTTCTTCTTCACCACCAAGACCTTCTCATACCCTCACCTCGATAAGCCAAGATAATAAACTATCTTTTTCTCCGCCTCCACCCCTCCTCCTATCCCATCATTACCATCACCTGTGGGTAATCGTAGTCCTTTTAGTTATATGAATGGATCGAACCTTACAAATTCACCCATCAAGACCCTTACACCCTTAAGGCATCATGGATCGCCTATAAGGCCTAATGACAAGCATAAATCAAAAATGCGTGAATTAATTCAATTGATACCAAATGTACGACTTAGAAAGACAGACACTATTATGTAAGTAATACTTGTCCTTATGATCTACTGAACCTATATCTTAGTGGACCTGATGGAAGAGAAAAACCAAATCCATTTTGGAATGAAATCTACAACCCTAAAAGACGTGTTTTTTAAAATACATATACACTGACCCAAAATAAATATTAGCCCATTCAAACTCAGCAACAAAGGTATCCTAATCCAAAAGCTCTTTAAATATCCTTTAATATTTTATTACAATGCTTTGGTTTCTAAGAATAAGTTGAAATGATATGATGTATTTTTATGCGATTGTCTTCTTCTTTTTTCTGTTTACTCTTTCAAAATGCCTTTACCTAATCTTTGAATTTCTGCTAAAATAGCACCAAAATTAGGCGAGATCATTTTAGAAATATCAGATTGACCCTTGGCAGGTTTCTATACAAAATATAAATGTCTATGAAACACATCTACACAACTTACCAAAAAGCCATTCTTGTTCATATCCACAGGAACACTGTTGTAACCAGACTGAACTTTCCATTGCATAGGTGTAGCCACAAAAGGATTCCAGACAAGCGCTAATTGATGACCACCATACTTGTTATGGAATACCATCACTGTGTTACCGTAAATCTTTTCAATTTCTTCTATCAATTCAGATACAGGATCAAATTGTGCATAAGCTGTGTCACCGAGTGTATTATTGTTGTTGTTTACGAAATGAGCAGCCTGAGGATGAAGGTTTTGATAGTATCTTGTACAGCAGGCAATATCTAAATCAAACACAACAGTGTAATCTTCCATAGGAGTCACAAACACACGCTTGATATCCTGCTCTAAGGCTTGTACAGAAGCACGGGCCAAAGCTTGAATACGAGCAGCGATGGGGCGACCAGGCTTATAGTGTGTCCAACGATGACCAGAATGATCTTTGGCTGTAGCAATCGTAAATGCACCAATGCTCAATGTTGTGTTTGTCTTACGGTGTTGTTGGAAATCAGCCAAGATAGCCTGGCGATCAACAGCCGTTAATTCGCCTTCAATATCCACAATCAAAGGTGTATTAATCCAGTCCCATGTAGCTAACAGGTTCAACACACGGCCAAAAGCAGCCAGTGTATTGACAGGCGTGACCCAAGGTTGAGGAGCCAAAAAGACATGGGCAACCAATAACTCGATCATTTCCTCACTCACTTGAGGAGACAACAAGTGGCAGCCAAACCAACGCTTGGTCAGTCGTACCGTGCTAGAGTAAGCTGTGTATTTGGCACACATGGCTTGAACATAAAAGGTGTGTGTCTGTCTGTATTTCAAGGTCAAGTTGTACTTCGTCAAGGCTTCTTTCGCCAATCCCTTGTTGAGCTGTGTGTTTGTCTTGCTATCGATAATCTTGGTCAAGAGGGTAGCTTCTTGTTCAAGACAGATATGACAACGGAAAACGTAGCCAAAGTAGTACACATCCAAATAACCACGTATAGCATAAGGGTTTCTTTCCCGCACATCATCCACAGCAACAGAGTCTAGTTGGTATCTGCGCTTCAATTCTTCTGCTATCTTGAGATAAAATGCTTGTTTGACATTTTGAAGTGCGTCTAAATCATCAGGAAATTTAGCTGAACGTTCAATCTGGACCACCACATCCATAGCATCAAAGTAGCGTGTAGTGTTGGGATAAGCAACCATATTGTTGAAATCGACTGGATGAGGCACATGAACAGAAGCATAGCGCAAGTTGGTATGGGCAGGATATACATTGTTGATCAACAAAGGTAAAGCGTCATCGACTTGTCTCAATTGCTTGCTGAACGATCCAAAGGCTGTCATGACTGAATGGAAGCCAGTCAATTTGAGATCAGGGCTAAACAAATGTTCAGGCACACTCTTGGCAAAGTTCAAATAGCTATAGAGTTGACCAGCCCAATAGTCAACGTTCTTGAGCTTCAAATGGTGTTGCAGCAAGTATAACACAATTTTCTGAACAATCAAGCTGCGGTTTTCATAGCCTTGTGTTTGCCATACAACAGCTTCGACAATAGAACCGTCTTTGAAACGACGCAATTCAGATTTGGAGCCCCAGAATTGACGGAATTCAGCGACGGCGGCTTCATCAGAAGCATCAGGGCCTTGGTCCACTAAGCGAGGTGCATTATCAGAGTTAAGCAAGAGGCCAACACGAACAGTAGCACTGGCTTCAATATCTGCAGGAGAGTCAGTAATCAACCAACTGTTTTCTTCCATCGTATGTTGTACAGCAACCAAATCAACACGGTTGGTAAGGCCACGCATCAAGATGTGAGCAAGACGGTTCAAGAAGTAAGGCAAATAGCTATGATAATCAGCCTTGGCTTCTTCACTCATCGTCTTGTTTTCTACTTGAGAGATACGGATGATATTGTCGTATTTGAACTTGAAATCATTGACTTTTCTTAAAAAGATGGATTCAAAATGGTCATTGCTATCGTTAAAGTATTCCATGGCTAACTTGGCTTCATGTTGGACTTGAGCCATACCAGACAAAGTCATGTTGGCTGTCAAGTTAAGCATACCAGAAGGATCCACAATAATCACATCATAATTTGCCTTGAATGCTTCAGCACTAAACTCAGGCTTGTCTGTTTGGCCGATCATGACAGGCTCATGCTTGAAATCGTGTGTAGCCAAAAAATCCAATGTACCACGCAATAATTGATAGGAGCTGTGGCTAGCACTCAGCTTCTTTCCAGTACCATCACTGTTACCTTGCATCAAGTAAGCCATCACCATAGAGAACACAAAGGGTGTCATACCAACAAGACTCAAATCACGTTGATAGATCCAAGTACGTGCAAGTAAGATGGCATTCTTGAATTCAGCAGAATTCTTGCTATGGCCATAGAGAAAGGCCAAGTTGCCTGTGTAAGAAGTATCCATCAAAAGAGAAGCATTGTAACGAGGTGTAGCCAAAGCAGGCTTCACACAACTTTTACCGGGCGCTAAACGATGCATGGGGAACACGTTTGCTTGGACACTAGGCAAGATACGGATCACACATTTCGTCTTTGAAAAGTCAACGTCAGACTGATCACCAGCAGGCTTCACCAATAAAATAGGACGACGCAAATCACCATGGAGTGTGCTGAATTCTAGGTTGAATTTCTTCTTGGATGTCTGAATTGCATGAGCCAAGACAGCTAAATAACAAGCACGCTTGTGATGATAACGGTAATTGGCATAGTCTTTTTCTTGAAAGACATTGTTGGGCATTTCCACAGCAATATCAACATTGAAATGATGCTTTGTTTTGGCAATTGATTTAAGACCATAACCACCTACAATGTGAACAGAATTAAGCTTTTCAAACTTGAAAGTATGAAGAGCTTCAGGTGAAGGCTGTGGATCAGGGAATGGTGTTTGGATATCTTTCTTTAACATATCTTGGCTAAATTCATGCAACTAGTATAAACAGCATTATTTTGTCTGATCTGCTATATGTTTTCTTCACTTACCTTCATAGGTTTTCCCTCGGGAATGGCGTCAAAGACAGCTTTAAGATGATGAAGTGACTTTTCCAATGCTTTATGCTTAGTGTAATTCATGTTGACTTCTTTCAATAGCTCCTCAATCTAATCCATCAAAGTTAAATTGATGACTCAGAAGTAAATCTATCATTACCTCTAACTTGAAAATATTGGATTTATAAAGTTCAGCTGTTTCTTTAAGACCTTCCAGTTCACCTGAAATAATGTCATCCTCAGTAGGCTTGGTGTGTTTGACTTGAGTACTTTCAAGTTTTTGCTCATCGTCACTGTCGTCCGAGTTGGATTCCCATGCAGCTTCTTCCTCCGAGAAACCAGCGTTTTCAGCTACTTGATCGTCTTCATGATCACTCTCTTGTTGAGCTCTTTTTGATGAATGATCTTTCTTGGCTTGCTAATAAATAATACAAATGTCAATACAACTTATCCCAGAACTTGTCTCTTCATGCTTTACCTTAGCAGCAGGCTCAGTGGTGCTTTTGCTCTTCTTGTACTTTCTCTTTGCTGCAAGAACCATAGTGGTTGTTTGAAAAGATGTCAAAAACTTTTCGGAGTTGCTTTCTTCCCAAATAGTCGTGCGAGAGAAGTGGCTTGGACTCCATCGCTCAAAATGACTGTTTTTCATGAAAGGCTTATGTGAAGCAGAAGCGATTTTAGGGGACATATTCGCTTGTGACCGGCCTTCTAAAAAAAAAATATGAGGACCATTGAATTTTTTTTCTTGATTAGAGCAAACCCTTTCCTTTTTCTTATCCATTAAAAATGCTTGTTCTTTACGAAACTGCTGCTGGTTACGCTTTATTCAAGCTTGTTGACGACAACAAATTAGAAAAGCCTGAACAAATTTACAAGGAATTCGAAACTGCCGAACAAGCCAACAAGGCGTATGTATGATCTGAAAGACGTGTATCAAACTGACCCTATTTATAGTCTTAAGTTGAAGGCTTTCAAGAAATTTGAAAACACAACTGATGCTTTGTCTGCTGTCACTGGTATCGTTGAAGGCAAGTTACCCAAGAACTTGAAGAAGTTCTTGGAATCTGAAATTAACGAAAAGGAAATGAAGAAGGAAAAGTTGGTCATTAGTGATCCCAAGCTTGGTAAGAGACAGAGATATTGACGTGCTATTTGTCTAACTTGCTCTCTAGGTTCTTCCATCAACAAGAAAATGGGTATCAATGTTTTGTCTGATTCCACTGTTCAAGACCTTTACAGAGGTATTCGTTCTCAATTTGAATCTCTTGTATCTGGTCTTTCTCAAGCTGACCTTTCTGCAATGTCTCTTGGTCTTTCTCACTCTCTTTCTCGTTATAAGCTCAAGTTCTCTCCTGATAAGGTTGATACCATGATTGTCCAAGCCATTGCTCTTTTAGATGATCTTGATAAGGAACTCAACACTTACGCTATGCGTGTCAAGGAATGGTATGGCTGGCATTTCCCTGAAATGACCAAGATTATTGTTGACAATTTGGCTTATGCCAAGGTCGTCAAAGCTATTGGTTTCCGTACCAACGCCAGCAGCGTTGACATGTCTGACATTTTACCCGAAGAGCTCGAAGCTGAAGTCAAAGAAGCTGCTGAAATTTCTATGGGTACTGAAATTTCTGAAGAAGATCTCGAAAACACCTTTGCACTCTGTGACAATGTCATCAACATCACTGAATACAGAAGTCAATTATACGAATACTTGAAGAACCGTATGAATGCCATCGCTCCCAACTTGACTGCTCTTGTTGGTGAATTGGTCGGTGCTCGTTTGATCTCTCACGCTGGTTCTCTTATGAACTTGTCCAAGCAACCTGCTTCTACTATTCAAATCTTGGGTGCCGAAAAGGCATTGTTCAGAGCCCTCAAGACCAAGCACAACACACCCAAGTATGGTTTAATCTTCCATGCCTCTTTGGTTGGTCAAGCTGGCCCTAAGAACAAGGCCAAGGTTGCTCGTATGCTTGCTGCCAAGACTGCCTTGTCTCTCAGAGTAGATGCCCTTGGTGAATCAGAATCCAATGAAGTTGGTACTGATGGTCGTACTAAGATTGAAGCCCGTATTGCCATGCTCGAAGGTCGTGTTTCTGCTAAGGCTAACAAGGATACTTCTATTCAAAACCAAACCAAGTTCAAGTTCAACAAGACTCAACAATACAGTGAAGGTGCTGATGTTGTTATGGACGAAGTCAAGGCTGAAACTGTCAAGAGAACAATTGACCAAGTTGAAGCTGAAGATAACGAAGAAGAAGAAAAGGAAGCCAAGAAGGCCAAGAAGGAAAAGAAAGAGAAAAAGGACAAGAAAGAAAAGAAGGATAAGAAGGAAAAGAAGGAAAAGAAAGAGAAAAAAGAAAAGAAGAACAAGGATTAGATCACTTTTTTTTTCTATTATTTTCACACACACACACACACACACTCTTTTTTTCATCTTTTTTTATACATGTAATTTTTTTCTGTTATTATTCATTCCATATAATATCTGTACAAAAAAAAAGTTTCACCCACTTTTTTATCATTTTATCAACATTTGCTTTCTCAATAAACATATTCTATCAGAAACAAGTCTTTTTGAATGAGATAAAAAAAAGTGCAATTTTTTTTTTTTTTTTTTTTTTTTTTTTTTGTCATCATGAGTTTATTGAGACGTTTTAAAGCAACTGATTTGTTTGAATTCAACAACATGTAAGGAAAACTATGTCAAGTAATCTAGATCTAACTTGTTATGATAGCAATCTCGATCCCTTGACTGAAACAGTAAGCATGCATGATAACATGAATAGATTAATTGACTTGATTAGTATAACATTTCGTTTTATCTTCAATACTTGGCACGTTGGCCTGACTTGTTTAGTGTGCAAGTCTCTCCACATAACCGTTTAATGGGTTATGGTAATTAGTTGCAAATCAAAAGAAAAAAAATAGGAATGCATCATTGACGCGTACATTCATAGTGATGGGCAAGACAGAAGGTACAGGTAAAAACTGGCATGGTCACGTCACAGCTATTACTGTCTCCCCTGAATACCGTCGATTGGGCCTTGCAGTGGGCATGATGAATTTGCTTGAACAAGTATCTGAAAAAGTATACAATGGCTGGTTTGTGGATCTTTATGTCAGAATATCCAATGCAGTGGCTATTGACATGTACCGTAAAATTGGCTACTCTGTTTATCGAAGAGTGCGCAATTACTATGCAGGACATACAAATGAAGATGCTTATGGTAAACATATTACTTGTTTTTGTTTTTATTCATTATTTCATAGATATGCGGAGAGCATTGGAAAGGGACACAAAGAAAGAGACAATACGAGAGAATGGAGAAAAGGTGTTTGTCAATCCAGAAGATTTGGATTCATGGCGTTAAAATAAAAACCTATTTTCGACGTTTAAAAGCATCTACCATGATATTACGCTTATTGTTGGATGAACTAGATGATTTTTCCTGTTGTCTCATCATCAATAATCCACCAGCAGCTTCCCCAGCATATGCTTTTCGAACATTATTGCCTATCTTGGCTGCTCGACCATCCACCACACTACGCACTGTTTGTCCATCATGAGGAGGTGTGCGCATTGAATCATGCGAACCTCTTCTTAGCTTAATCTGAGATGCTATCTTTACTTTTTTTTGAGGGCCTTGTTTATCCTTGTCAGGTGAAGAAGGTATGACAAGACCAACATAATCACCTTGAGATCGAGTGTTACGTTGTCGATATGCTTCAGAAACATATTGTTGAGTCTGTTGAGGCTCTTTTTTGTATTTAGAGATTGGCGAAGACTTTTGAATCTGCTTGGCAAGTGTTTGGATTTGTTCAGGCGCTGTAGGCTTACCCATCGATTCAGCCCTTCGTCTTGCCTTGTTAAAAGAGACCGGTTTATCATCTAGACATCATAAGTATGTTTGAAACAACAGGGAGATAACTTACTAGACTCAATGGTTGTTGATGATGCGCTACCAGTAGACACAGGTTTGGTATGACTATCAGGCTTGAAAGGTCCTGTGAATGGCTTTTGCGTTATAAAAGGATGCTGGAGTGCCTGAAAAGGAGTCCATCTCTTCAAGGGATTCAATTCTAATACACCATACAAAAAGTCGAGGATGCATAATCTTGCTTCCATTTCTAATGCCTTTTTTATGAGCTCATGCTATACTAGAGCATACTTGCCTTGTTGTCTTTCATTTTGCTCTCTCAAGAGATGAACTTGTTCGCCATTAGCTGTATTAACTCCCCGCTTCCTTTCTTCTTCTTTGGACAAGACTGGATTTCCATTGTTGAACATCAAGATAATGTCCTTGAGTGTTGTTTGAGGAAAATACTTTTTTCTAGGTAATTCGTTTTTACTATTTTCTTGACTGTATTGCTCGCAAGACTTGAGTTCATATTCAAAATTGTTATCTCCAACTTGCTTCTTGTTAAAGAACACATGTGTGTTTCTTCCTTTGCTCAACATGTCTTTTGATGGAACTCTATATAAATAAATGAGTATGCAAGTGACTTTATATACAATCATGGTTACCCTAGCATTTCTACAATTCTGAACAATTGGTTATATTCTGAGCTACCAGGAAACAGAGGCAAACCAAGGAACAGTTCTGCAACAATGCAGCCAAAAGACCACATATCAATGGCTCCAGTATAACGCATGCCCAACAAAACTTCTGGAGACCGATAAAAGCGAGATTGAATATAAGTATAAATACGATTTGCTTCATGACATGAGGATCCAAAATCAATAACTTTGATTGTCAATGATTTTTCACTTTTAGAAACATTAGAATACATATAAAATATATATAATATACCTTGTCAGTAGAATGTTTTCTGGTTTCAAATCGCAGTGAATAATTTTTGCTTCTTTTAATAAACAAAGAGTATCCAAAATCTGTACAGCAAATGCTCTAACTTTATCGGATGGAAACCCTTTGTATCGATTATGTCCAATAAGGTCGTATAGATTGTAAGACAGTAATTCAAATACCAAGCACAAATGGTTTTTATGAGGAAAGACATAGTGGAGTCTTAGAATATGATGTTTGTCTTCTGGATCCATGACTGTATTAAGCTGAATTTGTGAGAATTTTATTTTTTTTTGTCAATGACTTACCTTTTTTAAAATCTCAATCTCCATGCAGCTTTGTGTTTTGTATGCGCTCTTATTCTTGATCACTTTTACAGAGCACAATTCGCCAGTAGAAATACGTTCACATTTCACAACTTGGCCAAATGTGCCTTGTCCCAACAAGTCAATGACACGATATCTATTGGCAATTCAGCTCTCACTTTGCATATTATTCTTATTGCTTACTGATGGTTAGGATCTTCTCCTAAAATCTCATTTACTTTAAGAATGTAATCAAAGTTTTCGTTATCATGATTTTCATTTCTGACAGGCCTGCTTGGTTTAGTGAGTATTCTTTTGGGTATCTTGCTTTGATCGTATGCAAAGTTGGAATTATTGGCACTATAAGTATCTTTCAGAAAAATGGTCATTGCCAGCAAGAGTGAATCCTTTTTGATCTATAACATATGTAAGTCTTTGCATATTTCATTCGATCTCACCTTGTCTCTTCTGGTTAATAGTAGTCTGTCTATCTGTCTTTGACGCATGGCTGTATTGCTAGGTGTTACTCTTACGAATCCCTTTTGCTTTCTTGCGTTATGGGAATCATAAGATGTCTGTGGCCATTGATAGCCTAAATCAAGTTGGGGACAGATTTCTTCACAATAGTAAGGCGAACTGGCTATTTTTGAATTCGTTTGTGGCTGAATACTGTTCTTTGATATAGTTGACTTATTTCTGTGAATGGATGGTATACGTCGATGAATTCTCGATGCTTCTTGTATCTGCACAATTTCTAGTTCGGGTTCCGAGTCCCAATCGCTGTCTTCTTCAATCATATTTTTATGAAAAATCAGTTTGCCTTGATATATTTTTTGCTGTCGAAGTTCTTTATGAGTATGTCAGTACTTTTTTTTTATCATTTGCACTAACTGTCTTGTAAGTTTTTGCTATGCTCTTTGCGAAAATTAGACCGAAAATCTTGGAGCTTGATGCTTTGGTTACTTGAAGGAGAATCGCAAAATGAGATATTTTCAGCAGAAAGACTTGCAGAATAAAGAGACTTTCCTCGATTTTCTTTATGATTATTCATTGTAGAACAGGGAAGAAACAAGAAAAATAAAGGGTTATCTAAAATAGTTCTCTTTCCAGTTTAAGATAATTGTTATTGTTTACTTTTTGTACTACTTTATGGTACTCATTTTTTTTTTCAAGAAAAAAAATATACACTACGTATGTGTCTGATTAAAGCTTATAAAAAAAGCTGGCAATTCAAACAACTCTACACTTATAATGCATATGCAAACCAAAGCTTATATATTTTACTGAAATATGATTCTATTATCGTCCAAGAATCGTATAGGCATATATGGTGATGGCTCATTTTCCGATTGTTAGGATGAATGATTTATTCTACAAGGCAGTAACATCCTTTGGATAAAATTGAAGGAGTTTAAAGTCATTTTTTTTGCGTTGTTTCTTTTCTGTTTCCATAAAAATGTTGCGTACAGTCTTTCAACACGTTCAACGTCGTACTTTTTCAAACACCAGCCGCTTGTTTATCGCTGAAGGCGATAAAATCCCGAATATCGAAGTCCAACTTAAGTCTCCTGCCGAGACTGTAAAGACAGCCGACTTTTTCCAAGGCAAGAAGGCCATTTTATTTGGTAAGAAAAGTCAACGCGTATATGTAAGTTAATTATTTGTTCATATAGGCGTTCCCGGTGCATTCACTCCTGGATGTAGCAAGAGCCATTTGCCTGGTTATATTCACCAAGCTAAAGAATTGAAAAAGAAAGGCATTGATACTATCGCTTGTGTTGCTATTAATGACGCGTTTGTCATGAATGAATGGGGTAAGGCCCACCAAGCTGAAGAAAATGGCGTTACTTTATTGGCCGACTTCAAGGGTGAATTTGCCAAAGCTATGGAACTCGATTTTGATGCTACTGGTGCTCTCGGTAACCATCGCTTTAAGCGTTTTGCTGCTATTTTAGATAATGGCAAAGTTCAAAAATTATTTGTTGAACCTGACAATACTGGTTTGAAAGTTAGCTTGGTAGAGAACGTCGCTAAGCACTTGTAATAAACATTCGTTGTTTTTGATAATGCAATGTTATTTTTTTTTACTGATTCTCTCTATCTATCTACAGCTTCATACCTATCAAAAAGCTCAATCTATCTCTCTTTTGCGGTTCCTTTAGTCTATTCTTATTTTGTGGCTGTAGAAAAAATATGCACAGCTCAAGCTACCAAATTATCTTGGTATGATCTGATGCATAACAAGCAACTCTATTACAAATCTGACCTTTGACCTTCAGCGGGAGTTGAACAGAGTATCATTCATTTGTCGAACTTCAGTGATGTTGCTACTAGTCTTTTCTTTTCGTCTTCTTTTTTATGCAAACTCAATCAAAACGTGATTGCAAGAAAAAGAATGGTCTCCAAAGCAGAGAGCAAGAAAAGGGAACCCGAGGTTTGAAATGACGAACCCTGCTCCTACAAGACATCCATGGTTAGCTATGTTCAAAGTTGCTCCTCTTAGCTTCAAAAGTGCCATGTGTTATTGTAAACCTTACTCTTATGTATTTTGCGCATCGAATGATATAAGGACAAACACTCACTTACTAGTCAATACATACATATATATATATATATACTAAAATAGACCACTTCTGGATTAATTATAGTGTATCACGAATTTTGAATGCAATTTTGAAGGCAATACTCAAATCAAGTCAGCTTTTTCATCTTAGTAAACTCGCTTTCTTTTTGCTAGAAGTATTTAGACATGATCTTATCTGATTTCAGTTGGATCAGACCTACATTGGGTCATTCTTCTCATGGGTCAAGAAACAGAATTCACTCAATTTTTATATCAGTAGTATCATTTGATTTCTTGATTTGAAAGATAATGTAGCTGTCGAGTAATGACACATCAAAGAAGAATGCCTTTGAGCTGTGTTTTGACCGTTTTTGCTCTAGGTGTCATATAGAACTTGCTAACAATAAGCTTATGAAAAGCAGCATATGCTATTTAGAATGCTAAAGGACATAGAAAGGCAAAAGCATGGTCAATTCACCATGTAGAGATGGGGTAACTGGACATACGGCATACTTGATGACTACATGCGAAGATTGAAATGGAAGAAATGTGGATTCTTTATCCAGCAGATCAGAAATCGAGCTTTTGCTTGGAACTGCATAAAGACGCAGTTCTATGGCTTTGGTGTAGAGACAAAAGCTGTAGATCTCTGCGTTCTGAGTCTGCTGGTACAAAGAGCACAGCAACTTGGCTGCTAAAATATTGAGTAAATCTGCAAAAGTGTCTCTAAGGGGTTTCACTCCCATCGTATTGCTTTTATAGTACGACTGGTAAGCAAATGCTTTGATCAGGAACTGGAGCCTTTGACGCACATTTTGGGTACTTAAGCTTGCCAATAGCTCTATTTTTCGTCTTGCATCGTCAAAAAGAAGATCAGAAGCTGTCAAATTGAGATCTTTCCATGAGTAGTACCCTTTGGATTCGAGAGGTTTTTGGCCTTTTTTTACAAGTCGTTTTTTTGTCCAAATCAACTCCAAAAGTACAATGTATGCTATTGAGCATGGTTTGTAGGTATATAAAGTAATAATGAGTGTATAAACAGGCTCCATGCTACCTTTGTATGTCGAAGGCAAAGACAAAGATCCGTATGAACTATTGTCTTTTCTCATTGTTGAAGCATCCAATGTCTGGTGTCTCTAATACATAAATAAATAGTGAACTATCAAATTGCTTGTTCACATAAGATGCCATATTAAAAAGGTACCTAATTCCCATAAATCTAAAGGATGATGCTTTTACTTTTTACTATCTTTAAGTGTGTCAAGGGATTAATAAAGCACATGTCAGACCATGGTTTTCGCTTCTTAAGATCGAATTTAATTTACTGCATAAACAACTCATATGAGGAAAAACTAGAATGAAACTAAAACTGCGTTTTAATCAAAGAAGCACGTTCGTAGCAATCTTGGCCGATCCACGAAGGTCATACCTGTCAAATCGGTGTTACATTTGAACAGAGGAGTTACAATAACAATTATTGAAACGATTTGTCAGAAAGGTGTTATTGAGCTCACATTTTACAATTCAAATGCTGTACAGAAGAAATCTCATGGAACAAAAAAGTGTATGAGAGACAATGGCAAAGCTGACCAAATGGAGGTAGACATCTGAAGCTAGCATTATCAGGCTTCTCGAGTAATCTTGTTTTGTTTATGGATAATACTATCACTCGCAATGCCAATGGCTTTCAAGAGCTGATATATTCTTTCTAGAATATGTCTGAGTTGTTTTGATCAAAGTTCAAGGCCAATATAAGAAGAAAACGCCTCATTTTCAATGATAATCCCAGCCTTAAAATGACAGAGTTTTTCAAAAAGACAGTATAGACCAGATAAATCATTCTTAGTCCTTTTTTTGATCCTTGAGCCAATGCTTAAGGTTGGTAGATCTATCCGTGAAATTAAAAAGGCAGTCCAGTCACGTGAGGTAACTCTTTTTAATCCAAACAAAATTGCCCTTTCTTTTCTGGTTTAGTGTATACTTGTATTCCTATTCTTTTATACACAATCAAGAAATATACACGCCACATTATATATATAGGCTAAATTTCTATATATTTATTCGTAATTTTTATAGATAATACCAAAATGTGGATTAAGCATAGAAAAATATCAGTGATCCTATCAAGCATAGTAATAGCAAGCTTATCCTTGACTTATTATTGTTTATTTATACAGCAAAAATTACCACAAAAAAAAGAGAAATACTTAGCCTATTTACCGCACTCTGGCCTATCAAATCAGCGAATTGAGCTTGCAAATGCTCTACTACTAGCTGCCATATTAAAGAGAACCCTTATTGTCCCGCCAGCGTTTCTAGGTAGTGTGGTTGGGTGGATGCCGATGGAGCAACTACTCGATCATCTTAGTTGGTTAACAACCCCAAAGGACTTTGACTCAATTTGTCATCGACCTACGTCTGGTCAACTTTCAAGTTACACGCAAAGAAGCAAATGTGCAGAGTATTATCAATTTGCTGCTATTCCATGGTACCAGCTGCACGACTTTAGCCAACTAGAGCCCTACGTCAAAATTGAATTTAGAGAGACAGTTTCGTTCGAGTTGTTACAAAAAGATTTGGGCGTAAATGATAACGACACATATGTTCATAGAGACGAGCACTTGTACGACTGGAGACTCTACGAAGACATTGAGGAAGCAAATCGTATCTTGAACAATGGATCTAATTTCGTGGATTCTTTTACAGACCGAAAGTTTTACAAGATATTTACACCACAACACTGGCAAAAAAGAGACGAAACATTACTGTTTTTAGGTGGTATTTTTGGTTCTACTAGAATGAATATGGCGAAACCAGAACATATAGAATTACAGGAGCTGATTACATCTACACTTCACTATCGACTTGACACACCTCTAGGAGAAACAGTGGCCAATATTGTTCAACACTTGGGCGGTAAAGCGACATTTAATGCTGTTCATTTCCGTTTACGTGATATACCTTTTCGTAAATATGCTACAGAAAATCTGCATCAATTTGAACGTAATATGTCGATTGCTACTGGCATACCAGTACCACCATTGCCACCTTTTAATGAATTTGGTGTTCTCACAAGTGCGCCTAAACCACCACCGCCTCCAGAGCACCCTATCTATATTGAGCCACAGCATGATCTTAGCCTCCCACCATGGTCTAATTTATGCGAAAATGTTTCGCCTAGTTTCAGTGTTTCGATGGAAAATATTGGATCAAGAGCTGTTGTGTATATTGCTACAGATCATAAAGATATTCGAGGAGAAAACAGTCGATTGCTAGAATGGTTTAATTACTTCCCGTGTACTTTGACTCTAAATGATATTCCAGGTGAATTAATGGATCCTTTGGACACAATGCATTGTATGTTTAATCCCAACAAATCACTCAAGTCATATTTAATACCACTGGTGGATGCAATGGTTGCTGCCCATGCAAGAAGAGTCTTTACTACACCAAGATCAACATTTTCAAAATATATTGGTGAGCTCAACGAAGCTTGGGTCTTACAAGAGCAGGGCCTTAATTTGTCCTCCTTTTATCTGTATGAATAAATAATCTGAGTTTATAAATGATGTACATCATTATTATTTTGAATGTTAAGCACACTTCAACTACTCTAATGGCCCCAGAGCTAACTCGTGTCTGTTGATTTTGATCTATATTTTCGTGCTTCCTTTTTATATTCTGTTACACTCTAGTTTGCATATTGATTCATTGATTTAATTTATTTTTGGCCAATCATGAAGCGAGATAAAAAAAAAAAAGACAAATTATACAAATTTGATATTTTAATTACATTGTTTCGATTTCTAAAGTTCCGCACATTTGGTTTGCAAAATTTGTGTTTTTTCTGTCAATCCTTGAATTCGCAGTGATTGTAGTTCAGTTATGACCAAGTAGAGTGATAATGTGAATTTGATTGTTAAATCATTCTGTTTGATCTACAGTGCAGCTGTCAAACGAAATAACTTCATTTACATATAATCAAATTGCATGCTAAACATATATCATATCTTTATACGAGCAACAAGGCGCATTACCAACCAAATTAACGCTCTAATTAAATTAACATCATTTTACTAACAAAATTCTCATTAGGCCTCCTTTTCAAACGCAGGATAAAATCCTTATCTTTGACTGAAGTTGAATTTTCCTAGGGGCCACCGTTTTTTTTTTTAGATTCTCGACCGTTATATCCTCCCAAAAAAAAAAAACGGTGGCCGCAAGAATAACTATCAAACACTACCCTTCTTTAAATTTATGGGAATTAGGTACCTTTTTAATATGGCATCTTATGTGAACAAGCAATTTGATAGTTCACTATTTATTTATGTATTAGAGACACCAGACATTGGATGCTTCAACAATGAGAAAAGACAATAGTTCATACGGATCTTTGTCTTTGCCTTCGACATACAAAGGTAGCATGGAGCCTGTTTATACACTCATTATTACTTTATATACCTACAAACCATGCTCAATAGCATACATTGTACTTTTGGAGTTGATTTGGACAAAAAAACGACTTGTAAAAAAAGGCCAAAAACCTCTCGAATCCAAAGGGTACTACTCATGGAAAGATCTCAATTTGACAGCTTCTGATCTTCTTTTTGACGATGCAAGGCGAAAAATAGAGCTATTGACAAGCCTAAGTACCCAAAATGTGCGTCAAAGGCTCCAGTTCCTGATCAAAGCATTTGCTTACCAGTCGTACTATAAAAGCAATACGATGGGAGTGAAACCCCTTAGAGACACTTTTGCAGATTTACTCAATATTTTAGCAGCCAAGTTGCTGTGTTCTTTGTACCAGCAGACTCAGAACGCAGAGATCTACAGCTTTTGTCTCTACACCAAAGCCATAGAACTGCGTCTTTATGCAGTTCCAAGCAAAAGCTCGATTTCTGATCTGCTGGATAAAGAATCCACATTTCTTCCATTTCAATCTTCGCATGTAGTCATCAAGTATGCCGTATGTCCAGTTACCCCATCTCTACATGGTGAATTGACCATGCTTTTGCCTTTCCATGTTCTTTAGCACTCTAAATCGCATATGCTGCTTTTCATAAGCTTATTGTTAGCAAGTTCTATATGACACCTAGAGCAAAAACGGTCAAAACACAGCTCAAAGGCATTCTTCTTTGATGTGTCATTACTCGACAAGTACGTTATCAACAGGGCTGTTTTTTTTGTTTGAGATGTTTTTTTTTGAACCAAAGAATCCAATGGTATTATTAGTTTGGCAGCTATATGAATTTCATTTTTTTGACTCATGGAGGGTTCGTGGAGAGAGAATGAAAAAAGTTTGATCAAGAGCTCTTTGGGTCTCAGGAGATAATTTTTAAAAATATTGCAGAAAGTTTCAGGAAAGTGCATTTCTAGACACTTCTGAAGAAAAGAAAGCGGGTTTAATAAGATGAAGAAGGCAAATTTATTTGAGCATTGTCTTCAAATCTGCATTTAAAGTTCATTGTACACTGCAATCAGTACAAAAGAGGCCCTTTTCATTGAAAATCAGATAGTAAATGGGCATTTATTCTTACACCATTCTACGTACTAAATGTATGCGAGCTGATCGTATGATGATATGTGGCACTTTTGAGTCTAAAAAGAGCAGTTTTGTACATGATAAACGATAGGTGTCTCGTTTTCTTTTTTTTTCTGCGTCCCTATTGCCTTTCGACGACTTTTGCTGTTCAATTTTTGATCTCTGAATATACTGTATTTTGTGTGCATGATACTTTGATGCATTCGAAATGCACAAAGATAAGGAGATAGCGATCAAGTCTATTAACAAAAGCTGTAGTGAATATATAATGATACCTGAGAAAGTAGAGAAAAGGACTGAGATAGTATGAAAATCATGTACGGAAGTTTGACAAAAGCATGTGGTACAGCTAAACGCTGCTGTTCTATGCTCATCTGCCTTACATTTACACTGTAGATTGCCAATATTTCTATTCTCCTATGTTATTTGGCATTCAAAATAGCATAGAGCAAAAACGCTCAAAAATGCTCAAATCACAGCTGACACATGCCGCCATTACTCGACAACTAGACTATCAAATTAGTCCCTTTTTTCATTTAAAACATGTTCTTTCAAACCAAGAAATCGAATGGTACCATTGGTTTGGCAGTTAGACGAAACTTGTTTTTTATTACCCATGGGAGATCTACGGAGGTCCGTGAAGATGAAAAAAAAAAAAAAAAAACTCGACCAAGAATTTTTTTGGAATGGCCAATTGTAGGTCTGATCCAACCGAAATGAGCTGAGATTACGTTTAAATACTTCTGACAAAAAGAAAACGGGCTTACTGAGACAAAAAAAGGCGACTCAATTTGAGTATTGCCTTCAAATATGCATTCAAAGTTCGTGATACACTGTAGTCAGCACAAAACACTTATGCCGACATTCAAGTATGCCATTTGTGTACTCAGAAAAATATTTTTTAAGGCAATTTCTGCCATGCCAAAAAAAAATAAATAAATAAAATAAAATAAAAAAAAAAAAGAGCAATATTTCTTTTATAAATTAAACAGAAAACCCTGTTTTTTTTTTTTTTTTTTTTTTTTTTTTGTATAAATATACAAATCTACCAAATAATGGGTTTACTGTTTTAGTTTAAAAAAGGGATTGCTGCTTGGTAGATTTGTTTGTTTATTCAAGAAAAAAAACAGGGTTTTCTGTTTAATTTATAAAAGAAATATTGCTCTTTTTTTTTTTTATTTTATTTTATTTATTTATTTTTTTTTGGCATGGCAGAAATTGCCTTAAAAAATATTTTTCTGAGTACACAAATGGCATACTTGAATGTCGGCATAAGTGTTAGCGGAATTGGAAATAAATTTATATATCTTGAAGATGATATTTTTCTTGGTTACACTAAACTTCACTAGAATAGATTACTCACAAAAAAATTTAACCGTTGTTGGCATTATCATTACAGCCGTATCACAAGTTTGGAAAGCACACTGGAGATTTGTCATGGACAACGTAGCTTTTGATGCCTACTCCACTCTACAACAAACACGTACTGCTTTACAACTGCTTGCAGATGAAAAGCAAGTACACACAAGACTGTAATTCTTTTCGTAGTTTTTTTTTTCCACTAATAACAGTGGCATATCTTTTACTTTATTCTGCTTAGTTTGCTTTCAGCATAATTGTATAATATAATTCAGTATGAATTGCGGAGCAATAATAAAAATCTCTAAAAAAAAATTTTTTTTTCTTGACCTTATGAAAAGTTCCTGACGTTTGTGAGTTTTGTTGTAAGTATTTAATTTATATGCATCCTTTTCAAACTATCTTTCCTTCCCGGAAAGCATAAATCGTTAAAATCTCGTGTATAATAATGGAGTATTGAACAACTAGCCCTTTTTTAATCTGAAATTAATTTTCATCACACTGAGCACTGCAAGAATAAGCTTGGTACTTTCTCTTGTAATCTTCTCAGAATTTTCATCCTCCCAAAACCCTCTATACTCATAGAAATAGTCTAGTGCCACCATTGCCCTAGATGGCATCTACTCAACCTCGTAGTGACAGCTTAAAAAGGGTCTAAGTTATAGAAAATGAATAAGCCACTGAGGATAATCCTTTGACTAAATTTTATCCAGCGTGATTAAATAAAGAGGTTCAATTTCAAGTTCGTTGCAGGAACGAGTGTTTACCAAGTCGAAGCGAACTAAACTATAGCTGAATGACCATTTTTTTTTTTTTTACCACAGGCGTTAGTTTGACTTGGTAAACACTCCTTTTAATAAAGCGACGGCATACATATCTGTCAATCGACCAAAGTTTTAGCAAGTGACACAAATTAATTCCTTTCAAGGCCATTTTATTTGGAAGCTTATTTCTTTTTTGGTCTTAATGTTTGACCTGATCCAGTAAATACATGCTTCTTGTTTTCATCTAGCTCGTCTTCTTTGGAAGGGGGAGGAACTACAGAAAATCCAAAGTAAAGCTGACCAAAAGGTAGATTTAGTGGTCCATCATCTTCACCTTGATTTGATGCTTCTGAAGTACTGTCTAATGTATCTGCACGAGCAGGTCTATATAAGCCATTAGATTCTATTGCATAGATGGAGCTACTTACGCTTTGTTTTTTCCTCTTAAACTTTGTCCGCCTCCACTAAAGGGTGTGAATTCAGTCTTGACAGGCTTGGGCAAATCAATGACCATTTGACTCTTCTTTACAACACATGTCAGTTTATCTTTCACAGACTAGTTTGCTTACCATCATCTGCGCAGGTGCCTTACTAGGTTCAACATAACCAACAGGTGGTGCAAAATCAACCTCCAAATCTGTTTCAACAATTGAAATACCTAAATGTTCTTGATAGTTGGGTTTGACTTCCAATACTTTGATTTCGTATATCTTATTGTTGTAATTAATTTGAATGATATCGCCTACTGTCAATGTGGAGAAATTGCGCAGAGCCTTTTCGAGTCTGTTCAGCACATAAGTTTCGAGTCATGTTCATCTATATTAACTTACACAGCACGATGATCCGTGATATCTAAAAAGTCTGTGGATTGAGGCTGAATCTTAACAAAAGAGCCAAGTGGTAAAGTCACATTTTTAACTTCAATGATACTTCCAGGCTCTGTTCCTAATGTTTCCATCATCTACATGTGTATAAGCAACGTATCTATCATTGTATCTTTATACCCATTGTGGCAAATAGACTCGGCCTTCTTCAGCTATAAATTCAAGCACACCCGCATGACTGTGCTTCTTTTCTGTACCATGGATCAACTTGAACAGCATTGGATATGAAATATTTAATTGTGCTATAGAGAATAAGATAAGTTGGAACAGACATGCCACTTACACAGCTTTTCTAAGGCTGACTGAGGCAAAATAACTATAGAACAGAGTTATATTATGGCCAGGTTGTATTTCGACTTACTTTTGCCACCATAATTGACGCTTTCTCTTTCGTTTCCGTTTTGCATCATAGCGACGGGAAAACAACGATAGTTTTCAGAAAACCCTCTATTGGGATTCATAAATCCACCTAATGTAGGACGCAAACCCCCAAAAAAAGACGAAGGAAAGGCGTCATCGTCGTTATAGTCGTTAAACTAACAAAGATTTGAGTGGGCTTTATTATAAACCTATTCTCTTTACCATAATATGTCTGTGTTGAATAAAGCAACAAGAAAGCGAGAGATTATTACGCAAAAAGCGTCAGCAGTGACTGGTTTCAAAAGCGAGCTTGCAGGAGGCGCGTTTTGAGCTCAGCATACTGTCATTCTATCTCTGGTAAGTCAATATGCATTGATGTGATTTAATAGCTACCCTTTATATGTATATATATATATATATATATATATATTTAAGCAAGAAAACACCAGAAATAACAAGTCAATACAGGAAAAAAAAGAAGTTGGGATACGACATAAGTTGTATGTTTATCTCATTAAAACATTGGATAAGTGTCAAATTTGTCTATAAAAGCATTATCTCCGTACCTTCTCGCTTTTCTTTTACTCCACATAACTACCTTGGCTTCAAGTTTGAATAAAATGAATTATCCAGTTATTATTGGCATTGATTTTGGTAAAGCACAACATACATTTGTTGAGACTCATTCAGGTATTAGGCACTACTTACTCTGGCTGTTGTTATGCTTTTGCTCAAAATGAAGAAATTATCGATATTGTTAAATGGTGAATGTAACAAAAAAAAAAGACAAGGGATTTTTCATCTTACTAATTGTTTCTAAAGGCCAAAACAGAACAACAACATTTATCCCAAGGTAACAGACATGCATGCAACCATAATTTAACTAAATCATAGACACCCACTTTATCTCTTTATCGCAAAGGTTCAACAGATATATTCGATTGGGGCCATGGAGCTAGACGAGCTGCAATGAGACCAAATAGTTCCGATTTGATATTATTATCCAAATTCAAACTTTATCTTGACCAGCACTTACAGGACGAAACACTACCCAATCAATTGAATATTATTGATGTCATTGCTGATTATTTAGCCTTGTTTCATCAACATGTATGCACAGAGCTCCTGAAAGGATTTGCAGCCCATTATGATCAGAGTAAATTTCGTTATGTAAAGTATTTTGAAAGATGGGAAACACATTAACCGTGACATAGTGTCTGACAGTACCCGCTATGTGGACAGATCGAGCAAAATCAGCGATGCGTGAAGCAGCCATTTGCGCAGGCCTCATACACCGTACAGATCCACCAGAAAGACTTTTGTTGATTTCTGAGCCTGAGGCAGCTGCCCTCTATTGTGAAAAAAAAGCCGAGCAATTCAATTTGATGCATGGACAACGATTCATGATTTGTGATGCAGGAGGAGGCACAGTGGATTTAATTGTGTTCGAAATCAACGAATCGATACCTGGAAAGTGGGGTCAACTCTGATTTTTTTCTTTCGTTAACATTTGATTATTAGGCGAACCTTAAGAGAAGTAACACAAGGCCATGGCGCTACTTGTGGTTCAGCCTTTTTAGACTCTAGAATGCGGGACTACATAAATCGTAAATTCTCGCATTTGGGCCCTTTGAATGAAACTGCAATGGAACATGTCATAGAAACATTTGTCAATGTGATCAAGGTAACAATTCGAGAGGCAGGATAGCATGTCTAAACTAGAACATCAGCCTGAATTTGATGGCATAGAAGACCATTTTTTGGATTTACCAGCATCTATGGGCATAGAAGATTTAACAGACGAATTTATTGGTCTATCTGGAGGAATGTTACATTTGCCTGCTAAAGAAATGTGTCGAGACATATTTGAGCCTGTTGTTTCCCAGATACTTAAACTTATTGAGAACCAGCTCTCTCAATCACCTGATTTGGAAGCCATTTTTTTAGTAGGGGGTTTCGGTCAGTCAAACTACCTCTTCAAGCGAGTCGAAGAGCGTTTTGCAGACCGAGTAGGCATGATTGGTGTCCCTCCTCGAGGAGAACTCGCTGTTGTTCGTGGCGCTGTCTACTTTGGACTTCAGCCAGCAACTATCACAGAGCGTGTTTCTCGCCGCACCTACGGTGTTGAAACCCGTATGCTTTTTCAAGACAATATCGACCCCCCTGAACTTTGCGTAATAGGAGTTGATGGTCGTCATTATTGCCGCCAACGATTTAGCCCCTATGTGCATAAGGGTCAGCGTGTCAAAGTAGACGAATGTATCTCGAAATCATTTGTGATCAGCTATCCTAATGACACGGACTCTGACTTGTATGCGTTTGATGGAGATGGCCCTGTACCACGTCTCACAACAGATCCACAGATCCAAAAAGTCGGTCATTTCCCTATTCGCATACCTAAATTAGAAGGTGTCAAGCCAGGCGATAAAGTAACCTTGACGATCCGCATGTATTTCGGATTGACAGAGATTAAGGTTGAGTCTGTGGTTCAGGATAAAGTGTTTGCGTTCACATCAGCATTTTGTTTTGATTCAAAATCAAGCATTGACCCGCCACTGCAACAGCATGATCCTCCTAGCTTTACTCCTGCTTTTCATGGCACCCCTAAAAGTCATGAATTGTCATAACAACAAGAGTATTACAATAATAACTATTCTTTTTTGAATGCAAGCCATGTCTATCCTCCTTCTGGCTACCAAACCAACTTTAATCATTATTAGATAATTTCAAAAAATTAAGGCGGCTTTTTAACCTTTTTTTTTTTTTTTTTTTTTTTTTTGTTTAAGAAAAAGTGAATCAACTACTCTTTTGTTCTCTCTCTCTCTCTTTCGCTTTTTTTTTCTCGATTATTCTATTCTTCTCATGACTGAATTACCTATCATTCCAAATGAGCAACCGTCCCTAGTCCAGCAACAGCCGCCCTTGAGACGTTCATTGACTAGATCACCTTCTATAAACAAGCAGCGTATGATAGGCAAATATTTTTTATGCAAAACACTCGGGAGAGGATCAATGGGAAAAGTCAAACTGGCTATAAATAGTGAAACAGGCGAGAAGGCAAGTTTCAAAAAAAAATTAAGAAAAAATAATTGTGTGTTGATATATGACAGTTGGCTGTCAAAATTGTGTCTCGTAAAATACAATCCTCTATAGAAAAGAACCCCAAGGTATCTGAAAAGAGTCGAGAAATTCGCACAGTAAGAGAAGCAAGTATCATGTTGTTGTTAAATCATCCACACATTGCTCAAGTACATGATATGGTCCTTGTGAATGATTACTATTACATGTTTATGGAGTATGTGGACGGTGGTCAATTACTTGATTATATTATTTCGCATGGTAAATTGAAAGAGAAACAAGCAAGACACATTTCAAGGCAAATTGCAAGTGCATTAGGTATGCTTATGGGTATTTAACTCATCACTAACCATAAAAGACTATTGTCATCGTAATTCCATTGTTCATAGAGGTAGATTCAATGGAAAACAATTCTAGTTTTTTTTAACATTATAATAGACTTAAAAGTCGAAAACATCTTAATATCACGAAATGGAAATATCAAAATCATTGATTTTGGACTATCTAATGTGTTTACTGCTAGATCTCATTTATCCACATTCTGCGGGTCACTTTATTTTGCAGCGCCTGAACTACTCGATGGAAAACTTTATACAGGTCCTGAAGTGGATGTATGGAGTTTTGGCATTGTAATTTATGTATTGGTGTGCGGTAAAGTACCATTTGATGATCCTACTATGACTGGTATGCATAGAAAAGTAAAGCAAGGACTTGTAGACTATCCTTCTTATTTATCGACAGGTAAGCAAAAAAAAAAAAAAAAAAAGAATCTATAAATCCTAAAGCATGCATAGAATGTAAACATCTTTTACAGCGTATGATTGTGACAGATGCAACACGGCGAGCAAGTATGTCTGAAGTCATTGTGCATCCCTGGATCAATAAGGGGTATGATAAACTGGTTGAAAATTATCTTGTAAAAAGAAAACCTTTAAGGTTACCTGTGGACAACAAGGTCATTGAAGGAATGAAAGGGTTTGAGTTTGGATCTAAAGAGACAATTAAGGCAGAGCTAGAATATTTGATTGAATCAGAAGAGTATCAACGAGATGCCAAGCTTTTAGAAGCTCTATCTGCTTCACCCAACGACATCAGTCGTTCAAATTCAAAGACTAGAAAGGCTTTTCATCGCACTCAAGATGATCCCATGAACATGCCTGCTGCTTATCACCCATTAGTCTCCATCTATTATTTGGTTCAAGAACGTATGCAGAGTGAAACGCTCTTCGGAAAAAAAACGACAGCCTTTATTCAACCACATCGTATGTCTAAATCACAAGAACAAGAAACAATATCTCCCCATACTCCATTAAAGAAAACAAATCGTTTTGCTGAACCACACCACACCAATACCTCCAATCTACTGCGCCGGCTTAGCCAACGCAAAAGTCGACCCATACCATTGCCGCAACAAACCATGGTAAGTGAGGATATGACTAAAGTGCTTGTGGACGATGCCGCTATTGATCATAATGGTGTTCTAAGCAAAAAATTCAACCGGTTTCTAAAGCGAGCCACTTCTATCACTGTCAAGGATTTCCCGTCACTTCAACAGCAAAAGCTAAATCAAACAATCCATGGAAAAGACAAACATCGCCGTAAATCAACAGCCACAGGAACTCCTTCGCAATTAGAGTACCCTACTGACTGCAGTGCATTGCCTCATGCAGACGAGAGTATACGTTCTGTCTTTATTAGGGGATTGTTCTCAGTCTCAACAACCTCTACAAAAAAAGCATCTGTTATTCGAACTGAATTGATTCGTGTCTTGAACAGAAAGAGGCATGTGTATTATAGGGAACAGCAAGATAGGTTTGAATGTTGGTCAGATCAAGGCATTGTGTTTGATATCTATATTGTTAAGATACCATGGTTACTTGGCATACGAGGTGTACAGTTTCGACGCATTAGTGGAGACCCATGGCAGTATAAAAGTATCTGCAGTCAAATATTAGATCTCTTGCAGTTATAATAAAATTGTGCATAAATAGACTCTGAACTATGTATAGTGTCGACTGGAAATCTAATCCAATCAAATTACATTATTTCTCTGCTTTAAAGCCCATGTCACAGTTTTTAAAAATTCTTTTTTTTTTCTTTAGCAATGACATTGATATCAAAAAGTGCTGCGTTATACACCAATAAAGGCGTTTCTTTGAAACCATGCGAAGCATCAATGCAATTATGCAAGAGATTAAGCCTGCTACAACTCACGCCTTCTCGATCACTTCAAACAACTCAAGAACAAGTTGTTAACAAAGCAGAGGAAATAGAAAAACTTCGAGAGGAAGCTTACTTGGTTCAAAAATCGTCTTCTATACGCGCCCGATGTGTTTGGAGCAAAGAAGAAACTGAAAAATTAGTAGAATTGGTCGAGAAAATGGGAAAGCGATGGAGTGCCATCTCCAAGCATTTTATCAATCGTCCACCTTCAGGCGTTATGAACCGTTATGCCCTCATTGAAAAGTCTTATGAACGAGGTCCTTGGAAAAACGATGAAATTGCCGAGTTGAAGAAGCTTGGAAGAAGTCGTACGTTTGATCAGATTGACGATTGGGAAGCGATCCAAGCCAAGTTACCTCATCATCGACCTCTTTTTCTCATTAAACAGAAATACAAATATTCTTTGGATCCAACCATTAAACACGGTCGTTGGACAGAAGAGGAAAATAAAAAGCTGGTAGAATTAGTGATGATGTACGGTGAAGATCGAATGGATAAAGTAGCTGAAGAAATGGGCACAAGAAGTAGAAGACAATGCTTAGAAAGATGGCGTTGGCAAATGCCTGACGTTAAAAAGGGACATTTCTCACCCGAAGAAGACGCATTGATCTTGGAAGCTGTCAAAATATACGGAACAAACTTTGCCGTAATTCAAAAAGTGACAAGTATTCCTCGAAAACCACGTCATATTTCGCAACATTATCAAAATAAGCTTGATCCGTCTATTGATCGCTCACCATGGACACCTGAAGAGGAAGCAAAACTCTATCAAGTCTGCATGGAGAATGGAAGAAATATGGTCAAGACAAAGCAAATGTTAGACTCAAAACGCTCTATAAGAGATATGTGGAATCATTTTAATTGCTACCAAAAAAGAGGAAAGAAAGAATAAACATTTTATAACACAAATGGAATTACAGCTTTTCTTGTAGAAGGGTAATTGTCAAACTGCTTCTTGTACCAAGCATGTGTACGCCATGCTCGAGGATACAAATTAGAAGCAGTGGCAGCTGCAAACAAAATAGCAGGCCAATTGTATCCTGACGTAGCTAAAGCGTAACCAGTCCATTCAACGGACTCACTAAAATAATTAGGACAACTAATGTATTCAAATAATCCACCATGGGGGATAAAGTATTTCTTTTCGCCTTCTTCTTTTTCTTCTTTTTTCTTTTTGGATCGCAACTTGAAGAGAATGTTATCATGGTAAATGTTAGAAAAGAATCCTGCAGCCCAGAGAGTCATGCCCAACCAAAACTGAGGGTTTGCAATTGAGTTACTATGACGTGCAACCCACATGCCATTGGTATATCCATTGATGACATTGAATGCCACAGAACAAAGAAAGGTGAGTACATGAATAGGTGCCATAGAAGAAGCGCGGTAAGGATATATGATACTTCTGTTGATGTAATGAACCATCCAAGCAGAAGACAGGATCATTTGAAAAGACGTCCAGCGAGGCCGAGTTATCGCAAGCGAAATAGCAAATACGACGGGCGAAACAACTTCCATGACAAACCAACTCCATTTACCATTCAAACTCCAATCTACAGCGAGTTTACCCGCAAATCGACCTATCTTTTGTCAACAGGGCTGCAACTCTATCCTTATTCTAGCTTACCATAAGGTGCATTCATAAACAGGCAAGCGGGTGCCATTACAAATGGAAACGTTGCATAAATACCAACAGCTGTATTGTAAGTAGAAGGCTTAAGCCAATATTTGACAAGTGAGTCCATGTTGAAAGAAAAAAAGAAAAAGAAAAATAATTCATGCAGGACATATATATGCTTTGTGACTTTACAAAATATGAAATGGTGACGTATAGTATTACTTTATCAATGCATAAATCTTTATTTCTCCAAGTCAATGTCGAGACAAATGTTATCAATCAGTCTTGTTTTACCAACAAAGACAGCCATACTAATCACACAACCATCTTCCTTAAGAATGTCGCCTGTAATCTCACTTAAATCCTTGGCAGAGTTAATAGAGACATAATCAAGTTTAATCTTCCAATCCTCATCCAATGCGTCTACTTGTTGACGTGCTTCTTCTATCAATTGAATGCCAGTTTGAGTTAATGTGGTGGCATTTGTAACGCCTGAATTATATAAGCTTTCCATATGTTTTAAGGAACGAGACAAGACAAGTGCATATTGCTTTTGAAGAGGCGACAAGTAAGTGTTTCTAGAAGAAAGTGCTAATCCATTTTCATCACGGACAGTAGGACAAATGTGCATTTTAGTAGGGAAATGTAGATCTCGAATCATGTTTCGAATCACAAAACATTGTTGAACTAAACTTGATTAGCTCATCTGCCCTTTTCTTCTTTTTTTTTGTTGTTGTTGAACTTACTGTCTTTTTGTCCAAAAAAGACATTGTCAGGTTGAACCTAGTCAATTGAGTGAGAAAAGATCTTTTTTTTTCTAGAGTAAAAAAATGAATTACAATGTTCAAAAACTTAGAGACAACAGTAGCAACGCCTCTAAAGAAATTAGGGCGCGTTTGACCTTCTAATTGAGAAGAGAGGCCCAATACTTCAACAAATGTACCTTTTTGCTTAGACACGTCTAAATCGATGCCTGCAGGATACATTTCTTCTACCTGGGGTAAAAGCACAGCAGAAGCAATACCTTGTCCTAACCCTGCGAGTTGATCGAGGTCGCTTTGCAAGGTACGAGGATAAGTGCCGAGATCTTCAGTAGGTGCAAATTGAGCAGGGTTGACAAAAATAGTCAGTGCAACATGATCGCAACGCTTTTTGGCGGCTGAAACTATATGGAAGTAAGTATACGTTGTGTTTCTGTCTATTTCAGACCTAAAGCAAGATGGCCTTGGTGAAGTGCACCCATAGTAGGTACATAACCAAGTGTCTTATTATCTAACAAAAGGCTTCGGCGCCACTGTCTAAAGTCAGCGATTCTATTGAACACTTTGATTCCAGAAGGAACTCTGACTATGTTTAATTAGAAGTAAGGTCATGAAGGAGTCGGGTATATTCTTACTTGCATTCATGGCAACTTTCGTAAAAAAGAAAAAGAGGCCATGAAAAAGGTTTTATTTTATTTTATTTTTCATTCACCGTCGAATGTATAATTCTTTTGGTCATCAAAATAAGCTTTTTCTCATATGAAATTGACTTGAACTCACATATTCAAATAAGCATTGTTCTGAGCAGACAGATACAGAGTGTTTTAGTGAGAGTTTCTCTTCCTTTTTTTGACAATGAAACAATCTATCATAATCCTCCTTATGTTGAGTTGCTCCATTCAGAGGATGCTACTTATCAAGCATGTATATCCTTCCAAACATCAGTTACTGCAATAAGCGAAACGCTTCACCATCAAAAAATAAAAGTTTGCTGTTTTTCTATATGATGGATTAGTTCCTTTCAGCCACAGGGCATCATTAGTTTCATCAAGCCATGCAGAGGACAATTTACTTTTTGATATAGATGCTACTATTAAGTGTATGGATTCGCTGAATACATTGATCCAAACTATGATAAGGTTTCACCCATTAAATAAACAGACAAATATACAAGGTTGCTTAGCCACGCAAAGGTAGCATAGAGCCTGTTTATACACTCATTATTACTTTATATACCTACAAACCATGCTCAATAGCATACATTGTACTTTTGGAGTTGATTTGGACAAAAAAACGACTTGTAAAAAAAGGCCAAAAACCTCTCGAATCCAAAGGGTACTACTCATGGAAAGATCTCAATTTGACAGCTTCTGATCTTCTTTTTGACGATGCAAGACGAAAAATAGAGCTATTGGCAAGCTTAAGTACCCAAAATGTGCGTCAAAGGCTCCAGTTCCTGATCAAAGCATTTGCTTACCAGTCGTACTATAAAAGCAATACGATGGGAGTGAAACCCCTTAGAGACACTTTTGCAGATTTACTCAATATTTTAGCAGCCAAGTTGCTGTGCTCTTTGTACCAGCAGACTCAGAACGCAGAGATCTACAGCTTTTGTCTCTACACCAAAGCCATAGAACTGCGTCTTTATGCAGTTCCAAGCAAAAGCTCGATTTCTGATCTGCTGGATAAAGAATCCACATTTCTTCCATTTCAATCTTCGCATGTAGTCATCAAGTATGCCGTATGTCCAGTTACCCCATCTCTACATGGTGAATTGACCATGCTTTTGCCTTTCCATGTCCTTTAGCATTCTAAATAGCATATGCTGCTTTTCATAAGCTTATTGTTAGCAAGTTCTATATGACACCTAGAGCAAAAACGGTCAAAACACAGCTCAAAGGCATTCTTCTTTGATGTGTCATTACTCGACAGCTACATTATCTTTCAAATCAAGAAATCAAATGATACTACTGATATAAAAATTGAGTGAATTCTGTTTCTTGACCCATGAGAAGAATGACCCAATGTAGGTCTGATCCAACTGAAATCAGATAAGATCATGTCTAAATACTTCTAGCAAAAAGAAAGCGAGTTTACTAAGATGAAAAAGCTGACTTGATTTGAGTATTGCCTTCAAAATTGCATTCAAAATTCGTGATACACTATAATTAATCCAGAAGTGGTCTATTTTAGTATATATATATATATATGTATGTATTGACTAGTAAGTGAGTGTTTGTCCTTATATCATTCGATGCGCAAAATACATAAGAGTAAGGTTTACAATAACACATGGCACTTTTGAAGCTAAGAGGAGCAACTTTGAACATAGCTAACCATGGATGTCTTGTAGGAGCAGGGTTCGTCATTTCAAACCTCGGGTTCCCTTTTCTTGCTCTCTGCTTTGGAGACCATTCTTTTTCTTGCAATCACGTTTTGATTGAGTTTGCATAAAAAAGAAGACGAAAAGAAAAGACTAGTAGCAACATCACTGAAGTTCGACAAATGAATGATACTCTGTTCAACTCCCGCTGAAGCTGAAAAATAGCAATAAAGCAGAAGATTTGAGTGCCTAAAACTGTTATACATATGGATTCTATACATTACTTTCATTCGAGATAGTTTGTGTCTATAAATGGAGATAAATAAGTAATGAATGCAACATTCGTTCCCAGTTCGTTCCCTAGAAATAGGTCTAATTGCAGAAGAAGCGGAATATAAGGCTCAAAATCCGGCCCAGCTACACAAATGGTATCTTTAATTTTACGAACATGAGCAAGTCGTTTTCCGGCCTATCGATAGGATCAATGAAGACAAAAAAAAACTTTTGATCAAACACCTTTGGAATGTTACAATGGGCTATTCAATATAGTTGCAAACTGAAAAATATATTCTTGAGTATTTTGGGTATCAGTAAACATACAGACTAAAGTATTGTCCTTTTTGTGTTTCCAAAAGGTACAAAGTGTGATCTGATTTATGCAAACATCATGTTTTTTCGTGAAGCCTTTCTTTCGGGGCTAATCAAATTAAACATCCGAATGTCCGGCTGTTGATGCCATTCCTTATTAATGAATTTTCCTTTAAGTAACATATCGTCATTAATCTTGTCTCGAGAAAAAAGGCATTTTTTCTCTTTTTCTCTCTTTTCAAGCATTGTATACCAGATTTCTATTTTTGTTGATCCCTTAAGCAAGATGTCGGTTTCAATAGCTGAGCCAACTTTGACTTCAATTTTAACAGCATCACCATTACCTTCAACAAATATATCAAGCACAATTACATCTTCTTTCTCTTCTACTGCAACCTCTAGCTCAGCAACCTCTTCATCAACTACAACAACAAAGGTTCCGGGATTCGATATATCATTCAATGACACCACCGCACAAAATTATGTAAATGATGCCAAACACCCAGCAGATATTGGTACACAATTTACTATTTGTTTTATTGCCGGCTTAATCATTTTCCTCACTTTTTGTATCTTTAGAACGAGGTATGTGACTTGAAACCCTAATATGTTGTACTAAGACAAACCTAAAGAGTGCCCGTCTTGTTTTCTCCTCGTTCCAACATGAAGAGGTAAAAAAACAAATAAAAAAAAAAGTAATTCACATTTAGAGAATGCCATTAGACACAAACCTCCAGAATTACCAACATCGCTGTTTGGTTGGATTTGGCCTTTACTCAAAATCGGCGATGAAGAGATGCTAAACAATGTCGGGTTAGATGCTTTACTGGTAAGTGGTCAGAATACGTGTAACATACTTATTGATTGGCTTGGTTCAGATGTTAAAGTTCATTGCCATGGGCATCAAAATATTTGCCATTTTATCACTTTTTGGTCTGGTTGTCTTTTTTCCTATCACACTTACTTCTGATTATACACACGGCAACACAACAGCTCTTGAACGACTATCCATCAATGTGATTGAAGAAGGATCAGGCAAAATTATTGCTTATTTGGTCTTTGCTTACCTGTTTACTTTTATCACTTTTTTCTTTCTGAATCATCATTATAACGAGTTTATTTATTTGCGTGCCAAGTTCTTACTAAATCAGTCCAAGATGCTTGTTTCTCGGTCTATCATTGTTACAGGAATTCCTGAACATCTTCAGTCGGATCAAGCATTGGCTGAGTATTACGAAAACCTAAATATTGGTGCCGTCGAAAGTTGTTACGTTGTACGAACTGTCCACCGGATTGATACGCTTATCAAAAAAAGAGCACAAGCGCTGATACATTTGGAAGAAGCCTATGCAAAGTATTGGGGAAATCCATGTCGAATCCCAGGTTATGATCCTGATCGTATCTTGGATGATGTTGAAATGTACAAAAAAGTACTTGACTTAGCCGAAAAAAGACCGGACAGCAGTAGCGATGAAGAAGCCGAAGAAGAAAAAGATCGACAAGGATTAAATAGCCCATTTTCCAGCCTGAGACGAAAGACGAGAATAGGAACAACTACCTTTTTTAAAGGTTTGGTGGAACCTACATTAGGTTTGAAAAAAGATCAAGTTAAATCAAAACGGCCAACGGTCCGAACTGGCTTGTTTGGCTTGTTTGGTAAAAAAGTGGATGCAATTGAATACTATACAAAGCTTTTTGATGATTTGGACAAGTCTGTGATGGAATCTAGACAATCACCAAATTATGAAATGACCAACGTTGCTTTTGTTACATTTGAAGAGATGAGCAGTGCAGTAAGGCTATATAAATTGGATTACATTATATGTCTAATTCGTAATTTAGTTGATTGCCTCTCAGATTGCCATATGTCCTGAACCACTTACACTTCGCACCAGTGTGGCATGTGAACCAAGAGATATTTTATGGAGCGCTATTGCTATTCGTGGCCGAGAAAGAATTTTGCGGGAGATAATTATTTGGGTCATTACTGTATTACTGTGCTTAACTTGGACTATTCCTGTGAGTGCTATTTCCTCTTTACTCAGTATTAGCACAATCAAAAAAATTAATCCATCAGTGGGTGAAACTCTCGAGAACAGTTCTGTGGGCAAATTAATTTTTTCTTCATTTATTCCTCCCCTTATTCTTAACATTTTTACTTCTGTCTTGCCTCTCTTTTTTGATGGTAACATTTGAACTGGAAACCATGAAATCCGCATTTTCTAACCCTTTGTTTATTTAGCTATGGGTTATTATCAGGGATTAAAAACTCGTAGTGCTGTTGCCGAAGCTACTTTGAGCAAGTGAGTCGCATGACTGATATAACAATGTATATTTAACCCTTGATTTAGGCAATATTTTTTCTTAATTTTCTTGGTTCTCATCTTTTATTCTATTGTTGGAACTACTGTTTTAACTCTGATTTCTACTTTTACAAACGATCCTAAAAAGATTCCCACTTTCTTGGCTGATGCTCTCCCTAGTGTAAGTAATATCATTCTGGATGACACATATTAATTAAGGACACAGTTTGCTCCATTTTTTATCAATTATACAATTCTTCAAGGCTTCTTGGTGTAAGAAAAAAAACAAGACAAAGTTATTTAGCTCATACTTTTTATTTATAGAATGCCATTGAACTTGTTATTGATTGGTTCTATTATTGTAAGAGGATTCAGCTATTTGTTTATTTGTAGCACACCCAGAGAATATGCAGAGAATCGAGCACCCACATCGTTTAATTATGGTATTGGTTATCCTGCTCCTCTATTGGTATTTGCAATCGTGTTTGAATACTCGCTTATCAATCCATTGATCTTACTTTTTGGCACTGTTTATTTCTGCTTCACATATTTGGTATACAAGTATCAATTCTTATATGGTAAGGATGTATATTCGAAAATCATGCTTTAATATTGCAAACAGTTTATTTTAGACCTTATGAGGCTGCAGGTAGATTATGGACAATGGTCATTCCTCGTATTATTTTCACAATGGTTTTATTCCAATTGACCATGATGGGGCTTTTTATCTTGAGAGGGTCTTACATATTGGCAGGTCTTGTTGTGCCATTGGTATTCTTCACATTCTTGTTCCGATACGTCTTGAACTGCGCCTATGAACAAAATGGTCAAAATCTTCCAATGCAATTACTTAGAGACAACATCAAACAGCAGCCTGAAGTCTCTGATGATGACAGCGAAAGTGATTCCGAGCTTAAAGATAGAGAAATTCAAGATAAAAGTCAACACTCTGACAAGAGTACAAGCACATCAACCATGCTTCAAGAAAATCAAAAGAAAGCAGAAATTAGAAATCGTTGGAAAAAAGCTGCTTTGTCTGCAGCTAATTTGAAAGAGAATCCAGTACCTATTGCTCCCACAACAACAGTCAATGAAGACAAAGCAGATGAGTTATTACTTGTTCGGCCACGCCACCGAAAAGTGGTACTGGATGAAGATGACTATGAAGCAGTTCCTGATCGCTTGACCGATTATCGTCAGCCGCCTATGCAATTGACTTTTGGTCTCTTGGATGCAGGTTTAAAAACCTACGGTAATCCTCTATTGGTAGGTGTTCTTCCTCAGCTTTGGTTACCTGTCAAGGAACCTGTCGAAGGTGAAAAAAAGAAGCAACAGAAGCGTCGTCGTTCAGAATTGCTTTACCAAGGCGACTCCCAAGGTGGATCACTTGCACAACATTTGGCTGAAATCTTGAGAAAAGTAGAAAACGATAAAAAGAATAGCGAATCAAAAGCTCAAGGCACAGATAACAAAACACAGCAGCAAAACACATTAATTGAAGAGTCGCGAAAGTCTGCAACAAACGATGCTGCATCTATTGTTTCAGGTAAACGCCCTCATCCAAAGATATCAGCCCTAAGGTCCATGTTCCATCGAGGTGTTATCAAGCAATCCAATGTGGATAATACAAGCTCACCAACACCTGCAGAGGTTGTTCGCTTACAACATTTGGAAGCCAGTGATGATGCTATGGATTCGGTTGAAAAGGGACAACTTCGTCATGAAGACAGCAGCAATAGTAGTGTTAAATCTTCAGTAAAATCACTCCACAAGATTTATTATCACCACCCAGAACGTAAAAAGAGAGGTCGTGCACACTCTGGTCTTAGACCTGGGATGGAGTCGGCTAGAGCTAGCTCACCAGCTATCGTTTCTGCCTTGAATAACGATGAGGGCCATGGAAGTGAAGAAGACATTGGAAGTTCAATAGGAAGGCTTGATGCCCGTAAAAGATTAAGCAGTGATCCCTTGATTAAAAATTAGATAGAATGTAAATAAATTATTGTACTTTTAAGGCATGGAAGTGAATAGAGATTATTACGTAATGCATGTACATATATGTATGTGCTCAAATAAAAGTTTTTATAATTCAATAATGTATGATAACAATGTCAAATGAGAAGCATCAGTGAACACAATTTAAACTTTCGCAGAACAGATCTTCAATGCTAGTCTTAGCGGTTACCGATAATAGTCCATTGTCGGCTTCTGACAGTCTTATCCAAAAACATGAATTGAATATTGGCAGTTTCTACTTATCTTAGCGATTATTTAGAAATGTGCATATATAGAGACGACTAATTGCTCAATCGTTTCACTTCGTCGTGTTACTACTGATCTTTTCTGTTTCATTAATCAAGATTTTTGCTAGTGTGTTAAATTGAACTTCCTGCCTCGGTGGCTTAGGGATACGATCGAAACTCTGGGTACACCCAAACCATTATTTTTTTTTTATTTTGACAGACTTATTTTTCTTTTGCTCTTTCATTCTATATTATGGCAGCCAAGAAACAATCAAACAAGGAAGAGATCAAGGTTATTCCTAAAAAGACAGTGACATTTCCTCATGCCGTAGAAAAAAAGAAAACTTTCGAGGAAGATGTGGAATCTGCTTCAGAACAAGAGAGCTCAGCTGAAGAAGAAGAAGAAAGTATGGAAGAGGATGCAGATGATGAAGACGATGATGAAGACGATGATGAAGACGATGACGAGATGGATCTGGACAATGATGGTATAAAAATCTTGATTAACAAGCAAGGATAATAACAATTTCTTTAGAAGTCAAACAGCCAAAGAAATACAGCTCCGAAGCATTTTCTGATGCCATGACTAAGATCCTGGCTAGTTCATTGAGTGGCTCTGATAAGAAGCAACCCATTTTGGCGAGGTCAAAGGGTGTAGAGCGTAAAATTGAAGATGAAAAATTAGATCATAAGGCACGCAAGATTCTTTCTGCCCAGAAAAAAGCACTTAAAGAAAAGGGTCGTGTTATTCCCGATTTCTCATCATTTGAATACGAAAAGAGATTAAGAAAAGTAGCTACAAGAGGTGTGGTCAAATTGTTCAATGCTATTCGTACGCAACAAAAGGTGACTGAAGTAGCCGTTCAAAATGCTGCTGGAACTCGTAAGACTCTTGCAGCAATAGAAAAGGCTAAAAATGTCTCTACTATGTCAAAAACCAGTTTTTTGGATCTCTTAAAGACAGGACAAAAATAATTATTTACCCGCTTTCCTACTCAACACTTTTCTTTTCTCTCGTTACATGTATACACAACATCACATACATATTTTTTTCTCATTTCATACTAAAACAATTGTACCATATAGATTTTTTTTGTTTTGTTTGTGTATTCAATCAACAACTTGTATGTCCTTTTCTTTATTTGTTTTTTTCTTTCTCTAAAAAAGTAAACAATGAACCTTTCTCATAATCAATACACGCATTTAGAATGGTTTTTTTTCTTGCTTGCTTATAAAATGAAAGGTTTGCATATGTTAGTTTTTTTTTTTTTTTTTTTTTTTTTTTTTTTTTTTGCTTGTGTTTAAGCATTGTCTTATTTGATGCAAATAATTGAGCTAATACATTCTACACTTTATTGAAAAAAAAAATTAGAAATCAAACAGAGGATGAGATACATAAATAATATTTATATTGTTACTTAAATTAAAGAGCTCCTGGATCATGATACTTTCGAATGACAATAAACTGGGCTAATTTTTATTTCGGGTCAGTGTATAAGGAATCAAGTTGAAACCCTATTAAGAAGTCTTAGCCTAACAGCTCTTTACATATCAATGAACAAAGTAAATCTATCGATATTCACTAAATCAAAGATCTTGGGTCAAGTAGCTTGTCTCCGAGAAATCAAACCTCTCCAATGGCAAAACTAGACTTCCTTCTCAAAAAAAAAGAAAAAAAAATTAGATTCCGCACCAGCAATGTCTGTTTTTTTTTTCGATTTACACTAGTTGTATGGATCAACAAATTTTGGGCCCCGCGAGATATCTTTCTTTGTAAGGTTTCTGGTGGAAAAGATTTTAATGTTATTTTTTTTCTCATTATCTTTTTTTTCAATTTTTTTTGTTTACTATCTGGACATTTATATATGTCTTCACCTTTACTAATAGCAACTATCGCCCTACAGGGTGCAGCTGCAGGTGTTTCAGGTGAACTAGCTGTACGTAGTCTATTTCGGAAGCAAGATAAACTAGTTCAAGTACGAGTAGGCAAACTTATACTAGGTGCTTTTATGGCATTAAAATCTATTCTATTTTTGACGTTTCATGATAAGTAAATAGAAGCTCAAATAAACATGTTTGCTAATCGTTTGTTAGTCAAAGTGAGACTTGCAGTGGTGCTGGAAAAGTAGCTGATTTATTTTATCATATTGCAATGACAGCAGGCAATTATGTTTTACTATGTCGAGTGCAGTCAGTAGTGCCTCTTGAATGGAGAAAGAGAACTCAAATATTACATACGATTTTGACAGTTTTGCGATTTATAGTCGGTATTGTAGATGTTGTACTCATTAAAATCAACATTTACTCTAATGGAGCTTGTGATTATGAAGATCAAGAATTTGTAAATATTTGTATTTGTGTGCAACCCAAATGCTAACTTTATAGTGGGGACCTGTTTATACACTTTATGACACGGTGCTCGATATTTATGTGACGATCAGTATTTCTGGCATTTTGATCAACCATATTCGCACACTGAAAGCGGATAGAATGAGAGTTAACAAATTATTGTATACATCGGTTATTTACCATAATATATTTCGATCTGTTGGTATCACTATTACTAGCTTGATATCTACTATCTTTATTATCATGGTAAGCAAACAATAAGCATACACAGTAATTAAATTAACAACCAACAGAAAAATCAAGAGGAAATTATAATGTTGATATGGCCAATCATTGACACCTTCCTTGTCATTTTAGTCGGATATGACTCAGATCTTACTAGAGCCATCCGCAAACTTCAAAGCAGGCGCTGGCGCTCTGCTTCCAACATGACAAGTACAGTAGATCTAAATGCGCTGCCTCCTTTTCGACCTAGCACGAAACCGGCACTTTCTCAGCGACATTCTGATTTAGAAATAGTACCACAATATTACAACACCGATATTGAAGCACAAGCAAGGCAAGCAGACTCGATCAGCATGGAAATACGCAAATTGAATGGACCAAATGAATTGGTTCAAAAACTTTCGGACAAAGTAGCAGGGTTTACAAATACAATTACTGATAATAACAGCCCAACTTCCTTTCTTGTAGCAGGCACTACTTCTCATGACACCGACAAGACTCGAGTTTAGTCTTTATACCCTCTTTTTTAAATGCATAAAAAATAAATACATGTATCATTTGTATTTCATTGGACAGAAAAACTCCGCAGATGTTTGAAAGATGGTTCGTTCATATTTTTTCTTTCTTTTTTCGAAAAAAATAAGCTATCTTTCTTTCTTTTTATTTTAACAACTAGTCATAATGAAAGGACGGATTGGCAGTGTACTTATTTTTCTTTTTCTTTTTCTTTTTTTCATAAAAAAATGACAATCATAATATTTATACGTTCATAGAACTCACCAACTGAGAGTCGCTCGCCTCTCAACAGCTCAAACAAAAGCGAAAGTGCTTCACCTCCTCATCCCATAATATTCGTACCTGCCCAACAAGACTCTCCACCTGTAAGGGCTTGACTGACTAAAACTGTCTTTTTTAACGCGTAGTTGTAGCTCCGGTCACCTACTACTCATAAGGGCGAACGAGATATCCCTAGAGCTGGACCTATCAATCGTTTAAAAAATGCTCCTAGAGATCAGATACCAGTTAGTAAATCACCCAGACGTCAAAAGTCTTCTCGCTTTCATGCCAAAGATAAAGTCCAACTGGAGCGTACACCTGCATTTCATGGTAACATTTAAAAAAAAAAAGAAAAAACGGTCAAAAGATTGATTTTTTTTTTCAAAAAAAAAAAAGAAATCCCACCTCATCTAAGACATGATCTTTTGTTACAAAAGCTACGTCAATGTATGGTGATTTGCGATTTTTCAGATCCTTCCACAGAACTCAATGAAAAGGAAATTAAGAGGCAAACATTGCAGGAAATCCTTGAATATATTGGCAACAATGTGGGTGTTTTGACAACAGAAGCACCTTACTCAGAGATCGTCAAACTGGTATGCTTAAATGGTAGTAAAGTGAAATACTAAACAAAAATCAGTTTTCTATCAATTTGTTTCGTACGATTCCACCTCAAGTGAATCCTACAGGAGATGCATATGATCCAGAAGAAGATGAGCCTGTCTTGGAACTTGCTTGGCCACATCTACAAATTGTTTATGAACTCTTTTTGCGGTTCTTAGAATCACCCGACTTTAATATCAATTTTGGTAAAAGATATATTGATCAAAAGTTTATTTTGCAGGTAGCATATCCATATCACAAAAACACAAGGATCTCATATCTAAATAGCTTCTTGAATTGTTTGAAAGTGAAGACCCCAGAGAAAGAGATTTTCTAAAGACAACACTACACCGTATTTATGGCAAATTCTTGAACCTTCGTGCATTTATCCGTCGATCCATCAACAACATCTTTTTCCAGTTTATTTATGAAACAGAGCGTCATAATGGTATTGCTGAACTATTAGAGATTTTGGGTAGTATTATCAATGGATTTGCATTACCGCTTAAGGAAGAACACAAACTTTTCTTACGACGTGTCTTGATTCCTCTTCACAAAGTCAAGTCTCTTGTCTTGTATCATCCACAGCTGGCTTATTGTGTAGTACAATTCCTGGAAAAGAATCATGCACTAGCTCCAGAAGTTATCACAGGTCTATTACGATACTGGCCAAAAGTAAACAGCCCTAAAGAAGTGATGTTCTTAAATGAATTGGAAGAAATCTTGGATGTGATTGATAATACTGAATTTCAGCAAATCATGGTACCTTTGTATATTAAACTAGGTCAATGTGTATCAAACACACACTTTCAGGTAGCAGAGCGTGCATTGTATTTCTGGAACAATGAATACATTGTAAGTCTGATGGCAGAGAACATGAATGTGATTATGCCCATTATATTCCCCACATTGTACAAGACATCAAAAACACATTGGAATAAGTAAGTTTGTGTATTGGAAGTTTGCTTATATGTATAGGACCATCCTAGGCTTAGTCTACAACGCATTGAAGCTGTGCATGGGTATTAACCCTGAATTATTTGATGAATGCGCAAATCAATACAAGTATCAAAGACAAATGTATATAGATAAGCGCCATACAACAACTGTTTATTAACTTGGATTTTAGAGAAAGAAAAAGACAAAGGGAAAGAGAAGAGAACTGGAAAATTTTGCAACGAAAAGTATCTGGCACGACTTCTGTCACAATCACAACAAGCACAGAAGACATGTATAACTTTTCTTTCCCCAACAAAATCAGTACAGATGATGATGATGATGATGATGATGAAGAATATCAAGAAGACTTTGATATCATGACAGACGAAGAAACAGACACTGAATTGGAACATGCAAATCAACATGAAGAACAACACGATGTCATTCGCCCGGATATGGTAAGTTTATTGTTTGGGGTATATTTAACTAACGCTTGTTTTCATAAGCAACAATTCAGTCCAAACCAGCAACAATTCCAGCAGTTTAGACGAAAATCTATTATACCCGTTGATGAAACTGTATGTTTTACTCTATGCTTTTTCTTCTTATTGATTTTAATTTAGGTCTTCAATGAATTATCCCGTCATGTTAGTTTAGATGAAGTCATGAATCAAGCTCCAGGTGCTTCTTCTGCTTGTAGCAGTCCAATAGATAACAGCAGTAGTAATAATTAATCAAGCAATACTCCTCTCTTTTTCTTTAGATTTCCTTTTTCTTTTTTTTTTGAGATAATAATAAAAAAGTGTTCTACTAGCTTTAGTATTGGCTATCTTGGGTGGTTTTTGAGGGAATACCGTTTGACGTACGGCACAAAGAATAGGAAACAGTTGTAGCTTAGTAGAGCATAATATGTGTATTAAGGTGTTGAATGACATGTGACTGAGAGAGATATACTCTTGGCCCTAGAAGATTGGGAAAAAGTTCACAGAGAGTAGAAGACACGAGTTATTGATACTAGACAATGGAAATGTCCCGTAATCACGATAGTGAGCGAGAGAAAAGTATCTTTCTGAGGAGAGAGCATGCAGGACAAACTTTGCTTAAAGGATCTAACTTTGTTCATGCATAGTAGGCAAATTTGGTAGATGCTGTATTGCCTTTTTTGAGGCAGATATAAATTCACCAAAAGTGATTCTCAGATAATGGTATTGAACTTGTTCCAAGACGTTGTACTGGGTATTTTCCAAAAGAGTAATTTTTAGTTCATGTTCTGTTTGAAAACAAATCACTTGAAAACATAAGCGATAAAAAAGCAGTTCAGCAAAATCAGTGTTGTGAGCTCGAGTAGAAGGTAGTAATTTCATAGTTAAGTGAGCTTTATTAGCACCTATTTGCACCAAATTTTTAAGGCTAAAGATGTCTCTGAGGTTGAGAGAAGTTCCGATATAAAAAAAGATGTCTTGGCGTGAGATGACTGTAGCAGAGAGAGTATACTCACTGGCTCCTTTCTCAGGTACTGCAATAATATATTTAGTGGGGTCCCATCTATAGCATGGCGTGAGTTGATGTTCAGTATATTGGTCGAGAAAAGACTGAAACGAACCCTTGATGACTATCCATACAACGTCAGCCACATAATCTAAGTGTTTGACAGAAGTAATGAACACATCGGTTAAGATATCACTATTAAGGGATGTAGCATATAGCAGTCGAGGAAAGCTATCAATATAGTGTGAGTATATAATGTTATGAAAGAATAGTTTCGTGTAGTGCCCCAATTAGTAGTGTAAAATGATATGGCTTAGTATTAGAGAAAAGAGCTTTAATTACGACTTCGTTTAGCATGCTATGTATTAAGGCTAATAGAACATGCGACATAATGGTTAGGAATTGACACTAGATGACATTGCAGTTTGTCATATTCGTATTTGATGTTTAAAAAAGCAAACACTGAGACTATTATATGGTGTTAGCACACCAGAGCATCAGCAAGATAAATGGCTCAGTCAAGGGCATTTTTTTCATTCTCTAAAGCCACTTTGAGCAGTGCCTAAGGGCAACGCTTGGTCATGATCGGATTCCCTAAGGTATGTTTCGAGTGTTTCCCTAAAAACAGAGGTCAGACCTTTCTCATAAATTGACATCATTTGCGCAACTCAATAGCAATGGGATGTGTAAGTTCAAAGCTAGTATAAATCAATAAGATAAAGAAGAAAGTGTCGCTTGAGCAATAGAAAATAATTATTGCATATAAATTTATTTCAAATTCCGCTAAAACTTATGCCGACATTCAAGTATGCCATTTGTGTACTCAGAAAAATATTTTTTAAGGCAATTTCTGCCATGCCAAAAAAAAAAATAAATAAATAAATAAAATAAAATAAAAAAAGAAAGAGCAATATTTCTTTTATAAATTAAACAGAAAACCCTGTTTTTTTTCTTGAATAAACAAACAAATCTACCAAATAATGGGTTTACTGTTTTAGTTTAAAAAAGGGATTGCTGCTTGGTAGATTTGTTTGTTTATTCAAGAAAAAAAACAGGGTTTTCTGTTTAATTTATAAAAGAAATATTGCTCTTTTTTTTTTTTATTTTATTTTATTTATTTATTTTTTTTTGGCATGGCAGAAATTGCCTTAAAAAATATTTTTCTGAGTACACAAATGGCATACTTGAATGTCGGCATAAGTGTTTTGTGCTGACTACAGTGTATCACGAACTTTGAATGCATATTTGAAGGCAATACTCAAATTGAGTCGCCTTTTTTTGTCTCAGTAAGCCCGTTTTCTTTTTGTCAGAAGTATCTAAACGTAATCTCAGCTCATTTCGGTTGGATCAGACCTACAATTGGCCATTCCAAAAAAATTCTTGGTCGAGTTTTTTTTTTTTTTTTTTTTTTCATCTTCACGGACCTCCGTAGATCTCCCATGGGTAATAAAAAACAAGTTTCATCTAACTGCCAAACCAATGGTACCATTCGATTTCTTGGTTTGAAAGAACATGTTTTAAATGAAAAAAGGGACTAATTTGATAGTCTAGTTGTCGAGTAATGGCGGCATGTGTCAGCTGTGATTTGAGCATTTTTGAGCGTTTTTGCTCTATGCTATTTTGAATGCCAAATAACATAGGAGAATAGAAATATTGGCAATCTACAGTGTAAATGTAAGGCAGATGAGCATAGAACAGCAGCGTTTAGCTGTACCACATGCTTTTGTCAAACTTCCGTACATGATTTTCATACTATCTCAGTCCTTTTCTCTACTTTCTCAGGTATCATTATATATTCACTACAGCTTTTGTTAATAGACTTGATCGCTATCTCCTTATCTTTGTGCATTTCGAATGCATCAAAGTATCATGCACACAAAATACAGTATATTCAGAGATCAAAAATTGAACAGCAAAAGTCGTCGAAAGGCAATAGGGACGCAGAAAAAAAAAGAAAACGAGACACCTATCGTTTATCATGTACAAAACTGCTCTTTTTAGACTCAAAAGTGCCACATATCATCATACGATCAGCTCGCATACATTTAGTACGTAGAATGGTGTAAGAATAAATGCCCATTTACTATCTGATTTTCAATGAAAAGGGCCTCTTTTGTACTGATTGCAGTGTACAATGAACTTTAAATGCAGATTTGAAGACAATGCTCAAATAAATTTGCCTTCTTCATCTTATTAAACCCGCTTTCTTTTCTTCAGAAGTGTCTAGAAATGCACTTTCCTGAAACTTTCTGCAATATTTTTAAAAATTATCTCCTGAGACCCAAAGAGCTCTTGATCAAACTTTTTTCATTCTCTCTCCACGAACCCTCCATGAGTCAAAAAAATGAAATTCATATAGCTGCCAAACTAATAATACCATTGGATTCTTTGGTTCAAAAAAAAACATCTCAAACAAAAAAACAGCCCTGTTGATAACGTACTTGTCGAGTAATGACACATCAAAGAAGAATGCCTTTGAGCTGTGTTTTGACCGTTTTTGCTCTAGGTGTCATATAGAACTTGCTAACAATAAGCTTATGAAAAGCAGCATATGCGATTTAGAGTGCTAAAGAACATGGAAAGGCAAAAGCATGGTCAATTCACCATGTAGAGATGGGGTAACTGGACATACGGCATACTTGATGACTACATGCGAAGATTGAAATGGAAGAAATGTGGATTCTTTATCCAGCAGATCAGAAATCGAGCTTTTGCTTGGAACTGCATAAAGACGCAGTTCTATGGCTTTGGTGTAGAGACAAAAGCTGTAGATCTCTGCGTTCTGAGTCTGCTGGTACAAAGAGCACAGCAACTTGGCTGCTAAAATATTGAGTAAATCTGCAAAAGTGTCTCTAAGGGGTTTCACTCCCATCGTATTGCTTTTATAGTACGACTGGTAAGCAAATGCTTTGATCAGGAACTGGAGCCTTTGACGCACATTTTGGGTACTTAAGCTTGCCAATAGCTCTATTTTTCGTCTTGCATCGTCAAAAAGAAGATCAGAAGCTGTCAAATTGAGATCTTTCCATGAGTAGTACCCTTTGGATTCGAGAGGTTTTTGGCCTTTTTTTACAAGTCGTTTTTTTGTCCAAATCAACTCCAAAAGTACAATATATGCTATTGAGCATGGTTTGTAGGCATTTAGAGCGTTTATGACTGCATAAAAAGGGTTTATACCTTCCTTTGGGTGCCACAGCATTTTTATGACAGCTGTTTCAAACCGGACAAAACAAAAACTAGTTCAGAGTGACTGCGACACCACCAGCGGATCTTAGATATGATCCTAGCAATTGGTGCACAAGAGAAAAAAAAATTGCAGGACAAGGCACCCCCTTTTCTTTCTTTTTTCTTCTTCTTACACTAATCATCATGTCCAATCCTAATCCTCCTGCTGGTTGTCCTATGCATGTAGAACCACCTGCTGACGCACCTAGCTGTCCCATGCCTAAGAAAGAAGAGTCACCTAGTTGCCCCATGCCTAAAAAGGAAGAAAAACCCACTATTCCTCCTGGCTGCCCTATGCACAAGGCCGAAAAGGATGAATTAAACAAGCTCAATATGATCCCTAACTTGAGCCAAGCACCACAACAAGATCAAAAAATTCAACTGCCCACAGAACGAGTGATTTCCTCTATTCCTAAAAGTAAAGATGATTCTGCCAAATGGGAATACCCTAGTCCTCAACAATTTTACAATGCTTTAAGAAGAAAGGGCTGGGAAACTCCCGAAGAAGAAATCGAGACAATGGTAGATATTCATAACTTTTTGAACGAGGAGGCATGGCAAGAAGTGCTTCGTTGGGAAGCTAAATACAAGTGGTAAGTAAGGCAGTTTAGAAATAAGAAAATGACATTATGCTTTATAGTGATTGTGTCGAAGATCCTTACTTGTCAAAATTCCAGGGTAGACCCAAGGAAATGACTCCTAAGGCCAAATGGCATACATTCTTTGGGTAAGTTAATTGGAGAAAAGTATAGATTTAACATGCTTGTAGTGCACCCAAGCCCTTCGATAGACATGATTGGTACATTAGTCGTTGTGGTCAATCGAGACGATATGTGATTGATTACTACGAAGCACCTGAAGATGTTCCCGGTGTTCCCGTCTTCCACTTGGATGTCCGCCCCGCTTTAGACGATGCCGAAAGCATCATGGTTCGATTCAAGGAAGCCGCCAAGACAAAATGGGAACAATGGTTCCCTTTATCTACACCTGAACCATCTTCATGATTACACATATGCATTTTCTTTTTATTTATTCCCTTTTGTTCTGATTGTAAGCACGTATTTTACTGATTAAAGATCTTCCTTTTTTAAACGTATCATAATCTCGAATGACTCTGGATTGAGGACCCATAGAACGTTGAGTAATGAACTTCCAGTGCACTTTTAACCAAGACGTATGGAAAGAGAGTGTGTCATAATATTCACTTGCCAAAGATCGGAGTGCAGGCAAGTTGGACCAAGGAATCTATTGTGATTAAGTTATCTGTTTATAAAAAGGCAAAATTACCTTTTGAAAATCATGATGTTCATTATGATAGCCAATATTCATAAACGGAATATTAAGAATGCCATAATACGAGTAGGTTTCTTGACCATCATCAAAGGTATAATGTTCCTGAATAAAATGAGCTGCTCCTGGGTGCAATGAGTATCCAAACCAGAGCGACAAGAATAAATAGCCGAGCCCTTTCCAGCCACATAACAAGACAACTAGGGCATCCATTGCTATGGAAAAGACAAGGTTGATCCATTCCCATTTACCTGGTGTATGCCCTCTTCTTTGCTGCATTACCAATCCTCGTGTGACATACATGACAGGGTAAATCAGGAGCCAGAGTATTTTTTTAATGCTGTTGCCCTGAATCAGGTTCTTTTCCCATTCCAAAGGCAAATCAGGATCCAGTCCTTCGACGCCTTGCCAGGTATGATGTTGAATATGGTATCGTCGAAACGATTGGGAAATAGGTACGGGAAGTGCAATATTGGTATACAGACCAATGAGACGATCATATATGGAGGATCCGGTTACCAAGTTGTGACAGGCTTCATGAATGATGACTCCCACAATACCAGTAGCTGTGCCTCCTACCAGATAAGCTACCAATACAAATGTAGACCAGTGTGAACCCTGATGTCCAAAATAATAGGCCAACCCCAACTGGATCAAATTGATGAATGTGGCCACATGAAATGTTCGAATGTCCGAACCATATAGTTTTTGTATTTGATCTGAATAGGTCAAAGACATAGCATGTTTTCGCTTAAGATGAGGCTCATCCATATCATCTCGAGCAAAGTCCTTGTCTTGACCGGGAATGGATCGTTTCCAACTGCCTACATAAAGTGGATGGCGATAATCTGGATGATGCTTGTTTTTTGGGGGCCTTTGTTGAGGAACATCAAATACAAAGGGAGGCATATTGAGTACAGCAAGAGAAAGAAAGAAAACAGAAAAAAAAAGAAAAGGTACGTGGCTTTATTGTTAATATTAAATCAGGAGATAAAAAAAAGTGCTGCTCTTTAACCAATCAATGGCGATTCACATAAATATACTTTTTTCACTTCAATAAGGCGCGTATTTGACAACTTATTGATCACGAGAATTGGAGCACAATGGGGGTCAAGAAAGAGTTGGGAGATTGGGGGGGGGACAAGTTATAACATGGACAAGGAATTTACACCATTTCCGAAAATAGATTGCACAAAGGAAAGACTCACATTGACTTAGCAAAAAATACTTACGCTGACGAAACAAAGGCCGAAAATGCGATACATACGCGCCTCCATTACGGACTGTGGTAGTTTGAGATATCAATTCATTTGTTTTACCTGAAATCATATACATTATTTAGCCTACTTAGAAAGGTCCAGGGAAGAAAGGAAAAGACGCTTTTATTGTATAAATATACTTCGAACAAAGCATGGTTCGGAGAGCATATATTACAACATTGGAGTCTAAAGTGATTAGTTTAAATACGACAACCAATTAACACTACATATCTAAAAAACAGAGATTACACACTTAGAAAATTGATTTTTGATAAATGATCTCTTTTTATGATAGACACCATGAAGTCCGTTCATTATCTCAAGTGTGGTCAATTGAAGATCACTTGGAAAAGTGAGTCTTTTTTCTTTTTAAAAGGGTGAACGCTCCATCCACTCCAAAAGGTGGCTACTTTTGCATGAGTATCCATTTTTAAAGACACGGTGTGTCACGAAAGAAAATGTGTTCTTATAAACAGATATGTCAAAGAGGTATCGCTTTGTTTCAATAGTGAAATTAACGCATATGAGAATGAATTGGACAAGTAAATACATTATTATTAGGTATATGTGAATTTGAGCTCTACAACTTGAAGGTATGCTTTATAATTTCTCTTGTTGAGTAGCAAGCAGCTAACAATACATAGAGATTTTATTTGGAAACCCTACAAAAATTACCATGTAACTTAGAAAAGGGGATGTTGAGCACAGCTCAAATTACAGACTTGTCAACAATTGTGCGTTCTCCTAAAATAAAGAACAGTACGACTTAAACCAGTAAAATATCCTCAAAGAATTATGAAAGAAAACCTGTAATTTGTGATAAGCACTCTTTGTTTTGAATGCGATCAAAGATATTTAAGATGGCTTAATGACCAGCTATAGCGTCAGTAGTAGCAGAAAGCCTGCTGGTTTCATAGGCTCTGATAGATCTTTTAAATATCTTGTCTCTTTGAGCAGTTTTCATGAGGTGAAAAGAAAGAAACTATTGAAAGAGGAAACTTAATGCTTGTCATAGTGTTTAATTGGAGGATATTAGAGGGTCATGTTGTTACTCCGACTCAAAGCTATAAGTATGCTTGAATAACGAGCCTCTTTAAGATTGCACAGTTGTGCAATCTATACATTCTAAGTGAACAGTCTATTTCTGGAAATAGTGTATATGGTCAAAGAGATAAAAATATCATTTATTATGAGCAGAGAAGCTCTAAAATTTAGAATTGATTATTTGTAACACAACGGTTGTCTATAATTGGGCATTCAGCGCACGCTTCAATAACTTAAATGAGAATTATAAAGACGTTCATTTTCTTTTCTTCTTTTCAAATATCCCCCCCTTCCTTTCCTTTTGATGTTTAAAGATCTTTCAAGACAACAATATGATCAATATACAAACCATGATTTAATACCCAATGGAAGGTAAGATAGACAAGATTGGTTATAATCGATTGATTTTCTTGTTAGACAACCTACAGAACCATGGAAGCAGGTATGATTTCACATAATCTATTGATTTATACTCATCCAAAATATAGCCTACTAGAACATCTTCTCTGCAAAAGCCACCACAGTATGACAGAGAGTCATTTATTGATCCTGCTAGTCAACCTGGTTATGTTGCTCGAGAGACATTTATCGAACCCAATAAATCAACAGCACTGGTCGTCAACACAGTAGCCGTTCATGAAGACATCCATCGTCTCAATGGTCCCACCACATACAACCTCAATTCACCTGTACCCAACATGGACTATTTCCACCAACGGCAGCACAAAGACCACACCCATGATCCTGAAATCAGAACTGTCAATCCACCCAAGTTTGTCAAGTCCAACGTACAGCATATTGTAAACTCACCTGTCCAAGTCAAACAGTCCTGTTACCTTGACACCCCCAAGCCCTCTGTGGCTGTGATTGAACAAGTTCAGCATAATGGGTTTTCATTACAGCCCGTACCACCTAATAAAAAAGTAAATCCTTCTCCTATTATGGTATCACCCAGCACTTCGCATACCAGACTCCCTAAACCACCATTGACACCTTTAGTGATTCCTCCAACACCCGTTCGGTCCTCTTCTTCTCCTCAACATCAAATGATGTCGGCGCCTAGTCGTACGTCCTCCATGCAAAACGGTACTTATGAATTAATCGCCAGTACGCCTGGAGGATTATGTACACCTGGTTCTTCCCGTAGTGCTAATTCACCTCATGGAGGACTATCACCTTATACACCCAGCACGCCTTCACCAGCTCACGGATACCCCATATTACCTTCACCCCTTGGTCAGCCTCAAGAGACACTAGATGGTTATGAACATGGCATGAAAAAGGCTGTTGCCACAGCTAAAAAGCATGCTTCCTTGTTGCCCGAGACTAAAGCAGAGCAGTTGGTGCATCAAGGCATCAAGTTTCATGAAGCAGGCAGGTTGGAAGAAGCTACTGAGATGTTTAAGCAAGCATCTCATTTGAATCTACCTATCGCCATGTTTCTTTACGGTGTTTCGCTTCGTCATGGATGGGTAAGTCAAATAAAAATGGCAGCAAAAGAAGACTCATGTATCTTTCTAGGGCTGCAAAAAGAGTGAACATCTTGCATTTCAATACCTACAGAAAGCAGCAGAGCATGCTGTTGAAGATCTCAGCCATTTCTCCACTGCTATGAAAGCTTCTGCAGCCAAGAGTGAATTAATCATGGCTATCTATGAATTGGGTGTCTCTTTCCGTCATGGTTGGGGTGTAAGTGATTTTGTTATTTACACATTGTAGTTGACTTTATTTGATTAGTGTAAAAAGAACAAAGAAACAGCTGTATATTACTTTAAGGTTGCTGCTGATCTGAATGATCCTGATGCTCAGAATGATCTTGGCCATTGCTATTATCATGGCCATGGTGTCAAAAAGGACTTGTGTATGGCAGCCAAATATTATAGATTAGCAGACAAACAAGGTCATGGTATCATGGGAAACTCTTGGATTTGGAAATCAAAATATGATAAATAAATAAAAAGCATTTAGATAACGAAATGTCATGTTTCAAAGCGTCATAAATAAACAAAATTTGCATGAAAAATAGGTCATAAATAGCGCTTGCGCATATTTTTTTTTATTTTATTTTAAATTATATACATATGTACAGTGTGGTATTAATTCTTGTGTGTTTATGCTTGGTATCATGATAAAAAAAAGGGGGAGGGAGGGAGGGGGAATAGAGCGACACAAAAAGAAAAGAAATTTTCTTACTCTGTAGTAGAATATCTGCACCAGAATTCATGATCTAAAAAAGAAACATCAACGCCGCAGTATTCACAAAAGCCCGATTTGAATTGGTAGCATGTATTTGAAGAAGATTGTTTAGTGTTTGTAGTTGGTTTTGTCGTTGTATGAGAAGTATGACAAGCATTGCTTGTGCTTTGGTTAATGTAACAAAGTGTAGTATAGCACATAATAAATTTGAAATAAAAGTATTTTTCTTTTTTTACTTTTTTCAAATCAGAAAAAAAAAGGGCCTTTTATAAGCAAACATCGAGCACTTTAAAACCCAATGTACAAGAAAATCAAAATCGAAATTTACAGTGGGCGTTTTCGATTTGAAGAATTGTCCATTCTAACTAGTTTGGAAGATTAAACGAATTATTTCCCAGTGTCCAGGAAACCATTTCTATAAAAGGCAATTAATATCTGTAGTTTAAACCATTGTTGTTTAATTTTTGGTCTAAAATGTTCTAAAAAGCTCGATGCTAATGTAAAATATACGCCATATTATCCGTAGTATATAGAGGAATGAAGTTTTTTTTTCTCCTTGTACGTGACAGAAGCATAAAGAAGGTTTCTCCTTTATTTAGCATATTTTATTTCCTGATTTTTTACAAAAAAGTCAATTTGGATCTCGATCTTGTTTATGAGACAGCATCTCGATGACAAGATACCTTCACAACCATGCTTTTTATCATGATGGTTGTATTACTTGTATCGGAGTCAAAGGTGGCAATCACACTTTTTTTTCTTTTTTGTTTGAATTGCTCATCTCTTTCCTTTTTTTTTTTTCCTTTTTTTTTCCTTTTTTTTTTTTTGTCTTCACTCATAACAATTACGTAGTTCAAATAAAAATTATTTATTATTACATTTAGACAACCAAACCACCTTTGTATTTAGCATAACCCAAGACGACAAAGACACCAACAACAAGACCTACGTACCTTTCATCAATTTCCACCCCTTTCTTTTTTGTTTACGCGAAACTTACCTTGATAGAAACCAATAGCAGAGGGAGAAGTCAGAAAAGATTCAGCTTCTTGTACCTTTGGCTTAGCTTGTCTCTTGAGTTCTTCATATTCAGCTCTGAGCTTATTGAGTTCTTGTTTTGTTTCTTCAGCAGCCTTGTCAACGTTTTGATTAATTTGCTTTTCACTAGGGGCAGACATATGATATATATATAATTATAATAAAGAGTAAAGAAATAAAGAAAAACATTGGGTTTTTATATATTCACAAATGATTTGCATAATAATGATGTCAATTTTATATAAAGTGAATAAGGTGATATCATGTACTCTATCTCTTTTTTTTTTTGTGTTACTACAGTGAGTGTATGTAATTTAATCCATTTCATAGTCCAGTTTATTAATACCAAAGATTCGTACTCGATGCATCACAGGTAGTTTTGCTACCAAGACTACCAAAAGTGCTGTGAAATTGATACCAAACAAAAAAACATCATAATGTGTATAATGTGTACTCAATAAGAATCTAATCCATGTCAATTCACCATCACAAAACACGTTTCTTTTTAACTTACAAGACAATAGGTACAGCAGTTAAGAATTTACGTGTTGCTGTAAACTGGACACCTCCATCAATTTGTTCCCATAATGTCAATCCATCATATGCTCCTTGGTTATTCTCAAATGGAATACCTTGTACCCAATGAAACATGATATAGTGACCCTATTATCTATATAAACATTCCACTTTCTCTCTCTCTCTCTCTTGTGTATTTTACTTACAAAATTAAAAGATAAATTTGTCAATGTCCAGCTTGCTTCTGGTGTAATAAAAGGTATAACAGTAAATAGGGCTTTCAAGGCAATCACGACGAAGATTGTAGTTGACCATGCACCTTACAAGATGTTAACTTGATTACAACATTATCCAGATTACCTTTATAGTTAACCCAAGAAGAGTTAAAGTTAGGCATCGAGCTTTGATCAAGAGCAGTATAAGCTTTGTTTTCTCTGTTTGTAGGCATAAGGGAAAAAAGAAAAAAAAAAAGAGAGAAAAAAAGGTAATAATAATAATAATAAAAAAAATTTAACATTTTGACCAATCGTGAATCCCCCTCTTTTTATAAAAATTAAAGGTGTAACTTTCTTAGATGAGATCCGCAGTTTATTATATGTAAGAAAAGAAAAAGATTGTATGCATTATGTTACATTGAAAAGATGAAGAGAATATACAAAGGAAGGAAAAAAGGGGGTATTAAAATATTTCTACTTTATCATCCTCAGGTGTAGGAATACCGTGTACAGTAGTGTAGGATGTATGCTTTTGTTTCTTGACAACAATAGGGTGATATTGTTCAAGGGCACGCTTCTTGGGCATAGGTACAGGCGTATTAGGAACAGCTTCCCTTAATTGGGATTCGAATTTTTGATAGAGTTCATGTGAGACATGCAAGCGATAATCAAGCATTTCCAACAAAGCTTTTTCTGCGCCATTGATCTCCTTTACAGGCAATTTGCTAATTTTAGCCCAACTAGCATTTGTGAATGTATTGTCGTACAAATACTTGTGAGCACAGATCAAACTAGCTAAGAACATGCGGCGTCCACATTTGACAATGGGGTCGAATTGACTGCGCTTTGCAATATGGGGTCGAATACGAAACAAGTAGAAAATAGCGAGTTGAAGCGTAGAACGAGTGGCTCTGGATCGTTTCAATAAATGACGTATAAATACATTAGTATTTACAACAGGCTGTCCTTCTTTTGTGGTTGATACTTCCATTGGCCAAGAAGTGCGAATAGTAAGGGTGGTAATATCTATAGCATGTAAGTACATCAAAGCATACAATTGCATCTTACCAACAAGTGTATCTACATAAATCTTTTGATATTGAGTCAAGTCTGGTTGTTGAAGAATAGCATGAAGTGTGGTATCTTTGGTAGGCATGCCAACTAAATAGCGATAATACTGTTCCAAGCAATTTAAATCATTTTGTTTAATATTTTGAGTAGAAAGATGAAGGCTATTCAGACTGGACATACAAGAAATTTTTTTCTAAAAAAAAAGGAAAAAAAGAGAGAGAAATGGGTTTATCAAAACTGAATTTATACTGGACTAAAAAAAATTGAGTTTTAAAAAAGATTATCAATATGCTTGTCATGACTCACTTTTTTTTCTCCTACGATATTACTCATGATTCTTTTTTTTTTTAGAAAGAAACAGAGAGAGAGAGAGAGAGAGAGAGAAAGAGAGAGAGATTATCTCTTTTTTTTTTTCATTCTCCTCTTCACCCTTGTTTCTACACTATTTCTTAATAAACATTCTCCAAGATTAATAACATAAATTGATAAATCTTATTTTCTTTGTTTTTTAGATTAAATTGAATACCATGGCTATTTATTACTAAACAAAGTCTTCAGTCCGTGTGAACTATTGAGCGTATTTGATTGGTTTATATGAGAAGCGATAATCCAATGAGAAAAAAAGGCTGATATAAATTACTGAGTCGAAATGAACGATAACCAATCATTATGTATCATTGCCTTAATCGTAATTACCTAATCACACCATTCTAACTTTCTTGACGCATATACAAATTGTGACATGATAAAACAAGATTGGTTCATGGCTTGTACAATAGAAAATGATTGGATATGGTTGCAAAGCATATGTGCCCTTCCAAGCAATTTATGCATTCTTTATCAACAGTCACAATTGCCCTTGGCGCCCACTGACTGCTGCGACACATCTTCCCTTTTTTTTTTACACTCTGCCATGAAATGCAAACTCAATTTGATCCAATACGAATAAAGAAAATACCGTGTAATGGATGTCGAGAAAAGAAAAGGAAATGTTCCTACGGACAACCCTGTGCAAGGTAAACTGAGCATACTTGATTGATAGATATCTCATACATGATTATTAGATGTGCTAAAAGTGGTGCAGAATGCACTTATACAATTATGCCTTCCCCGAAAGACCTCGAATATATGCAAGAATTAGAGTTCATGAATCAAATCGATCAACTTCAACAACAACTCAACTCGATGGAAGCCGAGATTAGCATATTAAAACTAGAAAAAGACACTAAAGACATAATTCAGGGCTATCCTTCACCTGAATCCATTGGCCCTGATTTTGTGTCTCATACAAAAGATAACTCGAAAAATATGCAACTGATATACAATGCTTCACCTCCAACATCCCCAACCACCACGCACGATTTATTCGAAAATAAGTATATCTTTCATACCAACAATAATCTTCAGATTGAACTTGCCAAACCTGTTGATCAGAAAACACAACCATGGCGTTTGACAATCCATAATGGCACAATGACCATTGAGACGGACATCACAACTCATTCTGATTTAATAACAAGTATGAACAGCATGTTGCCTTCAGCTATCTATCAACAACAAACAGATAAACTACCATTTCCTTTTAATATTATTCCCACTGAACGAAGAGATGCCACCAACCGTGTGATTCGTATTTTGATCTGGCAAAAATATGGCAAATCAAGGTTCAAGAGTCTAACAAAATATACGCCTGCACTGATGCATTATGAACCACCACGCCAAGTGACAACTCAAGTCATGCCAGCGGAACAATTAGCACCCCTTATGATGCGTATGCTTTATATCTATTTTGGCTGTCTTCATATAAATCATTTTTGTGTTTATGTGTCTGGATTTATCAGGCTGTTTATGAAGAGCAAAGACCAGGTATTGCAATCACCCGCTGTCTTGTCCATGTGCTCTGTGATTTGCCATCAACACTGTAAGCATATCATGAAGATCATGCCAGTCGAAGTGTCTTCTGAATACGGTCTATTCTTTTTTGAGCAAGCTCGCGACTTGGTAGCAGATCGCTTTGATGAAGTGAGTCTGGAAACACTGATTACTTATACTTTTATGGCTCTGTACAAGACAAAGACTAAAGCAGATCAAGAGGCACAAGACTATCTCTGTATAGCTGAACGTATTCGCACCCTATTGTTGCCGCAGTATGGATGGAAACCTGAATACAATAGCACAAACGTATCAGATGAAGTCATGACGTTTGACCGTATCAGTGATTGTATTCAACATATCCGCACTGTCCTAGAACTCCATTATGTTATGCAGAAGGTGACCAAATTCAAAAAGGCTAAAGCGCATGGTGTGCTTGAATTGATTGATAATCATGATATTCGACCTAAGCATATTGGTCCTGATGATACAGAGCAAGAGAAAAAAGCCATTCGACTTGGTACCTATACCACACAACTTCGTGAAGCAATCAAACAAACCGCAGATTGTGCCGCTGCTCAAGACCTGCCTACGTATATCAGTGTCTTTGGTCACCAAATCGAGATGGCCATGCGACATTGGTATCGCTCTGTTCTTCCTCAAGAATTTCGACTCTCTTTACCTTTATTTGATGATATGATACCCGATTTTGAATTTTTTACTGTCCTGGAGATAGAATGTGGCAGTGATCCTTATCCTCTTATTGCCGCCATTGCTCTTTACAACGAATATCTTATTATGGCTAAATCCTGTGTGCCCAAAACCCCTTTGGATCCTAAACTCAACCCTGAGGAGATTGTGTGTCGGTTAAAAGAAGTGATAAACAAGCCCAATCAAATCGATACTAGTTTGCCTCATCGAGAACGTCGATGGTTAATCCATTTCATGCAAAAACTACGCCATTTGCGTCAACACCGCCAAGACTTCTTTACAGAAGACGAACTCGAAGAATCAGAAGAAGAGTTCATGACACGCTTTATACGTGCACTCGACCTTTCCAAAGTCAATTTTGATATGCCACTGATTCATACTTCCGTCAGAGTCGCACTGAATATGGTTCGTCTTATCCAGTTTTTACTCACGCGGGAATATTCTTGCCGTCTGGATCTTAGATGGGTGATGAATGCATGGGATATTCTTTTAAGAGCCGCTGCATTTAGATATCAGCAGCCAGATGATCCATCAGTTACACTAGATCGTATCCGAGCTAATTTGATATTGTGTCTTGAATTTATACGAGATAATGTAGATCTTGCAAGAAAAGATCCTTCAGGCGAATTCATGGCGCAAATACAACAACAGTTTGATAAGTCTTTTATGTAGTTTATTAATAATAATAATAAAAAGAGGGTATTACTGTTTGATAAAATGAATGGTACTGCCTTTTGTTTCTGTTCTTCCAGTCCAGTGCCAAATATTAGTGGCATGTTCTATCTTTTCAGTCACATCACCTCCTTCTAATCTAAATGCCTTGTTTAACTGAATCAACGTAGTCACCAACAAGTCCTCACTCACTCGACTACCAAGACAAACTCGACGACCAGCACCGAAAGCCAAATGATCCCTAGCCGTTTTGACTGTATTGTCTGGCACCATCAAGGAAATTGTCTTTTTCTCAGATTTCAAGAAACGATCAGGATCAAACTGTTCAGGATGAGGGAAATACCGGCTATGTTGATGGATGGCATTCACGTTTACCACAAGTTCACTGTCTGTATCCACACGATATTTTTTACCTTCTACCTCGAATTCATAGTCTGTACGAGGACCGTATCCCAAGAGTGGGTTAGGAGGATCCATGCGCATACTTTCTCGCACGAAGGCTAATGCCAGTGTTGTCTTATCTTCTGATTCAGACAACCTTGTTTGGAATTCAGTTTCAGTAGCCAATCGCTGGATCAAAGTGAACAGGGTGGAGGCCAAGTAAGTATAAGCATGTAAGACCATATGGACTGAGTTGACAAGAATTTCATCTTTTGTGAACTGTACGACTTCTGAATCGTTCTTGGAGGATTCTATGTTGAGCAGACTCTTGACAATGGAATCTATCTTGCGATCAGGACCTGCCAAGGATAACTTGCGCTTTTCTTCTTCACTCAGAGGAACATCGCCTCGGACTTGATACACATTTGTAAACAAAGGCAACACAGCTTCCAAAATAGCATTACGATGAGACAAGTTTTCAGAATTGAGTGTAAATAAACTCATCACATCTAACCATGAATTCACAAAAGAAAAGAATTGACCCATACGGTTATACTTGCGTGTTTGTCGTTCTTCTAAAGCCTCGAGTTCCTTAATGATAGTGACCATCATCGTCAAGTTCTTTTGCTTTTGTTCTCCATACACCAGTGTCAATGCTGAATCCATAGCTACCATATTTACCAACTGTCTCAGATTTTTAGCCGTCAAATAATCCCCGTTTTCGCTGATACCAAACAAGAGCGACTTGGCACTTTCTTTCATATGCTTTGAAATAACCTCAGAAGGTTTAGCAATAGCTGCAAATACAGCACGACGAAGACGAGACCATACAAACGAGAATTCCAGCGTAAAGATCGTCTTGCATTGATCTGTTAATAATCTCTCCATGGTATCTGAAGCTAACCGAGAGGAATTGAGTTGCTCTTTTTCGACTAATGCCTTTTGGACAAGTTCAGGTGTGTTCAGGATTATAACACGTTTTTGACCAATCAAGACCGAGTAGAGATCACCAAGTTCTTTAGACCATCGCGTAAGTGCATGGTACGATTCTTTTTGAAAGACTTGGTAGGCATTTGTATAATAAGGAAGGCCAGAAGGACTGGGTGGCCATGGTGCTTTAGGTGTACCATCAGGTTTCTTGTTGACCCAAATGAATCGTTGACCGAATTTAGATATGATAAAGGTTAAAGCAACTGTAACAATGTAAGAAAAAACAGTCCCCATTTTAAAGATATAGAAGAAGAAAAAGGGAAAAAGTGAAAGAAGAGAAGAAGCTTTTTTTTTTTCTATAAAAACTTTCTCAAAAAAGGATTGAATAGATAAATTTGGAAGTTTAATCCCAAAAGACATGTCGCACAAAAGAATCAGAACGCATTAAGGTCATACAGGAACCTTCTTATCTTTATTGTCTGATACTACTTGGTGCGAGTCTATCGTCTAACAACGAAAAAAAAAGAAGAAGCTGAACAAGCTGTTATCCTATGGGACTCTTAGTTTCAATCAGCTGTTGCACTAGATGATGCGATTCTTCAAGTGAATGATGGCTAAGAACAGGACAGATTTAGAAGTTTTTGGGTTCTACACCCATTAGTGTTCAGTCTCATTGGTTTACTCGAGAACAAGTTTATCTAAAGGTACACAGAAACCCTATTGTTACGGCGATTGAAAGTCTAAAAAAGAAAAAAGGTGAGAGTATGTTAACATATGTACAGTGAATCCAACAAGCAATGTCGTAGTCAATCAAAATTGAAGTCGCTGGACAATCAAAATCAATTTCGTTCTTTCAGGAATTAAAGTCGTATTTTAGAAACTGTCCTTTCTTGGTGTTCGAAAAAATGTAAATTGCAAGTGCTGCTCTTTCAGGAATTTTTTCCCTTTTTTTCAACCTTTGCAAATGAACATAAGTGCAATATTTTTATATGAAGATGAGTGTGGGAATGTGATTGACGAGAGTGGTGTTCCTAAACCCATGAACTACATCGTTGATTAGAATGAATTTGTGGTTGAGACGATGTCAAGTACCAAGTATGCCGTTTTAAAGGAAAATCGCATTTTGGCACTAAAAACAAAATGATTTCTCTTTGTTTTTCCAGTAAGGCTTTTAATCTCTTTTAAATATTGGATATGACATATGACTTGATAGCTTTTGCAATATCAGATGACATAAGTGAGGCAAGTTGAGTTAAGCTGTTGTTCAATTCACGGTTGTGCAAATCATTATATCGTCGGTGTCGGTAAGAAATGATGAAATATTAACAAGTCTATCTCGAACTTTTCCAGTTGCACATTGGCAAGCCAGTTGATTTAATTGTGTTTTTGATAACGATGGTTTGGTTGCAGACAAAACCTGGTATGTAATTAACTTGAACAACCATGAGGCTACCACGGACGCTTTTTCGTAACAGTCGGTTTTGTTGTTCCCATTTGCATGATTCTCAAAGGTAAGTACCGAGAACGGTTGACAGGAGAATGGCGCTGCCAAAAAGCTTGGTGCACGAATCAAGTAAAACGACGCTGCTTAGAGCGCTAAAGAACTTGGAAAAGTAAAAGTATAGTTGATTCATAATGCAAATGTAGGGTAATTGGACATACGACATACTTGATGGCCTTTATTGTCTGTCTGGCAGACTACTAATGCGATTAAAAGGATCAAGATAAAAGAACCTTAGTTTTTATTATTATGCGTTATACTGAATATTTATATGAAATGGAGCGATTCCAGCAGATCATAAATCGAGCTTTTGTTTGAACTGCATAAAGACGCAGTTTTAAGGTTTTAGTGTAGTAATAAAAGTTGTAATTCTTTGATTTCGGAGACTGCTAACATAAAGAAAACTACTACTTATATAGTACCATTTTCATAGTACAATTGGCAAACAAATGCTTTGATCAAAAACTAGAGCTTTTAACACACATTTTCAGTATTTATACCTATCGATAGCTTTATTTTTCATTGTGTAGTGTCAAAAAGAAGCTGAGCTTTCTCGTGATTAGTACCCTGTATGTTAGTAAACATAGTTTATGAACATTTGGCAAGTATCGTAATGCACAAACATACTTCATACTCATTTTATGTGCACCTTTTTTGATAGAGAAGGTACTTAAAAAGATGTCATAGTTTAATCAAATCAAGAACACTTTTATAATAAAAAAACTGATCTATTGTATGCATACCTTACCAAAGCAACTATTTTTGTTACTCTCTATTTTTTAAACTATTTGAGCTTCACTATTTCTTTTTTCTTGAATTGTAATTTGAAATGAATGATAGTGTATGTTTTGTTATGTGATATCATTACCGTGTAAAGAGATATCTCTTTCAACATTTAGTACTTTAGTTGCAAAGATTAAACGTCTTATAATGACATTGATTCGAAATTTTCAGCAATCATGATCACTTAAAGACATAAATCAAGAAAGACAAACAATTTTCTCTCAATTAATCTTCATATTCCTGCACATAAAATGATGTTCAAGCCTTCTTATTTTAAAAGACTTAAACAACACGATACTAATTGCAGACGCAGCCATTAATTGCTTGTTCCCATCAAGTCGCTTATTCATCCTGTTTAATTTGTAGACATATTTAGTTAAATTGTTATGCTAAATATAGTAAGATCTTCTTTTTTGTGACACACCTAACTTTACTCTTTCAGGGCTTCAAAAATAGATAAAATAATAGTGCATAAAGACTAGCAAGAAGTGAAAATAGTTCTTCTTATAAAGTATTGATTTTTTTTTTACCATTAAAGCATATAAGCCAATGTCTAACTCCTAAAATTCAAGAAAAGAGACATCAAGAATTACATATGGCGTTGGCATGTATGGATCAAAAGCTATTCTTATTTTTAGCTTTAACGAAAGAAAAAACTGTCAAGAAACGATATGAGATCCTTTTTTTTATTCGTGATTATTTAACTTAAAAAGGATGAGTTTTATTATTGTGATGTATGCTCTTAAAAGAAAAATACAACAATTGTATAAATAATATATTATTATGCAAACAAAAAAAAAAAGAGTGTGTCTATAGTCTTAATAACCTTCAACAATTGGAATCTTGATAGGTTTTTTATCTCTACGAGGTCTAGTTGAAATACTGTCTGTTGCTCTCCAATCATTCGGCAATGAGAAACGAAAATTAGGCGACAACATAGCATCCGAGAACTTCCAATATTTTTGCTGTACCAAAGTGATTTCACGAAAGCTTTCTACTGCGCCTAGATTGGGTTTGATGGCATTCAATGTATGCTTGAAGCTTGCGATTTGTTGATCTGGCAATGTATCTGGTTGAAATAACTGCGCGACACTAGCAGCACATGTCGCTGCTAATGGTTGAAGTTCGTATCCACCTTCCAATGTCAATACGAGACGACCATCGCATACTTCTTCAGCTAAATCCTTAATCATTTTTGTCATAATGGCATATCCGCGAGGCGTGACGTGATAACCACCTAACTAATTAAAATTAGCTTTAAATTAAAACAAGAAACTTACGTTTTCAGGATGTCCTTCGGCTGCATCAAATCCTGCTGAAACAAATATCATGTCAGGGTGAAATTGTTTAGCAATCGGCAGCACAAAATGGTAAAACGCAGCGACGAATTCCGTATCACCCATGGGTTCTATAGGAGCGTAAATTAAAAAAAAAAGTATTTGTATGATTCTTACTTGGTTTATCTTCTGAAGCACTAAAGGCAATATTTACATTTAAGCCTGTTCCTGGGCCTTCTCCACACTCATCAGGAGCACCCGTAAATGGATAGAATTGACCCTTATCCCAACGATGTATTGAGATATAGAGAACATTTGGATTATCGTAAAAGATTTTTTGTGTTCCATTACCGTGGCTAATAAACAAATAAAAAGATTAGCATCTAGATATTGTATCCGCTGTGTTCATTTACTGTATATCCCTACACACTTTTGTTAAAAAGAATTTTATCGTTAAGTATGACTTACCAATCAATAATGAGAATCTTTTTGATTTTTGCTGGGTATTTCTCTAGAATTTCAGCCACTGCAACAGCCACATTATTATAAAAACAGTACCCCATTGCCATGTCGTCTTCAGCATGATGCCCTATGAACAAGTCAGCTAAATAGGTAGTTGTTGATGTGCTTACCCGGTGGCCGGATCAAGGCAAATCCGTTCCTAACATATCCTTCCACAATGGGTTCAACTAATGCTAATAACGCACCTGCTGAGACTCTAGCTGAAAGACTACTATACAAAGGATGGAATGTAGTATCTACAGCGATACCTAATTCACCACATGTCATTTTACATACTAGGCCTGGTGGCGCATTTGGATGTGGGTCACTTTGAGAAGCATCTGCTGCTGCTGCTGCTGATGAAAAGCGACGATGTTGTCTTTTGATATGATCCTGATCAGCTTGGATAACAACGCCACCACCCACACCTCGCATTACCATAGGAAGGTTGTTGGAAGGAGAACGTGTCATTTTGACAGGTGTATCATGGGTAGGTGCTGGATTTAACAAGGCAGCAATGGATGTAATTTTCAAGGGTTTGGATAATTTTGCTTCTTTTCTGACTTGGATGTCCTCTTCGTCTAAAGGATAATAATTACGTACGTGAGAAAATGTGTGTACTCGTAATAGTTCTTCTGCTGTTATTTCGCGAGCATGGAGTCTTTTAAAAAAGCGAAGCATTCTACAACGCATGAGAAGAGCAAGATAGACAGGATGGTTTACCTATTACTATGAAATGTCTGTAAAATAGAACTGATTCGATCTGGTCTTTCAGGGTGAATTGTCTCACGAGAATGGCATGGGCAACAGTGTAAAGACATACGTCTGTCTTGAACAAGGCCAGTGTGATATCGTGCTTGTTCGCCTTGCTTTGAATCATAGAAATCGGCATAGTCTTTCCACGATTGATCGTTCTCGGGTCCCTTAGGACCATACTGTAATCGACTGAAATTCTTTACAGATCGTATTAGTGTTGGGCTGATCCAATCAGCTTCATCAGGAGCCCAGCCTTCATAATGAACAAATACAAGAAACTCGTCATTGATATCGTTCAAGATTTCTACTACGCGTGCACAATACCATTCTTTTGCATCACCTGTCCATTTGATAGCTTCTACTTGCTCACCAATTTTCCAAGATAGATGACGATATGGATTTTCTATACCAAATAAGTACACATGTAAATTATTGTCTAAAATATATACTTGGATACAATGCCAGGTTCAGTCCTTTGAGTCTCTTTTGCGCTGTGTCGATTCCGTCGCCTTCAGAAAACTTGAACTGCTCTTGAGTAGACTCAAACTGCAAGTCGCTCCTGTTTTTTCTATTGGACCTTCTTCTTTTCAAAGAACCAGTGGAAGAAGACGTAGACAGATTTCCATCACTTCCAGGATAATATGGTGGCGAACTAGAGGGCTGACGGCGGCGGCGAGTATCAGCTGAATGGGAAGACCTTAGCAAAGGGTCTTGCGGTGCTGATAATACCTTAGTTGAAATAATTAAAAAAAACATCATTATCAACACCAATCATTTACATATTAAAATTTAATAATTTTTATACATAAAAAAAACTATTTTATTATATTTTACCATTTGTCTGTTGAATTCTACTTGTTATCTTAATACACTTTTTCTATAGAATGTATAATATGAAGGTGCCTTCAATTATCATACAATTTCGAAAAAGGAAGAAAGAAGAAGAGAAAAAGAATTTCTCTGTCTCTTTTATATACGTTTTTTTTTTTTTTTGCGTCACGTAAGGCAATACCGATACTTTTTTTTTTTCATGGATAATGGTAAACTTGAATTAAAGCATGATTTGAATATGACATTTTCATGAAACATTTCTCTTTTTTCTTTTTCTCTTTTTTTTTTATCATAATGAAGAAATTGTGGTATCTATGTTTTCTTTCTATAGTCATAGCTTATCAATCACTTGCGGATAAAGAGTGTCCGCCTTGTTTTAACTGCTTATTGCCTGGCTTTGAATGTCTTCATTTTGCCAATTGTTCAGAATATGATGGCAAGTGTCAATGTCCCATTGGTTTCACAGGCGATGACTGTAAACAGCCATGTAAGTCAGATCAAATTAAACCTAAATCATTTATGGTATGTAGCATGTGGTGCACTCTCCGATGGAAACAAACGTCCTCCCCGAGAAAACAATCATTGTGATTGTCCAGAGGGTTGGGAAGGAATCAATTGCAATGGTAATATTAAACAATTCACAGCCTAATTATTTATGCTTGCTATTAGTCTGTCAAACAGACTCAGTGTGCGATTCCCTTGTGCCTACTGGAAAGAATGGAAGCTGCTACAAAAATGGAATAACAGTATTTGAGAACTACCAAATGTGCAATGTGACAAGTAAGGACAATATTTTGACAAGGTTGTTAAATATAGGCTAGATAGAAAGATACTAGACCAACTGAAAGGCCAAGTGCCTCAAGTTACCTTTTCTTGCAATAAGCAACGAGCCAACTGTGGTTTTCAATGTACGTAGACATAAAAGCATATTGTTCTTAACACAATCATTAGTCTGGATTGACGAAATCGAATCATTTTATTGTCATTTAAGTGCATGCACATTCGATCAAAAATATGGATTTGACAAGAATTCAACTGAATACGCATGTCAAAACATTGAATGCCGTTGTATCAAAGATGAAATACTTTGCGGCAAAGATGGTTCGATCGATATAACAGGTAATATAGATGCATGGTAAAGAAGTAAACTAACTAGCAAAGACCTTTTGAGGGATCAAATCAAAGGCCCAGCGTCTTTTGACTGTACAAATACAAAGTGTGCGTTTTCAGAACCTGCTATGGATGATTTGATTTCTTCTGTATTTGGTGATGACTCTATCTTTTTAGGCTGCCTTAGTGGCGAATGTTTGCATTATTCAATGGTGCCAGGATTTGAAAGACCAAAAAAGCAGACAAACTGGAGCATGATCATTAGCGGCATATCAGGTGTAGCAGGATTCTTATTGATCATATCAGCCATTGTGACTTATTTCTCCAAGAGACAAGAACCAAAAGGCATACTCGAAATTGAAGATGATGAAGCAGGGAAATTAATGTCTGAGCACACACCCACTAGCTTTATTTTTGAAGACATCGCCTATAAGATAAATGGCCACCCTATAATACAAGATGTTTCAGGCATGATTCAGCCAGGAAATGTGATGGCTATCATGGGACCTTCAGGTGCAGGCAAAACAACCTTGTTAGATATTTTAGCCAAACGTACCAAATCAGGCGAATCTTCAGGCAATATCTATTTAAACGGACAGAAAGTATGCACTAAACACTACAAAAAGCTAATTGGTTATGTGGATCAAGAAGAAGTCATGATTCCTAACTTAACTGTGTATGAAACTATACTCTATTCTGCTTTATTGCGCTTGCCTCGTTCCATGAGTGATGTTGCAAAGAAATTTCGGGTGATGGAAGTCATGCAAGGACTAGGAATTGATACAATTAAGGATGCTGAGATAGGTCAGCAAGATGCACGGTCAATCAGTGGTGGTGAAAAACGTCGAGTTGCTATTGCCTGCGAATTAGTCACCTCGCCTTCTATATTATTCTTGGATGAACCTACAAGTGGTCTTGATGCTTATGATGCCTTCAATGTTGTACAATGTTTGGTTTCATTAGCCAGAAATTATAGACGGACAGTTATTTTTACAATTCATCAGCCGAGATCCAATATTGTTACTTTGTTTGATCAGCTAGTCTTGCTTGCTCATGGGAGAGCGATTTATTCTGGCCCGCAATCTGAGGCACAAACTTATTTTAAACAGATTGGTTACGCTTGTCCTACTGGCTTTAATATTGCCGATTATCTAATCGATTTAACGATGGGTGCGGTTCAAAGAAAGCCAAACCAGCCTTCATCTGCTGTCCAGGCGGTGACAAATAGCTTCACTTTTGAAGATGAATACTTTCCTGCTCAGCCAACAACCTCCATCTATAGTGACGATTTAGATAACATAACAGAGCAATGGGCTTCTGAATCAGCCAAGAAAAAGAAAGCGCAGGAACCGAATGTGATCATTGATTCAGAACCACAAACAGATGGCTTGCCTCCACATGTTCGACAACTCATTGAATATTACCAACACAGTATTATAATGAACGCTCTAAGGGAAAACATCCAAACAGCTGTAGCACAAGCACAACAAGATGATGACTCGGTCATTTTAGAAGCAATCGCTGTGTATGAACGGCCTGGCTTTTTTGCTCAATTCAGAATATTGGCAGATCGTACATTCAAAAATTTATATCGCAATCCGATGTTGATGTTTAGTCATTATACCATGACTATTTTGTTGGCGCGCAAGTATATTTATCCGCGCACGCTTCTTTATTTACATTCTATATAGTAATATGTGGAGGCTTGTTCTACCAAGTTTCAAACACCATTGCTGGTTTTCAAAACCGTATGGGCTTGTTCTTCTTTTATGAAGCATTGCTTGGCTTCATGTGCTTAACTTCACTCCAAGCGTTTAGCAATGAACGCATTTTGTTTACAAGAGAGCGAGCCAATGGTTATTACTCACCTACAGCCTATTTTCTATCCAAAATTCTTTTTGATATTGTTCCATTGCGTATTGTGCCGCCATTGATGATGGCGCTTATTTCTTATTCATTGGTGGGCTTAGTAGAAGGCGTCTCTGAATTCTTCAAGTTTTTGCTTGTTCTGGTCTTGTTTAATTTGACAGCAGCAGCACTTTGTTTAGCCATAGGTATTATAGTCAAGAATCTGGCTTTAGCCAACTTGATAGCATGTATGGTTATCCTATTTTCTATGCTCTTTGCAGGCTTGCTTTTAAACAAAGGTAAATTGTATCGTTTGTATTGATTTTTTTTCTAACATATCATCAGACTCAATACCTCAATATTTCAGTTGGCTCAAGTATCTTTCCTTCTTTAATTATGCCTTAGAAGCCATGCTGGTGAATGAATTACTGTATTTGCAACTTGTTGAAGAAAGATATGGGCTTAAAATAGATGTACCGGGAGCTACTATTTTATCCACGTTTGGATTCAATGCAAGGAATTATTGGCCTGATGTTATTCGTTTAGGTTCAATGTTTCTAGTTTTTATTTTGATCGCTTACGTTTGGCTTGCATTATTCTTGAAAGAAAAAAGATAAACATAAAAACGTTTGTTATAAAGGCAGTTCATTAAGCTTTCTCATCATATAACCGTATGTTATAGAAAAAAATCATATAAAATAGGAGAATAAAGAAAAAATTCGAATCAATGTGAGCATTGTGTTTAGATCTGCCATCAAAATTGACTGTATACTGCATTTTACAGAAAAAGCATCATTATAACAGTGAAATAAAACTTTCTATCCTGAAAATTAGTCTTCTATCGCTAGTAATTGCTTAGAACAAAAAAAAAAAGGTTGATACATTCAATAAACCTAAAATTCGGGAATAAAGCTCCGAATCTTGCCTTAGAAATAAGATAAGGTTTTCACAGTAAGATAAACAGAACTTGATTTTATTAGGATTGAAAGAAATACAAGAATTTTATGAGGACTGTCTCATTATAGAAATGTAGCTATAGATTCAAATATGAAGAGATAGTTTCGGATATAACGGAAGGCCTCCCGTTTATCGATTATTTGCATTCCATTTTCTCGGTTCTGGTGTAAAAGATAAAGTGTAACCTGATTTCTCCCTCCTTATGTGTTTTTGACTATTTTTTGTTCTAGTCTAATGAAATGATGAGAATTTTTAAAAGAGTTTTCTTTTATCTATAGGATAACAAATCATCATTTTATGATATGACTCTAAATATGAATGTGTAACTAACTGGATCTACAACTAATTCGTTACCTGGGTTTGTTGTAATAACATGACATTTGCCGTATCCCTTAAAGAAATCAAATCAAAAAGATTACACTCATCCTCTTTATTGAGCTAGCCTTTATGCTAAATATACTTAAGTACAATCTCGTGTAAGACACAAGAAAAGAAATAGATGCATTTCAAAAATTCTTCTGATTCGATAATCTTTGTCAAACATAGTTTTTCCCACCAAGCTGAGATTTGTTTGTACGGTCTCGATCATATTGACTTTAGCTTATGAGAGATGTATTTTTTCTTTCTGTTGTATCTTGACAAAAGAAGAGTAGCACTTTGTATAAATAAAGCGAGGCACGCACTGTCATACAAAAAAGAAAAATGTCATAAAGTGACATTCTTTGAAAGAGTAGCACAAAATCCTTTCTAAACGCTTTGACCATGGTATAAACAGATAGCTTACTTTTTTTTTTTTGTTCTTGATCAATATACTTCTTTTTAGATCAAAAAATAAAGATGACAAGGGAAAAAAAGAAAAAGAAAATAGCCTTAACCTTAAATACAAAAAAGAGATAGAGAGTGTGTGTATGTTTTGATGGGTTTGTTGTGAGATTGGGTTCTTCTTGAGTAACCATTCATAAATGACAACAAACTTTATGTAAATATACAGTTTTGGGTTAAAAGACGATTATACACACACGGATTTAATTTTTTCTTTTTCTTTTTAACCTATCTATTTATCTGTTTATACAAATGAATTATGTTTCAAGCCCATTGAAATTTAAGATGGCACTCGTGGGAGATCATCCAAAAGAAGATGAAGACATAAATACGTGTCCTGCTAGAACACGTCTATTTTGGCCTAAAAAGATAGTTCCATGGTGGACACCTCACAACAAGGATGATAAACCACCATTTTCGTATGCTACGTTAATAGCATATGCTATTCTGTCTAGTAAAGACGGTCGACTAACCCTGAATGGCATTTATACATGGATTTCGCATCAATACCCCTTTTACTCCATGCGTCAAGGAGGATGGCAGGTAAATCAAAGAATGCTTATTGGGTGTAAGCTAAAAAAATAAACAGAACTCAATTCGGCATAATCTTTCGTTAAACAAGAAATGGTTCTTCAAGATTGATAGAAGACCAACTCAGACAAACCCAGGCAAAGGCTGCTACTGGACTTTGATCCCTGGTGCTGAGAGTGTTTTCATAAACAAATTAACATACGAGAAAAGTCATTATCGAAAACATCATGATATTGAACTAACTGCGGAACTATTCAAGGATCAACACCGAGGTACCTGCTATCATCATGCAACTAATGCAGCACCCACCGGAAGAAGCATTTCATCACCCTTAACCACTTCCTTTCATGGTAGTTCAATAGTTACACCGCCTTCACAAAAAATTCCGAAACCCGACGCCGAAGATTCAGACAATGATTCAAGCATGCAATACTTCAACGATCTTGTAGTGACATCAACTACATCTACTTGTTCTTTATTTTTATCAGATTATCTCGGGATTGGCTTAGAACAGATATATGAAAGTTATAAAGAGCCATTTGTATTTCACTCCGTTCCTTCTGATCCACTCCAAAGTATTTTTTGACTGTATATATCTAAGATGACACCTACAAACAAGTGTTAGTGCTTCAGAAATAAAAGAGATGTGGCACGAAAAAGAGCTTGTGGTTTACATAATAAATTTCTTGTTTTTTCTGAATAATCAAAGCATTGATACCGTTGTGCTTAGAATGTCTTAATCCTCGCTATCACGCTTCCTATTGCCATGCTTGAGACCTTCCGTTTTCTTACCTTTGAGAATGTTTAGTCGAGTTAAAATTGTATTTAAGAACAAGGAAACAATGTCTTTTATTCTTAGAATTAAAGTCAAATGACAGATCCTTGGAGACAAATACTCTAACGAGAGTACAACAAGCATTTTTTTTATTCAATATTGCTGCTGTCTGATTTTGAAGTTCCTTCATTTTCATGAAGCAGTCATACCTGCATAATTCTTTGTTTCTTTATTTTATCATGACAAGAGCAAAGAACACCAAAAAGAAGTCAAGCCCAGAACCAGAAGAATATGAAGTAGAAAAGATCAAGAGCCATAAGGTCTTTCAAGTTGGCAAAGTAAGCAAATGAAAACATGTTCACACGTTGATGTCATCATTAGAAACACGTCTTAAAATACTTGGTCAAATGGAAGAACTATCCAGCAGAATCAAACACTTGGGAGTCAATTGAAAACTTGTAAGTAAACTGTTTGTTTGATTCCATTGAACCAACAGGTCAAATAGATCCAATGCTTTTGAACTCGTAGATGATTATTGGAGCATTTTAGGAGGTGATGAAGCACGCGAGAGAGTGATGAGTCAGATTGAAAGCGAATCCTATTCTCAAGTAAAAGACACACAAAAGAAATCAAAGAAGAGAACCAAGAAGGAAGAGAAAAATGCATCAAAAGAAGAACCAAAAGCAAAAAAAGGTAAATTCCTTTGTATGGATAAGGTACTTATTCATTATTGAAGTAAAGGAGGATATGTATGAAAGTGAAAGTGATTCCGATTTTTCTGAAAGCGAGATCAACTCTAAATCTTTCAGAGCAAAGTCTGATTGGAATGATGTCTCTAAAGTGAAGTATGTAAGAATGTCTAATAATAACAAGCGTTTGGATGCCATTGTTCGCTGGTAAGTAAATATGTTGCTATAGTAAGTCTATATTTATATTTGACATGCTCTTTAGGGCTGATGGTAAAATTGCATTGTATCCTACAACCCTTCTCGCTCAAAAGTGCCCTTTGAAATTGATTGAGTTTTATGAAAAGAGAGTGACGTTTGACAGAAATAAAAAGTAATGAGAAATTACCTTAGTCAGCTTAAAAAAATGGCATTTAATGCGTGAATTTGAATTGCTATTTTCTAGTCTTTTAATAATGAATTCCTCAAACTTATTTGATGTTAAAGACAAGGTATTGAAGATAGTGCTTGAAAGAGTACTCAGTTATAATCACAGGTAGCTCTTGTCACAGGTGGCTCAAGAGGCATCGGTGAAATGATCGCCACTGTAAGTTTAAGTGTCTAAAAGAATACAGAGTACTAATATAAGAGATATAAAAGGGATTTGTCTCAGCTGGCTCCAAAGTCTATATCACCAGTCGTTCTGCTGATGTTTGCTATAAGGTAAAAAGAAACTCCAGCCAACTTTATTTGTTTATTTTCTTCATAGGTGGCCGAGGAATTGACAGCTAAAGGTCCTGGTCAATGTATTGCTATTCCTGCTGATTTGCAGAAATTAGATGAAGTCAAGCGTCTTGTTGCTGAACTTTCAAAAAAAGAGGATCGTAAGCTGGAAATAAAGAGTTTTCTTATTCATTTACTATAGATCTTGACGTCTTGGTAAACAATGCTGGTGCAAATTGGAATGAAAGTATGGATACATATCCCGATCAAGCTTTTGAGAAAGTAGTAAATTTGAATTTGAAGCGTATCTTTACTTTGACCCAAGCGTAAGTTTGCATTAAATGAATATGAAGTATTTAAAACAACAATAGCTGTCTTCCGCTCTTGACTGCTAAGGCTACTCTGGAAAAAACCACTTGTGTCATTAACATTGGTTCTATAGATGGCATTCGGGTATGTATAGATGAGCCTATAAGAAAGATAAGATTGACATTTTCATATCTAGTCTCCTCCACAAGAAACATATGCTTATTCCGCGTCTAAAGGAGGCCTCCATCATATGTCTCGCCATATGGCTGGTAAACTAGGTCACAGAGGCGTGCGTGTTAACGTCATTGCTCCTGGTGCATTTCAATCTAAAATGATGAAGGCAACCTTGGACAAATTCCATGACTCTATTATAGCAAAAGTGCCTGTAAGTTTGATTTTTATTTAGCTATATTATGTCTAAAAATCTGTTTAGGTGCGCCGTATTGGTAGCCCTGAAGATATTGCAGGTACTTGCATTTATTTAGCCTCTCGTGCTGGTCAATACACGAATGGTGCTACTGTTACTTGCGATGGCGGAACGGCTGTTGCTGATGCTAGAATGTAATTCATGTAATCAATAATAGAAATAATAAGCATAGTCATATTTGATTTTCATTATCGAACATGAAGAGGCATTACCTCACTAGATCCATTTACCTTGTTTATGCTGTTTAACTTTAGACTGTCTGCTGAGATTGAATAAAACAACATCATGTCTGTAACCATCGAAATTTTGCTTTTTTTTCTTTGTTATTCAACACACTATGAAAGAGTCGATAGGCAGCGAAAAAAGCAAGAAGATATATACAGATAGACAAAAAGATACAAAAGATGCCTTATCACATGTTCGTTGGGCTCCTTTAACGATACCATTCGAGCGTCGTCTTCAGACTGCTGCTGTCTTGACTTGGGTATTTTTGCTAGGCAATTGCTTTACTTTATTTCTTTGGTCATTATGTTTACCCTTCCTGTGGCCACTCCAAATTGCTTACATTATATTCATTGCAAAAGATAAAGCACCGGAAAATGGAGGGCGTCGCTCAGAATGGTTTCGTCGCTTACCTTTCTGGCATTATTTTGTCAGTTACTTTCCTATCAAACTCGTAAAAGAAGCTGATTTGAATCCAGAAAAGAACTACGTTTTCGGCTACCATCCGCATGGTATCATCAGCATGGGTGCTCTTGGTAACTTTGGTACAGAAGCAACTGGTTTCTCAAAGCTTTTTCCTGGCATTGTACCCTCGTTGCTCACCTTGACAACCAATTTCAATATTCCTATCTATCGCGAAATAATTATGGCCTTAGGTCTTGCTTCGGTCTCTCGTCATTCATGTGAGCATATTTTAGCATCAGGACCAGGTCGATCAATTGTAATAGTGATTGGAGGAGCAGCAGAGTCATTAAGTGCGCGTCCTGGTATTGCTGATTTAACGTTGAAAAAAAGGCTTGGATTTATTCGAATGGCTATTCGCCATGAAGCTGACTTGGTGCCTACATTTTCTTTTGGGGAAAATGATTTATATGAACAAGTAGATAACCACAAGGGCAGCTGGCTTTGGAAAATTCAGAAAAAAATGCAGCAAGGTTTAGGATTTACTATGCCTTTGTTTCATGCACGAGGGGTTTTCAATTGTAAGTCGTGTTACATATGATTTACAGTACTTAGATATATAATGTAGATGACATTGGGTTGATCCCATATAGGCATCAAGTGGTTACTGTTGGTAAAGTATAGCCTCAAGTTACACTGGATTGCGTATCTAACATGTGATTTTTAGTGGGGAAACCTATTTCTGTTCCAAAACTGAAAGAAGGCCAGACTGAGCCTACAGAAGAACAACTAAAAGCAACACAAGCATTGTATATTGAAGAATTAGAATCAATTTATAACAAGTACAAAGACATTTATGCCAAAGATAGAAAACAAGATTTAAGGATTGTCAGCTAAAATTTTTCTACATATATCTTTTTTACTCAAGCAATACAAAATAAAAAAGATGTACGCTCCATAAACATGATTACAAATTCAGTGCTTTGATTTACACTGTAATCAGTACAAAAGAGGCCCTTTTCATTGAAAATCAGATAGTAAATGGGCATTTATTCTTACACCATTCTACGTACTAAATGTATGCGAGCTGATCGTATGATGATATGTGGCACTTTTGAGTCTAAAAAGAGCAGTTTTGTACATGATAAACGATAGGTGTCTCGTTTTCTTTTTTTTTTCTGCGTCCCTATTGCCTTTCGACGACTTTTGCTGTTCAATTTTTGATCTCTGAATATACTGTATTTTGTGTGCATGATACTTTGATGCATTCGAAATGCACAAAGATAAGGAGATAGCGATCAAGTCTATTAACAAAAGCTGTAGTGAATATATAATGATACCTGAGAAAGTAGAGAAAAGGACTGAGATAGTATGAAAATCATGTACGGAAGTTTGACAAAAGCATGTGGTACAGCTAAACGCTGCTGTTCTATGCTCATCTGCCTTACATTTACACTGTAGATTGCCAATATTTCTATTCCCCTATGTTATTTGGCATTCAAAATAGCATAGAGCAAAAACGCTCAAAAATGCTCAAATCACAGCTGACACATGCCGCCATTACTCGACAACTAGACTATCAAATTAGTCCCTTTTTTCATTTAAAACATGTTCTTTCAAACCAAGAAATCGAATGGTACCATTGGCTTGGCAGTTAGATGAAACTTGTTTTTTATTACCCATGGGAGATCTACGGAGGTCCGTGAAGATGAAAAAAAAAAAAAAAAAAAAAAAACTCGATCAAGAATTTTTTTGGAATGGCCAATTGTAGGTCTGATCCAACCGAAATGAGCTGAGATTACGTTTAGATACTTCTGACAAAAAGAAAACGGGCTTACTGAGACAAAAAAAGGCGACTCAATTTGAGTATTGCCTTCAAATATGCATTCAAAGTTCGTGATACACTGTAGTCAGCACAAAAGAGAACCTTTCCAATATATATTGCTTTCTAAACCTACGTCTACTCTAATACTATTTGATGCACATAATACTGATAAATAAAACGTATTACATTACTTGGTGCTTTTGAGGCCGAAAATACCAGCTTTGGATATGTCAAATGATGAATATCAATCATCTTCAAGATATATATATATTTGTAAATCCATTGTGCCCATAAGAAGCTCCAGGCAATTATAAGCTTCATCATAGCTTTTTTGTCGCTCTAGCGCAATTTGTTTTCTAATATATCATATGTTCTAGTAATTCATCAAATATCGTATCATTTTGTTCAATGCTGGCGTTGATCATACTCATTCCATTATCAGTGGGTTTCAAACGTGGCTCGAATCCATATGAAAGGCAATTCATTTGATCCGACTAATTATCTCTCAATAAATCTGACTTTTGCTTTCAAGACGATGATTTAGGCATTTATAAAGGAATCCCTCCTAGACTAGGCGCCATTCTTGGACACTGCTCAAGATGGGTTTAAGGAACGCAAATATGCTTTTGATTGAGTCCTTTGTCTTTTCAAAATTAGTTATCTCCTATACTGCATGTATTGACTTTAATACTTATTTTTTGAGCATCGAATTCATCTATAATACAATAAATCGTGCGATATAACTACCTGATAAAATGATACAAATTAACAGATCAATTAGAACCAAAAATGGACAAAAAAAGATAAAAAATAATGCATCAATATCTTTAAAGTATATCTGTTTCTTAAACAAGATTTTGTTTAATAGCAAACTGATTCCCAGAATAAAAGTCCATAGACTGAATAGTAGTACACTCAAATGATTAAAGAATACCTTATGTTTCATTAGGCATAGTTTCTTTTGTCTCCAAGAAACACATAAGGTCTCTCACTTTGTCAGTCAAAGTTTCAAATGTAGCTTCCTTTTCAGCCGCATTCTTCTTTAGTAGTTCATTGTTTCGCATTAAAGACTTCGTTAACTAAAAGCAATGCTGTTAGGAAAAACTAGATAAAGTTATTGGCTTACCAATTTCTCTTCACTTAGGTTTTTTAAGGTGTGTTCGTATTTATCTTTAAACGATGTTGCTCTTTTGGTTATCTTTTCTTTTTCTCTTTGGAGCTCGTTAATCTCTGAATCTAGTGACTTTCCTCTTTTGGTCAACACAATAGTCTTTTCTTTAGCGCCTTTCATTTCTTCTTTGGTCAATTGTACTTGACTCGATAGATTCTGAAGTTCTGACATGAGAGTATCAAGTTGTTCTTCATAGTACATCCTTTGAGAGTCTAACTGAGAAGTTAACATGAAAGAGTACTCTACAGACATGGCATCTAATTTGTTGGTTGTTGCATCTTCTTCTCGATCCAATGGATTTTCTGTTGCTGTTGTGCTTGATCCAGCCGCAGTGAAATGGCTAAAATAATCATGGTAGTTTGATGATTTTCGATTCTTGGTATGCGAAAAACTTGTTCTTGACTCTTTCTTATTTTGATCTATAGCTGTCTTGGGTGGTAGTTCAACAAGTGCACCATCAACTGTATTCTGAATCAAACGATGTACATAACTGTCTCCTAAATAGTCCCAAATGCGTTGTGTTTCAATTTCAAGCGTATATAAGTGATTTGTTTCCATATAGTGATCGTATGCGTGTGCTTCTTGGTATCGTCCACAACCAATATGTCCACAAATCATACAAATCCAAAGGCTTTCAGTAGATTCACATTCAAAGCATTCATAGCTTATATGCTTTTCTTGATTCGAAGAAGATGAAGATGAAGATGAAGAAAGAACTGGCTTTTGAGAGTAAAGACATACAGGGCAACTGCTCTTACCCCATTTATTAAGACAGTCGCATCTGTTTGTATGTTGGCATTGAATACTGAGTAGACCAGTAATACCTTGATCCATACGCTCAAGACATACAGGGCATGTAGGTAATTCTGCTTCTTGTTGTTGATGACTTGATAGATCTTGGCTTAATGTTTCATTTAGGTACGGATATGTGTTTGGTAACATTGTATTTACATCTATCGTGTTTGATTTAATGTAAACAACATGGCTGATTTCCGGCTATTTTCTGTTAGTCAGAGACATAGCGTCACAAAAAAGCTACCTCTGTCATGTTGAATCTTCTTCCATTGAATTTTTGATAACAAGCAAAAGCAGATTGTCGACTTTTGAACTTTAATAGAACAGTGTATTTGTTAGGTGAATAATCTCTACAGACTCAGGTTAAAACTTGATCGTTTTCGTTTCCCTTGTACCTGATAAAACGGTAACACAAAATATTAGCGTTCGTGCTTCCCAAAAAAGTGATAAAATCCTTTTGGGCCATATAAGATGGTATTGCTAGAATACAAAGGATTTTACCATCATCACTATCATTATTACTATTATCTAATGACGCTTCTTGAACTATTCTAGTATCAGGTAGATCCTGTTCTGGAATAGGTTGTAATTCGCGATATAAATGAAGTACACCGTAACCAAGTGATAGGCTACTTTCATGTATTTGTCGTTTATTTTTGTGGTTCTTTGTCGTGACAATATCTATCAAAGATAGGTTTATCGGACCAAAACGAAAGTCTATTTGACCTTCCAAACTATGGTGTTTATAAGGCTTATTAATGTGAATAGGTGTGGGTGGTACATGTTTTTGTTGGGAAGCTTGTGGAGGTTGTGAAGATCTTCTTCGCAAAGACGACAGCGCTTTGCTGTTTGTATTGTGCTTATAGTTTTCCAGATGTTTAGTTGACTCTGTATCAACGCTTTTTGGAAAGATACCAAAAAAATCGTTTGGTAAGTTTGTTTTGTCTGGTGAATACAGGAGACATTTTAATGTGTAATAGTACATGGAAAGAAAAGTCAAAAAAAAAGAAAAAAAATATAGCGGGCCTAATATTGCTAGAAAGCACTCAGATTTGAAGTATAAGATTGATTGGCCAAAGAAACATTTCTTCAAGCATCATAACGATTCAGTCTGTTTCTAGTATAGAAAATTAGGGATTTCTGTACTCATATATATAACCTGACAGGCTTTCATTCTCTATGCAACTCACTTAAAAAATGCAAACGTTAAAGAAATAGATAAATTCAAAGTCATTTGAGAGAAATATTATTGATAATGTAAGGAAAATAAAATGTATACAATAAGCAAATTATACAAAAAAAAAAAGGAATGAGTCTATCATGAATGCAGCAGTTTAAAAGGAAGTAAGTCTAATGATGGTGGTGATCATGACAATCAGCGGTTTTCTTCAAGGTAGCTTGTGGATCTTCCAAGTAAATAGCTACGTTTTGAACATTCTTGCAGCTTTTCTTGATAGACAAACGAACTTTTTCCTCTAGTTGATATGCTTTTTGCATTGGAATTGAAGGATTTAACTGCAAGACGAGGTCTATATGATTAAATGGTCCTACTTTACGACCACGAACAGAATGAAAATTAACGACATCCAACTCTTCATCCTACATACGTTTGAATACACACACACACACACACATATATATATATATAAAACAAATTATTCAAACTATACCTTGACTTTGGCAATAGCAGTTTGAATGGAATCTAATTCTTTTGTCGCAATGCCTTTATCCATCAATTCTTTCATTGAAGATCCCAACAATCCTGTACTGCTCTTGACAAGCATACCAGACACAATAAGGCCGCCAATAGGGTCCAATACTGGCATACCTGCATAACTACCTACAATAGCAGCAAGAGCGACTGCACTTGAGTATGCGTCTGCACGATGATGCCTGTTTCTGATGAGAAAAGCCGTTTGTTTTCCTCTTATTCATACCATGCATTTGCCATTAGAACTTCACTTCTTTCAGTAATTCCTACTTTGACAGCTATTCTTATGTCAGCATCTCTAAATAAGAACACTGTACTCACTTGCTCTGTAGAGCCATTCTTTTATAATGACACTTGCTAAAGCAAACCAGGCTGCATTAGGATCCAAGACACCGTTACCATGGTGACTATGGCTATGAACAGGCGAAGGAATACTGTTGTGTTCAGCAGCAGAATGGGATGTAGTAGCAACCGTAGCAGCTGCATCAGAAATCAAAGGAACAGAGGACTGAAGCGCTACTAGCAAAAGATCAAATGAATGCCAACCAATAGCTACTGCACCAGCTAATAAAAGGGAAGAGACTGTCACCGAGCCTACAGTTTCGAATTTACCTAACAGAGCACATCAATTGTCATATTTCAAGTCCATAACGTAAAAAAATCATACCATATCCATAAGGGTAAACATTGTCAGCTGGCTTTCTGGACATTTTAAAGGTATAAAGTGTCACGAAATCACTTAGCAGATCTAGATGTGAAGTTAGAGTTCAATAAAATAAGAACAAACACATTACCGCTAAATGAATGTAATGCTTCAGCTAATAAAGAAGCAGAATTCATTACCCTAATTGTATTGAATATAGGTTCAATGGCACTATTACTGGCTTACCATCCTGCTACGCCTTTGGCTACTGTCAGGCCAACATTGGAAGCTAAACCAATAATAGTAATCCTTGTGCCTTTCTTGCCTACATTACATAATGGTTTATCTTTCTACTTGAAATTTGAAATAATTTCTTACTTGAGGATGTAAGTGTAGTCATAAGATCAGCATCGTGGTGGTGGTGACCATGCGATCCATGGTGGCGAACACTACCTAGAAATGAATGTGTAATTTTTGCATAGTGTGGACGGTGACGCAGAACATAAAAGGAAGAGTTAGACAATAAATTTGTTTGAACAGAAGGTTTCAATAAAATAGCTCTGCTTGAAATAAGCCGTAAACGGATAGAACTGTTCAGGAGCATGCTAGACAAAAGAGAAAGAGAGAGAAGGGAGAGAGAAAAAAGAAGGAAGCGAGTAATGATGGTGAAATAACTCATTTTTATATTCAGAAAGTCACACAGCGGGTAGAGACGGATATGCGAAATAAATAAGAATGTGTGCTTAACAAATTTATGCGTTTATTGACATCAACCTCGAATAAAGATACCCCTTTCAAACACACTACTAAAACGGCTCTTTGAAGACTTATCAACATGGTCCAAACCCAATGCATCTTCCTCTTGAAGACGCGCTTTACGCAACTCAAAATCGTTTTGATCAATCACTGTTACTTGAGGCTCAGGAGCATTCAAATTACGGATCACTGTAAACTTGACTTTTTTCCAATCCATGTCACCCAATCCTGTCCGTTTTTGTAATCGCTTCTTGGTCTCTTCAAAAAGCTCTCCCTTGATAGCCACGAAGCGGAAAGGAATACTATGGAAACTTGTAGGTCGTTCGTGATAATGTACGACTTGAACAAGACGGTCTGAATCATAATCCATCTCCAATTCATCTTTTGGAATAGGCTATCTTTGCATTAGCAGCAATTTCTCAATACTTCGATCCTTTACCTCGGCATAGACAATAGCTGACTTTTCAATGGCCACATTGTCCACTGTTTGATCAAGAGAAAACTCTTTGGTTACTTTTCCCTCTATAACTTCATACAATCGAATTCTATCTGGGTCCTTGATTTCCATTTTACCCTTAGTAATGACTTGATCCAGTAATTGGCGAACAGATCCTGCGCGAGAAACAAGGGCATTGACTTTAGTTTCTTTACGTAAAGTAGGACCAATGATAACAACTTCAATCGATCGCTTAGACTCCAAGTCAGCTACATCAACATCCAGAATTTCATAATACAGCATAGGTGGACTAATATGATCAAAATTGACAAATTGAAGATATTCTTGTGGTTTTGGCAAATTAAGCAGCATATCTTGTAATCGAGTAGTAGGCTTGTAAGGAATAATATCTCTGGGTTGGTTTGTGATAGGATGAGAAGAAGTAAACCGGATCTTGGTTGCTTCAACACCAAGTTCATCGGCTAATTGAGTGGCTATCATATTGTAGTTGGCTGTCCTATTGAGCACAAGTTTAGCTTCATCATGCTTGGAGTTATTGACATTAGGTTTAGGTTTAAACAAAACACAGGCTTTGTTATACAGGGAGGCGTAATAGTCAGGAACAGAAGCAATGTGTCCATTCTTTGTCGCTTCATCCATTCTAAACACAGATTAGCTCTAGTTTTGACATATACAAGTCAAACCTTACTCTTTTTGAGACATTGTTCTTTGAAAACAGATAATATCACCGTTTTGGAAATCTGCCTTACGGAATGTTTGGTCTCCCTTAATCAATTCAATCGCATTGGGTCTAATCTCTTCATAGAGTTGAATTGAGGTACTTTTAGGTAATCCTGCTTTTTCAACCAACAAAGATAGAAGACTATTGACTTTGTCATTCAAAGAAGCAAAAATATGACCAAGGCCTCTACAATGCAATACATGTTAGCTCACATTTTGTGTAGTCTCCACACCGCACCTTATCTTCTGCTCTTTGATATCAAAATACTTAATGAACAGAATCATTTGGTCGTTTCTGATGACAGGTAGTGGCTTGTCTTTTTCGGCAATTTCTAAATACAATTTTGTGAAGCCATTGCTTGATGTGTTGACACAAGTAGCTTCTCGAATCTTTTCAACAGCTATAAGAAAAAAGCAATGTCAGCCATCCCATGTAATATCAATTAGCTTACTTTGTCTCTCGTCTGCTGAAGTCAGTAACTGATCAACACGAACTGTCTTGTTTTGACGATAGAGTATACTCCATAATCTAAACCTATCTGGTTCAAGATGATAATAGTCTACTAATTGTTGTTTAAATGTAACGATTTTATCTGTCTTGGGTGCTTTGAATACGTTGATGTGAGGCGAAACATCAAGATGTCTATCATCAAAAGTACCCAAGTTGAACCCTTGATAATCACTTAATGAGTCATCTGTCACAATAGCCACTTTTACATTCAACTGCATATCTTGTCTATCCTGTTTACGTTTCTCCAATGTTGCTCTTTCATCATCCAAGCGACGCTCTATGTAATTAGCACATATATCTTTATAAAAGCAACTTACTTAAATGTACAGGAATATCGTTTTCTTCAACAGGGCCCAATATTTCATTCAGTTTACTCTTTCTGATATAGACCAGCATGTATGCATTTGTAAATCGTTTCATCATACGAACACTGTTGGCTCTTGTGTTGCCATTAAGAAAAGTAGGTGATATCATATTATCTTTGGGGCTACGATGAGGTTCATCACCAAAGTTCTCTTCAAACACTTCTTTCTTGGTCACAGGAGTAACACGATCATCGTCAAAGCGATACCATTTGTCATTGATTTCTGGACGAATGAGTGCAAAATAATGACCACCTGTGATATCACCACTATGGACAAGAACACCATGAAGTTCATAGTCATAAGGACCATCTTGATCTTCTTTTGAACAGTATTTGTCTAGATTGATTTCAGCTGGAAATTCATGACGGTCGTTGATCTAACAGAAATGAATAGAAAGCATAAGATTTAGACAGCTTACCTTGACCATGGTATCTCGCATAAAATCATATTCAAAACGCTTCAATTGTAAGTGCAAAACAGGAGGGAAGGTTTCAAAGATGACACCTTTATTAGCGTCTTGAAGTCCATGTCCTTCAGCGTGGTATTTGTTGTCACCTTCCAATGTTTCCACTGTGATATAATCATCAAAGGAATCAACTAGATTCTTACAGCCTTTGACATTGAGTTGGATATCATAATAGTCTTCAATACGGGAAGATTCAAAATCGACATTGATACACTTGATAAAACTCTTCATTTTGCCTTCAAACAATTTAGAAATAGCACCATCAGCAGGTGTACCTTTCATTTTCTCTTCTAGATTATCTTGAAGCACACGGTTGAATTCTTGCACATCGTGTTGCATAAATGCATCCAATGAGTCCCAACCGAAACTCTTTGTTAATTCTGTCGTGCCCACTGGCTCTGAGCTGTATTGCAAATTATAAAAGCAACGTTGAAGAGCAAGCGCTACACTTTTCGTAGGCTCGTCTTTTTCAGTAGGGATTTGATAGACTGCTTTTCTGAATTGATTAGTGCAGTACAGAGATTGAAGAAGTGAATTCATGTAACAAGTGGCACCTTGATTTTTTATGCCTACATAGCCTGTCTCTTTTCGGGAATCGTACTTGATGAATTTATGCCAAAGAACACCTGTTTCATCTTTAACGACACGCAAAAAGACAGAAATGACGATTTCATTATTGACGAGGAAAGGTCCCTTGCCAGAACTAGTAGACTGTTGACCAAGTTCTTCAATTTCATAAAAACGCGTAAATCCCCAATCAATTTCCTCGGCACAGAAACGATGGTTAGCACCTAAGTCAAGTCAGTTAAAGAAATGCATATGGTTTTTTTTAAGCTGAGCTTACTATTGGTAGTATAACAAGTGGGATCTTCAGGATTAGAGATGGCAAGTGCAAATTGAGCACATGTATGCCAACCATCTTCAATACCGTCTTTTTTAGGTGGTGCAATTTCGAGATAAACAGATATTGCTTTACTTTGATTGTTTCCCTTGGGGAAAAGCAGAATACGCCTACATCAAACGTTAGCCGTTTTTTTCTATATTATTGTGATTTGATGTATGCCTTACCAAGAATAATCATTCACATGAAATGCAGGAGAATGTACCTTAGTCTTTAAACTTTTCCAATCCTTGATATGCCAATGATATGAAGCTTCTTTTTCTGTTTCCAAATCAGGATTTTTAGGTAAAACTGTCTTGAACATTGTACTTTCTAATATCTCTCTCAGTATACAAGTATAATTTATACACGCATACATACCGTCAGTAACAGAAAGTAGGGCAGCTTTAGGTTTTATATCTTTCATGTTGGTTTCAGGCTCTTGTTTTTCGTTTACTTCAGCAAGTTTATGAGTAGTGTTCAAGTCAGAGTTGACTTGAGGAATTTTATCGACCATATTATAACAAGGGAAAAGAGAAAAAGAAGTCGCCAGAAGACACCTAAAGAGAGAAACGAGTTTGAACGGAGCCTAAAATAGACTGAAGCTTTTCTTCTCAAAAAACTCGCTTTATTTAGATCAGGATGATTCCAGTGTTTTGTGTTTAAAAGTGGAGTTTTTTGAAATTGATAAAATCTTCTATACCTGGTAGAGATTGTTGGTGAGCAATAAAACTCTTTGATCTCTACTATACACTTTGCAAATACGATAGAAAAAAATCCAGCATCCCAGTTGAATGAAATTTATAAATATTCTTTCTTCATTTTATTAGAAACTTAAATTCTACAAATTAAGCAGTATGTAGTGTCAATTTTTACCTTTTTTTTGTGATTTCTCAATGGACAATAAAATATAGTAAAGATAAATAATAATTGCAATATGAGATAGAAATTTATATTTGACAGAGAGAATGAAGGTCAATGTAATCAGTCTCTCCAGATAAGGAAGTCAGAAGTTTACTGCCGTTTTTCGAGAGGTACACCGACTGCCCAGTAAATAGGCAAAGTGGCATATTCGTGTGCAATTTAGCAGTGCCTTATGCCATATGGCAAAGTATCTGCCAAATAATGCTAGTTAATTAGGCTCATATCTCTTTATAACTAGCTTATAGAGACCATTCATACAGAAACATATCATTCAGAATTTGCTTTTTTTTTTAACTGAATAATTTATTTCAAAGTATAGAAGGCAAATCATGTGTGTTTTCTTCAGCCATTGACGTTGAACTCGTAGGAACTGCTCTTCTTTTTTTGGCGTTTTCTTTTAACATTTCCCATCTTTCCTTATATCGATTCATAAGCACTTTTTGTTTCTCATTTTGAATTCGTAACTGTTTGTTTTCTTCTTCTAGTTTTTTAAGGCGTGATACTATGCAAACAGGTTAACACATTGTCAGTATCTGTGCGATACAGACCTAATTCAGGTGAAGAAGGAGCAGTATTTGTGCTCTGCATGGCTGAATAGCGACTACTACTACTACCTCCACCAAGTAAAGCAGCAGCAGATGATCGCATGGCTGATTCATGATAGGATTGCATGATTCTTTTCGCCTGCTTATGAACATCATTTCTAAATTGAAGTACGCTGCTCTTCAGCGTATTATTTTCTTCCGCAAACTAGACCATGTCAATGTTGAACAACAAAACAAGTCTGATTTACCATTTCAAGCATTTTCAATCGCTTTGTCAGCTGTGCGACTTGTTTCTTTAACTTTTCATTTTCTGACTCCTCTTGAGTGGCCCTACAGAAAACATAAGTCATATTTGTCTTGTGTGTGTATCCTTACTCTGCTTCGTCTGTGAATGGTATTTCTTGTTGTTTCAAACTATTTGGATTAGGTACAAGGTAATAAGAGTCAACCATGCTTTTTGTTGTATCCTCTTTTGATATAATGGAAGAAATAGGGTTATCATTTTCGTCTAATGGAGCTGAAGTGAATGCAATGGCAGGATTAAATAGCTGATCCACTAACCCGTCTACTGCTCCTAAAAACTTATTAAAAGGGTCATCCTCTTGATCTTCCTAAGAAGAAAAAAACAACCTTTTAATGAATCAATCAACCAAGGCTATTTGCTTACATTTGATAACAAAGCATAGGATTCACCTATTTCACTTATACGACGCCCTACTGCTTCTTCATTGCCAGACAGTCTTGATATTAAAGATGAGCCTGTCTTTTTGAGTTGTTTGCTTTGTGTTGTCTTTTGATTCTGATCTGTGTTTTTTATCAATCTTTGTGCTTTACGGTTCAACTCGTTTGCCTTTCGAGTGTGATTGGATGACAGTAGTCGCAATGTTCGGGTGGCCTATGCACATGATAAATAAAATCATGGTTATCTTTTTTGATTTCAAACCTCAGCATCAGTAGCATCTTTAAGAGCTATCTCAAATTGCTCTAATATCAACTATGAGCATATTTATTTAAAAACTTTTTTTTTTTTTTTTTTTTTTTTTTTTACCAGCTGCCTTTGAGTGTGCCTCTGCTGCTTTTAACCAGTCTTCTCTTTCTTCGTGATCTTCTGCTGCGTTTGCAAAAGCATGTCCCTACTCTTCACAGTCAGACAAGTCTTGTTTTATGTTTGAATACTTGCAGTATTCACTGGTGCCTCAGAGTTCATAGGTAACTTGATAAAACTAAAAAAAAAAAAAGAGTGAGAAAAAAAAAGAGGCATAAATGCTGGGTTTCTAATTTATTTTGGTTCAAAAAAAGTGTTTTATTTCACAATTAGATTTGCTTTCAACAAGTGAAGTCGCAACAAAAGAGCCTTAGAAGATTTATCAAACTCGTCACCAGCCAAAAGAGATCTTTCTAATGCTTCAGAACGCTTTTCTTGTTTCTTTGTACATAAAATCTATAGGCATAATAAATACAACATCCTCACTTTTCTTTACTTACCTTTTGATGACTATCAATTCTAGCAGAAATCTTTTGTTTTTTACCAATTAAAGTAACTAAATCATTCTCCAATGCATCAAGATCCATGTTAAATGCTGTTGCCATCTTTCGCATGTCAATCATAGAGTAAGGAATACAATACTGAACCATGGCTTTTTCACGTACAAGCTGAACAAGTGCTTGTATATGAGATGCCAAGTAGATATCCAATGCTAATGTCTGCTTGTATTTCTCTAGCAATTCAAAACAAATGGCATATTTTGATTTGTAAAAAGCCTCTAGCAGTTCATAAAGTGAAGGTTCTACTACAAGGAAGTTTTTGAAATTCGTATTGTTCAAGATGTGTGTGTTGAATTGACGTCGGTCGTATGAGACCAATGCACACAGACTACCATAAATAGCCACATCATTAGCAGACATAATATCGCTCACATGAGATGCAGACTCAAATGAGACTTCAGTTAAGGCAGTAGCCACAGCTCGGTAGCGATTGGGGCTGTCACTTCCGCCTAATAAAGAAATGGCTTGACAGCATCTTAGCTTAGATAAAGTATTGACTTTATCAGGCATATTAGGTGTTGCTTCTGCACGGGATATATATGTCTGGACTACATGGGAGTAGTTTCGATCATCCAAATAGACCTGTACAGGTTCAGCCATTGCTTCTGAGAAGTTCTGCTTACCTTGATGGTATTAAAGCACATATCAATCACATTCTGGCTTGTTGAGCAATAGTCTCTTGTTCTCACATAGTTCTTCATGGCAGTGGGAAGGTCACCTTTTTTATAATACTGATCTCCTATACGTGTATGACACAACTAGATAATCTTCAATCATACTTGTGTATATATCATAGACCTACTCGGATCTCATCTTTAGCAAGATTGCTTTTCGCTGTCTTTAGATCGTGTTCGAGTGCTTCAATCGTTGATTTACTCTTTTGCTGAGCTTCATTAATCCAATCTTGATCTATAGGAACACTAGGTTGTCCTTGACTTGATAATTCTGAATTAAGGCATTCGAGTGCAAGTTTATATTTAGCTGTGTTGAATGTGTTGGCCTTGATGTCTTGAATAGCACTTTTATAGGCTTCAATAGCAAGAGGTGCATGAGAGTGTTTGGCAATAAACAGACTTCTAGCAATACGCGTGTAACCTATAGAACTAAGTAAAGTAGACAATATAAAAGGAGACTACCCTCGTAGTTACTAATGTAACTCTCAAAATCAAATGTGGAAAGGTCTTCTACGCGTGAATCACTCATGATTGTTAAAAAAAAAGAAAAGATACACAGTGATCTGAAATAAAAAATCAGCCTGTTCAAACTCAACAACAAAGATATTCTAATCCAAGAGCCAAGATGATACTTAAACGCACTCAGTTTTTTGTGGATGATGTGTTTGCTTTAAGACAGTATAGGCAGAAAGAAATCAGTGCTTGTTAGCTTAGTAATAGTAGTAGTAGTAGTAGTAGTAATAGTAGTAGTAGTAGTAGTAGTAGTAGTAGTAGTAGTAGTAGTAGTAGTAAGAATGTAATGAGTTGAAGCAATTATACAATTGGCAAGGTTATTCAACTACTTTTTCGTATCTGTCTCAATATTCTACATAGACTGGTTCATATCTGTTATGGCCTAATGTAGGCAGCAACATGCATCTCATGCTCTGCTTGATTTCTACAATTTAATTTTTGTTCATTTAATATTTTACAATAAAGTGTATAAATCCTGTACAAATGCGCCATTTTTTCTTGGCTTTTGATGAAATCAACATGAAGTATGTCAGAAAAAGACAAGAAAGGGGGGTGTAGCTTGAAAAGGAAAGCACACTTGGTGCATTGACTCATGATATGATCACTACTAAAAAAAAAAAAAAAAAAAAAAAAAAAAAAGAAGTAGTCCTGGTATACGAAAATTGGCTCTTTTTTGAATACTATTTTTGATCTGTTAAGAGTAGTTACAGCATGAAAAGAAGGTAAGTCATAGATAAGATGGTAACAAGAGTCCGAATTATGAAACGTTTATTCCAGGATCGCACAAAAGCCAGCATCAAGAATAAGCCTATATCGATTTCTAAATGAACTTATAGAACTCTTTTTCAATAAAGCTGCTATCTTTTGACTTCCTTAAGTCTAGTTTTGTCAAGGAATTGTATTTTTAATGCAATACAGCCGGGACGCTATGAGAAAGATGATCCTAATAAATTTCCTTTATTTATTTTTTTTCCAAAGAGAGAAAGAGAGGATTGTCCACTTTAGATTTGAAGTATGTGTCCCCATTGAGGCTAATAAAGGTGTTATGCGCTGGTTGAGTTCATACTGTACGACGAGATCCAGGTACGATTTGATGTTTAATTTACGCTTGCATTGGTCCAATTTTTTTCCGACCTTCAGTCCGCTTCGACTAGACTGTCTATATTTTTTTCTTTTTCATTTTTTTCATTTTTATATTAATGTCAACTGTCTACTCTTTCTAATCTAAAAAGATGGAGGAACAAGCTTTCCATACAAAAGCATTGTCAACCCCAGTGCAAGACTATATTCTTCAAATGGATCCCGTTGACACCACTGCTTCTACTCCCTCACCTGTTCAAGCCAAAAGAAACGATGATATGGAAGTCTGTTATCCTTATCATCATACAGACCACCATTCAACTATCGAGATAGATATACTAAAATCATACCTTAAGCCTGATATCTCGACAACAACAAAAGAAGAATTAGAACAAGAACAAGAAGAAGACGGGGAAGAAATAGACCATCAATTAACAGCTCGACTAGATGATTTACTTGAATTTAGCAATGAAAAACCTTCTCCTCACCGAAGATACAGTATGTATGGGGACAATATTCGGGTAAATAAACAAAAATATAAAATGAAAAACGTGCTTATATCTCGAATATAGGATCCATCTCAAGTCAATAAAAATATTGATCGCTACACTTTCTATTCCGCTGATCTCGGCTCAATCAAAAGTCTTTCTTTTCGACAATTGCTCAATATTGTTTCCCCACAAAAAGGACAAGAAGCCAAGACAGTGGCAGACCTTTTGATAGAGACAACCAGTTGGTGGATTGATATCTTTGCACCTTCAAATGAGGAAATGAGAAATATCAGTAAGGTAACATTTTGATTTGTTGTTCTGTAGCCTTTGGTCTAATCACAACTAGATTTTCCGAATTCACCCTTTGACAACCGAAGACATTCAAGCACAAGAATCTCGAGAGAAATGTGAAATATTCCAGAATTACATGTTTATCAGTTTTAGAAGCTTCAATCATGACTTCCATAGTCCAGACTATCTTGAAGCAGTTAACTTTTATATCATTATTTTTAAAGACGGTGTCTTGACAGTAAGTGATCCGTTTTGCCTTTTTTCTCTAAAAAAAAAGTTTTCTAGTTCCGATTTCAAGATTTGCCTCATCCTCATAACGTACGTCGTCGAATTCATCAATTAAAAGACTTCATTCGTGTTACCCCTGAATGGATCAACTATGCTCTTATTGATAATATCACCGACAGTTTTGCCCCTCTTATTCAGCACACAGAATTAGAAGTAGACTCCATTGACGATCTTGTGCTTGTGCTGAATGGATCAGAACAGAATGATATGTTGAGGCGTATTGGCAGTTGTCGAAAGACAGTCATGCAACTCTTGCGTCTATTAGGTCCTAAAGCAGATGTTGTTCGAAGTCTGATTAAGCGTTATGATGACAAAGTAAAAGAAGCCAATTATAATACAATGCGACTACGGGAATCTCATTCCATGACCAATTTAAACACACTTGATCAAGAACAAGACGAGCTTAAGGTTCACCATGAAGTAACACTTTATCTTGGTGATATTCAAGGTAAAAAAAAAAAGTAAACATTACTATTTATTGATAAACAATAGATCATATCTTGACCATGTTACAGAATGTCAACCACTATGATTTGATTCTCGGTCGTGCCCATCGAAATTACATTGGGCAAATCTCCATTGAACTCTCACAGGCTGGTAATACAACCAACGAAGTCATCAATCGATTGACCTTTTTCGCCACGATTATTGTTCCTTTGGTAAGTCAACTACGGAGCTATTATTCATTTAACTGACGTACCTTTTCTTTTTTTTCTTTTTTTTCTAAGAATTTGGTGGGTGGTTTGTTTGGTATGAACGTCCATGTACCTGGACAAGATGAAGCAGATTTAGTATGGTTTTATTGGATTGTTTTAGGCATGTTAATCTATGTTGTAGCTATGGTTGCTGTTGGCAAAAGAACAGGCTTTCTTTAGATGTAATATTTTAGAATAAAGTAATCATTAGACTAAACAGTCATTTTATTTTCTATATCACAATGAGATATATCTATGACTTAATCTCTTTTGGCAATGGCTTTGGCACGATTATCAGCAAACAATGCTTTGGTCACCTTTTCAATGGCATAAGCAATACCAAAGTCAAGTATCATACAGAGTGTTAATTTGTAGCGGAAAGTACCAGGGAATCTGACAAGCTTAAGTTGATCATTGACTTCAGGCCAAAGTTCAGTAGCACCAGCTAAAGCAACACCACCCACAGACATTAAGCCATAATATAATGCCTTATTGTCTTGAATACGTTCACGGAATGGGTGGCCCTAATATAAAAGTAAGTCATGTGAAAATTCTCTATCTAAAAACTTACTTGATAATTAATGGCAAATGTAGAGACTTGCATGGATAGTTGAATAAGATAAACTGCACTATTAAGCAAACTCGGTTCAAATTCACCTTCCAAATCAACTTCTTTGGGTCTATACCAGTCATTAGCCAAAAAAAAAAAAAAAAATAATTGCAACTTACGGTTCAAGAGACTTGGCAAGTGCATTTATGTACACAAGAGATGCAATATGAATAGCAAATTGACCCAAGACAGACAAGATAATATAAGGATTGAAAATATTGGGTTGGGGACGCTCCTTGGACAATTTCTGTAAGGGTTTGCCTCGAGAGATACAGAGGAAACAAACAGCCATCAACATACCAGAAATAGTGACTTGGAGATCACCAAATTTGATACCATCAAGATACAAAACAGACAAACTATAAGCAGAAATCAAACAATTCAATGCCAAAATCTTGTACATCTGGATAGTGGCAACCAAAGTACAACGACCTTGACGAATAATATTGTTGATAGAAGTCACATTACGAAGTTTGGAAGTGAAAGGTGCAGCAACAGAAGCATCACCAAACTTAATCGTGGGTGGTTCTTCCATATCCATACCTTCCATCATCTTTTGTGTGGCTTCTTCAATCTTCTTTTTCTGTTCTAATTGGCGTCTTTGAGCAGGTGTCAAATTTTGAGCTTGTTGACGATTGACTTGAGCAGCATATTCAGGATAGAGGTGAGCAATAGCGGGAGGAGGAGGGGGAGGAGGTTGATTGAAACGAGCTGAAATACTCTTTTGTTGTTCATACATAGCCTTCATACGTTCAATACGTTGACGCTCAGCAATCTTTTGGAGATCTTCAGGAGTACCGTCCAAAAGGGCAACACCAATATGAGCTTGTTTCAAAGCACCTACATCATTTGTACCATCACCAGCCATAAGTGTAGTGTAGCCAAGGTCCTTCAAACCAGTCAATAAGTATTCCTTTTGAGAAGGAGAGACACGAGCATAGACCCAAGTGTGTTCAAGAATGCTGTTCATATTGTCCTTGCAAAGCATGAATTGAGACATGGCTGAGCCTGTTAAACAGAGATCGTATTTGTCCAAAAGTGCCTTATCCAAAGGTACTTGAGGATCCACCTCAACACGGTAAGATTCATCAATACTATGGAAAACAACCTTGTTGTCTTTACGCATTTCATCGCGGTCAACGATCAAAACATCACGTTCAACAATAGCTACTTCGCGAGCAACAGCACAGGCTGTTAAGGGATTATCACCTGTAATCATGATACAACGATGAGAGGATTCGTTCAGTTCTTTCAAGGCTTCAATCGCATCTTCTTTCAAGGGACAAGTAAACACAATAAAACCAGCAAATGTCAAATCAGATTCAACAGATTCACGAGGCAAATCATTGATTTGATGAGCAGACAAGGCTTGATCCAACACTTTATAGCCAAGAGCCAGGACTCTACTACCCTTACGTGTGAAATGTCTGTAAGTGTCAACGTAGCCTTCAGGAATTTGAGTGTACATAGCCTTGAGTGTCTCAGGGGCACCCTTGACAGCAATGAATGTTTTGGCACTGGAGGAAGGAAGGTTCAAGGTAGAAACAGAAGATTGACGCTTCAAGGCAGAACTAAATTGATAACGACGACGAATCTGCAAGCTTTGACTTTTCTTTTCAAGCTTGGGACACACAGTATCATTGGCACCCAATTCCCATTGAAGAGCCTTGAGTGTTTCTTTTTCCATAGGGTCACCTACAATACCATCTTCCAATTGAACCAGAGCATGAGCACTGGCTAATACCCAGCGTGTCACACCAGGCACTTCAGTAGCCTTAGCAAGTTCAGTCTTGGGACGATTGTCATCAGCAAAAGCAACACCTTCAAATACAAGATCTTCGCCTGTCAATGTACCTGTCTTGTCGAAACAACAGACATCAACACGACCAGCATAAGGGATACGGAAGGGTTCAGTACAATAAATGGCAAATTTAGACAAGGCAACCAAACTACTGTTGACAGCCAAACTCAATTCCATAGGCAATTCGGGAGGAACAACAGAGGTAATAATAAGAATACAATCCAACAAGAGCTTTGATCTCTTTCTATCGTTCTTCACACCTTCAGTCCAGACATAACCAGAGGCAGCAATAGCAAAAATAAGCAAGAAAAGAATAAAAAGTAAGGCTTCGAAATTGTTGGCAGAGACGCGTTCGGTAGAAAAGATCATGGTACGCACAAGCTCGCCTTGAGAAGTACCAAAACCAGTACGAGCAGCAACACAGACACAGCCATCATCAGGGGGTGCTTCTGACTTTGGAGTACTGACCTGAAGAACCTTCGTGCCACCATAAAGCACATTGAGTTTGTCTGCCACATTCATATCAAATTCTTCATTGGGATCCCTAAGTGCAATGGATTCCTTAAGCAAGGGCGTTGATTCACCAGAAAGCATAGCTTCATTGACAATACAAGAACCGTCAGCAATAACCAAATCACAAGGAACACCTTGATCTTCTTTTGTGCGAACAATAGAGACAACATCACCAGGCAATAATTCGTCACTTTGGATTTGAGTCCATTTGTTTTCACGCTTGACAAAGACAGGGTAAGGCTTTTGATTCATACCACGGAATTCGCCAATGGTACGAAGACGCTGGTAGACAACAGTGCATTCAAACACGACCAACATAAACAGCGTGAAAAGAGAATAATACCAGTATTCGTCTAAACACCAAAGGCCTACACAAAAGATTTGGAACACAAAGAAAGGTGCAACAGCATGTTCTTTGAAAAGCTCAGTAAATGTTGGCAGAGGAATCTCAAACTTGTTGAGACCATAAGAATGAGTAAGTGATTCGATTTGCTTCTTCGTAGACAATCCCTTAGTACTTTGATATGATCCAACAGTATGGTTCAAGTCGGAAGGGTAAAGCAATGTTTGAAATTGCTTCTTGTCAAAGTTATAAATGAACTTTTTCTGTTGAAAGACAAACGAGATTTCATCTTCACCATCAATAGACTACCATGGGTGAATATAACTTTTTTTTCTCTCTCTCTGTTTGACTTACCTTGCTGTGTTCAAGTTGAACAAGAGTACCTTTACCTTGATAACGGAAAGGTACAATCTTAATAATAGTTGCTTTTTTAACGTCATTTTCCTAAAAGATGTCATGAACATACACATTGCATTAGGTATGTTTACCTTGACACAAGTAAAAAGAGCCTTCAAGTCAACACTCCACTGACAAACCAAGAAGGTCATGGCATGTAAAGTGATGATACTGCCCAAAGCAACAAAAGTCCATTCTTCAGAACCAAGGTAGGTATCATAGTGAGTGAAATATATATAACAAAAGACGGGATAAAACATGCTAACAAAGGGCCAAATATACAAATGCCATCTTCTAGGCAACGGTCTGTACAAAGCGGCCGAGGCCACTCGTTCAGACTGAACCAGTGTTTGCGTCCTATATAAAAAAAAATAAGTCTTACAAGCACTTTATGAACATGACTTACATGATGCAAAAACAAGTCTAATCTAAAAGAGATGAAAAAAAAACCAATAAAGCCGCGTTCACATTCAAACTGTCTTTTTTCTCTGCGCAGTGGGTGTCTCTATAGATCCAGTTAAAAAGGCGCACGTGTTACTTGGATTGCTGTTCAGTCAATAAATTGAAGGCACGCCTCAGGATACAAAGCAAGATCATTAATTCATTCTTCAAATATACAGTGATCTGAAATAAAAAATCAGCCTGTTCAAACTCAACAACAAAGATATTCTAATTCAAGAGCCAAGATGATACTTAAACGCACTCAGTTCTTTGTGGATGATGTGTTTGCTTTAAGACAGTATAGGCAGAAAGAAATCAGTGCTTGTTAGCTTAGTAATAGTAGTAGTAGTAGTAGTAGTAGTAGTAGTAGTAGTAGTAGTAGTAGTAGTAGTAAGAATGTAATGAGTTGAAGCAATTATGCAATTGACAAGGTTATTCAACTACTTTTTCGTATCTGTCTCAATATTCTACATAGACTGGTTCATATCTGTTATGGCCTAATGTAGGCAGCAACATGCAACTCATGCTCTGCTTGATTTCTACAATTTAATTTTTGTTCATTTAATATTTTTTGCTGTCACTACTATTAGACTTAACTAATCTTCTGTATAGAAGACTTTGACCTCTTTTTCATGCTTTGCGATGGCGCTGATCAAATCAATTCAATTCAGCTCTTTTTTCTCATATAAAAATATCAACAACGGATTAGCAGCCATCCTCAAGCGCTAGCTAGATCAGAATTTTTTTTTTTTTTTTTTTTTTTTTTTTTAGGGAAGTTTGAGTAGGCCTCAAAGATTCTCTTCCAAATGAGAGGGTTTCAAGCTAATTTTTCCATATTATATCAGAAATAAATAATTATTGCAAAGTATATATATATACACACACACACACACACAAAATAGACATTTATTATGATTAAACAGTACCCTTTACTTTACGCTCACGCTCATAGACCCATTGAAGCTCTACAACATCTCTCCATAAGGTACAGTCTCTTCCAAATGTAATATCAACAGCATTTTTAGCTAGTTCAATCCAAGTACGAGTACCATTGGCATATATTCTCTCTAACTTGCGTTCAACACCAATCAATTCCATTTCAACCAGTGCATTCCATGCTGATCTAGCCAACACAAGGGTATGGTATGTCATTTTAGGATGCCAAAGAGGATATATGAATCGATACGCAGTATACAAATACAAGGCACATCGAGAGGTTTCTACCCAACGACCTGCCATAATTCTTTTCTTCATGACTTCTTGAGCTGCAAGAATGGTATTAATAGTAAACGCAGGTACTTGAGGAACATTCATAATAGCCATAATAGCAACAGGTATACGCTGCAATGACTGTGCTCGATCTTTTTTGACAAACAGTTTGTATGTGCTATCTGGTAGTGTGTTTTTTTTGCTGTCAATAGAAGCGTAATAAATATCAGGGGCAGCAATTCTGCTGACAAAGTGAGTAAATTCGGGTAATTGTAACACTTGAATAGGTGACCAACTGTCTTTTTCTCTCGTTTCTGCATGTTGCATCATTTCCAAAACCGACCATGTCTTGATCTGCTCTGATACAAGGTCAATCGCATTTTGCTGAGAAAGGCCTAATAGCTCGCCTTTTTCTAGTGCATGATCAACTGAACAAAGTTCTCCTTCACAGCGTATGCAATGGCATTCAAATGCTTGTCCGAATCGCTCTTTCAAAGATGATGTTCTTGTTGCTTTTGTGCTAATCAGATCCACATAAGAGATGGTGATGGGTTCTCCAGGTGAAATATCTTCTATTGCAATCACATACTGTGTACCTTTTTTATGTATTAATGCTGCATTAGGGCGGCACGAATGAGACACTAATAAGGCTGTCACTGGATAGACACCTACTGCCACTTGGTCTAAATAGTGCTCGGGATCTTGTATAGGAAAGCTGCAGACTTGAATACGACGCCAAAGATCACCCAAGTCCTCATGGGATATCTGACAATCAAAAGGTTTCAAAAACTCTACCACATCCTGTACCGTATGAATAGCTGTGCTACTTGATGTGTGTAACTGATGAAGGGCTTGTATGGCAAAGGGCAAATGAGGCGGAGAATGGGATTGTTGCTTATTCAGACGAGCGTGACTGTGTAGCGTCAGAGCAGTTCTTTCCAGTAACCATCGATCCGCATCTACATTTTTATAGATATCAGTCACTTGTGGTTCACAAAGCACTCGATGGAAATGAAGCCAAGCATTGCGGAAGCATTCATTGCTGCAGAAATAAGCGGATCTGCATCGTGAGCAACATTGAAGTTGTGCTTTTCTTAGACAATAATTACAGCGTTGGTGCCTTTTGGATGGTAATGGAACAGACGAGAGTGGTTGTTCGACTAAAATAGTGGTGCCTGGCTTGATAAGTTCAGAGGCAATAAGACGGTTGTCTTGGATAGTTGCACGGTTGTTTTCTTGAATATAGTAGTCCAACATATGAACAAAGAGAGAGAAGAAAAAGAGAGAGAAAAAGAAGGAAAAGAGAGATGAGCGGAAATAAATGATAAAGAGGAGGGAAATCAATTTTTCGGCTGAAATATTCTGCCAAGCATTATTGTGCGGGAAGAAGAGTATTCCTTCTCTCTTTCTATGTGTGTAGGAAAACTTGTTACAAATATTCAAAGTAAATGTTTATTTTCTCACACTTTGTTTCATGCAAACAAGTTATCACTTGTATTCCAAAGCAAAGTCGCTTTTTTTTAAGTCACACTCATGATAAAAAAAAAACACGAAGCGAGTTTTATTTATTACTTTTTTTTTCTTTTCAATATGTTTAACCAGCAGCAAAAACCCGCTTTCAAGTTTGTTATTCGTAGTAAGATTGATGATCAAACAATAGAAGAAAAGCAAGAACCAGCTTCTATTCACAAGCCAGCAGTCAATGAAATTCTAAAAGAACCAGAAGAACGCAAACGCAAGCGCGCTGAAAAGGATGCACTACCGCCTATTGCTGCCAAAAAGGTAAAATAAGAAGAAATGTATATCAGCCTATTGAGCTTGCCTAGATTCATAGCCAACTCGAAAGATGGAACAGGAAACAAGAAGAACTCAAACAGGAAAGAGAGACAGAGGAAGAGATTGAAAGAGGACGTAATAACTATATTGATATCGTCACCCTGGTTTGCGTCTTATGTCAACGCAAGTTCAAATCCAAGCCTGATTTAGAAAAGCATCAAGCAGTTTCAGAACTTCACAAAGTACGGGATAGAATATGTATAACCATGTCAATAGTGAAATCTGATTTTATAGAAAAATCTGGATGATACTTCAGCAGTGAACAAAGCAAAACTAAAGATAGGTTTTATGAAATCAGAGCAAGATTTGCAAATGAAAATACCAGAACCAATAACAGAGGTAATATGTGGACATGTTTTGTCTAGTTGCTTAACATAGAATAGTATCGCAATCGAGCTGCTGAAAGAAGACAAGCTTATGGTCAGCCTGAAAAACCAATATTGTCTCCACCACCTCCACCACCAAGACAATTGTCTACTCCACATGCAATGTAAGACACACTGACAAGTTGTACAATTGCATTAACATTTCTTTCTGTAGAGAGGCTTTACCAAAGGCCTCTATGAACATACCTATTAGTGAAAACAACAAAGGTGCTCGTATGTTGCTACAAATGGGTTGGAAGAAAGGAGAAGGTCTTGGTAAACATGGCACAGGCATTTTAGATCCTATCAAAGCAGAAAGTTATGCTCAATCAGCTGGTATTGGTTCAACAGACAATCGCCGTAATTTGGTAAGTAATAATACATTGTATTCTGTTTTGAAAAGAAAGAGAGCGATTGTGTGTGTGTGTGCGTGTAATACGAGTTCTAATATGTTGAATTGCATATTTTTGATTGAAAAAAGCCACGTAAGAAACTGCTCGGTGATCGTTAACCCATTTAATATCAAAATAAAAGGAGTTTTAATCAAAATTGGCTTTGTAAAATTGTCTCTATCTCTCTTCCATTTTTTGCTTTTCCCTTTTAAGCTATAATAACTTGGCTATGACAACCCACTTGAAGACACACTATAGTCAAAGCAGAGTGTCTGAAGAAAGCCAGTACTCGTTGCAAGATGACGATCCACTTTCTTTGCCATCTGAAACTCTATTAAACGAGCCTGCAACTAAAGAACGACAAGTACAACAAAGAAAAAGTATCGTGAAAACTTCTGCTATTAATTTATTCTGGATCTTTTCATGGTATATAGTAAGTAAACAAACGATTTGTTTCTATACTAATTTGTAGTTTGCAACCATTCTTTCAGTATATAACAAATGGATGTTTTCAGAGGATCATTATAACTTTCGATACCCTTTATTTGTAACAAGTGTGCATATGATTGTCCAATTCATCTTTTCTGGTACTTCTATATTACTTGTACCTCAATTAAGGCCTACCAAAAGACCTTCAGTATCAGACTACATGTGAGATTTATATAGAAAATAGGGGAGGGCTGACTATTTATGATTTTTTTTTTTAGTTATAAAATTCTGCCTTGTGCATTGGCCACCAGTCTTGATATTGGATTATCAAACCTATCTCTCAAAACAATTACGCTCTCGTTCTATAGTAAGTCTTCTCACGATAAGATAGTTACTGAATCCTTGTTAGCCATGTGTAAATCATCCACGCTTGCTTTTGTGCTTATATTCGCATTTATTTTCAAGCTGGAAAAGCCTAATTGGAAATTAATTTTGATTATTGTTATCATTACAGTAGGTGTTGTATTGATGGTGTCTGACGAAACTGACTTTAATGTGGTTGGGTAAATATCAAATAGACTGTTGTACATACTTAACGTTTTCTAGATTTATCCAAGTCATGACAGCTGCTGCTTGTGGCGGTCTTCGTTGGTCATTGACTGAAGTTTTGTTGCGTAAAGAAAGCATGGGGCTCACAAATCCTTTTGCTTCTATCTTCTTTTTGGCCCCTTCACAAGCCATTATTCTACTCATCATCTCTGCTGGGGTAGAAGGTTATGTTACTATTTTCAAGAGCGCCTTTTTTATTACGTTTGGCGAAGGCATGCACACTGTAAGACCTCATTATCTTTGTTTATATATTCATACTGTTATTTAGATTGGTATTATACTAGCAGGAGGCAGTTTGGCATTTTTTATGATCATGTCAGAATTCTTTTTGATCAAGCGTACCTCTGTTGTGACACTGAGTGTTTGTGGCATCTTTAAAGAAGTAGCTACTATCTTTATTTCTTCTTTAGTTTTTGGTGATGTCTTGACAATTATCAACATTATTGGTTTATGCATTACATTGTTTGGTATTGGATTGTATAATTGGCTTAAATTCAAAGTCATTGCAGCGAAAGCACACAAAGAAACAGCATCTCTCGAGACAGAAGAACAACATAGAGTAGTGGACGGATTACAGGAAGTAGACAGCGACGAGTTTGATGATAATGATATGATTCGGCACAACCATATGTATAGCACAGTAGCTGAAAGCACGCCTATTTTGCTGATTGATGGTGGTTTGACAAACTATAGAGACAGTGAAGATTACAATAGACGCTCTACTGAAGATAGATTTGAAATGATATGAACAAAATAAAAGAAAACTACTTTTCATCAATCATTAGGCAAAAGGACTTTTTCCAGTAAGGATGACACATATTCCTTTTTTTCTCTGCAGCAGACCTTTTTCGATTTGAACGACTGAAAAGACTATCAACGATATCCAATCCAACGGAGAACAATCCAATGAGCAAGTATTTAGTACCTGCTAAAACTCTGAAGGTAAATTTGAAGACACTACTGAAATCAAGTCGACGTTTTCATCCTAGTAAACTCGCTTTCGTTTTGTTGGAAGTATCTAGACATGATCTCACCTCACATTGGTTGGATTGATCTATGTAGGGTCAATCTGACATTCCATTTTCAAGAGCTCTTGGTATCCCTATAGGTCCAGAAAATTTTACGCAGCTACCACACCAGTCATACCATCCAATTCCTTGCTTAAAGATCATATCTTAAGCAAAAAAAGGGCTGTTTTGATAGTGTGGTTGTCGAACAATGGCAGATCAAGGAATGGTATGTTTAAGCTCTGATCTGAACGTTTTTGTTTTAGATATCATATAAAATATGTCAATATTGAGTTATAGTAAAGTATTTTATGCTATTTTGGATCCCAAAAGACATGGAAAAGTGGAAATATGGGCATTTTATAATGCAAATGTGGAGTAAATGAACATAGCACATATTTGGTGGCTCTAGAGGAGATTGAAATGGACGATTCTAGTTCAGTTTCCACCATAGAACATTTTTCTTGAGACCTTCGAACATAGAACAGTGATCTTCTTGGTTTTATTCGATAAATATGTATAAGTAAAAATATATAGGTATAAATATGTGAAAGTAGTATTATTTGTTCATAGTAAATTCTGAAACATCGTTATTATATTCAAATGGCAGTACCAAGCAGTGATATTTCAACAGCCTTACAACAGCAAATGGCTGTATGGTGTTTGGGTTGTCAAATGAAAATAGAATAGAATAAAAAGAAAACAAAGAAATACAGTGAGACTGTTCAGTACTTCTTTATTACAAAAATAAATTGATTGTTGTCTAAAATATATCTTTTCCAGGTTGTCTTTTATACTACTTGATTTATTGACTAATTATGATTAGTGATTATTGATTACTTAACACCTTGACAGCTTGTGCCTGGGAATTGACAATGTAAATTCTCCTTGTTATCTAAAAGGTACAATTATGGTTTCCTTATTTGTAAATATCCATATTATCCCAGTTACCGTTATTTACTGTCATTATACAGTGCTTACTTTATATTTATAATGTATAGTGCTATAAGTGATTATTCATTTATATGATGAAAGATTATTTATTGTATTTTGTATTGAAAGTGCTCAGATCACCACAATTGAGGAGCGGTACAATTGGGTTTGTAAATAGGAAACTACAAACATGAACTTTCTGATGAATTGCGTGTTTCTTGACAAGTCTGCTTTTGATATCAATATGAAACACTCAAGAGCTTGGCCTAGAAAAGGTACGCGTGCTATTGCTACCAGACCAACAACGAGAGCAAACACGACGTTTATATTAGGCGCTATCTCTGCTTTGGGTTTGATTACCGTCGGCGTAAAAAAACCAAGGCCTGTTAAGAAAAGAAAAGCTAAAGGACATATAAGCTCAAGAACTGTCACTGGCCACTACATTAGTTTCTTAAAAATGACTCTTGACGAAATGGACAAACACCCACATATGAAAGGCCACTATATTGTCATGAATAATGCACCCATTCACACGCATGAAAACATAAAGAAGTATATTGAGTATCGAGGATACAGATGTGTACATCTTCCTACTTACTCTCCTGAGCTTAATCCAATTGAACAATTCTGGGCAGTGGCAAAGAATAAAGTTAAGCGTCATAGGTTTTTGCAGGAAGACACTTTGTCCAAGAGGATTACAGAAGCCGGCAACAATGTGAAGCAAAGTCATTTCAAAGGGTTCGTCTCGCATTCTTACCGGTGTCGGGATAAATGTCGAAACAGGCAACCTGTGCAATGACAACAAATATGCGATCAGGGAAAATGGTAAGTGGCAATTAAACAAAAAAAAGAACGCGTTATAATTAAGCAACTTTTTTCTATCGATTTACTATCAAATTCATGTCAACATCCAAAAACAACTTATTAACACGCGGTCAAGCTATATGCCTTGTACTTGATATGGTTCCCACTGTTGACAACCGACGAAAAGGAAATGACATAGTAGATAACAACGTGTTTAGTGTTACGTATACCGAAGAGCAAGGCCCTCAACATCCTTTTGCTATGGGGAAATCAATTATCGAGAAGAATCCGTTTACGTACAAGACTTATCCTAGGACGCCACCTACTAGTCCAATTTTATATCCAAGCAATGTTGTGGCCAGTGATAATATCAGCGGTTTCAACAACAACAGTAAGAACGACAATAGCGACGATAGCGACGATAGCGCCGATGATTCAATTGTCTACAGCCTCCAAAGTTTACTATCGATCACCAAGTCAATGTTTTTTAAGACTGCTGAAAACAAAGATATCTTTGACTATGCCTTTTATACCACGACGGACATCTACAACAACATCACCAAGCAACTGCCACAACTGCCCAAGTTTATGGATACGACAAAGTTTGGAAAACTTATCAAAGACAAAGACTTCGGCGAACGGGTCTCCAAACGTGTCGATGGAAAGAATATCAAAGGACGAATGTTGTACAAGCTCAAGGACAATGCTATAGGAAATTTGGTGGAATCAACGTCTGCCTTCCGCACAGAAATCAATAACAATGGTAGCAATTGGATAAATGTTGGATATGTTAGGAAATCTCCAGGCATTGAAAGCGTGGAGACACGGCAAAGGCTCCTCGAGGCAATGATCATGAAGTTAAGGAACCGATGTCTCTGTCGTTATATCTTCACCTCTACCAGCTCAACATCATCTTCACCGATCTTAGAAAGAGATTTCTTAGCGGACAACAATACCAACAGCAATAACAACATCAAGGCAACCAGCTTGGCTTATTGCGATGGGGACACTCAAGCAATGGTCGACTTCATTGGACACTCAATCAAAAAGATTCGGCTTTGTGTGATTTCATACGCTGGTTTATCAAACAATCCTGGAGACATTGCCACATTTTTAAAGTATGAAAAGTGTTTCTCATATGCTTATCTCATACTAACTTTTGTTGTATATTTTATAGGAGCTGTAAAATGATCAAATCAATCGTGGTGGATCATGACAGCCATATAGAATCGCTCAGCAGGTATTCTCTTCTGCATGGGAACAAGAATAAAATTGAGCTATTCAAATCAAGATCTGGTTGTGTGAAACGGTCAACATAGTTCTTCTCATTCCCCAATTTTATTAATCTCATCATTCCTCCCTTTTCCCTCGACATTGTGTTATTCCTCTCTCCTTTTATATTTGTTTCTTTTACTATTTACCCGGAACTCATTAAAGAAAGAGCATTGTTTGTTTTCATTATTACTTTTTCTGTTTTAACTGTAAATTCAAGTTTTAGCTAAGCGAATGCGACAGAAAGGATTAATGAATATACTGTGGTACTGGAGGGATATGGAGGGAGGAATGGAGTAATTAGTGTCATAGAGATAAATAAAGAAATGTGATTGATGGGAAACGAGAAAGTGCTGGAAAAAAGAGAACGATGGAAAAGAGTCATGACAGAATGAGACAGATAAAAGTACTCACCTGAGCGCAGCGGCGACTTAACGAACTGGAGGGGGGTTTTACCACTACCTCTTTACTATTTACATAAAGACAAAGCACTTTTTCTTATTAAAATAATTACACAAGTTGAAGATCACCAGGTTTTCTGCCTTGCAAACAGTTCTTGTACTTCATGTACGGCCAGATTGAACTTGTCAGCATTTGCTGAATACTGAACAAGTCCAACTGACTGCACCACCTTCTCCACAGAAAACACGACAGACTTTCTATCCCTTAAAGCCCTTCGACTTCTACCAACAACCGAAATCCCAGTCTCACCTTCGATTGCATGCATGCACACGACTTCTGCAATTGCCAAAAAGTGCAGCACCCCATCTTGCACATGGGACATGCAACAATGTACGAAGCCGACATACCAAAATACACTAGATGATATTCAGGTAAATACCATCATCAACACAATCCTTTCTTTATATCTTACCTTCTTTGACCAGCAACTTCAAACAAAAGAGTATTCTTTACACGATTCTTCAGTTTTTCTTGTGGCGATCCATTACTGAAGAATATACATAGTTGTCCTTCCATAAGCGAGCGGCACTTTCAACAAGGAGACTTGTCAATTCAACATTAGAAAAACCAGAAGTACCAGAAAAACGAGAGTAAAACGACTTGAGTGCTTTTACAACTTTGGAAGCTGGGACTCCAGCACATATTTCAGCATCTGATGAGAGATCCTCAACCAAGAAATGCTCCCAAAACTGACCATAGTCACTAGATTGCTGTGCTCTTTCTCTAAAAGAAGCCAAGCTATACTGACGAATTATTTCCAATTCATTAATTGCTTTTATTGTTGAAGAAGAGTTAAAGCCATTTTGAAGATGGAGGAAATTGGAAGCATTTACACCTGCTTGTGTTTTTGAATTGATCAAATTCTTGAACTTGTTGATTGCTCTTTCCATTGATCGTGCACTAATCGACTTCACAACACCGTTACGGCTGACAATATGCTTGAAGTGACATATGTTATGGTTGTTGGCTGTAAACACACGCTCGTTGAGTTGATTGGCCCTTGTTTCTCGTCGTAAAAAGCTGTGACATTCCGAAAAGCATTTGTCCATTTTTTGAAATTCATCTTCATTTACCTCCCATTGCGATGCAAGAACACAGCCAGTGATCAAGTTCATGAAGGCCTTCTTGGTAGCTTCATGTTTGAGACAATGGAGAACTAAAGTTGGAATCATATACAACAGGAAATCTAGCCAGTCCACGAATCTGTTGTAGCCATTCAGAGTTTTCTAAGAGCTTTCAAATACAGTGGGAATGTATTGTCGCGATGCTTGAATCTCTTTTACAAGAATTGGAACCAACTGCGATTTATTTCTAAGCTTGACATCGAACGTATATAAATCATTGTCACCAACGATAGGACGAAACTTTTCATTGTATTCGGACGAAAGAAGCTTGAAGCAGAGTTCACTGACACCACGAGCAATACCATGCAGTTCGTCATAGAGGAAAAAGTCGATACCGCTAAAAGTAGGAAGGCTGGTGATCAGAGGATGAATAACAGGCATGTTGATATCCTACAAGCAAAAAAGATCTGATTAGTATTTGTTCTATTCTAGTGATATTTAGTTTAGTACTTACAGGGCTGCCATTGACCATCTCATGCATTGATCTCAGTTGACCTTTATACAAGAAGTATTCACCAGATGAGCTACCTTGAGGGTGAACACCACGTACATTGCACAACTTGCACCCAAATTCAGCAGTACGAATAATTCCTATGAGCTCGCCAAGCTTCATCAAATCACCACCCAGACCATGAATATATACGCGACATCTGTATATTTCGTTACCATCTTTCTTTACGATCATACCATTACGTGATAGTTCGTTCGACTCGTCGATATAAGCCTTCAAAAAAGACCAAACATCTTTTACCTTCTTTGGGCCTGGTATCAATCCCAAAGTGATTGTGTTTCCCAACATATAGCGGTGCATAGGATCAATATTCAGAATGGTAGCAAAGATGATCATTTGCGATGACTTCTGTTGGCTTTTGCTGATAAAATCATCAAGATACAAGTTGATTACGATGGAGCTGTTTTGGATGATGTTGTTGCGTCTGTGCTGTTGATACACACTACCAGAAAAAACATCCTTGTAAATACCTTGATTGTCTAGTGCATTTTGATCGAAATCAGCCTTGTACTCAAACAAATCACGGATATCCTCATTTTGCAACTTATTTGCCAAAGCAGCACCAATGGAAACAACAGCCATGGTTTGTACGGGGACAAGAGTAGAGCTTTGATACACCATTGCAAGGTCAACTTCGCGATCAGCACCAGTGACATTCAACACACAATCCAGATTCATAAAACGAGGTAACTTACAATAAGACAGCCTAAAGGATAAACATCTTGGCATCGAATAACATACACCCATAAAACAAACTTGATGATCAACATTTTTATGAGTGTAGACAGCACATTTCAGAGTGTAGACAGGTCATTTTGAGTGTAGACAGGTCATTTTGAGTGTAGACAGGTCATTTTGAGTGTAGACAGGTCATTTTGAGTGTAGACAGGTCATTTCAGAGTGTAGACAGGTCATTTTGAGTGTAGACAGCACATTTCAGAGTGTAGACAGGTCATTTCAGAGTGTAGACAGGTCATTTTGAGTGTAGACAGCACATTTCAGAGTGTAGACAGGTCATTTTGAGTGTAGACAGGTCATTTTGAGTGTAGACAGGTCATTTCAGAGTGTAGACAGGTCATTTTGAGTGTAGACAGCACATTTCAGAGTGTAGACAGGTCATTTTGAGTGTAGACAGCACATTTCAGAGTGTAGACAGCACATTTCAGAGTGTAGACAGGTCATTTTGAGTGTAGACAGGTCATTTTGAGTGTAGACAGCACATTTCAGAGTGTAGACAGGTCATTTCAGAGTGTAGACAGGTCATTTTGAGTGTAGACAGCACATTTCAGAGTGTAGACAGGTCATTTTGAGTGTAGACAGGTCATTTTGAGTGTAGACAGGTCATTTCAGAGTGTAGACAGGTCATTTTGAGTGTAGACAGGTCATTTTGAGTGTAGACAGCACATTTCAGAGTGTAGACAGGTCATTTCAGAGTGTAGACAGGTCATTTTGAGTGTAGACAGCACATTTCAGAGTGTAGACAGGTCATTTTGAGTGTAGACAGGTCATTTTGAGTGTAGACAGCACATTTCAGAGTGTAGACAGGTCATTTCAGAGTGTAGACAGGTCATTTTGAGTGTAGACAGCACATTTCAGAGTGTAGACAGGTCATTTTGAGTGTAGACAGGTCATTTTGAGTGTAGACAGGTCATTTCAGAGTGTAGACAGGTCATTTTGAGTGTAGACAGCACATTTCAGAGTGTAGACAGGTCATTTTGAGTGTAGACAGCACATTTCAGAGTGTAGACAGTCATTTCAGAGTGTAGACAGGTCATTTTGAGTGTAGACAGCACATTTCAGAGTGTAGACAGGTCATTTTGAGTGTAGACAGGTCATTTTGAGTGTAGACAGCACATTTCAGAGTGTAGACAGGTCATTTCAGAGTGTAGACAGGTCATTTTGAGTGTAGACAGGTCATTTTGAGTGTAGACAGGTCATTTCAGAGTGTAGACAGGTCATTTTGAGTGTAGACAGGTCATTTCAGAGTGTAGACAGGTCATTTTGAGTGTAGACAGGTCATTTCAGAGTGTAGACAGGTCATTTTGAGTGTAGACAGGTCATTTTGAGTGTAGACAGCACATTTCAGAGTGTAGACAGGTCATTTCAGAGTGTAGACAGGTCATTTTGAGTGTAGACAGGTCATTTTGAGTGTAGACAGGTCATTTTGAGTGTAGACAGGTCATTTTGAGTGTAGACAGGTCATTTCAGAGTGTAGACAGGTCATTTTGAGTGTAGACAGCACATTTTGAGTGTAGACAGGTCATTTTGAGTGTAGACAGCACATTTCAGAGTGTAGACAGGTCATTTCAGAGTGTAGACAGGTCATTTTGAGTGTAGACAGGTCATTTTGAGTGTAGACAGCACATTTCAGAGTGTAGACAGGTCATTTCAGAGTGTAGACAGGTCATTTTGAGTGTAGACAGGTCATTTTGAGTGTAGACAGGTCATTTCAGAGTGTAGACAGGTCATTTTGAGTGTAGACAGCACATTTCAGAGTGTAGACAGCACATTTCAGAGTGTAGACAGCACATTTCAGAGTGTAGACAGGTCATTTTGAGTGTAGACAGGTCATTTTGAGTGTAGACAGGTCATTTCAGAGTGTAGACAGGTCATTTTGAGTGTAGACAGCACATTTCAGAGTGTAGACAGCACATTTCAGAGTGTAGACAGCACATTTCAGAGTGTAGACAGGTCATTTTGAGTGTAGACAGCACATTTTGAGTGTAGACAGCACATTTCAGAGTGTAGACAGGTCATTTTGAGTGTAGACAGGTCATTTGAGTGTAGACAGCACATTTCAGAGTGTAGACAGGTCATTTCAGAGTGTAGACAGGTCATTTTGAGTGTAGACAGCACATTTCAGAGTGTAGACAGGTCATTTTGAGTGTAGACAGGTCATTTTGAGTGTAGACAGGTCATTTCAGAGTGTAGACAGGTCATTTTGAGTGTAGACAGCACATTTCAGAGTGTAGACAGGTCATTTTGAGTGTAGACAGGTCATTTTGAGTGTAGACAGCACATTTCAGAGTGTAGACAGGTCATTTCAGAGTGTAGACAGGTCATTTTGAGTGTAGACAGGTCATTTTGAGTGTAGACAGGTCATTTCAGAGTGTAGACAGGTCATTTTGAGTGTAGACAGGTCATTTTGAGTGTAGACAGGTCATTTTGAGTGTAGACAGGTCATTTCAGAGTGTAGACAGGTCATTTTGAGTGTAGACAGGTCATTTTGAGTGTAGACAGCACATTTCAGAGTGTAGACAGGTCATTTCAGAGTGTAGACAGGTCATTTTGAGTGTAGACAGGTCATTTTGAGTGTAGACAGGTCATTTTGAGTGTAGACAGGTCATTTTGAGTGTAGACAGGTCATTTCAGAGTGTAGACAGGTCATTTTGAGTGTAGACAGCACATTTTGAGTGTAGACAGGTCATTTTGAGTGTAGACAGCACATTTCAGAGTGTAGACAGGTCATTTCAGAGTGTAGACAGGTCATTTTGAGTGTAGACAGGTCATTTTGAGTGTAGACAGCACATTTCAGAGTGTAGACAGGTCATTTTGAGTGTAGACAGCACATTTCAGAGTGTAGACAGGTCATTTTGAGTGTAGACAGCACATTTCAGAGTGTAGACAGCACATTTCAGAGTGTAGACAGGTCATTTTGAGTGTAGACAGGTCATTTCAGAGTGTAGACAGGTCATTTTGAGTGTAGACAGCACATTTCAGAGTGTAGACAGGTCATTTTGAGTGTAGACAGGTCATTTTGAGTGTAGACAGGTCATTTCAGAGTGTAGACAGGTCATTTTGAGTGTAGACAGCACATTTCAGAGTGTAGACAGGTCATTTTGAGTGTAGACAGGTCATTTTGAGTGTAGACAGCACATTTCAGAGTGTAGACAGGTCATTTCAGAGTGTAGACAGGTCATTTGAGTGTAGACAGCATTTCGAGTGTAGACAGGTCATTTGAGTGTAGACAGGTCATTTTGAGTGTAGACAGGTCATTTCAGAGTGTAGACAGGTCATTTTGAGTGTAGACAGGTCATTTCAGAGTGTAGACAGGTCATTTTGAGTGTAGACAGGTCATTTTGAGTGTAGACAGCACATTTCAGAGTGTAGACAGGTCATTTCAGAGTGTAGACAGGTCATTTTGAGTGTAGACAGGTCATTTTGAGTGTAGACAGGTCATTTTGAGTGTAGACAGGTCATTTTGAGTGTAGACAGGTCATTTCAGAGTGTAGACAGGTCATTTTGAGTGTAGACAGCACATTTTGAGTGTAGACAGGTCATTTGAGTGTAGACAGCACATTTCAGAGTGTAGACAGGTCATTTCAGAGTGTAGACAGGTCATTTTGAGTGTAGACAGGTCATTTTGAGTGTAGACAGCACATTTCAGAGTGTAGACAGGTCATTTCAGAGTGTAGACAGGTCATTTTGAGTGTAGACAGCACATTTCAGAGTGTAGACAGGTCATTTTGAGTGTAGACAGCATTTGAGTGTAGACAGGTCATTTCAGAGTGTAGACAGGTCATTTTGAGTGTAGACAGCACATTTCAGAGTGTAGACAGGTCATTTTGAGTGTAGACAGGTCATTTTGAGTGTAGACAGCACATTTCAGAGTGTAGACAGGTCATTTCAGAGTGTAGACAGGTCATTTTGAGTGTAGACAGGTCATTTTGAGTGTAGACAGGTCATTTCAGAGTGTAGACAGGTCATTTTGAGTGTAGACAGCACATTTCAGAGTGTAGACAGGTCATTTTGAGTGTAGACAGGTCATTTTGAGTGTAGACAGGTCATTTTGAGTGTAGACAGGTCATTTTGAGTGTAGACAGGTCATTTTGAGTGTAGACAGGTCATTTCAGAGTGTAGACAGGTCATTTTGAGTGTAGACAGGTCATTTTGAGTGTAGACAGGTCATTTTGAGTGTAGACAGGTCATTTGAGTGTAGACAGGTCATTTTGAGTGTAGACAGGTCATTTCAGAGTGTAGACAGGTCATTTTGAGTGTAGACAGCACATTTCAGAGTGTAGACAGCACATTTCAGAGTGTAGACAGGTCATTTTGAGTGTAGACAGGTCATTTTGAGTGTAGACAGGTCATTTCAGAGTGTAGACAGGTCATTTTGAGTGTAGACAGCACATTTCAGAGTGTAGACAGGTCATTTTGAGTGTAGACAGCACATTTTGAGTGTAGACAGGTCATTTCAGAGTGTAGACAGGTCATTTTGAGTGTAGACAGGTCATTTTGAGTGTAGACAGGTCATTTTGAGTGTAGACAGCACATTTCAGAGTGTAGACAGGTCATTTCAGAGTGTAGACAGGTCATTTTGAGTGTAGACAGGTCATTTTGAGTGTAGACAGGTCATTTTGAGTGTAGACAGGTCATTTTGAGTGTAGACAGGTCATTTCAGAGTGTAGACAGGTCATTTTGAGTGTAGACAGCACATTTCAGAGTGTAGACAGCACATTTCAGAGTGTAGACAGCACATTTCAGAGTGTAGACAGGTCATTTTGAGTGTAGACAGGTCATTTTGAGTGTAGACAGGTCATTTTGAGTGTAGACAGCACATTTCAGAGTGTAGACAGGTCATTTTGAGTGTAGACAGCACATTTCAGAGTGTAGACAGGTCATTTTGAGTGTAGACAGCACATTTTGAGTGTAGACAGGTCATTTCAGAGTGTAGACAGGTCATTTTGAGTGTAGACAGGTCATTTTGAGTGTAGACAGGTCATTTTGAGTGTAGACAGCACATTTCAGAGTGTAGACAGGTCATTTCAGAGTGTAGACAGGTCATTTTGAGTGTAGACAGGTCATTTTGAGTGTAGACAGCACATTTCAGAGTGTAGACAGGTCATTTTGAGTGTAGACAGCACATTTCAGAGTGTAGACAGGTGTTGTATACACAGCATTATTCATCCCTTCTTACACTAGTCATGCCTTAAAAGAGCAAGTATTAATATCATTTATAAATATATCTTTCAATCACAGTTTTATCCGCAGCTTCGATGGATGTCTTCTATCTTAGTTGAAGCATGTTAAAGATCAGACCATCACATAATCACAAATTGACATCTGCATCAATACCAATGGTAGTCGAGGTCTGTGCCCTGATCATGTACCCAGTTCTTGTGTACCTTAATCCACTCAACCGATAAGCTAGTGTATACACACTCAGTCCCAAATTAAGGATAATCAATTATCATACAAATAGTATAAATACAAAACAAAACATAGCCTTCAATAAGGAAGAACTTCTTTTTGGCCGTTTTGGTTCTGATTGACTTATAGATTTGACCATTTTATTAGTGATTATATCACAGTATACTATATGAGCAAATACTCTCGCTCTTTTTTGTTGACTCACCAGTTCTAGGATTAGCCAATTCATGTAAAAGGCCTTCCAATTCTGGTGCAGGAGGTGGAAAAATGACTGATATACGTTCTCTGAAATTGCCATTTTTTGGTGCAGAAAAATGGACTCTTGTTTCCTAATTTAAAATATAACTTTTAACGACTTTTTAATCATGTATACCATTACAACTTACATCAAAAAGGGTCAATAAATTGTTAATCGAAGCAAAATGATGCATTTGAGTATCAGGGAATTGTCGATTCAAGGTGTAATTGTTAACAGAAGCCAAAGCATTTGGGATACTGCGAGCATAATACCGCAGAAGTGTGTTACAAGTTTCTTCTATCACACCATGTCGAAGAAACATATTTATATGTTGAACAACATGGATGGGTGCTTCATCCAGCAGCTCAGGTATCACCCTAATTTCAAATAGCCTTTCATCTTCTTGAACATGATCTTCAAACTGATCACTATATTTTGCTGCTGTCACTCTTTCCAATGCAGTTTGAAAAGGCTGGCCTGCTTGTGGTATTTGGCGCTGCTGATCACTTTCTCTTGCTTCTCTCTCAGGTGAAGTTGGCACAGGCTGTGGTGCTGGCCTGATTTCATGCTCAGCAACAGGAAAGGTCGAGGGTGGTCCATCGGAGAAATCATTGTCATCACCTAATGTCATCTTCCAGTTATTTTTTCATCCTTTTCACAGCAATGATATACCTTCATTTCCACGCAAGTCAAAAAAGTCTTCAAATGAAATACCAGTAAGACTGTCAGCCGCATTTTTAAAGCGCATCAATCTTTCTTTATCACGGAGCAGCCTGATTTCCTCATCTGTCAAAATAGAATCAGTTCCTACTTGCTGTAAGGTGAGTTCCGCGATTCTATCTGTGATGGCTTCAATAACACCACCGAAATGAAAAAATTTGTGGATTTTGTTTTTAAAATCTTGAGCACGGTTCATATTGACAAATATAAAGAGAGATAAAGCTAAATCTGTTCAACTTTATAGTTGAATTGAACAATAGTATCTTCATTGGGCGAATGTTTTGATATATAGACAATGAAGCGACAATAAATTCCCAAGGTAGGATTTGTTTTCAAGTAACCCAAAGAAGGCTTATAGAGACTGCTTAATAGCTTCAAGTAAAAAAAAAAAAAAATGCATTTGATGCTTGTCAGTTTATTGTTTATTCAGATACTTAAATGAATGTAGTATTTCTGTGGAAGTGTAAACGATTAACACCTCTTATAATACCAAATCGAAGAAGGTTGATGTCGCTTCTAAAAACAGGGAAAAAACGAAACAAGGCCTGCATTCTTTCTACAACGAGCTTATGAAACTCTTGAGCTTCAGTATATAAACCACCTGAATTAAAATTGGCTATCATATAAAGATAGGCGACTCGACAGTAGACATATTTGATTCTTGCTGCTGAAGAGATTGTTTGTACATATAAAGTCGCAATATCTCTAGTTGAGGGGTCAGGGAAAATGTCTTTGGCAGAGTCGAGCAGAGTGGCATCTACAATATGAACTGTATTGACCTAATCATGTTTAACCTAAGCTTTTATAATAGTATCTTACTTACATTGAAAGTGGCATTAAACTGATCCTCTGACTGTAATACCCTCAAAGTGATATCTTCTACTTGTTTGCCTCGAACCAAGCAGTTTGCAATTGTAGCAGGCGTGTGCAAGTTAAATATTTCAAAGGCAAGACAACTCAAGAGAGTGTCAATTACTTTCTGTGTGATACCTTCCCTTTGAATCAAATTGACATAGAAACGAAATTGCCCAGTACTACGATTATACGCTTCTCTTTCGAATATCAATGGCCATATTGGTGCGGTAGGATCAGCTTGATACTGCCCAATGTCAAATATCTCTACACTTTGTACCTGGGTCGGAGCCGTGTAGTCACTAGTAGGCAGTGGCGCAAAGAGTGTTCCTCTCTGACGTAAAGGAAGTCCGGGCTGATCTTGTTGCACGTTCGGAGCTGTATAGTCGCGTGGTGGAGGTCGTTGTGCAAGTCGAGTTACTCTCACTCGAAAGTTTCTTCTTTCTTCTTGAGGAAATGCCCGATCTACTAATTGAACGAGAGGTTCAGTATATCTTTGTCGTAAAACAGGCTCGTGTTGAACTTGTTGCTCAGTAGGTGCCGTAAACTGACGTAGTGGCGGTGGCGCAAAGCGATCTCAAGCAGTAGTGCCTCTACGAATGTCTAGTGCTGACTTGTAAAAGATTCGTAACAGCTGATCCATATCCAACATCTCTGTTACTTCCCAACGACGAGTTTCCAGATTGAATTCAAAATTTTCTTGATCAAATTGGAACAATGATCCCACTGGAGATCGCAATCGACTCAAAAGTTGAATCAATCTTCTATAGTAACTGTAATCATATGGCCGAGATAAGACACCACTGTAGTAATACGAAATCAGTGCAAGCGTAGTCAAACTTTGCTCTGTGTTGATCAAACCTCTTTGATTTGCAACACTCTGATAATACAACAACAACGAGTGTATCATATTGACAATGAACAAGGAGACAGTTTGGGTATCTATAAAAGTTATCAACGGTTCCCGACTGTTCAAGATACGGTTTATCTCAGCATCCATATTGATCAAGAGGTTAAAAGCATTATCCATATTAAGACTGAACTCTATACGAGCTGGGTAAGTTGACCATTGGTTTTCCATCAAGATTCGTTGCACTTGATGCATTGTATTGATCGCAAGCTCAGTATTTTTATACAACTGATCAGCAGTAAGATCAAAAGCACTGTGCCGGTACCCAGACGAGTCTCTCGCATAATAGGGACTTTTCATGGTATGGTAGCATTGGAGTCTTATTAAGCGATGATGGCCAACACCACCAGGAATATGAGCTCTGTATGAGCAACCACCAATGTTAGTAATATGTGCGAATCTGTCCAAACGAAGATATTTTTCTGACCGATTCACTTGCTCAAAATACAAATCAAGCACGGGAGAATTGTTGTTATTTAGCAACCAAAGTCCAGTTGATCCCTCTCTGCCGATATGCACGCCAATATCTAAAAATACATTTCTTGGATCTATGGTATGATAGTTCAAGTCACTGAAAGCGTTGGTAAATTGCTGTTGATAAAAGGCTCTATCAGCTTCTTGATGTACTTCAATTTCGCTCTTGTTACCGTAAGTATAAACAAAAAGAAGAAGTTATCAAACGCATGATATGACTCATATCTGTTGTCCGTCGCGTTTACATTTTGTATTTGACGACGCATACAAGCAGCAAGTGTGTCCATGTTTTCATTCTCATAGTAGTAGATGGGATCAAATGAGTAAATACCTCTTCGTCTTGATGCTCTGCTTCTTTCAGCTTGCGCACTAGATGGGATTCGATGCAATGACTGTGGCATAGAAACTTCACGTAGGGCTGGCAGCAAGATGCGATCCACAAAGAAGTCAACAGCCTCGTTTTGAACATCACAGGTATCAATGCCAATGTTTGGAAAAAAGATATTAACTTTAAATCGATTTGTATGGCCAAAGCTGGCCATATACATATTAGGAATCTTGTTCAGAGGTCTTCCTTCATAGTATATTCCTTTGTTTTGCTTAACCACAAGCCTGAAATCTGGTAAGATATACAAGGAGAGTGGAGTTCCTTCAGCAATAGGGATTTCATGGCAAAGGATAGACACAGCATCAATGTCTACAGCATAAAAAAGGCCTTGCAACGGTGTTGTTGGTTCTTGATGAAGGCCGTATCTACGATCGCGATACTGACCTTTGAATATGAAGTTTATACGCTCTTCATCAGTTTCGAGATTTTGAAAGATCTCATTGTACCCTTGCATGTTGAGAGTAGGAGGCTGATCAACCTCTTCAGGCGATGGCGATCTTTCGGTCATTTCTTCGTCTTCTTCAGATGATGAGGAAGTTGCGACAAGCATTCGTCGTCTTCGCCTAGGTGGGGCAGTTTCCGAAGCTTCACCTGGAGGTGAGGGTGACAGCACTAATCGTCTTCTCCTGCCTGTTTCTTGAGGAGGAGCTACTACTGGCTCTTGGGCAGGTGGTGAAGGTGATGCTACTAAACGTCTTCTCCTGCTTGTTTGTTCTTCAGGCTGTTCTTGTGGCAATTCTTCCGCTGAAGGCCATGTAGATATTAAACTCTCAGCTCTACCTCTTGATGTATGATCAGTTCTCACCCTTATTCTTGGATTAGTTATGATCAGACGTTCTATTAACTCTTGCAATTCTTGCTCCTGATGTGAACTGAATGGTTGATTGGGTACCGAAGGACGAGGCCTTCTTCTACTTCTTCTTATTCTTTGGTTCAATGTTTGTCCTCTGATTCTTCTAAGAAATTGTCTGCGTTCTTGAAGACGTCTTTCTCTCTCGAGTCTCTCTGACATTCCTTCACGCAACTCTGCATAATGCTCTTCCCAAATTCGCCTGTTTCTTCTTTCAGCTTCAGTTTCAGTTTCAGTTTCAGTTTCTTCAGCAGGTACATTTGGATCAAGGAAGGTTTGTGTTACGCTTATTTCAGTTGTAGGCATTCGCAAAGGAGGCATACGAAATGTACCTGTTTCAGGTTCATGTTCCTCAACAATGTATTCTTGAGTATCATCATCAGTGATGGCATTGGTTAAATCTTCAGTAGAATCCTGACGGTTGTTATTATTCATTGTTATTAGCAGAAGAAAAAAAGGAAGCAGCTTCAATATTTGATTCTGATCTGATTTTTGACTTGGCTAAGCGCATCACCAATAATAATAATTTTGATATACATAGTAATGTTCATTGGTGCTTGATGCTTATTGGTTCCTGGTATTCACTGTTAAACTGATCGCAGTAATGTTCCAAGTCATATCTGTTTTGCGTTCAACAAAACCAAGAAGGGATAGCCCATCGTGAACTATTGATGACAAGATAACAGCTAGAATGCTAACAGTGTAACTGATATTGTGTTAACAGTAAAAAATGCACATCATCCGTATATCTTATAGCATTACTGATTCAGTAATTAATAAAGATCTATTGTATCCAAGATAACAATCAAAGTAACAAAAGTTGGTTTATGAAGCAATATTGATATGCATAGTTTATTGCTCTTAATTAGATTATTCATATTCTTCACTATCTAGTTCATCTTCCTCATCATTTATTTGTTCCTCACCAGAAACAAAGTCTTCATCCGCTATGGATTCTTCAGTCGCATAATCATCAGCAGTGGTTGCCTGTGAATATAGCGAGTTGTTATCCGCTTCAACAACTCCAGATTGTTCGCTACTTGTTCTGTTTCTTCTGTCTCGTCGTGTGCTTCCTTGATTAATTGATTGAACAACAATAGGTGCAGTTCTTGTCGATTCCAACATAAAAAAACGGGCGTTAGGTAACATAACATCAGGAGACACCAATGTAGCATGCTGATTTCTTTGATCTAAAGTGTTCAAACTGAAAGCATAGCGAAAAGAGTTCCAATGGATCTGTCCATTCTGCCATTTGATCCCTGCACTGTTCAGTGCTTTGACAAACAGTTCCATATCTTTAGAAAGCTCAAGTTAGAGTATTAATGTCTAATAGATCAAAACCTTCATCTGTTTGAATGTCAAGAGCATCAAACGCTAGCTTCATATCCGTAACTGCTCTCTCTCTCATTCTTTCATTCATTTCTGAATCCATTTTGAAAAAGCAAAAAAGATGGGAATTTGTCCAATTGATAGTGTACACTCCAAGCTTTTAAATGGCATCACCCCCTTTTTTTTTGTTGAAGCATTCCCAAATTCAACATCATAAAGTAAAAGATAATAAATACAGCTGCTGCAAAAATTATATCCATATCACGTTTTATTTTCTTGCTATCATCCGTGCATGAATGCCTCTTACTGTTCCTCTTGATCAATGTTTGTTACAAAATTTACCGGGCTAGTAGAAGATATGATTATGTTTCCTCTTGTGGCTTGCATTAGCCCTTGATCATTGATACGTATGCCTCGACTCAACAAGACGTCTACAAAATCACTCAAACCTATGAATAGGTGAGCAAATGTCGGCAAAATCAATATATAAATACCTTGATTAGATCCTAAGACATAGGCAGAAATAAATCTTTTGTAAGCTTCTTTTTTACTCCTTTGTATCTCTTGAGCAGCAGCAGCATCTCTGTTTTCTCTCTGCCTTCTCAGCATTTTCTCAGCAAAAATAAGAGTAACAAAAAGAAAAAAAATGAGGTCTTGCTAAGGTTAAAGAAAGTATATATATATATATATATATATCAACAAACAAGCCACCTCGAATGCATCCTACTTGCAGTTTACCAGCAATTTTCGTTTATATAAATGATTCAACAGCCATATAGAACTACTAATCGCGTTGTATGTTCGTTTCAAGATCTTGGTTTATATTCGTGCATGAGAGAGAACGGCTGGGAAGACCTAGGTTCTTACTAGTTGACTCCTTCAGCTATATACTTCAACATCGTCTTGTTTATGAATTAAAAACAAACAAAAGAAGTGCATAAGCCCCTAATAAGACTGACTTTCAACCAAAGAAGAAACAAAAAAGGAGCGGGCTTTAATTTTTAATGGGAAATCTTTTGATTTTTTTGGATCATAAAACAAGAGTTCACGGGAAAGTCCTTCATAAAGACGTTTTGAGAAGCTAGTATAATAACAAAGTCTGTAGGGCGGCTATAGACAAACATGTTGATGTAGAAATATTAAGAGATTGTGCGCTAAAGAATTGCACCAGAGCCAGAAAACTGTTTTGATGTTTTCTGGCCCTTGGGAACAACTTTCATATTACACTCTAAAAACCAGAGCCACCGTAGAGTAGCCATAGCTCAGAGCTATCGAACGCATATCTACGTGCTTGATTTTATTGACTTTTAATCGAGAAAAAGTTGATTGAAAATCGCATTTGTAATTGTGAAAAAAAATCAAAGGGGTATACCTGTCCAGAATCGTCAAAAATTTACTTTTTTTCTTTTTCATCACAAATCGCCCTAGACGATACTTTTCATACAGGAAATCACCACAAGCAACCAGAGAAATGACACAGGTCAACAATTGCACGTTTAAAACTATGAAAAGAGCACCCGATGATGTTGTTTTTGGCGCTTCATGTTATTCATCTAACACAATGAAGACTTTCACAGACACAAGTAGCCATTAACTCTAGATAGAATGCCACCCCTTCAACAAGCGCGTGTACTAATGAAGAAATAGTGAGAGGTAGATATCAAAAGAATATTTTACACGAAGAAATGAAAGTAACCATAGCTTCTTGGCCGTCAAACATGAATGATGATACAGTGCATTTGTTTGAATGGATTTTTAATGACAATTGATACCCTCAGCTTGCGATAGAATACTTCAATGGAAGAATAGAATATTACATCTCTGAACAATGAAGCCGCATGTATTAGCAATTTTGACAGAGCAGTGAATTACGAAATAAAAAAATCATCATGTCGTTACAAGCAGAGGATGGATTTGGTTTGTCTAACCTATACACAGAGTTCTGATTTTTATTACTTCTCAATGTGTATAAGATTGACAATACGCTTGATTGAAATATGGAAATTAAGGATGAGGGTACTAACTTGCGCTTCTTCAGCGGATGCTTGTCTATTTTCATAAAGGTTTAAAATCATCAAAGTTTATTTTAAGAGGGAAAGTTTAACTATTTTTCCATAAGGAGGGAC